TTGGGACGTCCAATTATAAAGTAACAATTTCATTAAATATCCTATTTTTTCACAAATATCTTTACTTTACATCACATCATTACTTTTATACCAAAAAAGAAGGGCAAAAATATCATTACACTATTTTTACCTACCCACTATAATTAAAATATTATTATTTTTTAAACTTTATGCCAAAAGTAAGTATATACTTATTATTTGAACGGAGGGAATATCTTTTATATGGTATTTCTTGAAAAGTTGAAGGTAGCCAAAATCTTAAAAGTTGTGTAAACAGAATGTTAACTTTTTTTTTTTATGAATTTTGTAAGAACATGTTATTGAAATAACATACTTCTTCCTTTGCAGCACAATTATTTTATATGATATAGAATACCTTGAAATATTTCTCATTTCATCTCACATAATTTATTTTTATTTTCTATCGTTCTACGTAACTTGTCATATTTATTTTTGAAAATATAATTATTCAGTTTAATCCTATTTTAAATTTTATAATTTTTTAAAATTTAATTAAACTATTTATTTATCTTAATCTTAATTTATAATTATTTTTACTAATACATTTTTTAATTATTTACTAATTATATTTTACCTAAATTTTCTCATCTACGGTAATAATCCCAAAATATTTGGCCGGAGGGAGTGTATTCTATTACAATAACTTAGGTAATTATTGTTGTACAAATTCGATGAAGAATAGAGAATAAATAATGTCATATTTGACATATCAATTTAGAACATGATTACAATGTAGTAATAATTAATAAATAAGCTAAAATGGTTAATTAAAATAAATATACTTTATTTAAGAGTTTAGATTAAATTATTAGGATGGATGGATTTAAAATTAATAATTTAGACATTGTTAGGTGCGAAGAAGCTTTCAACAAATCACACATTTACAAATGTCTTTTATGTTTATTGTTTAATGTCCAGTTTTTTAATAGTATAATTTTTTATTTTTTTTCTTGGTCAATTTTGTCATCATTATTATGATTATCATTAAACAAATATTTATACAATTAAAAATTTTTCTTAATATTATTAGTTTATATTTATCAAAAATAAATAAATTTTATTTATTTGTATTATATAAAATTCCGTTGTATATAAAATGCGTTTCATTGATCCTTGTGGAATGAGTCTTTTGATGTCGTTAATTTCAAATAGTGTTTGATATTATTAATTTCAAATATTAACGCAACTTAGAGTGTGTTTGTTTGGGGATTGGATTTTAAATCTACTATTCATCCTATTTTTTTCTCCAAAATATCAAATCAAACACTTATTTTTTATTTTTTATATTATACTAAAAATCAATTTTACATTCAAAACATCACCTATTTATATCACATCATACGACTATTCAAATTCAAAATTTTTACTATTCAAATCTCAAGTCAAAATCTAAACTCCCAAACAATCACACCCTTAGTGTATTATATGAACCAGCAATACATTATAATAATTTAAACAATACATATTAGTTTAACTTCAATAATATAGTGTGCTTAATATCACTAAAGTTTTTTTTTTTTTGTATTAAGTATAAATGATTGTGTTATAATATATATATATAAAAATTAATATTTATGCTGAATAGTATTATTTATTATGAATTGATAATATACTCTTTCCGAGTTATAAACAAAAAAATAGAAAATATAAATTTACTTTTTAGGGTAAATTTATTTAGATAAAAATTATTTTTTCGGCTTTAAAAGTCATATTTATCTTTGTGTGTTATTGCACTTAACATTAAAAATATCATTACATTTTTATAATTTTTTGTACAAATATCTTTCTAATAATATTATAAGGCACTAATAAAGTATCTTTGCAATGTTTTTAAAAATTTGTATCACATTTTCATATAATAATTAATACTCCATCCGTTCCATAACAAAATATTTATTTTTCCATTTTGGTCTGTCCCATAACAAAGTATCCATTTTTTTTTTAGTAAATGTACTATCTACCTAATATTACAAATACTCTTACAACTTCCAATATATTACACAAATATCATTACCTTTATATCACACAATACTAATAAGGTCATTTTACTCATTTCTATTTTATTTATACTATATCCCAATATAACACTAATATTTCTAAAACTCCGTGCAAAAAACAAATGAATACATAATTATGGGACGAATGAAGTATTTAAATATCAAAACGTAAAAAATAAATGAGAACGTTTGAACTGGACGAAATTAATATTCCATCTGTATCAATACAATAGTTTTGTTTACCATTTTTGTCCGTCCCAAAACAATTGTCTCTATTCCCTACTTTTTCATTATTATTACACAATTACCACTACTTTTTACACTAATATATTCACAAGGCCAAAAAAATCATTTATCTTTATATTTTTATGACTACCAATATAATATCAATATTCACCACGACAAGACTATATTTTAGAACGACGAAAGTACAATATTATATTTTTAATAATATTTATGAAAATTCGTGTTATCCAAAAGCATTAACTAACGGTGGAAAATGCATGTATGTAGTTAGATCGCGGTATTAATATTAGATGTTCTGAGAATGTGATTGGTCCAACAATTAAATGAACGGTAGAGTGGTGCTTTTCACGTGGTCCATTCATTTGCCGACACCCGCCCATCCAACCGTTGTTTTTTATTTATTTTTTATTTATACTTTTTTAATCACCTAATTCAAATTTTGTGACAAACACATTCTTGTCACAAAAGTTTGTCCAACGGAACGGACATACTAATCAGGAAAATTTTCAAGTTCTGCTTTTTTAATTTAATATTACATTATTAATAATATTTTTAAAAAAATACTATTTCCTCTTAAATAAAAAAGGTCTTTTGAGATTTTGAAATATATTAATAAATAATATTCTCTCCGTCCCACGTACCGTGTCTGCTACACTGTAGATACAATATTTTAAGAGGGGTGTAATTAGTAGATAATTAAGAATGTATTAGTGAAAATAATTATTCGATAATATAAATAATTATAAATTAAAATTAAAATAACTAATTAGTTTAATTACAATTTTAAAAAAATAAAATTAAAAAGTTTAAAATGAGATTAGAGTATGTAATCATTTTTCAAAAAAGGAAAGTGACATGGTATGTGTGACAGACAGAAACGGCAACATGAAAATGGTATGTGGGACGGAGGGAGTAATATTTTATTAGTCAGTGAAAATGTGCAAATTGTTTTTTGACATTTTATTAGCATATATCGTATTATATAATGTGTTATATATTATGTAACGATTTGTTATTTTCTTTATAAGTATTTGCTAATTGGATCAAATTATTATTGTGTTGAAATCAAAATATATTTTGCTACATATAATACGTTATTCAAATATATATATATATATATTCTATATCGATATTTGTTATTTTTCTTATAGATATTTGCTAACCTTTTTTTTTTTTTCTTTTAAATACATAAAGTAATGCTCCCTCCGTCCTAATACAATAGTCTTGTTTACTATTTTTGTCCATTCCAAAATAATAGTCTTATTTTCATAAATAACTATATCGCCATAAAAATACTCATACTTTTTCATTTTTATTACACAATTGCCACTACTTTTTACACTAATACACACATAAGGGCAAAAAAGTCTTTTATCCATAATTTTTACCAACTACTAATATAATATCAATATTCTTTAAATCTCGTGTCTAACTCAATTAAGACTATAGTTTTGGGACGGATGGAGTATTTGGTAAAATTCAACTTTCAAAAACAACTATAAACAACACAGAGTTTTATTATACACAACACATGTTGTATAGTAAAGACACATGTTGGTTTATAATTATAAGTGTATTGTATAACAGTATGTAGTGTGCTGAAATCAACTATTATTTGTGTTGTATAAGACTATAGCATGTGTTGTGTTTGTGTTATTGGTACATAGTTATACAAGTGTTGTATGAGAATATATGGTGCGCTTAAATCAACTATTGTTTGTGCCGTATAAAGCTATAACATGTGCTGTATTTGTATTATATGAATGTATACAGTGTGCTGCCTGTAATAACACTGTGTGTTAACTGATAGCACACCCTGTGTTGCGATGTGTTATCAACAATTCAGCGGTGGTAGCCATCGTCATATATATTATGAATAGTGTAAAAATTAATTGTAAAATATAAATAAACATATATTTAAGTTTTAAAAAATATATATTTGATTTGCAATTAAAAAATAAAAAAAAGAAATCACCATTATTCAATTTATTACACGATTATAAATAAAAATAAATTATTTTTTTTCACCAAAAATTATTTAATTTCAAAATTTAATCAAAAGCTGAATCTCAAACACAAACCAAACAAGCTGATAACATATTCCCCCGTTTATACATAATTTGTCAATTCTTCTATTCCGACTTGTCCAACATAAATTATTATTTTTATTTTTTAAATATAATTATACATTTTAATCGTATTTTAAATTTCACATTTTATAATTTTTTTTATTTTAATTAAATTATTTAATTATTTTAATTTTAATTTATAATTATTTTTATCGTATTATAATGATTTTTACTGATATATTTTTTAACTTCATATATAATTAGTTTATTTATTACGATCTCAATCAATTATGGATGCTAATTTAAGAGGAAAGGGTTCAACGGGTATGTTTACTTTATACTATAATATTAGTATTTTATTTATTTATTTATTTTTGTATGTGAAAGTCAAATATCATGTAATATAGTATTATAAACTAACTTAATAGCATGATTTTATTGTCGCAAAATTATTTTTTATTATAAAATTTACTATAAAAAAAAAAAAAAACTTTCAAATTTAAATATTATAGTGTAGGAAAAAGATGTTGGGCCGAATAAAATTCGAAAGCCCAACAGAAGTTGCATAGTAGTCCACGTGTCAAAACCTGGTTCGGCTGACGTCAGGTGTCGGTGAACCGACTCGCATTATAATATTTCCGCGTGGCGTAACGGCTAAAACGAGCGCTTTTACTCAAAAGCCCAAACTCTCTCTCTCTCCTTCTCTCCCTCTCTCTCACACAGTTCACACACATATACTCGATTTCTGCATGTAGATGTAGATATACCACCGGAAATTGGTTGATTTTCCGCTACTCAGACTCTACAAATTGAAGGATTCGAGTTGGGGGAATTTCGGAGGAAATATTTAGTTCTGGCTGGGTTAAGGGTGGTGCTGAGTCGACTCGGCGGTGGAAACCGGCGGAGGAATAAGGTGAAGATTAAAGTGATGGAATGGTGGCACAACATCGTCTTCCCCGTACGGCGCGCCTGGTTTGCTATTTCCGCGCGTATTAGAGCTCGAAAAAATGGTTAGTTTCCTGTAATTTTGGTTATTTGTTTTGTTCGCTTGTTTTTCTGGATGAACTTAGCTCCGAGTTTAATTAGGATCCTCCGATTACAAATCCGAATTGTTTCTTTGAAGTGATTGATTTTGTATATGTGTTTTTGTATGTTAGGTTGTCGATTTAGTAAAGGTTTATTGTTGTTCTGTTGATAATCGTGTAAAGTATGGTTTGAATCAAAATGTCCTGTTTGTGTAGCTTTGAATTTTCAACATTGTTAATGGATTCATCCTTGAATAGAAGAAACTAGGCTTTGTTTTAGAGGTGCAGGAGGACTAATTGCTTTTGAATTCGACTAGTATAGTGGAAATTGTGCTTTTTAAGCTCGTAGTTTGTGTATGGAATGTTCTAGCTAAAACAAGTCAAGAAAAAAGGCTTTACATCAATTTTAGTTATTGAGAAAAGCACTTTAGATATAATTCTGTTGTGTTAGATATACTCAAGATCACTGTGTTAGACTCATGACCTTTCACCAAATTCACTGTGTTAGATAAATAATTGTTTCAATTATTATTATTTTTTTAAATAGAAAAGAAATATTAATGTGATGTTTTTAAAGATTTAGGTGTGTTTGGAAGTGGTTTTGAAGTTGGATTTTGGGTTGAAATTCAAATTGAAATAGTTTATTTGATAGAAAATAAGTGTAATATTTTATTTGCGGTAAAAAGTTGAAAACTGCGACACAAAGAAACACACATTAATTTATCGAAAATAAGTGTTCAATTCTATGTTAGCATTACATAAATTATACTAAATTAGTTTTGTTTATCCAAAAACACATTAAAAAGTTATTCTTATGCTAAAAGATTTCAAATAACCCAAAACATGAAACAGAATATCTATATATACATCACTTCATGCTCCAGCCTAACTTTTTTGTGTGTTTCTTATCAATTTGAATTGGGTTTGGAATTCGGATATTATATCTAAATAATATTTTATTTCGAGAATATAAAATCTAAATAGTAAAAGATTGAATAGTAACTTAAAAAGAAACTCACCCTTGTTTCTTGTTTTGACCTTTCTTAAAATATGATGCCTTTAACAAATTCTGTGAAAGAATTTGGATGAACTGAATAGCAATTGGTGAAGTGCAAAATTTGGGAATATGGATTGATTCCTACTTTCACATAGCTTTAATTTGTTCTATGTTATTGTCATCCACTTGCTGATTAAATTGTTGTCCTTCTAAAATGGTGTTTGACGCACTAATGATGGTTTTGGAGCAGAATTCCTTTTGTCTTTAGCACAATAATGTTACTCACACAAAATATATAATATATATGTATGTATCTAAAGATTCCATTTCTAGTTGCTTGTGCTTACTTACATCCACTCAGTGAATTCCACTAAATGACACCCATAATATATATATATATATATGAGTGTGTGATTTTGGAGGGATCAATGTGTAATAATCCAATGTCATTAGTGACAGAAGCTTCTAACTACCAAATCGTGCCCCACTTGCATTTGTTATATTTTGTCTCCTTTCAAAACTTCAAATTTAAAAAAATATTTGTGCTTCTTAGTCATCCAATCTTCAATATTTTTGAATTTCAAAGTGGGCTAAAGCATCAATACCGTGGTTTGTTTTTTGTCACTTTGATTCTATTCTTGTTTGACTGAAGGCCATTCAAGAATATTATCAAGATATCTATATATATCACATGTGTGTATATCTATATGTAGCAAGATGAGAAAAATAGATAAATAGATGGATATTTATTTCATCTGTATTCTACCCCAAAAAAGATAGAGCAAATTCTCATCAGATCCTCCTGTTAAGGAATATTGAAAACTTCCTGTCTTTTGCTGTCATTTCAGTTATATGAGAGGAATAATAAACACAGGCTCCTGCCAAACATTTTCTTTCTTTCATATTATTCTCACACTCTCATAAAAATATCAAAATAGATGTGCCTTTACAACCTAAGATATTTTAATCTTTACATACATCCTTACTATCTCTTAACATTCGGGAATTTATTGGCTCGATACTGATTGCCCCAATCAACATATAACAAATACTATAAATAGTGTATTAAAATATAATAGACACTGTATGTTATACTCCATCCATCCGTCTCAATTGAAATAGATCACTTGAAATTTTATAATAGACTAAAAATAATAATATTGTTTAGGAGAAGTGCGTAAATTTTTTTGACATTTTAATAATTGTATATGTAATAGTATGTTTGTAATTAATATAGAAATTAAACAGTATTTTGACATTAGTGTTTGATTAATTTTTCGAAAATTGTAAAAAATATATTTTGAATCGAGACTAAGGGAGTATAAGATATTAATATGTATTATAAGTTCTACTTTATATGTATATTGTTTAATATACTCCATCCGTTCCTTAACAATCTATCCATTTTTTCATTTCGGTCCGTCCCATAATAAAGTATCTATTTACTTTTTCAGTAAACAATATTACACCACTAGGATAATTTAGTTCTTTTACTTTTATTTCTACTAAATCTCAATATAATACTAATAATATCTCTAAATTTTTTTGCAAAAAGTAAATGGATAGATAAATATAAAACGGATGGGGGACTATATATTACTGTACTATCAACACTATGCTAATTATAAAACTCATTAACCACCGTGCAAACAATAAAAGTATATACACTTAATAGAAAAAGGGAGTATTTTTACGTTAGTTCCGAAACTAAAAAAAATCTCGATATTTTTATATTTTTCGTTTTCAGGCGCCGGGCTCCTTAAACTCCACGACGACATCCAAACCTGCGGCTACGAGGATGTCCAAATCATGTGGGAAATGCTGAGGAGGACCGAGCCAGAAATAGCTCCCCGCAGCGCCATGCGCAAGCCCAGATGGTTCTTGAGGAACTTCGCGTGGTCCAGCCACGGCGCACGAGCGCCTCCATCCCTGTCCGTGGATCAAACTCAGTGAGCGAAATGCTCCAATCGCAGCTGCCTTAAAAAAGCATCATCGTACGATGCGCAAAGGCCGGCGTAAACATAATACAGATACATGTTTGTCTACTTTTCTCTCATAAACAAGACTCGGACAAAAAAAAAAACAGCAAGATGTGTAGTCACTTTGTAAATATGCTCGTGATATCCGAAAATGTAGTTTGGATAAAAAGAGGTTTTGCTCTGTTTAGAGCTCTTTCGAATAAAACAATGTTAGAAAAGATGTTCGACAAAAATAAACCACGAGACAACATAAACTAAACTCCTCGTAATAAAATGAACCAAACTCGAGTACCTCAAAGTCGAGACATACGAGGTTTCCAGTCTTGTCTGTGCTCTGCATATAAACACCCGTAGTATCACCCGACTCCTGGCCAATGTAAGAACTATCATACACAAAAAAAGAAACCGGATTTCCAATAGGAACAATAAATCGTTCGTAAAGAATCGACCAGCATCAACAAACAAAGTTAAAGAATCGAGCAGCCTAATGCTTAACAAAAATGCTCGAAAAAACGGTAAGATTTTCATTATAAAACAACGGTAAGGCCAAAATAATCGATAGAAATGAAACTACGTACACACGACTAATGCATCATCGAATCCCACTCTTCTTCTCCCTCGATGGATAAACGAACTCCATTTATTCCCTGCAAAAAATGTCGTAGGATTTCTCAACGAAGTATAATTTACGGGACAAAGAAAGAATACAAAGGAGGGGATACCACTAATCGTACCGCAATGCAACAAGATTTCTGAATCGATCTTATCTGAATTGCCTCCGATCATCGGTTCTTCCCATCATTGCAAACCCCGATCGTGAAGATGTCCTACAAAAACACCGTTTTGGCCAATTTCCATAACGAAATCCAGGCAAAATGTTATATGTCGAATAGATGTGTACATATTATCTCCAGCAACAAAGGCCAGTCCTCACCAAGTTTTCGTCGATTCAGCTCCATAGAAACTCTGAAGTCCTTTGAAGAAATCGGGCATCGAGTATTCTCATCACCGTTTTGAAGAAAACCGTTAATAAGTTTCATATTATTGTGCGGCTTCATCTTCAATCTAAGCTGCCCGACGTCAACGCACGACTTGATCAATCTTTTCATGTAAAAGTCTAAACCATAGTTCAATACGTCGGCTGAATCCACCGACGTCCCTTCAAGACCCTCGGTTACGGCAATTTGTTCCATCCGTTCCCTTAGCGTTAAACTGTCCGACAATGCAACATCATTTAGTATCCTCGTCGATCTAAAGTTACTCGTTTCGGGTGGATCACGGTGTGCTCGGGAAATAAAGCAAACACCAGAAGGAGCTGAAATTGGACTTTTGGCGAAAGCCTCGTTTTCCACAACTCTAACTACCGTATCACCTCCGTTCTTGCTACTTACCACATCGTAATTTTCATTCTCCGATTGGATTTCCCGAGCAATACGATTCGAGTGCAAATCTCGATTCTTCAATTTAGCATTACCGCCATTCGATTGAGTTGCAAGACCACTACCACGACGATCTCCGATTCTCCTATCACGAAGCATCATACAGTTGTACAATCCATTCTGCTTCGAAACATCAACCATGCATGGAAAAGGCACATCTTTCGCGCCACAAACATTTCTGATTATCGAACGAATGAGATGATTGTGAAGCGGAATGTTCTCCCGTCCCACGATTCTGCGACAGATCCTATTGAATTCGACCTTGTTCACCTTCAAGCTCAAGAACATACTTAAAAAGTAAAAGTAATGGTTCGATCCTTCTGGCCCGAGTTTCTTCACCATTAAAACTTTCAATTCGACAAGATCGATCCGTCCACGACGAAAATGAAGCTGCAGAGGCTGCATGATCTCTCCTATACCTTCTATCTTCTTCCTCCTCAATAATCCATTTTAACATAACAATGGCGGACAACCTTAACCTCTAATTAGGGTTTCCTCTTCAACTACTGTAAAACAACACTTTCCAAACATGATGAAAGCTCTTCAACAATGGCGGAGCTCATTTCAATCTCCAAATATCTTAAAATTTTCTCACAATCTCTGTCTCCCTCCAAAACCCCCAAACTTCAGAGTATTGTTAAATTAATCAACACAGTAAATTCCAGCGAATCGTTTATCGAACTAATCCTAAAAAAATGAAACAAATGTTACAAATCCTCACCTGAAATTGAACAATAATACAAATGCCAATCACCTCAATGGAAGAATCGAGCTCGATTACTGAACTTCAGTTTCATGTCGATATGTTCGAATTCGAAGAACGTCGAATTAACTACAACAATATCGAACTTTGAAATGAAATAACAGTTCGTAAAAATCTTGGACTGACCTTATTGAAGCTCTTCGAAATTCGATTGAAAAATTAATCGCGAAACACTCTGAGCTGTATTGTTCGATCGACCACTCTCAAACTCGTATTGCTGATTCCATCATTGCTGTTACTTCACAATTTTTCTCGGCATTCTCTGCTATTTCTTCGAAAATTAGATTCTGAATCCAAAGATTGAATCGAAGCCGTTTTCTTTTCAATGGATTCTCTCTCCGATCGATCTCGTCGTCGATACTCACCTCTCGCGTTCCCTGCTTGATTAGGATTTGTGAATTTCCGTTGAATGGTACGGTACAACTTCTCATGCACCGAGTACAACATATAGGAATTATTCTGAAAATGATGTACCCTAGTCCGGCAGGGGTAAAAACAACTCGCACTAGAGCCGCAAATACTGAACCACTACCCGATAACAATTCGACCTAAAATAATTGAATTTGGATCAAAATAATATATTAATATTTATTATATATTTATTATATATGTAAAATAATTAAAATTTAATAAATTTTTATAAATTACTTTAAATTAAATTTAATTTTAAATAATTCAACTTAATTTATGTTTAAACTAATAAAAATTAATTATATATACGAGTGAACACAAATTAATCTGAATTTATACGACAATAAACAGATCGAATTATAATTAAATAATTTAACTAGTTTAAAGTATAATCCGAATCGACCAAGCTCTCGTTGCTATTATCACTTATCATCGCAGAAGCCTCGTTACTCCACGCGACTTGCGATAGTGGACAACACTTGCCACCTCATTGGATAAACGAAAACACCCTAAATTATCTTATTATATTTATATTTTATTTTATTTTGAAAAATAGTTTCAATTGTATAAGAATTTTAAAAGATTTAATAATAATAATAAAATTTCTGTTGGAAAATTTATTTTTAGACTCATTGTAAGTCGAAAGATTTAAATTTGCTTTCATTAAAAAAAATTTGATCAATTTTACTTTATTAAAATCACAATTAATCAATTTAAATTTCATGATAAGAGATGAAATTCCGATCATTTGAATATGGTCATAATATAAACATTATTCACAATAAATGTGTACCAAAATCAAACTTTAAAGAAAAAAAAAAATCAATCATTTCTTTATTGCAATATACTTCCTTCGTTCTATATCTATATATTCATTTGTTTGGAAATGGATACTTTTGTTATAGAACAAACCAAAATAAAAAAAATAGATAAATTGTTAAAAAAATAAAGAAATAATATTTAAGGCTCGCGTTTGTGTCTGTGTGCTCGTGTGAATATTTATAGATATCATATGCACAAAGAGCTTATGTCCTAAATATCTATGCAGGTTTGAGGCAGTGTCGCAGCGCAGCCTCCCAGACAACATCGATTTGGTCGACTGAAATATCTCCAACCTCATGACACTCCCAACCTTCGAGAAAATGAACTAATCCTCCGGCGTGGCAGGCGGGAACGACGCTTCTTTGCATAGTATACTAGTAAAAAATACGTCAAAAGAATTCCTTGTTAGATATACATGTACGCTCGCAACGAGATAATATATATATATAATGACTCTGTTCATCTAATATTTTTAAATAAATTAATTTTTTTATGTGTAACTTTAAGAATATAAAATATATTATTTTATATTAAATATTTGAATTTTTCTAATGAATATTTAATTTTTTAAAGTTTATTTGCAATGTGTACATAGAGAATTGTATAAAATATATAAAATACTACATCTGTCTGATTTTATATTTTGTCGTGTTAATATTTGAATATGAATTATTATATCAAAACATAGTATAAATTAAGAAAAAATTGCAAAAAATACTTCTATTGTGTTATAATACTAATAGAAAAAATTTGTAAAAAAAATTATACAAATATAAATATATTTTTAATGTTAAGTACAATAACGCAAAAGGTAAATGTGACCCAGTATTATTTTTGAAAAATCACAATTCTAAAAAATCTTGCACAAACAGACCGAATATATAAAGTCTGTTTACTTTGAGATTTAGGTTTTGCATTTGAGTTATATAAAAATTTATTATATGAGATACATTTTTAATTATTTATTAATTATACCCCTCCTAAATTTCCGTGTATACGATAATTAGAACAAAATATCCCGGATGAAAGGGGGTAATATTTATTTGTAAAAAAATAAAAAAATAAATAAATTGGGGGTAAAGAAGGAGTATAATATAGGATATCGTTTTAAATCAATTTTAAAATATTTCAAATTAAAGTTAGGCCCAATATTTAATATTTAATGGGCTCAATAAATAGGTTCACGTATGGGCCTAATAAGTATTTCAGAAAAGGTTTGGACTAATGGGCCGGCCCATAAAAACGATAAATTGGAATTTGGACTGGCAGGTGTCACGCGCGCCGCACGTGTCCAATCGGTTTTGATAAATTTGGAATTGAAAGAACCGCTCAATGGCTTCGAAAGAGTGCTGTTTTATTTTCCCCTTTTCGTTCATATCGTTGGATCCAGCGGTGTGCCGTTAGGGTTTGAAAAATAAATTTATTTTTTTCTGTAATTTGTTCAGAATTCTGAATCTGAATTGTTGGAATTCGTCGATATGAAGCTCACTGTGAAAACTCTCAAAGGCAGCCACTTCCAAATCAGCGTCAATCCCAACGACACCGTAAGTAACCCCCTCTTTTACCCCCTTTTTATTCGATGCATTCATTGATTGTGTGCGCGCTTTAATGGAACGTGTCAGAAATGGCGCCTCTTTCGTTTTGAGTTTTGGTAATTTGGAAAACGTAGTCATGGTTTGCCCTCGTAGAAGCATTTTTGCGTAATTAGTGACTCTTTATTTATGTTGTCAAATTTTTAAATGTTCTAGGATGTTGCGACGGATTTAATTAATCGATTGTATGGATTATTGAATCAGTTCAGTTTAGTTGCGGTAAATGATGGTGTATATGCATTCATTATCAACGGGTGGAAGAATTTAAACAGCAATTGAGTATGTAAAATTTGAAGAGAATCATAAATTTAATAGGATAATTTGCGTTTCGTATTATAATTGATTGAATTTTAGGGTTTTGGTGTTGTTTGATATGATTCTGAAATGAAGGTTATCTGCTTGTTGCCAACCGTACATTTCAACTGCAGAGGTCATACTGGGTGTTTTTACTCAAGATTTTCTTCCACATGTATTAGTGCAAAAGTTTTAAGGCATAAATAATGTACTGTAGCTTGTTCGTGGTGCGTTTAGCCATTGTATATGTCTTATGTTTATAGCTGTGAATAATGTGGATTTGTGTGTTTATCATAGATGATGGCTGTCAAGAAGCGTATTGAAGATGTGCAAGGGAAAGATAATTATCCATGTGGTCATCAGTTGTTGATTCATAATGGTAAAGTATTGAAAGACGAAAGCACTTTGGCTGAAAACAAGGTTTCTGAAGATGGTTTTCTTGTTGTTATGTTAAGCAAGGTATGGTTATTGTTTTTTAATTATGGAAATGTACTTAATTATTTGTACCCTTATCTCTATTCATGAAACCTTAGAGTTGATTGAAGTGTCTTGAAACCTCTATTTCTTGTGCATTTTGTAGAGCAAAAATTTGGGTTCAAGTTCGTCAACATCCTCACAGGTGCATTTATTTTTTCTTTCCTTAGTTCATGTGCAATTATATTTAATGTTCTTGTGTTGTGTTGTGTTGTGAGATTTCTCGTTCCTAATTGTTTAAGCAGCCTGCACCTACTGCTACACCAGCTAGCAACCCTTCTCCTGCAGCTGAAGCTCCAGCACCGGCACTGTGAGTTTTCATGTTGCCCTGCAGTTTATCATCGGAAGGTTTTTCATTATTCGTGTTTGTATATATATATACCCCTTTATGAGATTGCTTCTATCATTTAGGGTACCCAAGAACAACGAATCAGCTTCCATTGCTCAAACGACAGCGTATGGATTCTCTTTATCTGCGATTGTCTGATTGATTATTCTGTGTGCTCTGTTAAGTCATCAGAATAAATATATAATCAATTATTGCTTCTGCAGTGACCCTGCAGTTCCTTATTCAGAAGCTGCTTCCAATTTAGTTGCTGGCAATAATCTTGAGCAGACTATTCAGCAATTAATTGATATGGGCGGGGGTAGTTGGGACAAAGAGACAGTAACACGTGCACTCCGAGCCGCCTATAACAATCCAGAACGAGCAGTGGATTATCTGTATTCTGTATGCTCTAATTGCTTTCTTGTTTAATTGTGCTGATCCATGATAAACAACATTGATCAACTTTATTTATTTATTTTGTGTTGATCAGGGAATCCCGGAGAGCACAGAGGTTGCGCTTCCTTTGGCTCAACCGGCAGCCAATTCTCTTGCTACCTCTGGTCCACCTGCCTCGGGAGCACCAAATTCATCTCCATTGAATCTATTTCCTCAGGTTTTTTTAATCATCTCAAGGCTGCCAATATGGTGTTCTTTTGTTATATACACTTCTGTGTTCAATGTCGCAAACATTCTAGGAGACTGCTTCCGGAGCCTCTGGTGCTGGTGTTGGATCCCTCGAGTTCCTCAGGAACAATCAACAGGTGATATATTCAACTTTGTCGTAACGATTTACATGAAATATTAGGGTAATAGACAAAACAAATCACAACCAAACTATCAAATCGGCATGTCATGCTTATTCTGTGCTTTTCTTCATTTTCTTGAATTTACCACTGAATGTCCCATCCCAACTTAAGTCTGTTTGGCTTTCTTACGCACTGCTTATTTATCATTCTTGAAATGATGATTATGTATGTTAATGGTTCTGTAATTTGCTCCCCACTCCAGTTTCAAGCACTGCGATCACTTGTCCAAACTAATCCACAAATTCTTCAGGTAGGTTTTACTTAATTCTTACATATAGTTTTTCCGGGCTTTTAATTTCTCGGAAATAACTCTGTTTTTTCTACAGCCCATGCTTCTGGAGCTTGGAAAACAAAACCCTTCCCTTTTGAGACTCATAGAAGAAAATCACCAGGAGTTCCTCCAATTAATTGCCGACCCTATTGATGGTTCTGAAGGGTTAGTGCTTATACATATATATATATATTTGTTTCCTTTCTTATCTCGATTTGGATAGAGCATGATGAGGTAGCTGCATTTGTTTTGCACTATGAATAGTAACACACTTATTTTTTCCTTTAGAAAAAATAAAAGCATCTTATCTAATACCTATTTTCAAACCAATTATCTTGACTAACACGATATGGTGTGACTACTACTCGATTTTTATATTTTTACATGTAGGGATGCGTTTGATCAGGCAGAGCCTGAGATGCCTCATGCTGTTAGTGTGACACCAGCCGAGCAGGAAGCCATTGAAAGGGTATGAAAGTAACAATGCCAAATGCTTCAATTCTACTATGTTACTCTTTCTTTAATGATTTGTGTGTGTATATTTGTAGATGGAGGCAATGGGGTTCGACAGAGCTTCTGTGATCGAGGCATTCTTAGCCTGTGATCGCAACGAGGAGCTAGCAGTGAACTACCTGTTGGAGAACAATGGAGATTTTGAGGATTGAATGGAACTTCCTCTCACTGGAAGTTAAAGACATTGATTTTTCATTTAACAGAGGTTTCAACAATTTTTGTCTTTTCCACACCAAGAAAAGATGTTTGTGTTGATGACTGGATTGGATTGGATTGGGAAAGAGATTCTGTTTTCTTTTCTATTTTATTTATTATTATGTTTTCACCAAAAATGGTTGAATTTTTTTAAAAAGAAAAAGGCATACCTACATTTGCCCTATTACCTTCTTTCAACTTTCAAGTAAGTTGCACTCAATTTTACATTAATCCTTGGATTGAATTCATGAAATTCTTATGCTCTGTTTAGACAGGAAATTTTAGGGATAATTAGAGTTTTGGATATTTAAAAATAGTAAAAAATTAGTATTTGATGTGATATTTAAAAAAATATTAAATAGTGCCGAAGTTTTCAAAACTTGATAGAGACAAATATAAACTAATACTCAGATTAGGTCCGACAATAATCAAATTCTAACGGTACGGACATTAAGAATAAAAAAGACATTTTATTAAAAAAGTAAGAAAAATAAAAAATAATTGGGAGTAGTAATTATGAAAATGAACAATGCAATAACACAATTGAAAAACGATTATTTCCAAGATTGAAATGGAATTGATTTTAACACTGTCCTCTCTCCCATTAGTTTGTTTTGAATGTAAAATAAATTAATTTGATATTTTTTTAAAAAAAAATAAAATCTGAATAATAAAAATATATAATAAAATTCACAAAAGAACACTCATTCATCGTTATCATCCTCCAATACACGCCACAATACATGCATACAATCACAGATTGACATACTATATATAATAAGTATATTTTAGACAACCTTGAGTTCTTTGAGCCATGCTGTGTGTAAAGGACAAGGATCTTGTTTGCCCTCACCCACAGCCTTCTCCGACAGCGAATAGAACCACCCGTTTCTCCACTTGAACTGAAGCCACAATATTGCGCGCAATCACGGTGATTGTCAGGATGATCAACAAATGTATCTAACTTTGCACTAAACTTAATACAGCGATGAATTTGGAAGCATCATTAATCATTATTACCTCCTTAACTGCGGTTGGGAAGTGAGCAACGGCTCGGGAATATGCGCAGAGTCTGTCCTCAATACCTTGTTCGAAAACCAGACCTTTTTCTGCAGCTGCAGCTCCTGCAAGCTCCGCTATAATGGCAGATACCTGAAAGATATAACCTCGAATTAGTAGATATTACCGGAAAATTTTATGTAAAATGTCATGTGTAAAATCTATTACATAAAATCCCTATGTTTGTTTACATAATCATAATGTTAATGGGAATATGTTTATATCATTTTTTTGTTAACATGTGAGCGTATGTATGTATGTGAGCATATAATATATGTTGCCACTAAAGTAACACAAGAGTCGATGCAATGATTATCAGTGAAATTAGGGGCCCATAAATAGACGTGATCCAGACTCAATGGAGTTAAAAAATATAATCTACACCATAAATAAAAATCTAAAATATCTCAACAATGCACAAATGAGATGATTTCAAAAAAAGAAAAGATACTTGTTTACCTCAGATCGATATTCCTTCTCGACAGCACCCACAGTTGCTCCTGGATGGCGCGCTCCAACGAGCATGAAAGCACATATCCATATGAGTTTCTCGAGCATTTGCTTCTCAAATGCTTCCTTCTCGAGTACCTATTCACCCAAGGAATTCAGGGCTACATTAACTTTCTAACTATAAGTGGCAGTGCAGATAAATTTCCCATGCCAAACATTTAAAATAAATAAAAAATTAGAGAGGTATATATTCTTATATTTTTCATTAGGTAATGATTTAAGGAAAATACGACAAGATCAGCAAATGTTAGGCATAAACGAGAAACACGTGAAGCGTGATCACCTTGCAAGACAGGCCACCGGCATGCAGTCTCCCAGCAACAGCTGATGCCCATTTACCATAAACAGCCGTCAAGCCCTCGGGATTAGTGTCGGTAATCCCATCAATAGGTGGCTCGCCAAGCTTGGCCACTGCAAAATAGGCAAGAACTTGATCGGCATCGCCTAGGCCTTTACTTTGAAACCAGGGCTCCAGCATTCCATTCTGGAAAAACACCAGATCTGCTACAGCGTCAAAAATTACACAGATATCCGATGGCGTATTGTAGTTGTTAATAATGTTTATCCAATTGGGACGGTGCCATGAACTCATCGATGATTGCAGCATGGAACATTGTGTAGAAATGTAACACTAACAAACTAGATCAAATACAATGTTCTCCATTTTTCTGTAATGAATTTATGGATTGTGCTGTGCTTAGTCGTCTTCCAGTGGAATTGAAACCAAAAATGTGCAACTATAACGCAAATTTGCTCTATAAAAATGAATAATTGACACAGCATCAAAGTATCAAAAGTGTAATCATAGATAAGAACATGATCTTAAAACAAAATTTCAAAAACCAAGTCTCATAGGTTAAGTTAAGCAACCTCAGATTCTAAACATGAACTACTTTAATTAGGTATACTTTCGAATAACATAATGGAAGCACGAAAGTAAGTGACAATTGGAAATTGCAGTATTGCACGAACTTGAGCGACGATTGAATATGAATGTAACAATTAATCGGTATATGGATTTAAACTGATACTGAAGAACACATAAATTCCGAAGTCGTACCGCTCCATCGAGACTTAGGAGTGGAATCAAGCACGGCATCCAGATCATCATTACGAGTACAAACCAAAATAGGTCCAGGGAAATCGAGCGGCACAGATTCCCCTCTCTTCACCAGGACGTCGCTCCCGCCGCCCATGTCCTGAAGAGCTTTCCCTACTCGACCGCCGCCGACGATAACGGCGGGCACTACCTTCTCCGCCGTAGCAGCCATCGGCGAATTCTCGTTCAGTAGAGATGCTCTGAATTTGCAATTGCCGCCGATTCTCGAAGCCGAATTTGTGCAGCGGTGCAAGAGTGAAGCATTACAGAGCGACAGCACGGACGCCATGAGTGCAAAATGGAGATGGAGAAACCATTTTCAGAGCTCGCGTCATTCTTCAATTCAATCTCCCGATTCGAAGAAGAAGACAGCCACTCGTTCTTCAGAACCATATCCAAAGATAATGGGCTGGCCCAATCAATAAACCACAAAGCTGAAGCCCAATTAATGGGCCCATATTAAATTACATAGGACCAACAACATTTTATAAAGCCCAAAAAATTGTTCTATAGTGAATGAAATCAGCCCAAAATAATTTCTAGAGCCCAATTCAGTTCTTAAGCCCAATTAAACTAACTGAAGTCCGTATTATTGGGCTGAATTAATTGGCGTAAGCCCAATTTATTTGTAAAGCCTTCCATAAATTTGGATTATGGTAAATTACCATCCATATATATTTTATTCTAAATGCATCAAATAATTCATGTTTTAAATGTGACGCAAATAAAGAGAGTGAAAGTCTTAAATATTCTTATGAAGAACCAAAAAAAATTAAAAAAAAATGATAAAATAATAATAATAATACCGATGATAATCAAAATGGAACGCTTGTGCGGTTTTATTTTAACTTAGGTTTGGTTTAATTTAATTTTCTTTGAATTTATGTTAGCTAACCTTAACCTTAACCTAACCGAAATGTAACCGATCCTTGTTAAGGGCATCAATTCCACACTGGAACATCGGCGAAACGAACGAATCGAAGTTCCCAAAAACGACGTCGTGTTCCTCCGCGAAGCTACTAGAATCCGGGAACTCGAACGACGTCTGGATGTCGTCGGGAAAGCTGCTCCTCGGCGGCTCCAGCTCCGGCTCCGACGACGGGCTGCCGTACGGCGTCGTTTGCTCCAAAATTTCCTTTATTTTGGAGGACTGCAACAGGAGCCCCACGCCATCGACGGCGCCGGCGCCGGAGGGAGGGAGCTCCAGGTGTTGGTTGAGGAAGGTGGAGAGCGCCAGTTGTTGATTAGGGTTCTGGAGGGCATTCTCGTCATTTCCGCAGCTAGGGTTTGGCTGGTCGGGTCTCTGCCAGTTGACGTAACGGCTGAGGTCAAAATTGGTGACGGCGTTAACTCCGCGGTACTCTATCGCCGCCATGTCGTATGCCGTCGCTGCTTCTTCTTGAGTGGCTGCGTCGTAGTTAGAGAAAATGATTAGGGGTATTTTGGGGAATTCATGTGATTGTTGGAAAATTGTGTGTTTAGTTGGAAATTGTAAAAAATAAAAAATATATATATATTATTTATACGAGTATTTTTCTTTAAAAATATCAATTTTTATTTGTATCATATTAAATAATTATTTAAATTTAAAATTTTATCTAATTTTTAAATTTTTCTTTATCTATTTATTTTTTGTAATTATATTTTTATTTAAACAAAAGATTATCTATATTTTATACAATATAACGAAATTATAAAAATAAATGAATTTAAAAAATAAATTTATTATATTACTTACTTATAGAATATTAATATTTTAGGATATAAATATAAAAAATAAATGAATAAATAGATTGAAAGAGTATTTAAAACTCAAATTTAAAATCCAAATATCAGACTAATTAAATTGAAAAAGACGGTTCGATTAATTTATTTATTGGGACTGCAATTTGGCGAGACTTTGTTCCATACAGCAGACCTAAACAGTTGAGGGTTGGTATCAACGGGTTAATCTACGGCTCCTGGAATGATTATCCTCAGCGACTATTGGTAAATCCTGACCGTCTATGGAGCTGGCCCCGCACAATCAACGGTCGGATTCGAGTAAGGTTCGGGTGATCCAGGACCTCCTAACAAAAACATAACTTCCACGATTCTTCTATCTTAATCTAATTTGACTTAAATATGAAAGTCATGTTTAGGCCTTTTTAACATTTTTTTCCATGTGTTTTTTTTGGCAATTATTTGATAATTTGTATCCAAATAATTTTTAAAAATACAAATAATAATAATAATAATAATAATAAATAAATAAATAAATAAATAATTCAACGCTTACCATATGTCCCGAGATAGAGATATTTATTACCGAATACTCTACCAATTCGAGCCTCCCATCTCCCGTTGTGATGGTGTCTGTCAAACACATATGTATTATGCAAAATTATAGTATTCAATTAACATAGTAATTAATAACCTAATTTTGATATCTCCTAGCAATCTTCAATTCTATAAAGTTAGGCAATGTTATAGGCTATATTTTAAAATTTTATTTTTATTTGGTTATTTTAAAAAATAAATATAAATAGTCAAAAAATTTATTTTTTTTTTTTTTAAAAAAAGAAGCCCTAAACAAGCATAGACAGAGTGTAAAATGTAAACTTCAATTTCTTAGATATTCATAGGTTTTTATAAACAAATGTATATACATATCTGTGATCAAAGTTGATTTTAGTTCATAGATTCTACATTTTTTGTTTTATTATTGTTGCAATTAATTCATGATCCTACGCATCAAGAAAATCCCTATATTATACATTTAACACCTAATTTAAATTTAAAAAACTAATAAATCTAATATATATATATTCCAAACTACAGCTGGACATATCTAATTCGGTTGTAGTTGCATGCCCTTTTCATTAATAAATATTTATACATGGCTGTTGTTTGGAGGACTTTTCTTCAGAACTATCGAATCAAAATATTTATTTTTTATTTTTTATATTATATTAAAAATTAATTTTAAATTCAAAATATTACGTCAACATTTATTTATATTATATCATACCACTATTCAAATTCAAAATTTTTACTATTCAAAATCCAAAACCCCGGAACAAACACACCCATGATTGATTCCTAAATATCACATACCTTGCCACACCTCTGTATTTGGAGACCCCACGAGAAAATCCACTGCTTTTTCTGCAGTTATTGAAAATACATGAATCCAATTGGATTCCATTTTGAGAAAAAGAGAAGGTATATATGTTTATGTATAGCATGCATACCTTCTTAATGAGCCAATATATTCTTCCTTTGTTTGGGAATCCATGTCCTGAAGCTCATTTTGATAGGTGGACAACTAAATAAAGAACATCAAATCTTGATTATCAGATGACAAAATGAATCTTAATAAGGGAAAATGAAATAAATGTATGAACAGATTGATTACAGGGAAATTGAGAATTGTTTCTTGTCCCCAATACTTCAATGCAGCCAAGTCATAAGCATGTGCAGCAGCTTCTTCACAATCGTAGGCCCCTAAAAATAAAAATAAAAAAATAAAATATTTACGATAAATATACTGTATAAATCAAAAGGGGGAATATTAAAGTAGTGGATAAGCTCTGTTGGATACAGCCAATGAAAATACAGCAAGGTAGATTGATTAGTGTTAGGAGGTCCATGGAGCTCAGCACCAGATGGATCCATGGTGAATGGTGTGGATCTGCCTGGTGCTCTGCTCCATGAATGAATTGTTAAGCTCCGTAGAAAAAGGTAATCAATAAATGTAGATGTTCTATTTATTTATTTATTTAAAATTGTGAAAATGTAAATGAGAAGTACCTAAATACACTGCATTGAAGTAGGATCACACAGTTACCACCATTGAATGGAAGTCCCAAAATACAAGAAGACATGGAGAATTGAAATAAGTTAATTAATATAGTGGTGCTAATTTGGATTGCAATATAAAGTGAAACTAATAACAAAAGAATTGTGCTGAAAAAGACGTGAGGAAATCCACCTTGTCTCCCTTTCTTATTCTGTGCCTCATTCCAGCAATGCTTATCCCACAAATGTGCTTCATATCTACCAGTCCAACGGTGCCTAAATTATGCATACACATTTCTATATATGAATTCATTCAATTTGGGGAAAACTTCACACTGTAATGTGATTTAATTTGTTCATTTAATCTGAAATACGATTCTCAATCTACATGCATAATTTTGCATATACACAGAGATTTATGCATATATATATGTGTGTAATATAGAGAGAGAGAGAGACAGAGAGAGACAGAGAGAGAGTGATTGTGTGAGTGTTTACCTGGTAACTCCTCTGTAAACGGAGCTTCGCTGCTGCGGAGACTCTCTCGGAACGGTTTTCCGCGTTCGTTTCGTCTTCACACCAGTGGTACCGTCGCCGGAGCCAGGACTACTCTTCTGCTTCGAAGATTTCGCCATGAACAACAAATCGAATGCTGGAAACAACTGGTTTTAGCACAGTGCGGATCGACAATCGATCGTAAATCGATATATTCAATAACAATATATATATATATCAGAAAACGAATTCAGAAGAGAATCCGAAGGATTCAACGAGAGAGAGAGAGAGTGAGTGCGACGCCGGCGGAGAGAGGCGGCTTTGGCCGGCTTGCGGCGGCGGCTGGGGTTTTGCGGAGTAATTTTTTGTGTATTGTGTCCAAGTGTTGTTGTAGGTTCTAATATATATGCGCATATATAGACACATGGTATGTATGTATATGTTACAGTAGTGGTGTGACCATTTTTATTTCAATTTTTTATTTTATTTATATTTTAAAAAAAAAATAAAATTATACTTACTTTATTATTATTATTAAGTTATTAGTTGGTTTTCAGTTTTTTGCCTCACAATTAATAATTGCTTCTAATAATATGTCCACTTTTTCAGCTCAAAATTTAATTCCCAGCTGCAATTTCTGGTCCATTTTTTCACTCTAGGGATTTTAATTTGGGCCCCATCCTATACACATTAAAAATTAGATTAAATTAATTAATTAATTTATTTAATTTTGCCCAAATGTCATTCAATTAGAAAGTGTAACAAGATTTTTAGGTTTTACAGGAACATATGGTATTAGTAAAATATTTATGTATATATATAGGAGAGATTAATATTATTATTATTATTATTATTATTATTATTATTGTTGTTGTTTTCAGTGTAATTGATTGAAATGGGCATTTTTAAATTTAATTTTCAATATATAAGTTGATAGAAAAAAATTAAATAGTATTTAAGTATATTCTTGGTATATTGAGTGTGTTTAGTTTTGATTTGAAATTAGATGTTATATTTTGTGAGAAAAATTAATATATATATATTTTTATTAAGAATCAAATAATAATGTTAAAAAATGTCTGAAATAAAAACAAACAAACAAAATTTATCTATTCATTTGTTAAACTTAAATATTAGGTTGAGTTTTTTTTTTTTTTTTTTTTTTTTTAAAGGTTGACTTTAAATATGTTTGAAGGTGTTTTGGCTATATTTCTTTAGAGAAATTATTTTAATATGATTTATTTTAATAAAATAGTAGTATATTTTTATTTAACATAATATAATTTAAATTGTTGTGCTTTTGGTGAAGATCCATGAAATCTTTTAATATTAATCATTTTTTTATATAAATATTGAATTAAATATTTATTGTTTATCTAATATATTAATAAATAAATTGATTCTTTATGCAAAATATTATATAAATAAATAAATAACATACACTAATTTAATAAAAAATAGACAGTTGTATCTATAAATAAATAAATAAATTTATTTATTTATTTATTGAATAGAGATATAATTAAAGATTTTAAAATAATCTTATTTTAAAAAGTTATGAAAGAAAAATGAAATTATAGTAAAGGAAATGCTAACCAAGACCCTGGTGTAGTGGTGTGTTTCCTTTGATTTCTTATTAAATTTATTTGATTTTTGAACATTATGTTATCCGAAAAAGATAATATACTTTGCTTCTTTTTTTTTTTCCATAAATTTTACTAGTTCCTTAATAATTTATGTATTTTTTTTATTTTGATATGTTATATAATAAAATATCAATTTATTGTATTATCTATCTAACATTACAAATACCATTTCAATTTACAATATATTACACAAATGTTATTATTTTTATATCATACAATAATAATAAAGTTAATATAATTTTTTTATATTTATTTATACTACATCGCAACGTAATATTAATATTCCTAAAACTCTTTGAAAAAGTAAATGGATAAATAAATATAGGACGAAGGGAATATAAATTTTTTATTTTACAAGTAATAACACAATATAGAAGGATATAACTTCTTTTTTATTTTTTCTTTTTTTTTTATCTCAAACTTTTTTTCATAGTGACATATTTGTAATATTAGGTAAATTGTAAATATAAACCATTACTGAAAAATAAAACATATAGGTCTGAGGATAGATATATTAAAATAATAAAATAAATACATTAAAATTAAACAAATTAAATATTTTTTTTCTATAAAATATCATATTCCCTCTATCCTAATTTTAATTCAAAGACTCCTTCCGTCTTCGATAAGATGGCTTGTTACTGTAGATACGAAAATTTAGGTAAAGTATAATCAGTAAGTAATTAATAAGTATATTAGTAAAAATAATTATAGATTAATATTAAGATAACTAAATAGTTTAAGTAAGATTTAAAAAATTTAAATTTTAAATTTTAAAATATAATTAAAGTGTATAATCAAATTTTCAAAAAAAAAATGAACAAATTATGTGGGACGGACGAAAATAGAAAATATAGACAAATTATGTGAGACGGAGGGAGTACCATTTTTATAATTTTAATTTCTCTCACTTCAAAGTATCTCTTCTTTATTTAAAAAATAATAATCATTTATTATTACATATATAATTAATTTATATATAAAATCAAAAAAAAATTGATTAATAGAATATCATTATTTTTAAATTTACTACCGATCTCTTTAAAGAACTTCTTTTAATTGGGAGGGAGAGAGTATTAAATATTACTTTCCTCCGTCCCATAACAAAATATCAATTTTTTCATCTTAGTCCGTCCCCATAACAAATTATTCATTTTTTTTCAAGTAATTGTACTATCTACATAACATTACAAATACTCTTACAACTTACAATATATTACACAAATGTCATTACCTTTACATCACACATACTAATACTAATAAAGTTATTTTAGTCATTTCTACTTTATTCATACTGCATCCCAATATAATACTAATATTTCTAAAATTACATGCAAAAAGCAAATAAATATCTAGTTATCGGACGAATGGAGTATTTAAATCTCCAAAGCCAAACAGTATGAAAAGAAACACGTGTGTTTTTCAATAGGTGAACTCACACACCAACTTTGACTAAATGATTATGACCTAAATTTCACTACTTTAATTTCGAAGCCTCTCTTAATTTGACAGGCAATAATACATTTACTACTTCTAAATTGCAATTGTTTTAGTACCAAATTTCAATTTAATTGGTTGTCATAAACTGCCTCACAAAGTTGTTTAGGCTCATTGAATTAATTGTCACTAAAAAAATAAAATATATTTTTATTTTTATTTTTATTTTATATACAATTGTATTGGATATTTGGATGTATGTTAATTAATTTGAGTTGGAAATTTAATTATGTAACTAAGTTGGCCTCATTTAGTGGTTAGGTTATGTTATTTTCGAATTAGATTCCAAAACTAAACTCCAAAAAGTAATTGAACATTTAGTTGTTCATCTAATTAGATATATTGTAAAATTTATTTCTTTTTATATAGATGAGATTAATTTATTCTAAAAGTTTATTTATATTATATTTAATTAAGTAAAATAAATATTATATAGATTATTTTAGTTTATTGGAATTAAACTTCAAGAAAATAAAGGGTGTACTTATTTTCAATTTTTCATAGTTTCGAGAATATTGGTATTACAATATTAAATGTAAATATTGAACGTAATGCACACAATATTTTCAAATATGACATATGATTTATATTAATATAATATAAAAATAATAAAACAACTAACGTAAAAAATGAATTCATCAATACATTTATAAAATATCAACTGTCAGTATATATTTGTTAGATTAATTAAAATTTTGTACTGTATATCTATTTTATAATGCTAATTAGTCTCAAATCAGCACTACTTTTTTTTTATTATTATTTTTATTTTTTATAATAAACATAGTCCTAAATAAAATTGCATCAATTTTTTCTTACAAAAATTTTAAAAACAATTTAAAATATGACAAGAAAAATTAATATAGTATATATTTTGAGACACGCAATTTGGGCTTTCATATTTCTAAATTGGGCCGTGATATTTATAGTGAAGCCCAAGAAAATTAGCTCATTTATTTATTCCAATTGAAACTGATTTTTAAATAAACCCTTCTGACAGCTACGGTGAGATCCCGCGATCTGCGACTCCGGAGCCATCTCGAGTCGCCGTCGCCGCCGCCGCAGCCGTCTTCAACTCCGATCTCGAAACTGTGATTGCAGAAGAGACTGCGCTTCCGATTAGCATCATCTCTCTGCTTAATTCCAAGTTTTCAGTCTTCAATTTCACTAAATTTGCGCAAAGCCACTTTTCAACTCCAGAAACCCTAAATCTCGACGCGTTTTTCGTTTTTTGGTAAATTACCACACGTCATGGTTCGGAATTGCGGCTTTTTTCGTCAATAATCTGCAATTATTCATTGATTACGCGAATGGATCAAGGTGAGAAATCGGCGCTCCAGGAAAAACCGGCGCCGAAGCGCGGGATTTTGGGGGTGATTTTCAGTCCTTTCAAGTGGTTGAGGAAGCTGAGCGATGAACTGCACTGGAGCTTCGTGTTGGGAGTAGTGATCGTGTACGGAATCAATCAGGGGCTGGCTTTAGGTCTGAGCAAAGTGAGCACGCAGTACTACATGAAAGATGAGCAGAAATTGCAGCCGTCGGAAGCTCAGGTGTTCCATGGAATGATCATGATGCCATGGATTGTGAAGCCTCTGTGGGGCCTTCTTACAGACGCTGTTCCAATCTCCGGACAGAGAAGGCGGCCTTATTTCATCCTCGCCGGTATGTAAAACGCACCTTCAAATTATCTTGTTCAGATTTGTTCATTTCTCGTTTCCGAACATTCATTGAAGGCTATGAAATGATTGCTTGATGAATTAGGCATGATGTTATTTTGTGGATGCAATTTACACAAGCACATTTGGGATCACATGAAGTGTTCGTATATGCATAATTTTCTTCAATTTTCATCATTAGGCTTGTTAATATAAGCAAGAACATAATGACTTGAAATGTGGTGATAACTGTTTACCTATATACTGGAACAAAGCCCCCAGGCTTAGTGGAACTTATGAATAAGATTAGTGTATTTGTTTGGGAGTTTGAATTCTGAGTTTGGGATTTAGATAATAAAACTTTGAATTGCAATTTAATGTAATCTAAATAGACGTTGATGTGATGATTCTTATGTAGAATTGATTTTTAGTAGAGAAAAAAAAAACACTAGGTGTTTGATTTTTTATTTCATGTTTTTGGAGGAATAGTAGAAATATTCCAAAATCCCTAAACAAATAAGCACTTAATGTTTGTTTCTTTGGGTCTGGATTTAGAAGATTTGGCTTGGGTTTTGTAATTTAATAATGTTCGACGTTATGTTTTATGAGAGTAAAAAATGCTTCTTTTTTTTTTCATCAGGAAAAAAATTTCCAAGCTTTAGTTTACTTATCTAGTTTTAAATACTGAAAAATATGTTTTCCTTAATAAGGGAGCTTCCATGTTGAGTCGAGCCCTAGAAATAGAAATTATGGTAGGACAGCTCGGACAGTTGCACAAATTGCTATTAACTGGGGAAGACTAACATAAATGTAAGTATTTCCAAGCTTGAGTTCACTTATACTTTACCTCGTTATAAATATAGCACCTCCCGGATTACGTTTTCTAGACAAACGTATAAAATTGGTGTCTTATTCTCGACTAATTAGAATTCAGCAACTATACTTGAGCATTCACCCCTTGCTTTCTTATTTTAATGTCAATGTTTATAGTTTGATGAAAAGTTTCTACACCCTCCTCGAACATTTAGAATATTATTCATTTGGTTGAGCAATTCTTTGGATGAAGTATCATCATGACTCATTCTTTTCGCCTTAACTATTGTACATCTGCACATGATACTTTGCTACAAGATATTATATTATTTTCTGGTTTTTCCTGCCCATGGTATCTCTAAACACACCTTCCTAACCTAAGCAACGCAAATTTTTTCTTAACCTAAGCAATGTCGAAATGACTTTTAAACTTACACTTTTGCTGACAGTAACATAATGATATGAGGTAATACAATTTTGGTGCTCTCATTATTTCAGGAATCATTGGCTCCGTATCCATGATTATTCTATCTCTGGAAAAGAACATACTCCTCGGATTCGCACTTCTACTTCTAATGTCTGGAAGCGCTGGTGCCGCCATAGCAGATGTGACTATCGATGCCTGTGTGACCGAGAACAGTATTGGCCATCCTTCTCTTGCCGGGGAGATGCAAAGCTTGTGCGGATTGTGCTCGTCTGTTGGCCAATTGATCGGATATGCAATCAGTGGCTTTCTTGTTCATTTAATTGGATCCAAGGTCAGCTTACTAACACATAACCATAACCACTTATACTTCTACAACCAATGTTAATTAAAATCTTCGCACAAGCTGCATTCTGCTGTCTAAATCTTTACACTATTGTTTTCCCGGCAGGGCGTGTTTGGAGTTCTAAGTATTCCAGCGGGACTGGTGATTTTGGTTGGAATAATAATACAGGATCCATTGATACGCAATGCTTCTTACAAGCGAGTAAGAGATCATTGACTACATATCTTTTTAGATATTTTACTCGAGCTCAGGCTTGCTAACCAGGAAATGCCATTTTTCAATAGATTAGTCAGAAATTTTTAGATGCTAGTCGCGATATGTGGATGGCTCTAAAATGCCCTGCAGTTTGGAGGCCGTGTTTGTACATGTACGTGTCGCTAGCCATGAGTCTCCACATTCATGAAGGCATGTTTTATTGGTACACCGATGCGAAAACTGGCCCCTCTTTTTCCCAGGTAATGAATCTTCTTCAAGTGTTATTTATATTTAGACGTAATTGCTTATAATCCACTCGTGATTTGAAGTTTAATACCATTCCCTCTGTAGTTTAGAAACTCTCTGGAATTCTGTGCAGTATCTTCTAAAACATAAATGGTGAATATAAGTAGATTATAAACAAATTGTTTTATATTGGAATTTTTGATATATTGAACTGATGTCTTTCCAAAAAGATGTAGTAGTAGACATGTATCAGTTATGTTTTATTTTCAATAACTTCATTTCTCAGGAAGCTGTCGGGTCTATATCAGCTGTAGGGGCAGTCGGGGCTCTCCTAGGGGTACTTCTCTATCAAAATGCTTTCCGGAACCACCCTTTTCGCCGAGTCCTTTTCTGGGCTCAATTGCTGTATGGTGCATCGGGAATGCTAGACTTAATACTCGTTTCTCGTTTAAACTTAATCTTCGGTGTGCCCGACTATTCTGTCGTCGTGTTAGATGCAGCTGTTTCTCACATGATCGGGCGCCTGAAATGGCTGCCCCTTCTTGTTCTGAGCTCTAAGCTGTGTCCCTCGGGTATCGAAGGCACATTCTTCGCCCTACTAATGTCGATCGATCATATAGGTTCGTTTTCGGCAGCGTGGGCCGGAGGGCTTCTGCTACACAGCCTAAATGTGACGAGAACCTCATTCGATAATCTTTGGATCGCTATTGTGATAAGGAGTGTTTTCCGGATTCTTCCGGTCGGGATTCTGTTTCTGATCCCGAGCAGCGACCCTAACACGGCTATACTTCCTCCAGAGATGCTGAGATCTAAGAAGGGTAATAACACGACAGAGGCTAATAATGTGGTCGAAATGGCGCCGCTCGTTGATATAATCAACGACGACTGATTGACCATGCAAGTTTTGCTCAACTTCGCTGGGATGTATGTTTCAGACAACCAAACAGAATCGAACATCGGTGAAGATCCCGCATAGATGGGTAAAAGTAAGCACTTATTTCTACCCGATCCTTACTGTTACCCGGGAAATGTAACATTCATTGATTACTTACTATCCCTTTGTATCAGCACATATTTGTAACAATATCGCATTTGTAATGCAGCAGTTGTCTAACCGAATCTAGTTCGACTTTTACTATGTATCAATAAGTTGTAACCGACCGGATTTATTCATGACAATGGTAGCTGTTTTAACCATTCCTTGAGTTATCCGAATCACTGAAATGTTATCTAAGGCTGAACTATATTGCATTTTTCCAATAAAACACAGAGATAGAATTGATTCATTTACTGCTCAAAACAATCAGGCCAATGATGGGGTAAAGAAGTCGAAATTAACATTCATTTGAATGTAAACAAAATACTACAAGAGATGAGTTAGAAAGAGGACACCTATTCCAAGGTCTTAAGGAGTCGGAATAATCCGGCTGCTTCTCTGATGCGGGAGAACTCGATGCAGAATGCTTGCACTTCGATGAATATATCATGGACTGCAAAAGGAACCATTTTGAAAAGCAAATCGATACTTATGAAGTGAAATCAAACAGTAACAATTTTTTTACTATTCCCAAATTCTTCAAAATTCCAAAACCCTTATTGATAGTTAAAATTAAAGCAACTACTACTCTAGTATTCGATATATTTAACATCATTAACAGATATTTGCGAATTTTGAGGGTTTAACTTTCTTTAAAATATAGCAAGGGTCCAATGCAACTGTTTGGCACTTTAATAAGTGTATCATATTCAGCTCCAAATTGCTTACCGTTAATTATTTTGTTACGGATCAAACTTTGTAGGAAAACACAAACCAATCTCACAAGTCTGTTCTGCATATACCTATCCTGTAAAGGGAAAAAAACATGTGATCGATTTAAGCAATCAAAGCATGGCAAGACTGAGTAGTAAATCATAGCTTGCCGAATTCGAGGAAAGGACAAAGGATGCGAACCTTGATGCCCTGGCAGGCACTAATGCAGTTCGAAATGTAAGTGTGTAAGAACTCGGTAGGAAGTTCAATAGTTGTTGTCAGCCTGTTTACAACTTCCATGGAATGAAGACTCATCTCCATATTTACAAGAACTGTAAAGTATCTGCATTAAACAAGGAACCTCCAAAATTAAAGCCAAGAATAGATCCAAATCGCTAAGTTGAATTCCGTCAGTAAAAATGTTTTAAAGAAAAAAAAGAGACTAAGAACATACTCGGATATTTCTGGCGAGTTCACCAACTTAATGAGAACTTCAACTGCAATCATGGGATTATTTTCCACTAATTCCTGGTCACATCCTCGATTATTAGAAAATGCCTCCAGGAATCACATATTCACTCTTTTAAGAATAAAATAAAAAGGGAAGTCACATACTGGGAGCTTTTTAGGTGTCAATCCACAATGATACACAAGCTTTGGGTCATTTGCTAACTCCACCAACACTTGCTGAAGGAAAAAAGTATGTCAACCAAAGAGTTAACAGTAGCAGTATACTTTGAAATTCAAATGAAGACAAGCTTTTACCCACACAATAACTTGACAGAATTACAGCTCTATAAGTCAACTGTCCTTAAAGTACTGTCGGCATTCGTACCACTTTTGAAAACATTCAAGTTATATTTGACAAACATGCAGTCGAAAATGTGTAGAAGACATGGGTACCTCTTGTTGCACTGGAACAAGTGGACCCTTCAAAGCTTTCGCAATTAAATCTCTAACGGCTGCTCCTCTGCTGGTATCGGCACACATACCATAGTCCCATATTAGTTCATGGTTTGTATCAGGGTTCAGCCATGATAGCTGATCAAAAAGCAGGAGTACATTAGCCAAAGAATCGTTGATGCATATATAATATCATTAATTTAGGTAACTGCTACTTTCTATTCATCAATTAATGGTCCCATGCTTGCACTTATTACCTCTCCCTCCATTACTGGGAGCCTTGGAGGGAATGGTCGAATCCATTGAGGACTTAGTCCCTCAAGCGAAAGACCAGATAACAGCCCAGCTAGAGTTTCATCCCTATTCCCCGATCCGAGTTTAGATATAACTCCAGGAGGTGCATCAAACCTGAAATATCATTCCCACTACAGTGTTCAGAGAATAATAGACAAATGAAACGAAATGTAACCTAATGAGTGCAGGCATGACGATTTACAGTAACACCACATGAAGTCACCAGAAAGAGTCATACTCAAGCGAATTACTATTACATCCACGCGGCACATCGGGATCAGGGATAACATTCTTCACTGCGTTGTCTTTAAACAAGCATTTAAAGGGTTCTGGATGGACAACTCCACAGTATTGTTGTTCCAAAATCTCACGTTGTGGAAAGGACTGGAAATTTCAGATATATGGAAAATGATTGATCCAGGGCAACAAGAAACCATGAATCAAAAAAACACACTTGGTTGAAAGCAATATTTATCTCCATCTATTTGGCTATGTGTATATCTTACATGTGATGAAGGGTCATAATTTTTCATGTAATCTGCTGCTGATTGCTTGAGAAACTGCACAAGGAAAGAAAAAAATAACACTCAGCTGTGGGAGCCATGAAAGGAAGTTCAGTCATGCTCAAAACAATATTAGCACTATAGTGATGACCACAAACATATCCCAAAATCAGGTTAGATCCAAAAACATATGAGTAGAAGATGAACAAAGCCATCGCGAATTATCAATTATATGGTGCTAACCCATATAACCTCAGAGGCTTTCAAGGTTTTGAGTTTGTCCTAGAACTTGTCTTTTCATCTCATGTATAAAATAGCTCTACTCATACTTCTACAACACACTCGATCAAAATATAGTGCCTTATTTAATAAGATTCACTCATAAATTGAGAAAATCTCAATCTTACAAAAATAGTTTATTCTAAAACAAATCCATGTCAATTTCCTGCAATAACTATAGATGGGAACAGGAACTGCCAACCAGTATAAAAAGAGCTAAATTTTCACAGTTCGATACACTATAAAGGGAAATAGTATTTAAACCTCTTTGCTATTTGGTGTGTTTGAAGAGGCTAACAATTGAAGAATAAATGCTCTCTCATACTTTTCAGCTTCTTCATCACATGCTGCCTGCAAATGGACAGAACTGTGAAGCAATGACACAAGTGATGCTACGAAATAGATCTCACAACTCAATCATAACTAATAAGAAGGTAAGTTGCAACTCAATCTCAAATGCATAAAGAATAAAACTTCATAATAAGCTGATTCCAATATATCTAGTATATAAATGATAATTGATGTTCTGTCATTTTCACAATAAGCACATTAGAATTATAGAATGCAACAGTAAAATGGAATATTAGTAAGCTCGAAGCTGTAAAAATAGCTACACAAGTCCAAAAGGTGGGAAGACATATACAAAATCGAACGATATATGAACATCAATCTATCATAGTTAGCATAGACAAATTGCATGAAATGACAAAATACACCTTCCTTGCATCAAGTAATTATTTACTTGCAAAACCTTACATCGATGAGCTTAGTAACAAAAGGATTTGAAGAAAGCTGCTGTGATGCATATGCCTGGTGAAGAACTGCAAAAGCTATCAACCGCTGATTCGGAATTAGAACTTTTTCCTGTAATTGATCCAAAAAATTCTAATGAAAACACCACACCAACCATCTCCATACTTCAGTTTGCTTTAAAAAACAATACACACAGACAGCACAATGTTTCTTCCTTGCTCATATGCACATGGAAATACAAAGATCACAGACAACAGAAATACATAGTGCATTGAAAACAGCTCATACACACAATTCAAAAATAAATCCACAAAATTTAAGCTCAATGATCCGAATTCACTCATCACTCAGTCACTGGCTTTGCTAAAATCGCGTTAAATTCTAGCTACCGAAGTAAAAAAATTCAAATTTGTGCGTGCGATTAAAGAAATTTCCCAGATTCAGCGATCGAAACCCCTAATGCCAATCGAAACCCTAAGAATTGTGTCGGCAACATAAAAAACTTAAAATTCCTGCAATCAAATCCCCAACCAGCTGAACTAAACTTCTTCCCCGAGAAACAAAGCGAAAAACCGAAACTGCAGCATCAAGAGAACGGAAAAAATGAAAAACCCTAGCCTTGCCTCTGATGTGAGATAATCGAGGGCAGAGCAGGCGTAGAAATGGAGACGGCGAGGAAAGTTGGAGTCGAAATCTGCGACGATCTCTTCGACGGTACGCTCCTCACCGGCCTTGAGGAGATTCATCAGCTTGCCGGAATCCTCAAACCCCAACATATTCACCGCCGCGGCTGAACGGAGGCTTCGAGACTGCAGTTCAAACAGTAAATTGGGAAGAGATATACGAATCAATTTAGAAAAATATTATTAATAATTAATAAATAAATATTTCGTGTGTGTGAGAGAGACTTTTGGGATTTTAGAAAATTAAAAATAATAAAATTAGTAAAAAGTATATATATATATTTAATAATATTTCAAAAAATTTATACCAGTTTAAAGTCTCCAAAAATATTACTCATAAACACATCCTTAAGTTATTTTAATACTAAATCAAAATCAATTTTTTTTTAAAAAAATTCACCTAAAAAGTTATTAAAACTTGTAGAAATATGTTTAATGTATATTTTTATTTAAAATATTATAATACTCTATGTCCCACTCCAAATGAATCTTTGAATTTAGTAATAAATAAAGAAAAATAATACTCCTTCCGTTCCAATACAATAGTTTTGTTTGTCATTTTGGTTCGTCCTAAAACAACAGTCTCATCTCCATAAATAATCGTATCACCGTAAAACTATCTAAATTTTTTCATTATTATTACACAATTGTCACTACTTTTTACATTAATATACTCACAAAGGTAAAAAAAAAAAAAGTCATTTATCGTTACTTTTTATCAACAATCAATATAAATATTCCTTAAATCTCGCGTCCAATACAATAAGACTATACTTTTGGGACGGAGGGAGTAGTATTTTAAAGTAATTGTATGTGTAATAGTATATTTATAATTTAAGTAAAAGATAATATTTCATTCGTAAGTTGTCTTGTTTTTTCATTTTCGTCTGTCCTAAAATAACTGTTTCGTTTCCTTATTTAGTACATGTGATCCTCACTTTATAACAAAATTATTTCTGCTTTTTCAAACTATCCCGTACTCTTTAAAATCTTTAAAAATAAGTGCATTTTAGTCATTTATATTCTGCTTATACTGCTTTCTTTTCATTTTTTTTTTTAAAAAATAATAATTTGAACTCTTTTTAAGTGTACTATTACCCGGTTGAACAATATTTATTTTTTCATTACAACAAGTACCAATGTATTGACAAGACCTATTCCTAGTCAAAACAAATAATATATACATACAACTGCGCTATCTGTTTACCAATTTTTAGTCATACTTTTTTGTTCCAAAAAATTCCCGGAAACCGCCGCCGCTAGCGTCGCTTTAAAACCGGGATCTTTGGCTAAGGCCGTAGCCATATGTTCCACGAAATACTTTTGCAATTCCGGCATGTCCATTTTCCACGTGGAACCTCTTCTTTCTTCTTTGCGACTTGCCTTTGGGTTTGGCTTAGGCTTATTGACTGTTGTTTTTGGTCGGGATGAACTTACAAAATTCGAGCAAGAAACAACCCTTGGCGTCGAGCTCTGGGTGGATTTGTTTCCGGTTTCGGAGTTTGCAGGCGAAGGATGGTTGTGTTCCCCTTCATATGTCGCAATCACAATTGATTTATCTTCTATACTTCTTTGAACCTTTGAAAAAATAAATAAATAAATAAAATTCTTAAGTCCGTAGTTCTTACTTATTTTTATGTAGAAACAATTCGACAGATATACATTTAAAATAATTTATCAAATTTCGTGTATGATTCAATAGGTTTCTAGTGCGACTCTGCGAGATTTTTATTTAAAAACTTATACTCTGTTCATACAACAATACTTTTGAACTTAGACATTATCTAATGCTTAAGAAACATCGTGTGTGTGTGTGTGTATATATGTTCTCTTATAAAACATCACAACAATTACTAATTTGTTTTTTCTATTTTTAAATTTTAAAAACTTCAAAAGTTTTTAACTAAACAAAAACGTAAGAATATAATCATACCTACTTACAATTCAAATAATCATATAAATATATATATATATATATTTTTTAAATAATAATAAATATTCAAATCAAAATAACTTAAAACACCCAAGTTAGATCAAACAACATCAATTAATCGAAGATTATTCATAATGTTCAACATATTTTTCTTATGTATGTTTTTCAACAATACAATTCTAAAACAAATTCAATACATAATCATCTCTTTAATTATAATTAAGGGACGAGATTCTAACCTTCTTCTTGACCGGACAACTCGGAGCAAACAAACACTTGAAGTAGGCTCTCGGATATGGATTGTCCCGTGTGACCTTTTGTCCGTATTTCCTCCATTGATATCCATCTTTAATCACCTTCGATTTACAATAACATGAATCAATACTTAAAGTTTATTTCAAATTTTTTTTAATGCAATTATCATAATTTTTTAATAAGAAAATAATTTTTTTTTCTTATAAAACATCACATCTATACTATTATTCTGATAAAAAAATTCATCAAACTCCCTAACTCACATAGTTCGTATCGGATGCCTCAATTCTAACAGAAACACTAGCAATCTTTGTCGCTTTAATGTAGTCCCCTCTCAATTTCTTGGGCGGATCTTCGTCGATGGAGCTACAATCGGAAGGGCCATTTTTGGGGCCCTTGGCATTAGTGACGTGCTCGGCTTTTCGCTTGCAGTTGGGCGACGCAACGGCGCCATTCTTGGTGGGGTGGTGGACGAGCAAATTTCGTAGATGAGTGTAGCTTTCACACATGTTTGTTATGAGATAAGTGAGGTACTTGTTCTCATCGTTAACTCTCTTTAGTTTCTCGATTAAAACTTCTCTCTAAAATCAAACAACAATTATACGTTATAATTCGAAGAACATCGATTATTAAGTTGATTTTATTCTTTTTTTTTTTTTTTTGATGTTTCATCGTTTTTAATAATTTATAATTTTATCGTTTTTATAAAATGCTACTAATTTTTCGTAAAAAAATATTATATTCAATCATTATCTTCCTGAATCAAACATAGTACATGCCATATATACCAAGAAAGTATCAATATGTTTTATTTAACATAATACAAAATGTCCATAGTACATGTGTTCTCTATCATAAAATATCGTATAGAAATTTAACTATTTAAATAATTTTTTTTTTAAAAAAAAGAATAAATTAACCTACTAAACATAATTTAAAACCAAAAAAAAAATGGTTTGCAGCAGCTCACCTGATGTTGTTCTTTTGTGTGAGTTGAATCCTTTGGCAAGTCGTCTTGTTGCTGTTTGTTCTCTTGGAGGAATTTGTTGTTGAGATTTAAGCTTAAAATTGAATTAGTAGCATCGTCGACTTCCCGTACTAGATTAGTATTGATTTCCATTAATGCAAGAAATCAAAGTAGCGACTATAGATTCTTACGTTATAATAAATAAATTTAGAAAAAAAAAAAAAAAAAGAGAGAAGAAGAAAGAAGACGATCTCCTCTCCTAATCTTGTAGTAATAAATAATAATTCGAGTAAAAACAATTAGGATAATTCATAATAATGGTAAGGGATAAATAAAGTGAAGTGAAGTGGAGTACGAGGAAGAAGGAAGAAGGGCATATATATATATATATATATCGACAAATAATTAATATTAACATTAAATGAATGTGGAATAACTAAGTCGACCCGACTGCTCATTTGAAATTTTGCCACAATTACTATTGCTTTCTTTTCTTTTTTTTTTCTTTTTTTTTTTTTTAAGTATATTTTGGATCCTCTATCGATATGTTTTGACTGCTTATGAGACAAGATTTTTAATTAATATATAAATAAATTAATAAAGTAAAATTTTATTTTTTATTTTTGATAAATTGAGCATCAGTAACATATTTGTAAATAAAATTATTATCGAAAAATATAAATTAAGAAATATCCAAAATTATTTATTATAAATAAAAATTGCATTTTTTTGTGCACAATTAGAGGGTCAAGGGAATATTATTTTTTTTTATAAAAACATATTATTATTATTATTATAACACTTAAAAGACAAAATCAATCTAAAAAGAATAAATTCTCAATTGACGAAGAATAGAAACAAATAAAGAAGAAAGTCAAACGACTACGGTTCCACATTATTAAAAAAAATAATAATAATAAATAAATAAAAATCAGTGCATAAAATAAATTAGAGAGACGTGTCAAACTTATCTCAATTAATTTCATTTCATAAATTTCAATCACAGTATAGAATAGACATGCGGGTTTGTTTCTTATGAATTACTCCCTATTTTTGTATTTTTTTTTTTATAATTTAATATATATTTATTTCACTGAATATTACATTAAATATTATTTAAATTATAAAATTCAAATCTAATTATTAATATATATATATATATTTCAATTTATTGTTACAATCCAGTTATTTTAATTTTCAATCAATCATTGCATGATAATGCTACAAAGAGAACATTAGTGAAAAATTCATGACTCTTTAGATAGGAATTTTTGGAAAATTTGAAGTTCCATGTTTAAAAACTTATAAATATTTAATGTGATATAATAATGAGAAATATATTTTAATTTATTATTTAATATGATATATTTTAAAATAATAATAAAGAGTAAAAAACTTCCTTCACTCTCTTTATATAAGTTTATACTCTCTATGTAAATTTGTGTCAATTTTATTTTTTTATTTTTTTTGTCACTTAAAAACAAAAAATTGTTTCATTTTTTTTTTGTAAATTAAATATTATTTTTTATCATTAAAAAAAAACAATAAAAAAAACGTACTCAAAAGTTTGAAGTCTGAACATATTTTTTTGGTTTTGTTTAAATCTTGTTTGAAATTTCGATAGTATTAAGATATATAAATAAATTAAAATGTTAACGTTATATAAATAAGTGTCCGTATTATGATTAAGTGGAGAAGCTGATGCAATGCATGACATCATCTATAACATTATTTGTTCACACTCGTTTTAATATAATATTTATAAATTATTAATATATTTTTGTTAGAAAAATAATAAGAGTTGAATAATAATAAATAAATAAATAACAAAAAAGAAAAAGCACATCGAACGGTCGAGATTTCATCTCAAAGAAAATGGGCCAGGTTGGGTTATTGGATTTGGGCTACCTTCACAACTTGGGCCAGATCAGAACATATTGGGCCTCAATCAACATCACTGGTCAAAAACCACAATTATTATTATTATTATTATTATTATTATTATTATTATTATTATTATTTTAAAATATTAAAATTAAAAACATACAAAATAAAAATACATAATGCTTGTATCAAAACGTGTAAGCTCTGAACCACTCACTTCACTTTGGTCAACATTCGGAATATATACATATATATATATATATTTACATTAAAATATTAAAAAATAAATTATTTCTATTCAAAAAAATACCCTTTTTTTTAATTTTTATATAAAATCAAAATAAAATAATTTCAATTGATTCAAACATCCTATAAAACAATTGTTACACATATAAACTTGTCGTAATTCTTTGATTTCGATGTTCCACAAGAATAAATTAGAATACTATTTGGGCATCTTATTATTTGTCAAATTCCTATGTTTCAATCTCAAAAGTATCGAATAATTATTAGATTAGATTTATATATACGCAAATTATATGAATCGGGTGTATTTGTTTGTAGATTTGAATTTTGGTATACGATTTAAATAGTAAAAATTATAAATTGATTTTGAGTATGATATAAAAAATAAAAAATTAATATTTTTTATGAAAAAATTTATTAGATAATAAAAATTTTCAAAAAACACACTCGATCGTGTCTTAATTTAATAAATGAGTTTTTATTTTGAATACCATTACATTATTATAATAGTCAAACTTATATCAACAACTTATTATTCTATTATCTTTCAAGTTTTTTCTTTTTTTTTTTTTACTATATGATCTTATAAATTTCAATCAATTATACTATTTGTAAGCACTCTCATATTTATTATTAATATTATAATAATAATAATAATTATTATTATTATTATTATGCATGGTTGAGAATTTTACAGAGGAAGATTACCATTGTATTTATCAAACAGAGAAATGACGGCGCCGGCGAGGATTCAGCTGCCGCCGTTTATGATCACCGGAGGGAATCGAACTCATTGAAACGACGTCGTAGAGATCGTCGAATTCGATCAAATTATTGTTCCTGATGTAAGTTTTTACATATATGCAATAATTCGAATGTATATAAATATATTTGTTCGAGATTGTAATAACCTCGTCATTAATTAAATCTCGTCTGTTCATTAATGATCCGCATATGTTTAATTTATTACATTGCCAATCCGTCTCTCGTCGACAGTTCAGACCGATCTCCAGTCCGAAGCGCAGTACAAATTCGGAGTGAGTTGTGTAAAATAATCAAATTTTGTTTGAGCTCGGCTCGTTCTTTTTAAAAAATCTCAATGATCTTCATTCTTGCAGCTTCTTTGGATCATATTGTTAGCTTCTTGTGCTGCTCTTATAATCCAATCCCTCGCCGCGAATCTCGGAGCCGTCACCGGTAATTTAGGGCGTGTTTGTCTAGTGTTTTAATTTGTGATACTTTTCTTGATATAATGTGAAATATAAAAAATTGTATCGTTAATATAAATATATGATTTTGAATGATGAGTTTTTGTGAGAGAAAATTGGTTGGATAAATAAATAAATCTTTAATTCACTCGATAAAATTCTATAAAAGAGCCAAGTTAAAGATGATGTATAATATCTCGATCTAACATGTTCGATTATGTCTATGTTCGTAGGAAAGCATTTAGCCGAGCATTGTCGCGAGGAGTACCCTAAGGTCCCGAACTTCATCCTATGCGTAGTTGCTGAGCTAGCTATAGTCGCTTGCGACATTCCGGAAGGTAGGTACCTATAGTATAAACGCCTTTTCTGCAATCTTCTAGAATGTTCTAGAAAGTTCAACCCGAGCTTTGTTTCAGTTATCGGGAAGCTTTGCGAGGACTATTCATTCCACAATTCGACGGAAGTGGCGCTAGTAAGTTGGCTATTTCGCTCCTCGGTTATGCAGTAAGTTCTATTGAATGCATTTTCGGTGAAAAAAGAAAACAAAAAAGCGGTCGAGCAAATGGGACAACATGGTATTGTTAATACGTTATGATGTATTGTAGGCACAACCTTTTCCTTCACTCCGCATTGGTGCTTTCGAGGAAAACTCTGCGATCCATCAACGGTATCAAAGTAATGTCTCCTATCGAGTCGAGGCTCAATTGCTCGAAAGGGTGATGTTCGATTGGTATTGTCGATGGATTGCACGTAACGTTCCCGTCTTCTTTCATGTCGATTCTATTTGATCGAGAGTGGTTTCGCCTTAATGATCGCCTTTCTAATCAACGTGTGCGTTATCTCCGTTACCGGCGCTGTCTGCAATTCGTCGAGTTTAACCTCCGGAGTTGCGAAAACTCGGACTTAAACGAAGCTTCGTTCTTACTAAAAGTATTTCAAACTATTCGAAAACATGTAATCGCGCCATTTTTTTCTAGGTCGTTCGGTGAGAATTTATACGGCTTTGTCGATGGCAGAACGTGCTAGGCAACTGGAGTTCGAAGCTTTTTGCGATCGCCTTGCTGGCGTCGGGACAGAGTTCTACGATCACCGGAACGTATGCTGGCCAATACGTTATGCAAGTGACATTCGCCGACTATCTAAATTAAAAACTCGTTACTTTCATACGAAGTAAAAACTCGACTCAACTTGATTATCCGTCGACATGCATCGTATCCGATTAGGGATTCTTGGATTTACGGATGAAGCCATGGATTAGGAACTTTTAAACTCATTTCCTGGCAATAGTTCCTAGCTTAATCCTCGCCATTATTGGTGGACCATCGGGAGCCGGAAACTTGATCATCGTTGCTTCGGTAAAACACTCGATCCTCTCATTTCGCATCAAATACATTTGTTGCGCCTATCTATCATTCGATTTAAAGTTTCTTTGATGCAGATGATCTCGTCATTTGAACTTCCTTATGCACTAATCCCGCTTCTCAAGTATCGAATTTAAATTTTATTACATAATTTATGTTATCGTCAGCTCAAATTATACTCAGAATCTCAACATATAATTTATATTAAAAACGCATGTACCTAATATACGTTGCGGGCAGGTTGCAGCCGCAACATGGATCATCGGGTGTCTACTAATGGGAATAAACAGCTATTACCTTGTGGAGAGATTGGCCTCTTCCCTCCGGGGAAGCGACATGAACACGGCGGGCACCGTGTTCTTTGGCCTGCTCGGCTTCTCGGGCATGCTCATTTATCTCATAAGCATCGCTTACCTTGTCGTCCGGAGGAACGAGGAGGGCACAGGGACGGCCTCGGAGAACCTGCCTATAGAAAACAGAGTAAGCTAAAGAAAAAGGGCTAATAATAAGCCATCTTAGTCATTTATCAGCAACAATGGTAACACAAATTAATTATCAATGAGCAGTCTTTGGAGTGAACACACAAATGATTGGCACAAACACATAATGATATATATGTATATAAATATGTATCTATTGGAGGGTATGTAGATAGGGTTATAGAAATGGGGGTTTGGTAGCTTCACTGATGGTGATGGAAGCAAAGAAGACAGACCAATAGAGACAGAGGTTAAGAGGGTGGGTGTTGATTGTGATCGGGGATTGGGATGTGGCCATGTTCCTCGAGGCTTTTGACAGTGTCGTATAAACACAGCTTGACAGGTGTGAATTCCAGGCCAAGATCTCGGAGCTTTTGGTTGGAGAATTTGTATGGTTTCTTTCTTGGGTTCTTCTCATCAGAGCACCTGAAACAAAACAAAACAAAAGTCCAAAGTTTGTTCAACAACACCAATTCAACAATATGTATCATTTGCAGTAAGTAAAATTGACCACCATTAGTCCAAGAGTAGACTTACGTGTTGAAAATGATGCCAAAGCCACCTAAAATTGCAATAATGATATATATATATATACACATAAATATTTTCCACACAAATTTTCTACTTGCAGTTAACACACTGTTACATCAAACTTGCGTCACATTTCTTATATTCCCAAACGATAAAAATGCATTAATTAAGCATCATTTCCTATAATATTTTTATTAATTCTCCTAATTCACAGTAAAAAAATTTTAAAACTATATTGGAGGCTCTGTGACTATTTTTTCCTAACAATTCGAACTATGTGAGACGATCATTTTTCATTCGATATAATATTAGAGTCTGACTAGATCTCGAGTTCGAATTCCGCCGCCCCTTTGCAGCATATTCATGTGCAAATCGTATACCTCCACATCTGAGGGGCATAGTAGGGACTCAAAGATTCCAATTTTTAGATGAAACGACATTCTACATCCCACAAACTATAAATACTGCATTCAGATATAAATCATAGAGTAGAAGTAAATGAAAACAAACATAAAAACCATGGATCACCAAGTTTAGGGCAAAATGAACAGAGCTGCACAAATTTGATAAAAATAATAATAATAAAAAAAATGCATGATAATTATTGCAATAGAGACTTTCTAGTCGCCCATGAAAGCGACTGCATGTTTTTTATGGACCACATTTATTGCGTCCCTACAAGGAAATTGGTGCTACGCAATCTCTCTCTCTCTCTCTCTCTCTCTCTCTATATATATATATATATATATATCTAGCATGAAAGAAGACTAGAGGAGGAGTATTGAGTGCGTCTCCCACTTGCAATATTAATTAATTAATGGGAAAAAAAAAAAAAACAGAAAACTTTATACAAAGTATGGAAGGATAAATAAGAGAAAGTGGATTATGCGACACGTATGCATAAAAAAGAAATGCTGGTGAGACATTTGTGGGGAGATCAGAAGAGGAGAAATCGATGGGAATGTGTGACCAAATGGACTTAAATGGAAGGGGTTTGGTAATGAAAATGACAGAATGCCGGGTGTGGGTCACGACTCTTTTTAATTTTTAATATACTACAAGATTAAAGTTAAACATGTATACTTGAAAAACAGTATAATATGTAATTAATAATGTATTTTTCTCTAGATTTAAGGTTTTAGGTAAGATTCTGAGTAAAATATACGCTTCTGCTCAGAAAATTTTCCACGTAATGCTGCTTTATGTAAAGTTTCAATATAAATTCAATATAAATTTTCTTTACTAAGTAATTTCAGGACTAAGACTATCAATACGAATATGTAAAGTAATTGACCAAATCAACTACTGCTTTATTTATTTATTTTTTCATTTTTTGATGACGTGGGTAAATTTTCGGTCGAATTTAATACTCTGTAAACCATGTGTAGCAGGTGATATGAGGCGTTGAGATTTGAATCCAATCCTTACACCGGTAGGCTATCCCAAACTTTAGTAGAGCAAAATTGAGTTCTTGAGTATAATGCACTATTTGAACTCTAGCACATGTATTTTAATTTTAACCTAACTTTTAGGATTAGAAACAGAATTGTATAGCACGAGGACGAGCTCAAATATACAGTAAAAGTTCGACTCGGTTCTTTTAGGATTCGAACTAACATGATGATTCGCGTTTAATGTATAAATCAAATATATTTACTTTTATTCATAATTTATTTAGAAAACTATTTTTAAGCTGAGCGCAAACTCGTTTAAAAAATAATAATTTTTTAATTCAAACATGACTTGTTTATTTCTATAAATGAACTGTTAACTAGTGGGATCAAATTAGGCTTGCGAGCTACCATGTTCATTTAATATCTCTAGGTGCAAATATATGATTTAAGAATTTTCAAAATATGAGAGAAACTTAAACTACCACATTTTATCTACTAGCAAATGCATATACGATAAATTTAGAGGAGTTTGTCGACTTACTTGGTAGGGATGGGATATTCCGGGAACAACTTGGCAAGAATCTCCACCACCTCGCCGCGGTGGAGCACGCTCTCGGCGCAGAGGTACCGTCCCGATGCAGCTGGCGTTTCGTATAGGATTATGTGAGCCAATGCGACATCCTTGACATGAACATAGGCTTGGACAGAGTTGGCATAAGTCTTGGCAGAGCCGGTCAGGTACTTGAGTATATGAAGAACGCTAGCATTCACGGTGCGTTGCAGCAATGGCCCGAGAACGAGCACCGGGTTGATCGCCACCATGTCCACTCCTAATTCCTTGGCGCAATCCCACGCCGCTTGCTCAGCCACCGCCTTCCCGTAGCAATACCAATTCTACAAATTAGAACGTTAAAACGATCATCCCACTTAAAAAATTAAAATTATATGAATATGCATTATTAATTTACATATTATCCATCTAGGCAAATATATCAAAATCAACAAAATAATACCATTAGTTAGGACAAAGGGAGTATATGTCAAGCAGCACAAGGCACATTGAGGAAATATCCACTTAATTAGGTTAACATAAACATGTGTTATACAATGTTTGAAAAGTAAAATTAATATTTAATATATTGATGTTGATTTGAAATTTTTGGAAATTTTTTTTAAGTAAATAGTAAAAAAAGAAAAAGTAAATACTTTAAGAAATAAAACTACCTTAGTATTTTTGCAGAACTCAAGGTCACTCCAGCAAGTTTCATCCACAACTTTATCAGGGTCTCTATTTGGATCCATGTACACTGCACCAATGGAGGAGGTTAACACCACACGGCGGACTTTGGCCTCAGCGGCGGCGGTTATCACGTTTTTGGCGCCATTCACCGCCGGCTCCACCATTTGCTCCTATGTGTCGTCACCGGACACGTAGAACAGTCACACAAGATAAGCATAAAATTAGGTGAGGTAGACAGGAAATTATTGATTGATCACACTGTTAATTTTTGTTATAAAAAATAAGAGTTAGGTATGTGACGTGGGCATCCCATCATCCCATCAGCATCAAGAACAAGGCTACAAATCTACCAAATATATTTCGAGCATTTAGTACTTAGGGTTAAATCGTTCTATGATTAATGTGCGGTTAACACTGTTCAACCTAAACAGGACGTATTTGTTACTGTTAGAATAATGTTAAAAGCAATCTAATCAAGGCTGTAAATACTTCAGATCAAAAAAAAAAACTAAATACACCACAAATTAGGGGTGGATTTGATTTTCACTTGATAATGTATGTAAAAAATAAATGTATGCAAATAGTTTTGAGGAATTTAAAGAAATACGACGAATTTCAAGTCATCTTCAAAATCCGACACGTCATTTCCCACTTTCAAGGTGCATCATAGATGTAGACTAAATCTTGACCGTCTAATGCCAGCACGCTAGCCCCTACCTACTGGTTGGTTGGTAGATTTTGCAGAGGTATTGTTCGGTAATCAGTGCAAGGTGAAAATAAAAATGACTTTTATACGGTTAAAGAATATTCCAAAAGTTAAAGAGAATTTGGAGAGTTTGTAAAACTATATAATGTATTTGTACAAGGAGAATGTTTCCGAAATTTGCATATTAATAGTGAAAACACAAACTATTGAAATAGTATAGGAAAAGGACTTGAATGAATTAGGTAGTGAATTATGGTGACCATTATGCGCCGCAGGAACTCCACCTGGGAAACAGTCGCAAATAATTTCCCCAGTTCTAAGCTACTTCACCAAATCCACGCTGAAAGTTCACTAAATTTGATTACCAATTCAAACACATTCGTACAGATACTGAAATATACACACAAATACGTATATACGAACTTACTGGATCGTCGGTGACAGGCGAGGCCGTGTGGAAAACGCCGTCGCAACCACTAATAGCTGCACGCAAGCTCTCGTAGTCGCTAAGTTCAGCCTTGCACAGAATCAGCCTTTCATCCGCTCCTTCAAGTCCTCTTAAATGCGAATTCTTCGGATCCTCTACAAAATCGAAACAATCAACCAGATCACATATTGCACCAACATGTCGCTGCAAAAATCGACAAATTCTCACCACTAATTCATTAATTAATTACCTGGATTTCTGACGGTTCCTCTGACCGTGTAGCCTCTTTCAAGCAGAAGTTTCACCAACCACGACGCGATGAATCCTCCAGCGCCGGTGACACAGACGACTTTTCCGGTAACCGCCGGCATCGTTTGCACCTATACAATGAGTACTCCACAGAGAAAATCGAGAGTGATCCACTGAAGGAATTTACGAGTAAAGGAAGCTCTTGCCGCTGCGCAGTATTTATAATGCGGAAAATCAATTGTAACCACTTCACCAACCACGCCCTTTTTTCCCACTAAAAAAAGTAATTTTATTATTTTAAATCAGAATTGGAATTTTTTTTTTTTTTTTAAGAAATATATTCATTTTTTATATTTGAAATTTAAATGCAAATGTTTATTTTTATTGGTGGGGTTGTTGGATATTACTGTAATTTTATTTTTTGCCGTGTTTTTCATTTAATGTTGCGAACCAAAATCACGTTGTAGTAATTATATTACTTACATTTCTATGGGAACGATTTAATTATTTTTTTCTTATTTACAATGAAGATTTTTTTTTTTTTAATATTAAAGGATTTTAATAGCATATAATCAAAATAAATTCTTTCATAAGGTAATAGCATTTTGGTAATTGAAATTTACTATTCCCTTGTCCTTATCCACCAAATTTAATTACTTTACTTTTTTCTTCAACCATATTTACACTATTACTAATTTTTGTAGTTAAAAAATAATTCAATATTTTATTTTTTTTTAATATAATTAAATTTGCTAGTTAACTAGTTTTCTTTCATCTCTAATTTACTTTGTTAGAAAATCGTAGAGATAATATGAAAATAACATTGTCCCATGTAACGCTTAATTTTCTTAAAATTCTCAATTCCTAAATTATTTTTTTTTATTAGTCTCTATTCATATAATGTTTTCATTTAGCTCTCTATTTATTCCACATCACTCCCTCCCTGCTTGTAATTATTACACATTTTTACCCATTTTACCATCTAAATATTTTTTTTATTTATATTTTTATCCACCCAATATAATCCAAAACCCTTAGGTAAATAATATTTAATTATATTATTTGTTTATCTATAAAATAAATCTATTTATTTTATATAAATAAATTTTTGTTAGAATCTATTTACTTATAGCTCAATAATTTTTGCAGGATTTTTACAATACATTAGTTTTTATAATAAAAAATTATTTTTTCAAATAAAAATTTATTATTTTCAGCTTGTTTATTATATTACTCATACTTATATTTAATTGAAATCAATATTTTATTATGAGTACTTTTGTATTATATTTTATTATTATTATTATTTCTTGTCAATTTTTTTTTTTTTGGTAATCTTTTATTTTATATTTAAATTAATAAAAAGTATAAATAAATTATAAAAATTACAGTGTAGTTGAAAAAAGAGAAGAAAAATGATTAAAAAAAAAATTAAACGAGGGTACTTTAGGGTTTGTACATAAATAGGGAGTGAAAATGAATAAATTTGTAAAAATAGGAAATAAGGAAGATAAAATTAATGTTTATGGAGTAAATAAGAATATGAATATAGAATTAGAGAGATACGTGGAAGTTGTCCATTATGTAATATATATATATATATCTTAGAAAACGTATTTTTTGAAAATTATTAAAAAAAAAAAAAAACACCCAAAAATTATATAAATACCCTTTATTATCTTTTGCATTATTCTCATTTTTCAATAAAATATTGATTTTGCTTAATTTCCCAACCAAATCCAATAGAAAATTTTACCGATGGAATGAATGTTTAATAAATTTGTTAGTTCTACTTTAAGTATATTTTTCAGGTGATATATTTTTCATATGTTTTAAACTATAAATTTTCCCATCTAAATTGATTTTATAAACTATATTTAGAAGGAATTTAAAAAAAAAAAAAAAAAAAACTGTAAAATTCTTTAGATATTAAATTCATGCCTCAAAAATATAAAGGAAATAATAAGTAATAATTTTTTTTTTATTTCTTTGAATGAATATTACATGGAAATAATAATGTATAAATTTCATCAATACTATACTTATTTTATACTCCCTCCATTCCGCGAAAGATGATTCATTTTGTTAGGGACACGGTATTTTAGGTAGTGTAAGTTATTAAGTTTTGATAATATTTTATTATTTTTTATATGTATAGTGTTGTTTGTATTTTAAATATTTTTAGAATTATATCTCAATAAAATATATGCAATATAGATATCATTTTGTAGACAATAAAATTTTATATAATACAAATGAATAAAAATATTTATTTATTATTACCATAAATTAGTTTTATAAAAAATGAAGAGTTTTAAAGGTAGATAAAAATATTTGTTAATTGAAGAGAATGATATAAATAAAAGGGTTTTAAGTGGATCTACGCGTAAGATTGTGAAACGTACCAAAAAAAAAAAAAATAGAGTCATCTGTGACGGGACGGAAAGGGTATTTGTATGTGACACCATATATCCAAACGAAAAATGATATGTTGGTCGCATGAATTATTACCATATATTGTCGATATATTTGTATTATATTAATATTTATATTTTATAAATTATCAGTGCATAGCTTCATATATTAGGCTACTGTTAATCAATAGAATATTTATTATTGCTAATTAGCAACATGTCGTCACTTAAATAATCAATATGATAAAATAAAAATAAAAATAAAAATAAAAATAAAAATTGTAGCAGACCAAAAAATTCTTTGATTTTCCGTTAATTGATCCTTGCAGCCAAAATTAAAATACTTATCTGGATAACATTACAATATTAACTATAAACTTTTAAAGTTAGGATTCTATATCTTTATGTATTAAGCGCGTTTTTCATATATATATTAATTTTTTAAAAAAATAAATTATCAAATCAATATTTTTTTTCAAATAGTAAAAAATAAAAATTCACATAAATAAAAAAAAATGTATAAATGCTCCTACAGTTTTAAATCTTTGTTTTATTTAACTCTATTTATTTTTATATTTTTATACTATATCATATTTTTTTTTACACAATAATATATATAATAAATTTTTATGAAAAAATAAATTTAAAACAAATTATTTTGATACAAATTTAAGTATTATTTTATCTAAATGGAGAAAAAAACACGTGATATTAAGAGGATAGGAACTCTGGTAATGTTGTAAAGAATTTTGAAGAGTGTATTATTCTCTTTAAGGCTAATATACATTGGAAAAAATTTGAACTTTATTACATTAGGTGTTTTTGTTTGTTGTTTTGAGTTTTAAATTAAGATTTTTAATAATACGAATTTATTTTAATAATTATTTAACATGAGATATTTTAATTACAAAATTAATATCCAATATAAGTTTGCTTAGACACAAATATTAATAAATAATAATATTTTAATATTAAAAGAATAGTGAAAAAATAAGTATTAAGTAAAATTTATTGAAAAAAAAATAATTAAAAAAAAATTGAGTGCAAGTTGTTTACTATAAATATGTTATATATGAGTTAAGAGGACCATAGAAAAAAACAACAAAAAAAAAAAAAGTGATATATTTTTAATAGACAAAAAAACTGAAAAATAAAATTTTAATTTGATATTTTTAAAAATAAAAAAGAAATGTATAGTAACACGATATATTTGAAAAAAACCCCACCAAATACGTCCATACTTTTTCAAACTTTATAAAAATATATGTATACGTAAAGTATGTCACAAAATATAGTAATATAATTTTTAATTTTTTAGAAAACATATTATATATATATATATTATTATATGCAATCCAACCCCCTAGGTACCTAACCTCAAATTTATTTTTGCATATATTTTTTTAAAATGCTCCAAAACACTAAATTATAGGAGTATTTGTAAACACACGGTTTGTTCTTTTTGTATGGATATATTTTTATTTTTATTTAAGAAATAAAAAAATTGTATTGATAATATAAAAATAATATTTTATATTGAATAATTAATTTTTTAATGAGTAAAATATATATATTTCTTTTGTTCTATAACAAAGTATCCATTTTTTTATTTTATTCTATCCCATAATAAAGTATTCATTTTTCATTTTTTTTTAGTAATTGTACTATCTACCTAACATTACAAATACTCTTACAATTTACAATATATTACACAAATGTCATTACCTTTATATTACACGTACTAAAAAAATTATTTAATCATTTCTACTTTATTCATATTGTATTCTAATATAATATTAATATTTTTAAAATTACATGAAAAAAATAAATAAATATTTACTTATGAAGTATTATATTATAATACATATTTTTTAATATTATTTATAAAAAATGTTATCTATAAAAACACTGTGTGTAAACATATTAATTTAGTCTGTGTCTTTAACTTTTTTGAACTTTTTTATGGAAAGGGGATACCTTCATCTTAATTATAAGAAATATAAATCATTTATGTTTTTTATATTTTATTTTTACCTATATATATATTATTTATTAAAAAAGATCTTATTTATGGTATAAAGTATATTATAATTTATATATTATAATAATTTTTATTTTTTTGTTTAGAGTTTGGGTTTTAGATTTGAATTTTGATTTTTGAATACTAAAAATTTAAATTTAATAATTGTATGATATGATGTAAATAGATGTTGATATGATATAAGGAATTAATAATTTTGAATACTAATTGAAATTCATAATTGTGATATAAGAATTCCTTATATTTTGAATGTAAAATTAATTTTTCGTATAATATTAAAAAATAAGTATTTGATTTAATATTTTTAGAGAAAAAAATAATCCACTCGATTAAAGAAAAGTATTCTTTTTAATATTTTCATCTTCGTCCGTCTAACTAAAAAATATTAATTTTTATTATAATAAAATTAATCACATACGAATATCAAAATACTCTTTAATATTTACGTAAATTATAAATATATCATTACATATATTAATTTATAGTTTTATACATAAAATATAAATGACAAAAATACCAAAATCATCCTACATACTATAATAAAATACTCTTTCCGTCATTCAAATTTATGCTCATTTTTTTTTTTTTTTGTCATCGAAAACTATTTGCGTTTCCCTTTTAAGTAAAAAATTATTATATTTTTGTATTTTTTTACTATAAAAAGAAAAAAAAGTAACAATTATTAGTCACTTTTATTAACTCTCGTGTTCGGTTAAATGAACACAGAATTATATGACGGAGGGAGTAATAAATATTTAAAAAAAAAAAAAGCCTTGGAACCATATTTCTCATTATTGATTTATTTTGTTTTTTAAAATAAATATATAAAAAGGAAACACTGAAGTAAAATTTTCGACAAAAGGTACCAACTTCAAAGGCCCACATGAAAATGATGTTTGGTGTAGAAAAAACTAAAATAAAAAAATGAACGGTTGTGGTTCTGCCAGCACTACTGTGGCATTGTATGGTTCTTTCAGCCTTTTACCAACCCCCATTCTTTATTGGGCCATGCCCATTTATTATTAGGGCCAATCTGGCCCAATTTCCAAAGAGTTCAATTAGGACTTTAAATAAATACTTAAAATTATATATATATACATTAAAAAGAAAAACGAATACTCCATCGGTCCCGCAAGAAAGTTACCATTGGGTTTTTGTGTGTTGATATTTGAATATTAATTATGATATTAATACGTAGTACAAATCAAGAAAAGAAAACAAAAATATGTTTATTAGTGTCTTATAATACATATACAATGATATTTGTCATGTAAATTATTCATATATAAGGATATTTTTAATATTAAATACAATGATGCAAAAACTAAATCGCAACCTTCTTGCGAAACGGATGGATGGAGTATTACAACTATAAATTCAAATTAATTTTTCTATTATAACATAACATTTGTAATAATAGTTTGCTTTAAAAATCATTATATTAAATACGGATTTTATTTAAAATATTATAAGAGTGTTCTTTCAATAATTTTTTAACACATTTTTTGATTAATATTATAAAAAACACAATAATGTATATATATATATACAATATATTTTTTTTGTTTAATTATGTTTCTTTACCAAAATTTTCTCAAATTTTACTATTTGAACTATGTATTTTCTGAAAAATATATATTTTTTTCTCTTACAAAATATCTCATTAAACATTATTTTAATATCAAACTCAAACCAATTTTTTTCAAACTCAACCAAAAGAAATATCACAATTGAACCTAATATATTTGTTAAATCCATTACTTTATATTTGTAGAGTTCACATAAACATGGGTGTGTTTGTTTGGAGGTTTGTATTTTGAGTTGAAATTTAAATAATAAAAATTATGAATTTAAATAGTTGTATGTTGTGATATAAATAGATTTTAATGTCATATTTTGAATGTAAAATTGATTTTTAGTATAATATAAAAAATAAAAAATAGGTGTTTGATTTGATATTTTTTGAGATAAAAATGAGATGAATAGTATATTTAAAATCCAATTCCCTAAACAAACACACCCTTTAGTAAAACATTTATGAGATTAAAAAAAAAAAGTATTTGAGGTCATGTTTATAAAATGCGACTAGTGATGAATACTATCAAAAATGTAAATAATATCTACGTAAACAATATGATAGTCTACTGTTCAGTTTATCTTCTACCAATCTTTAGAAGTCTAAACCACAAAAAAAAATCATTAAAATCAATGCTCGAGAGACCTATGCCATAGTTTTATATCACGCTTACAAGCCGATCTGGTGATATAATTTTTAAATCTATTTCTTTGAAAACGTGATTTCATTATTTGAATCTATAGATCGAATTTGCAGGTGAGTTACTTTGGCATATTTCAAACTCGGGGCATGCCCACAAGGTCGAAATCGAGGGATTGGAAAGAAATAAAGATAAAATAACAAAATCAACAAAAGATACACAACACAACAAAGTTCATTGTCAAAAAAACTTTACTGTACCTCATTCGCCATCTTATGACAATACTATTGATGTCGTTGTATTGTCTTAAGTTTGTGGTGTTAGAGAAGAACAAAAGCCCGACAATGTATGGCTTACACCTAAAGGCGTTTATCTATCTGTTGGTGGTGATCGAAATCGGAATTGAAATCGAATCAGAATCGAACAAGTTCTAAAGTAACCATGGTGCATCAACCATATCCATCCTTTTATTGTTATTCTTGTGGATGTTATGAACACACAACTAACTTTTGATTCTTATGTCGAGTGAACTTTAATTCCATATCTTTCTCTATACAGGTGTGTTTGTTTGGGGAACTGAATTTTAAATACACTATTCATTCTATTTTTTTTTCTCTAAAAAACATCAAATTAAATATATATTTTTTTTATTTTTTATATTATACTAAAAATCAATTTTACACTCAAAATATCACATCAACACCTATTTATATCACATAATACAATTATTTAAATTTAAAATTTTACTATTTGAATCTCAACTCAAAATTCAGACTCCAAAGAAACACACCCTAATGTTTGATCTTTTGTGCAATAATTGTTTGGAATTTTTGTTGTATGTCATTTCTAGTTTGGAGAATGCACATATTCGCCTCGGGTCCATATTTTAATTTGGGGTTTAAAACTTAGAAGTATTTCCAACATTTCCATTTAAAATATTCATTTATTTATTTTAATAATTACGGTCGGCATGTATTATTAGAATAACATTGTTATATTTTACTTATAATTATAATAATTCATCTATCTACTTTAATTACATTATAGCACTTATGTTGCAAAACAAAATATTAATTTCATCTTTTAAGTAATGGTACGGATTATATGATATTAAAAATATTATTATAATTTATAATATATTATATAAATATAATTATCTTTATATTATATAATAGTGATAGAAATATTTTATTAATTTTTATTTTAATTTGTATTACGTATAAAAATAATATTAATATTAAAAAATTACATATAAAAAAAATATTATCCTAAAACAGAAGTAAATATATCGAATAATAATAATAATAATAATAATAATTCTTTCTCTTATCCAATTATAAGTGTTTACAGTAGATGCTAGAATATCAAAAAAAAAAATATTATCGAAAACAATTATTATTTAATAAAAATAATTATAAATTAAAATTATATTCTCTCCGTCTTATTTATTTAATTTCAATAATTATAAATACAAAAATTTAAATAAAATATAATAAATAAATAATTAAAAAATATATGAATAAAAATAATTAAAAATTAAAATAATAAAATTTAAAATATTATTAAAGTATATAATTATTTAAAAAATAAAAGATCAAATTAAATGAAATATACAAAAATAAAAAAATATAGACAAATTATGTGAGATAAAGATGTAATAAATAATTAATTAATCTAATAAAAAATTTAAAAATTATAAATTAAAAATTGTATATTCATAAACAAATGCTTTATATATATATACATACACACGCGTTCAAGTATAATAAAGAAAAGATGGATGAACATTAAAAACCACAAACTTTGAGAAATAAATGAAGAGAGAGAAAGCGGGAGGGAAAGAGAAAGATATAAAAAGGCGGAAAGAGGTTCGGACAGAAAACCAATATTAAAACAGTGTTTGTGTGTAGAGGCGATCGGAGGAAGGCGGGCCCCACCTGTGTTCCTCTACAACTTTTTCTTCGTTTTTCCGATTAATAATAATAATACTAATAATTCTATCTTCTTCTTCTTCTTTGTCTCACGCAATCAATCTCAATCAGCTTTTCAATTTCATCTTTCTAAATCAAAAACCTAAAAAAAAAGCAAATAATCCAAAAAAATTTTGACCTAGTTTCTGATATTTCATTTCCTCATATGTAGATTTTTCCCCCATTTTCTCAACCCCTTGTTCTTGGTGGTTTGGTTTTCCTCCTCCCTTCGCCGCCTTACATTGTTATCGTGTTTGCTGCTGGTATGTACGCAATCGGTCGTTGATTTGAAGATATTATATGTTCGTGTTATTGCTCGAAGCTGATTCTGGATTTCGGCGGTTACCGTCGCAAGATCTTCTCGTCTCTGCTAGGTATGCCTCCTTTTTCTTCGATCTTGTTTTGTTTTCTGGCTATTGGATGTGATTGGGAGGTTAGGTTACGGTTTAGTTTCTTCGCCGGCGGATGATTTTAGGTTTTTGATTTCTTGTGGATGATTTTGATTTTTGGTTTTAGATCTGGTTAAATCTGAGATTTGTGGTTAGGAGTTGTGAGTTTTTGGATATTAGATCTGGTTCTTGAACTTCTTCGAATTCGGATTTCCTTCGATCTGGTTCTTGAGCTAGGGTTTCTTCGATCTGCTTCCGACGGCGGTTTTTCTTCGAATTTTTCTGCAGATTTGGCTTCGGAAGGTCGACGATCCGGCAGATCTGACTCGATGTTCATCCGAATTCTCGAATTCATACCCTAAGAGTTGGAGAATTTGGGGGATTTCGTTTCGCACATTATTTCGATCCAAAGTCATCTTCGATTCTGAGCCGGAGATGTCTTTGTTGCCTAAGAGCGATTCGATTCAAATCCGGGAGGTCTGGGCGGACAACCTGGAAGAAGAATTCGATCTTATCCGCGGCGTCGTCGACGATTATCCTTACATTGCAATGGACACAGAGTTCCCCGGCGTCGTAATCCGGCCATTGGGCAACTTCAAGAACTCGACAGATTACCATTACCAGACATTAAAGGAAAATGTCGATTTGTTGAAGCTGATCCAATTAGGGCTAACATTCTCCGACGAGAAGGGCAATTTGCCGACGTGCGGAACTGACAAGTACTGCATCTGGCAGTTCAACTTCCGGGAGTTCAATCCGAACGTCGATGTATTCGCGAGCGATTCGATCGAGCTCTTGAGACAGAGCGGGATCGATTTTTCGAAAAACATCGCGCAAGGGATCGATGCGCGGCGGTTCGGGGAGCTTCTGATGTCGTCGGGGATAGTATTGAACGACAACGTCTATTGGGTGACGTTTCACAGTGGTTACGACTTTGGGTACTTGCTGAAGGTGTTGACGTGCCAGAACCTTCCGGAAACCCAGGCCGGGTTCTTCCATCTGATCAACATTTACTTCCCGGTGCTGTACGACATTAAGCATTTGATGAAGTTTTCCAACAGTCTTCACGGCGGGCTGAACAAGCTGGCGGAGCTTTTGGAAGTCGAAAGAGTCGGGATTTGTCATCAGGCAGGGTCGGATAGTTTGCTGACGTCGTGCACCTTCTGGAAGCTTAAGGAGAACTTTTTTAGCGGGTCGTTAGAGAGGTATTCGGGCGTGTTGTACGGTTTGGGAGGCGACGGCGGGGCGGCGCACAGTTAAGAGGTTTGTAAGAAAGATTTGGATCTGTACAACATGTGTTTTGATTAAAACTAGATTGATCGATGGATGAAGACGATGATGATATATACGGTAGTTGTTCGAAGTGACAAGATATTGGGCAGTCGAGACGGGCAGACAGAGAGACGTGGCTTTGTGTTTAGCAGGTATGAGTTATGTTCGAACACTGCTGTTTTGGGTGGTGTTTAGTCGTTAAAAAGACAAATTCAGATTTCGATATATAAAAAACTACTTCTTGTGTTCTTGATTTCTTTTAATCTCGTTTTTTTCTCTCTTTGATCTTTGTTTGAATTAATCGAGAATGTGTTTGATATGGAGAATGAAATTGTAGATGAACGAACAATAGATCGGGTAATAGAAGATTTTGCTGAAGTAGAAATCTGCAGAGAAATAGGGCGTGGTTACACCATCTCTAACGCTACACTTCAATTTTTTTAGTTCATTTTTGTTGTTTCTACGGTACAAATGCAGGTAATTTACTTCAATTTTTACTAAAAAAAATATATTTTTTGTATATTCAATCTTTTATATTATTTTATATAATTTTTTATATTTATAAATTACACGTTAATTTTAATTTATTTTTACATTAGATTTATACATGTATAATTTATATTTTATTTAAAAATTATATATATAAAAATTAACATTTATAATTAATAACTATTACAAATTAAATAATTTTAAATAAATAATTAAATGCTATTAAGATAAGTATGATATTCCCTTCGTCCCATAACAAATATTTATTTGTCCTATAACAAATATTTATTTGTCCCATAACAAAGTTACTATTTACCTAACATTATAAATACTCTTACAATTTACAATATATTACACAAATAACATTACTTTTTACACATATTAATAAGGTTATTTTAATCATTGGTATTTTATTTTTATTATATCTCAATATAATACTAATATTTCTAAAACTATGTACAAAAAGTAAATGAATATTTAATTTCGGGACGGAGGGAGTATAATTACACATAGATAACGTAGTATTATTATTTCATAATATAAAAAAGTGATATAACTAAAATTATATCACTTTAAAAAAAAATAAAATTATACATTATTTTTCAAAAAAAATAAAATTACATATAATCTTTTTAAATATAAAATTATATATCATCTACTTTAAAAATTAAAATTACACAATACATTCCAAAAATATCAAAATTATAAAAAACACCAAGAAAACTCAACTCAAAAAATAGGGGAGGATTTAGGGATGAATTGGATGTGTTTCTTTATTCATTTTTTTTTAATTTAAATTCTATATATTTTTTTATAAAATATTATTTTAATATCAAAAGTCAAATTAATTTTTTTTTCAACAAAAAAGAAAAAAGCATATATATATATATATTAAATACAATTATTGGTCCAAATCGATTTGATTGTTATGGACAATTAAATAATACCAAAAGAACCTGGAGTTATATAGTTCACAAAAGCATCGTATGTACAATGCAAGTGAATAAACAAAACATATCGAAATTTTTATTTATTGTTTATTATTTATTAAATAATTTGTTTTTGTAATTTCATTTTTATAATTTTTACCAATTTTTGTTGTACTTCTTTGGTTCCTATCTATCATTTAAAATTTTGTATTATATTAAACATAATAATATTTTATTTATTAGTAAAAATATATCAAATAATTTTAATATTTTAGTTTTTTTATTATGTATAAATTAATTGTATATATACATTCTATTTGTAATTTATATAAAAATTTAAAAATATAGTTCATAACATATTGTTTATACTGTAATAAAAAATAAATATTTTTTAATAAGATACAACGAAAATAGTAAAATAAATACTTTCAGTTGACAAAAAAAATTTATTATGTTTAATAATATATTATATATTTTTATCTATATTTAAAATATTAATATAGAATATTTTTATAAAATAAATATCTAAGCATAGTAAATATAGTAAATATCAATTTTTTTAAAAAAAATTACATGGAATAGAATATATAAAAAATATTACTTCATCTTTTTTAAATGGTAAAAATAAAAAATATAATTTGAGATGAATTGTTGTTACCTTTCTTAAAAAAACAGAAAAATATATACTATATTCACTACAAAATAATAAAATTATAAATTAGAGATGGTGAAAGAAAAATTGCATTCTATTCTCACATTTTTTTATCTAAATTTGGACCGGTCCGGTTCGGCATGAATCGAAGATAATATGTTATACAAAGGAAATTCCAGCGTAAACGAATCCCGGCGCCGGTTCAAACCAATTCGACCGCTTGAGTGCGACCGGCGCCGTCGGATCTCGCCGGAGAAGAAAAGGACGCCCTACGATTAAACAAATAAAGCATCGCGGCGGCGAGCAGGATTCCGACGAGATCAGCGACGGCGTCCTTCGCGGATGCGCCGGCGGATTTGAAATATCCGAATTCATCGGCGAACTCCTTCGCGGCGCCGGCGGCTAACGAGGCGACGGATCCTAGCCAACTGCTGCGCCGCCTGATGAAAGGACGCCGGCTCCGGCTAGAGACGGCGGAGAAAACGATCGAGACGAAGAAGCAGAAGAGAACGTGGTAGAGCTTGTCAATGGCGAACCAGTCGTCGCCATTCTCCATAGCTGCGCCGCTTCCTACCTCCGCCGCCTTCAGCTGCTAATTCGTACTCTTTTTAATTGGGCCTGATTTGGGCCTGCTTTGGAAATTAATCACCCCAAATAAAGCAGGCCTACTATTTTAGATATTTTTCTTAATAAATATTATTATCTTGGTCAAAAAAATATAGGCGCTTAACTTTCATTCATATCAAATTTTTATTTCTAATTTAAATTTATTCTCGTTCTTTTTTTATTATCTATCTAAATTTATTCTAGTTTTTATTTTTAGTAAAAAAATATTCATTTTGTTCTTTTTTTATTATCTATCTAAATTTATTCTAGTTTTTATTTTTAGTAAAAAAATATTCATTTTGTCCAAATTACAAAGTAAATATTTTTTTCACAAATATTTTTATTTTACATCACATTATTACTTTTTACTCTAAAAAACAAGGGAAAAATATCATTCACTGCTTTTAACTATTTAAAACATCGCCAAAAATAAATGTTTATTTTGTATAATTTATTATATAAATATAATATATTTATAATATAAAATTATTAATACAAAAATTATTCTTTCTTTTAATTTGTATTATATTTTTATATAATAATTAATATTTAAAAATTAACAAAATATGTCAACTTTTTTGAAAAAGTATTATTATTTTTTTTGTATTTTTATATGAGTGAAATTGAAATTTTTATAGAATTAGAAATATGTGGAATCCATCAATACTATTTTATAAATAGATGAAAAGATAGTATATATATATATATATATTTAAATAAGAATTGTAGTGTTTGACTTCCTTGGATCCATAAGTTTATATAAGTTTATTTGAGTATTGATAAATAAAAAGTAAAATAAAATATTATAAAAAATTATTAAAAAATAATAACAAAATAATGGATAAGTATAACTGAATTGATTTTTTTTTTTTTAATAATATAAGAAATTTTGTTGATAATATAACAAATTAATATTTTAAATTAAATAATTAATTTTTATACGAATGGATAATATTATTAACATGTGTATATATTTATATTTTTTAAATAATATTTACGAAGAATTATTATATTGAGAAACTACCCAATCCAATTTATAGATAGATAAGAAATAAAAAGAGGAGGAAGAAAGTACTAAATGAGCTAAAATAGGAATATTTTTACCGAGCGGGATAAACTATTAGTTAGTTATAATATGTACTAGTTAATTTAATAATAAAAAATCGATAAAAATAAATAATAAAAAAATAATAATTTTTTTATACATAAAATAATTTTGCGTAGTCGATCTATTCTCCAGCACAGCCACTTGACCTCATTATGAGTGTACGTTACTTTCTCGGATGAACCACACCCACCTCCATTTTCAAATTTAAAAATATTCTGATTATTTGTTTATTATTTATTTTATTATTATTATTGGATCACACCACCTCTAATTCCAACCAATGCCCTTCTCTTCTCACAAATTCCCTTTAAACCTCCTCCGCCGTGTCTGCCGCTGCTCCGCCGCCGATCGCTTCTCTCCGACGCCGCCGCCGCTCACCGGTTTATGATTCCGTACAAATTCAGATTTCTAAAGGCGGTTTTTAGGCTTTTCCGCACTCCAACCGATTTGAAACCGCAATGTTATGCCGGAAAACTTCCGTCAAAAGCCGCCGTGGATCGGAGGCGGCGGCGGCGGTGCATCTGAACGTCTACGATCTCACCTCCATCAACGGCTACGCCTACTGGCTCGGCCTCGGAGTCTACCATTCCGGCGTTCAAGGTATGCGGTTTCTCTTACATAATCCCCGGTTAATTCCTAATTTCAGATCTGAATCAATCGATTCTTCCAATTCCGTTGCGTTTTTTAACGTCTGCTGAATTCAATTGACTGATTCGGTAGTTCACGGTGTTGAGTATGCATTTGGCGCTCACGAATTTCCGACGACCGGAATATTCGAGTCGGAGCCGCGGCAATGCGACGGTTTCACCTTCCGGAAGTCGATCCTGATCGGGTGGACAGAGCTGACGGCGCGTGAGGTGCGTGCGGTGATGGAGGAGCTCGCCGGACAATACCGCGGCGACGCTTACAACCTCATCACTAAGAACTGCAACCATTTCTGCAACGACGCCTGCCTCCGCCTCACCGGAAATTCGATCCCCCGGTGGGTCAATCGTCTCGCCAGAATCGGTAAGGTTAAATTTCATTATATTTATTTTTTAGTATTATTCTCTCCAGTTCAAATAATAATCAATTTAATATTATTATATTTATTTGTTTGATGTTAGTATATTAGAATATAATTTAACTGATGGAGGAACTATTAATTTAAGGTGTGCTTTTTTAAAAGTTGGTTATTTATTTTAGTTATTAAAAATTATATGGACAATATAAAAAATATTTAATATTGAATTATTAAATTTAAAAAATAAATAAAAAATATATTAATACTCACCGGTTCAGAAAAAAAGTACTATTTGTTCGTTTGCAATTAGATTATTAAATATTAATATTATGGGTGTGTTTGTTTGAAGGATTTTGGTGGATTTTCACTATTCATCCAATTTTTTTCCCCCAAAAACATCAAATCAAACATCTATTTTCATTTTTCATATTATACTAAAAATCAATTTTACATTCAAAACATCACATCAAACCCTATTTATATCACATCATACAACTATTCAAATTCAAAATTTTTACTATTCAAATCCCAATTGAAAATCCAAACCCCCCAAACAAACACACCCTATATGTATAATAACAGTGAAAATACTTATTTTGAAACGTAATATATTGTATTCTTTTATATTATTTTTTTTATCATATTTATTTTTTATATAATTATATTTAATATTAAAAATATTTATATAATTTTTTTACAAATATTCTGTTAAACACTAATAAAAATATTTTTATATATATATTTTTTAATTTATACTACATTTTGTAGTATTTATTTTAAATTGTATCATACAATTGAGTGAAGAGACCTAAATTGATAAGACTATTATATTTATTTATTCTGCCTTCACCTCAGGTTCTACCGCTGTTGTGAGATGACAAATTCCATTATATTTATTTTTATAATTTTTTTTATTAATTTAAAATTGATTAGACTATTCATATTAATTTTTATTGTATTTATTTATTTTGCTTTCACCTCAGGATTCTTTTGCCGGTGTGTGATCCCGGACAAATTCAATTCGACAAAAGTCCGGCACCACAAAATCGACGCGGAAAACGGCTGTTGCCGGGCCGAAAAGAATCTGGAAAGCAGATCAAATAGGTTCGGTATCGGGTCATCAAATTCATCCTCATCCTCATCAAGTTCACCTCCAAATTCAAATTCGAGAAGCAGACGAGGGGGCGGCTCGTTGCTTCTCGATAGGAAAGCATTAAATTAATACAAAAAATTTAAAATCAAAATCACAAATATTGTTTTTTTTTTTTCAATGGGAGTTACCACTATATTGATTCATTTCTTGTAAATCAATGCCCATTATTTTTTATTTGATTTGATTTGATTTTAAAAAATGAATGAAGAAGTGTTGTTATCTGTTGGTTGTTATTCCTTTTTCCAGAAACAGCTTAATTTATTAGAGACATTTATGGAATCATTGCAAGTTAGTGTGCAGAATTCATGCCTTTTTGAAAAGCTACCATACGCTTTATTCTCCCTCCAACTGCCTTTTCATGATTTACCTGCCCTGTGTTCGACTCATTCTGTCGACAAATTTAGGCTACTTATAATTTTTTTTAGTACTATTAATTATTATTAAAAAAATTTAAAAAAATAAAAATAAAAATATTTCATTTTAGGACCGAAACTGGGACCCAACGCTCGAGTGAGGGATGTCTCACTTGACTATGTTAAGATTTAGATTGAGTTTGAAGAGTTTTGATGTGTATTGGTTTGATGATAATGAATATAATAATATAAATGTGTATTAATTTGTATAATTTTATTATAAATTTATATTATATATATTTTTTAAAGTTTTATTTATTGTATTATAAAATATTTTATTCTCTATAAAATAACATATATTGTATATATTTTATTAAATTATATTTATTATAAAAAATTTAATTTATATTTATAATTTATTTTTTTAAAAAAAATAGTATGCATCAGATTTTGTCCCTCAAAACCGTGACAACCCAAATTTTGGTAGATTTCTGCCCAAAATTAGGTTTGAGCGACACACTCTTAAATATTCAATTTTATATTTAATATATTCAAATTTATATTTGGTTTTATGCATAGATTAAATTGTTTAGATTTAAGTCGAGTGAGCTATATATAATAAGTATCATAATTAAACAATGCAATTTTAAATTTTTATAATTTATTTTAACAAATATTTTTTATCTTTTAAAAACATTACATTAAATACAAAATAATTTTATTATTATTAATTTTCAAATTGAAATTTATGCTTCGTTTATAAATTATCAACAAATATTCTCATTTAAATGAATACATTTGTTTTTTTAATAGATTAAAAGATAATGCTTCATCTGCATCTATTGTCTAAATATATGTTTATTTTTTCTTAAATTATCAGCAAATATTCTCATATTTTTTTAGTAAAAATTTACTAAAAATACAATAAAATATGTATTTGATGTAATTTATTCGAAGACAACAATACCACAAATATATAGTATGTCAAAAAGTTAATCTTAAGTGTATGGAAAAAAAGCCTTATATTTTATATTTTAGTCCTTATTTTTTGCATTGTATTCCATTTAATATATTTTTTAATAAAAAAAAAAGATTTATTGATTAGAAGAGAATCAAATTGAAAGCATCCAAAATAATTAAAAAGAGAACAATTAATTTAACTGACCACCCTTTATTTGAGGCTTTTGTGTATGTGGAAAGAGTGAGTGTGTGTCCACAAGACTCACTTTTTAGTACCAAAAAACTAATCATACCCAACATTGTTATGTCTTTTCATTTTTTATGTCTTTTTTTTAAGACCTCCTCATCAATTTAGGGTGTGTTTGTTTGGAGGATTGGATTAAATTTCTACTATTCATCCTATTTTTTTCCTTTAAAAATATTAAATCAAACACCTATTTTTTATTTTTTATATTATACTAAAAATAAATTTTACATTCAAAACATCACATCAACACCTATTTATATCACATCATACAACTATTAAAATTCAAAATTTTTATTATTCAAATCCCAACTTAAAATCCAAACCCCGAACAAACACACCCTAATATCACATGCCCTTTCCATAGATGTAGGGTTGGTTTCTAACCATTTTTGTATTATATTCCATCAATTAATTTATTATTATTATTATTATTATTATTATTATTATTATTATTATTAACGTAATAACCGGCAGTCGCTACGCGGAAGTATGCACTAAGTATTAGAATTGTATAGAAGAAAATTCAGGAAGCATTAGAATTGATTAATCCGATGGCTAAGTACTCTTCCATCTTAGTATCATTTATCATAATTTTTTATTTTATTTTTATTTTTTTTCTATTTTAGTAAGAAAAAATAAATAAATTCATATACAAATACAAATTATGAAATTTCTTTTTACTTTTTTTTTTGTCATAATAAATTAAAAAATAATAATATTTTATTAGTTTGAATATTTTTATAAAAATTAGGGGTACATTTGATATTTAAATATGATTAATTTTTACTGTAATTAAAAATACATTAAGTAGAGATGGAGAAAGTATTATTTCCTAATTTACTTAATATACTTTCAATTATAACAAAAAAATAAATAATATATTTTAAATTTAGTTTATTTTTTATTTTTTCATTATACAATTATTTCAATTTCCAAATGCACTAAAAGTCTAAAAACATCGAAATAAAAATCATAAGAACACGCCCAAAATACGACAACACTACGCTCATATTAAGCTCAATCATACAGGCCCAAATATTTTAAGAGCAAATATATTAACTGGGCCATAATTAAAGAGGGCCCAAAGGTTTAATTCTAAATACATTTATTGGGCCTATATTTAAGTAGGCGCAATATGGAAATGGGTTTCTGACCGGCTCAGACCGGCCCATTAGGGGGCGAGCTTGCAGGTAGGAGGAAAGGCATGTGTACCGTACAGATGACGAACGAGGAGAGAGTGTCGCGCCTTCACTCATTGCATGAAAGCTTATTGTCTTGTTATAAGAGGTGAACCAGTCCTGTCCATAACCACACTACAAATTGACGAATTCCGATCATGCGATCATGATTCGAGCTGTTCGCTCTATGTATTGAAGGCAGCGTTCCGGTAATTGGTTGTTTTCGGCGTGGTTCGAAAGTATTTTTTTTTTTTTTTATTTTGGTGTTGTGTGGATTATGGTGCGGCGAATCGTGTTTGTGGCGAAATTGAGCGGTTATTTGGAGTAGAGAGAGAGACGTGTCGATCGACTGTGTGTGAGATAGAGGCTGTGTGTGTTTCTGTGTGTGATTTGTAGCTGCTGCTGTTGAGTTGAGAAAATCGAAATCATGGCGGAGAACAGAGGCGTCAGTTTGGAGGAGATCAAAAAGGAGAACGTCGATCTCGTAAGTGATTTTTGCGCACCTCATTTCCTTATTTTTTTTATTGGAAACGAAATTTGTTATCGGTTTCGTTAACTGTGGAATTATTGGTGCTATATTATTTGTGTTTTATACGTCTTGCGTTGAGCAATGTATAGAAACAATAGATGATTTCAGATCTTTGTTTAATTTCAAATCACTAGAAATGTTATTATTCGAGATGCAATATTCAGCTCGTTTCCACTGAAATTTCATTCTGTGTAGCAAACATTGGAGAAAATTATGGATGAGAAGGAATTTGATGAACAATTTTAATGCCATTTCTGTTTATCAACGAATCGATATTGAAACACAGTTTTTGTTCATTCTACCGAGTCCTGATCAATTTGTTCCTTTGGGAAAAATGAAACAAATATTAGATGAACATGGAGATGCAATTTTAGTGCCATTTATGTTTACCAACGAATCATTACTGAAAAACAGTATTTGTTCATTCTACCGAGTCCTGATCAATTTGTTCTTGTGGAAAATGAAAAAAAATAAAAAATACAGGAGAACATACCTGTGGAGGATGTGTTCAATCAGTTGCAATGTACCAGAGAAGGATTGAAAACAAGTGAAGCTGAGAGGAGGATCCAAGTTTTTGGCCCAAACAAGCTGGAAGAGAAGAAGGCAAGCCTATAACTCCTAAATGCACCCCTCAAATCCACCCCCTCATTAACTGTTGCTAACTTTGTTTCATAACAATGATCTGATTCATGAACAGGACAACAAGTTCCTCAAATTCTTGGGTTTTATGTGGAATCCTCTCTCATGGGTCATGGAGTGTGCTGCAATTATGGCTATTGCTCTTGCCAATGGGCAGGTTTGATTTGTTATTCCAATTACAAGTACTTTGAATGTCAAATGTCCATAACATAAGCTGCATATCTAAGCTTCTTCACATAATTCAGGGAGAGCCTCCAGATTGGCAGGACTTTGTTGGTATCATAGCATTGCTGATCATCAACTCAACCATCAGTTTCCTTGAAGAAAACAATGCCGGAAATGCCGCTGCAGCTTTGATGGCGAATCTGGCGCCGAAGACTAAGGTAATATCTTAGATAATTGAATTGATTAGTAGCTCTTCTGTTCTTGTCCTCTACTGATCTCATGCTGTTTACTTCCATAGGTACTGAGAGACGGGAGATGGAGCGAGAAGGAGGCAGCGATCTTGGTTCCAGGCGATGTCATAAGCATCAAGTTGGGGGATATTGTACCAGCAGATGCTCGCTTACTCGAAGGAGACCCTTTAAAGATCGATCAATCTGCTCTTACAGGGGAGTCATTGCCGGTGACTAAGCATCCCGGGAGTGAAGTCTTTTCTGGTTCCACATGCAAGCAAGGCGAAATCGAGGCAGTTGTTATCGCCACCGGGATCAACACTTTCTTCGGCAAAGCAGCACATCTTGTTGACAGCACTGAAAACGTTGGCCACTTCCAAAAGGTATAAAATCTCCTCATATCTTGTAGTAAATTCAAGAATTCTTCTGTTTCTGAATTGCTTTTTGTTGGGAATGGTTGTTTAGGTGTTGACTGCCATTGGAAACTTCTGCATATGCTCCATTGCTCTTGGGATCATCATAGAGATCATAGTCATGTACCCAATTCAGCACAGGAGGTACCGCGATGGCATCAACAACTTGCTGGTTCTTCTCATTGGAGGCATCCCGATCGCCATGCCAACCGTGTTATCCGTCACGATGGCCATTGGATCCCACAAGCTCTCACAGCAAGGGGCTATCACTAAGAGGATGACAGCCATTGAAGAAATGGCTGGAATGGATGTCTTGTGCAGCGACAAAACCGGAACTCTTACTCTCAACAAGCTCACAGTCGACAAAAACTTAATCGAGGTTGATCAATCCATCTTACTTCACCACAACCATGAAAAGGGATCCTTAAGACAACCATTTAAACATGGATTCATTGCAGGTCTTCACCAAGGATCGCGACAAGGAATCGGTGATTCTTTTGGGAGCTAGAGCTTCTAGGGTCGAGAATCAGGACGCCATCGATGCTTGCATTGTTGGAATGCTGGCTGATCCCCGAGAGGTATTTCGATCTTCAAAATTCAAATATAGAAGCTCTCTCAATCTTTTTTCTCCTCACCATCGAGTTCTTTTTGTGCTTACAGGCAAGAGCAGGCATTACTGAGGTGCATTTTCTTCCATTCAATCCTGTCGATAAGCGCACGGCGATTACTTACATCGACAGCAACGGAGATTGGCACCGAGTTAGCAAAGGCGCACCCGAACAGGTACTTGGAAAACACTATAATCAATTCTCGACAAGGCTTACATCTATTCATTCATTCCTTCAAAACTGTAACACATTTTGTTTCAATTCATCGACATGTTACACAAGATTGTCGAGCTTTGTGGCCTGAAGGACGACGTGAAAAAGAAAGTCTACTCTATCATCGACAAGTTCGCCGAGCGTGGACTCCGCTCCCTCGCCGTTTCTGAGCAGGTCGATTTTCATTTCTAAACATACTTTTCGATACATAGGATGCCTGGATTCTTGCATAACCGATGTTGCTGCGTTTTGATTTCTCAGACTGTGCCCGAAAAGACCAAGGAAAGTCCCGGGGCCCCATGGACATTCGTAGGCCTTCTCCCGCTCTTCGATCCTCCAAGACACGACAGCGGAGAGACGATCAAACGCGCCTTGAACCTCGGCGTCAATGTCAAGATGATCACCGGCGATCAGCTCGCTATTGGCAAGGAGACAGGGCGAAGGCTCGGAATGGGGACAAACATGTACCCTTCATCGTCACTTCTCGGACAGCACAAGGACGAGGCGATCGCCAACCTCCCGGTTGAAGAGCTCATCGAGAAAGCTGACGGCTTCGCCGGAGTCTTTCCCGGTACACATTTAAGGTTATTACCTCTGATCATCAACAACAACATCATGTATTAACTCACCTGAGGTGAAAACTGCAGAGCACAAGTATGAGATTGTGAAGAAACTTCAAGAAAGGAACCACATCTGTGGAATGACCGGTGACGGTGTAAACGACGCCCCGGCGCTGAAGAAAGCCGACATCGGGATAGCCGTCGCTGACGCTACCGATGCTGCGCGGAGCGCGTCCGACATTGTCCTAACCGAGCCAGGGCTGAGCGTGATCGTGAGCGCTGTCTTGACAAGCCGAGCCATTTTCCAGAGGATGAAGAACTACACGATATACGCCGTCTCCATAACCATTCGAATCGTGCTCGGCTTCATGCTCCTCGCGCTCATCTGGAAATTCGACTTCTCGCCGTTCATGGTCCTCATCATCGCCATCCTCAACGATGGAACCATCATGACGATCTCTAAGGACAAGGTGAGGCCCTCCCCCGTCCCCGACTCGTGGAAGCTGAAGGAGATCTTCGCCACCGGAGTTGTCTTCGGCACGTACCTTGCAGTCATGACCGTCGTGTTCTTCTGGGCAGTTCGCGAGTCGACGTTCTTCACGGTGCGTAACGAAGCACTTTTAACACATCCAACTACCCTCATGTCGTCGATTAACGTTCGTTCTTTCAGGACAAATTCGGCGTTAGATCGATCAAGGACGACGACCGCCAGCTGAACTCCGCGATATATCTTCAAGTCAGCATTGTAAGCCAAGCCCTCATCTTCGTTACCCGATCGAGAAGCTGGTCGTACGTCGAACGCCCCGGGCAACTCCTCGTTGCCGCCTTCCTAATCGCACAATTGGTAAGCAGCAATACATGTATAAGATATTATTAACATATATATTAATGATCCCTTATAAATTAAGGCTCTGGGCTGTAGCACATGCTAATAGCCAGCTCTTTTTGTTTTTTCTTTTTAAAAGGTTGCGACGCTTATAGCAGTGTATGCGAACTGGAAGTTTGCGCACGTGGCGGGAATAGGGTGGGGATGGGCGGGAGTGATCTGGCTATACAGCATCATCTTCTACATCCCGCTCGACATATTCAAATTCATCGTCCGATTTGCTCTAAGCGGGAAGGCATGGAAGAACATGATCGAGAACAGGGTAAAGCAAAAAATACAAGCAATAGTCCTTTTATATCTGTATCTCCTCCATCTTCATGTTTTTTTTTGTGGAAATGCAGACTGCCTTCACGTCGAAGAAGGATTACGGGCGCGGCGAAAGGGAGGCACAGTGGGCGATGGCGCAGCGGACGCTCCACGGCCTCCAACCGCCGGACACGTCGGAGCTCTTCCAGGACAAGAACAGCTACAGAGAATTGACGGAGATTGCCGAACAAGCTAAGAAGCGCGCCGAGGTTGCAAGGCAAGAACATTAAATATATATTGTTAGATGAAGTAAATGACTTCTAGCACCTAAAACCTTAAGCTAATATATAGATGAAATAAATAATGTCTCACCAAAATGTTTAAGAATACTTGAGATGAAATAAATAATGTCTCACCAAAAAGTTTAGGAATACTTAAGATGGTTAAGTTATTAGGGATATGTATGATTTATTTATTTATTTGTTTGTTTATCAATAAGTGGAGTGTACCGATATATATATATATATATATATATAATGTGGACAGGCTAAGGGAGCTGCACACTCTGAAGGGGCATGTGGAGTCAGTGGTGAGGCTGAAGGGTTTGGACATTGAGACAATACAGCAGAATTACACAGTGTGAAAGAGAGAAGACAGATGGAGAGATTAGAGAATTAATTAATGTTGAAATAAAACAGCAGGGAATCAAATCAAGACTCAAAGAAGAGGTGGAGTTCCTTGCTATTTTGCCAATTTTTTTGGTTTTAGGATTTTGGATTTTTTTATATATATATATATACACGTATGTATGTATGTATGTATGTCTTGTTATTTAGTTTGATGCAGCAGCAGCATTTAGATCTGGAATTAGGAAATAGAGAGCATTGATTAGCGGCTGCTGCCGATGCTTTGAACTAAATTTTTGAATGGGCATTTGGGCCCATTCGTAATAGAAAGAATAAATGTAGAGTCGAGATCTCCACATCTCATCTCATCTCCATCTGCAATTGCAATTCTATTTCAATCCATTCTATGTTTTGCTTAATACTCATAAGTTCCAACTCTAATATTTTTTATCATTTTTGTTCTGTCTCTCTCTAAAATATTTATTTTTTATTTTAGTAAAAATAATTATACATTAATATCAAAATACTTTAACATAAAAATTCAAAATTTCTTATCTTTCAATGACTAATAAAATACTATTCTACTACAAAACTGGATCCATTTGGATAAGCATGAAGGGAGTATTAAATTTACTATTTGCTCAATTTACCTACATTTATTTTAAAGCTCCTGCAATCTTCCAAAAAAAGACTTAAGTCAATTATTTATATAATACTATTAAATACTTTCTTTTCTTTTTTTTTTTTTAATTTCAAAATCAACGATCTATTTTTTATTTAAAATATTATAACAAAATTTTATTTTTTTATAAAAAATTATCCACATTCAATATCCCATCCCATCACATAAGTCAATTTTATTATTTTCAAAATTATTTGAAACTTTTATCTAAACAAAATGCATCTCTTTCGGCCACCACCACATGATGTCGTCAGTTTTTACGTGATGCCCATTTATATAAAATTTTTGTTTAGATATACTATTCTTCTACAAATTACAGAGGATGAAATATTTTATTTTTAAAATAAATAATGCAAAAGTGTGCAAAACCAGTGGAAAAACTCTCCCCTTAGTATATAGAAATAATTATTTTTTTTAATTCAAGAGAGCTTATGATCATTTGAAGGCAAAATTACCCAAACAGAATTGGACACATCACAAGTTAATTGGATTTTTACAATCACATTAAAAATAGTGATTTAACATATTTTGAATAAAAAATATTCATTTGTTTAAATAATATTTTGAATACAAATAAAAGTACAAGTTCAAAACACAAAACAAACCCCACAAATTCCATGGATCATTAACATAAGCAATAAAAACTCTTCAAATAACTAAATAGGAAAACTTGAAACAGAAACTCATTATTCCAACAATACATGGTTTAAGAAGTAACAGAATAGCAATTCCTCTGTTTTCTTTCTTTCTTTCTCTTTTAATTAGTAAAGAAACAAAATAAAATGAATGCACCTGCCTAAGCTTTGATGTCCGGGTTGTCGCGAAGTCCAAGCTTCGAAAGAACAAGGCAGTAGGAATCCCAGTCGGTTCGCCGGAGATATTTCAGCAGCTTCTTCCTCCTTTGAACCATTCCTAGCAGACCCTTCCGCGAATGCTTGTCCTAGACGATCGCATTGTACACAAAACATGGATATACAAAAAAGTTTACACTTATATTTCATTTGGCGGCACAAGTACAAAAGCTCCCACGGTGTGAATGCAGTGAACTAACCTTTTTTGCTAAAACAGTCGACAGATGCTTAATCTTTGTTGTCAGTTGAGCCACTGTGGAAGAAAGTAGATATTGTGTTATGTGCTTTGCATAATCAGAACCGCGAAGTCTGTATACTTGTGGGTTTTTTTATCTTAATTTTACTATTTCTAACTTTTTTTTCTCCCTTTAAAAATATCAAATCAAACAGCTACAGTTTATTTATTAAATTACACCAAAATTTCACTTTGCATTCAAAATATCACATTAATGTATATTTATATCACATTAAATAACTATCTCGATTCAAAATTTTACTATTCAGAACCAAAAACTCAATCAAAATCTTACAAGTAAACACACATAATTGCAATCGGTGTATCCATATTTTCTAGGTAAACCATGGTTTGATCTATACTCAATTTTAAGGCTTCCGAACCTAATTTGAGAGCACATATGTGCCGAGTGTCACAGCAGTACACATTAATCAAAGCCAAGTATTCGGATTACCGAGGGAATTTAGTTAAATGGTATTTACATTGGATCTTCTTCAAAAGAATCACAATGCAAAGGTGGTATTGTTTGTAATCACAGTAATCACTAATTCCAGTTACAGAAAGACTTCACTCGAAGCAATTTTTCAACAATTCTTTGCCATTCCTCTTTTTTTAGAAAAAATAACATAAAAAAATATAATCCTTCCCCACCTATAATGATATACCTCTACTCGAAATACAGTTGCATGTATATGCATCATAAAAATAGATTTATACCTGATAGTTTCATCATTTATACCAAAATTATGAGCATGTGATTAATTATAACTTGATGTGTGATATCACCAATCAAAAAATAAACTCGGACATCGACAATCAAAACACACTGGAACTAGGATTCACATAATTTGCATTCTATAATTTATTTCTGCACAGAACATCTCCGGAAAACAATCGTAAACAATAACATACAAGCCCTAGGTTGTTCACGTATCAATTCAGGATAGACCATTTGGTTATATTCTCTGAGAGAGATGAGATTTTTCAATCTAGTTAAAAATATTATAGTCTATATCAATGTAGTAAACAGAAAGGATCTCATTTTAGTCAAACATTCTATAAAATGTATGCTACATGAGTGACAAGATTTCTTTACCTTGAACACGAGCAGAGCCACAATCTGACTCAGACATTTTAAACTCATCTCGTACTTTTTGAAGCTCCAACTTTAGTTTCTCAGCAGAGGACATATTGTCAGGATGGAAAAACTGTACAACGGATCATAGAATTATCACAACAGAAGTTAAAATGTGGTGGCGAAATGAGTTTAAAGGTATAATATAGACACATTAGCAATTGATTGCGAGTATGCTTATTGTTGTTGACCAATTCAGTCAGATTACAAGGTAGTATAATTATCAAGAATACCATATGACATTTAAGGTTGTGTTGGTTTTACCATAGGTTTTTACTATTCAAATTCTTTTTTTCCTCCAAAAATATCAAATCAAACAATTATTTTTCCATTTTTATATTATACTACAAATTTATTTTACATTCAAAACATCACATCAACCTCTATTTATATAACATCAAACAACTATTCAAATTCAACTTTTTACTATTAAAAAATCTAAACCAAAAAACTAAAACCCACAAACAAACACACCCTTTAAATAATTTTGTGATTAGGTAAATGATAAAAGGCAACATCTTTCTATTGCAATTTTTCAAAAGATAGACTAGAGTATGATGGATACTAATATTGACAGCATCGGCTAAATTTTTTTGACAACCAACAGTGAGATTCCCACTTTTACAAATACAGATTAATGGTTCAACTTGATGATAGTAGATTCTGATGAACGTTCACTTTGCCTAAGACCTCACTCGTTTAAAGGTCGAACAAACATGAGGTAATGCCACATATGAGAAAAAAAATGTGCCATGAACAAACCAAAAGGCAAGATCAGATCTAGAAGCAGCACTAACCTTCTCAACTAGTTCCTCCTTTGGAGGATAGAGCATAAAGCTTGGGGTTCCCAAGCCGGCTCCCAAAATACCAAGTCTCTGGACTGCGACAATTCCAACGTTCCAAATAAGTTGGTCAATGAGATCATATACATGAAAGTAAAATTTGGTGGTTATTTGTGTGAAATCAACGAAACATAAGAGTCATATCTAAAATGGGTCAGTAAGTAGCTGCATAGACAAACCACTGGCTTCAATAATATGCAATTATTTGAGGAAATCATCACTAATACAAAAGTACAGTTTACAGAATAACTCAAAGGCTCAAACCCTAATTAAAATTTGATTGTATGACAAAATGCACATAGTGGTCATGCTATAGAAAACTGAAGTTTAATTTTATAGAAAGCAACATAAGTAGATAAAATTGAGAGTCGAAGATCTAAAGAAATTTCTAAGTCCTAACAGAAGTACAAAACTAATATACCTCCCTAGCTGTTGCATGAAGATTTTTTTTTAATAAGCTACAGTAACTAATATCTATTAGCCTTTTAGAATACTGTAATTTCATCTTCCTATACATTTCCCCAAACAGTGATCCCAATGTAACTCTTTCTGCAATATTCTTCTCAAATATGTAACAAACTATCAGAAATTGAACAGAAGATCTGCAATAAATGCTGAATAGCACCATCTTGTCAGAGCAGCCGAGGACGTTCTTATTACACATCTTTAGGTTCAAAAGATCAAAAACGAGCAAAACATTATATATATATATATATGATTTCAAAATTAGAACAACAATCAAAATTAATTTCTTTAAGCTGCAACTAGAGACCTTCCTAAAGTTCAATAAGAAGAGCTATAATTCTAAACCATTTATCGGCCTAGTAGTCGTAGACATTCATCGAGCAAATTTGCAAATTATGTTGAGGAAACTTTGCAATTTTCAGGTCTATCTATATCAGCTGGTAAATTAAGCTTCAATTATACAGAACCATGACACAATCAACCACAGCAATCTCTGACACTAATGCACATATAATTAGACGTCAAACAGCTTAAGCTTTTCGAAAGCAAAGCAGATAATCAATGCGAAACCAAAACTTACTTGTTCCCTGCCTGGCTTTTTCATCTTTTGATTTGCTCATCTTCTTAAGACTGTCTCTAATGTCCTTCACTGCAACTCCAAGCCCTTCCTCGCTCTTCTTGTTTTCAATCTCCCTCAACTTAGCAAGACGATCGTTGAGCTCCTGCAACGAAAACCACTTCCCTTTTCTCTTCTCTGGCCTCAGTGACTTCAATTTCTCCCCCAAATCCTTGTAGCCATATGCAGGCCCCCATCCTACAGAACCCTCCTTACTAAAAAATGTTGAGGGGAAATTAGCTAAGGGTCCCAGGCCAGTATTCGCATTCGCATCTGGTTTCATCTTGAGATGCTCCTTGAAATTTGTAAACGACAACCGCTCTCCAGGTTTCCCGGTGGAATCAGTTTGGCTTCTTTCCGGTGGGGCGTTCGATTTCAAGCGACGTAGAGTCTCCCGTATTGAGTCCAACGACGGAGGGGAATCGACGCCTGCGGCAGAAGATGGATTCGTGTAGGAGGAGGGGGAAGGTCCGAGGCGAGGCTGGGAATTGACGTTTCTATTGTAGAGCTCTTGCAACGAAACTTGGCCATCGGAGGAAGATGGTGGCGACGGAGAAGGGGGCGCGGCGCGGAGGCGGAATTCGGAGAGATTGCGGCGGATTTCCTCGAGAGAAGCAGTTTTCGAGGGAGGCGTTTGGGAAGGCGTTCGGTCGGGAAATGAGAAAGGTCTCCTCTGCGACTGCTCCCGGTTCTGCGTCGGAGATTCCTTCCGGAGGCTGGCTTTCACCTCATTGAAGTAATCGGAAAATGACGATGGCCGAGCTCGGGTGGATTCCGACTCGCGGCCTGGGCCACTGTCGGGTTGAGGAGTGTCGGAGGAATTAGGCGACGAGGAGAAGTGGCGGAGGGTGTAGGAGCGATGCCGGCGAGTGTATAAGTGGAGGTCAATGCGGAGTTGGAGGAGGCGATTAGAGATCCCAGCCATGCCGGCGGTGCGGCTGCGGCGGCGGCGGCGTTGGGGGGTTTTTAAAAGGGTTTTGCAGAAATCCCAACTATGACTCGAAATCCGGTCGATAACCATTTTTATAAAAATAACACTTTTTTTAAAATAAATATCTAAAAAATATTTTATTTACTTCGTCTAAACTAAAATTAATTTAAAAGTACGAGCAATATCTCATTAATAACATAATTATCTATTATATTGATTTTTATTTATTATTATTATTTTTTTTTATCAATTTTGAACTCTAATATTCCATTAATATTTCTGATCATATTGAAATTTCTTATAAATATTATTTAAATGAAAATTTATTAATTTTAATTGGATCACCGTCCCAAACACTAAATAAGACCGTATTGATTACCTTAAATTTTTTAACACGGTCCTGTCTTTTCTGTGTTCATACTTATTCAAAACATAGTCATGTTCATATCTATACCACACAATTATGTTCACAATCTCTTTTCAATATTTATTAAAATTATTTGATATATATGTATATATTTATAATTCAATATAAATAATTTTTGCAATCAATTTATAATACATTGTAAAAAAAATATTATTATAAGTATATGTATATTTTTAAATTATAAATATGTTATGAATAATACATGCATGTTCTCTGTTGACATAAGACAATGGTATCTTTCTTGGAGTTTGAATTTTAAGTTGAGATTTGAATAATAAAATTTTTAAATTTGAATAATTGTATAATGCGATATAAATAGGTGTTGATGTAATATTTTGAAAGTAAAATTAATTTTTAGTATAATATAAATAATGAAAAATATGTGTTTGATTTGATATTTTTTAGGAGAAAAATAATATGAATAATGTATTTAAAATCCAATTCCCAAACAAACACAATGAATGGTTCCTTAATTTCCGTGAGGGATGTGTGGGGAATAAATTTGTGATTGTGAGATTATGAGTTCAAACTTCGATGCCTCTAAGTCCATCTGCCACAAATGGTTCGTCTAGTAACTTACTTATCGGACTTAGTTACCCGGTACACATTTTAAATTACGAATTCCTATATTATAAAAAAAATAAAAAATAAAAAATTGTTCCTTTAAAAAAAAAGAGAGAATATATATTTAGTTGAGTATATATACAATAATTTAAACAAAGTATTTTATAAATAAATATATATATATATATTAAAAGTTTATAGTATTTGTTTAATAATTAAATTTGCCCAGCATTACTAAAACTATTTCAAATGCAACCTTGTTACATTACGGGTGTGTTTGTTTGGGGTTTGGATTTTGAGTTGGGATTTGAATAGTAAAAATTTTGAATTTGAATAGTTGTATGATGCGATATAAATAGGTGTTGATGTGATGTTTTGAATGTAAAATTGATTTTTAGTATAATATAAAAAATAAAAAATAAATATTTGATTTGATGTTTTTGTAGCAAAAAAAATTGGATGAATAGTGTAAATCCAATCCAATCCCCAAACAAACACACCCTCCATATATTTCTATTGCCATGAGATTATCAATATTGAAGAATTTGAATTATATGCTGATTTGTTAATAAATCCAGTATATGCCGAATTAATTATAGTAATTTAATAATAGTAAATAAATAAAGATAATAATATTATTAAGGATTGTGATTGGTTTAAAAAATGTTAAATACCAACATAATTTATTATTATTTTATAATTTGTTTTATATAATTTGTCATTTTTTAAATATAATTATATATTTTAATTATATTTTAAAATTTATAATCTATAATATTTTAATTTTAATTAAACTATGTAGTAATATTAATCTTAATTTATAATTACTTTTATTATATCATAATAATTTTATTTTATTTTTTTAAATATGTAACTACTAATGTTGCAATGGATAGGAAATAAATTTTTGGTCAAACACAATGACCTACAATTACAAATTATGCAAAAAAGATGGACCACGTTAAAAAAATTATATGTAATGAATTAAATTAATGAATAATATATATTTTTAATTACTTCGTAGAAATTGTGAAAATACTTTATAGACAATAGTAACGAAAATTATTGCCTATTTTACCGAATACATTGTCAAAACAATAATAATAAATAAATAAATAAATAAATAAGAAACAAATCTCTAAAACAGTAGCTTAAAGCGGCGTCGTTTATGCCACCGTATCATCCAACACAGGCATCATCTCCACTCCTCGGCTGCCACCTTCCAAAAACCACGCGTGTATCTCACGCGCCCCAACTGTGACTACTAACAAAATCTTAAATGACATATAATAAAAGTACTCAATATTAATTGGCAAAAAATATTTAATTGAGTGGTTTTTTTTTTTTTTTTTACCGTGACACGTGGAATTTAGAATATCATCTTAAAAGTGAAATTTTAATTACTGATTTTCCAAAATTGATTACAATTCGAAAAACCATTAAATTACATTCCATCGCTGTATTAAAAATAAAATTAATAATAATAAATAAATTAGGCACCAAAATGTATGTATGTATGTATGTATGTATGTATATCTGTGTGTGTATATATATAGAGACCGCAGATTTTGGTCGCCACCAGCATTCCATATTTCCAATCTCTTCTCCCTTTTAGGAACCCTCACGATTTCCTCTCTCTAGAGCCGAATCGGAGGCCGGCGGCGATGTGCGGCGCCGACGACCAGTGGGTGAGAGCCGCCATGGCGGACGACGCGGTGGTGGTGGAGGTTTTGCTGCGGTTGCACGATGGAGCGCCGAAACGGTCTCTTATGCCGCTGAAGTGGAGCGTGCGGCAACGGCGGTCCAGACCGGTTTCGAAGAAGAAGGAGGCTCAGAGAGCCAGTCCGGCGACGCCGCTGTCGTGGAGCGGTGCTACTTCTCTGAGCGGAGGCTCTGGCGGATCTGGCGGCGGCGGAGGCGGTGGAGATGAAGAGTCTAGTCGGCCGTCGATACAGAGCGTTTCCGTCGCGACGAGATCTAAGGTTTGTGCTCGAAAAGAAGCTTATGGTGCGATACGCCAGATTATTGTTCGTATTCCTGTGCGTATGCGTGTGATTGCTATGTGTATTTCGATTTTCCGGCGGGCGGCGGTGGTGAGTCAGCGTCAGAGTTAGTATCGCCGTATTGTCCTGCGAACGTGCCTTTTCGGTTTTATCTTTCCTTCATCCGTGCCTCGTGTCAGTTGTCATTCGGTGTTTTCTCATGAAATGACCAAAACACCCCTGGGGAAATCGATATTCTCTGCCAGCGTGTGGGAGAAGTCACGTCAGATTCAGCCATTCCCATGCCTTCTAGGTTTTCATTCTTCCGTCGCCGGTTTCGTCAGTTTCACAAACTGACTGTTTCAGAATCCGATCGGCGGACGGTTCCGTGATTTAACCGATCTGATGCTGCCGTCGATGCTGATGCCCTTCGAGTTTTCAATTTTTCAATCTCTTGTTATGGCTCGGTATTTGTGAAAGGGCAATCAATGAGAATATGTTTCTGTCTGTTTCTCCATTGTAGAAGGGGAAGCAAGTGGTGACGCCCAAAGGACTCGATATTGAATTTCTAGCCACTTTTCAGCCACCTACACACTATGCGTGTTGCCCTGAATTTACCAAGTAACCCTCAATTGAATTGACTTTTTCTGTCATTTCAATTCCCTACCAATTAAGGCTAAACTGTTTTCCCCAATCGTCGCTTATTAGTTAAAAAATTCCTTGGAACAGTAGAGTAGATTTCTTTATCATTAAAGCTCCGAATTATTTTATAGTGAAGGTTATGTTTGCCAATTTAGTTGAGGCGGTGGTGCGGCCGGTTTCCACGGTGGCGTGTTTTTACGGCAAATGGGCCTGCTTTGAGGTTGGTGTTCGGTGGGTGTGTAATTAGTGCTTATGCACTTTGGGAAAAGCTCTCACTGTGTAGTAACGAAGCATGAAAGTTTCTGAAGTTTATATAATTAATTGAGGGTGTGTAATCTTGTGTGGCTGGAGTATGTGGGCCTAGGCACGCGAACTCGTCTTATCAAGTTATGTATCCAGACATGCTTGTCTTCTTCGCCCAACCCTCTGACACCATTTTTTTTTTACACCCACAAAGCCAGCATTGTTTGGCACTGAACAACTGTACCGTATATAATTTGTTTAGTTTGTATTCCTTTTCTTTGTGGGTCCAATAAAGGATCCTTGTTGAAACTTTTAGTGGGTGAAAGTGAAGGCTATGGAAACTACAAAGTTTAGTAGAAGTTGTAATGTAGTGCAAAGTATGATAAGCTGTATATGTTGTGTGTTTATCATTGCCTATTAATGTTAGTCGTTTGCGAAGTTCATGTTTTCAACTTCTAAATTATTTTATTTCATCGAGTTTTACCTCTGAGTAATTATTTTCTCCTGAATAATTATTGGGTCCTCAGTACTTTGGCCATCTGTATGATTTTACCTTGTGGAATCTGGCTAATGTTCTGTTTGTCTATGGGGACATTGACTTTTAGAATAATTTTGTTTCTCGGTGGCTGATAATTGTCTTCGCATTTTCCTTCTATGCTGCAAGGACCACTGTATATGGCTTTGAATTGTGCACATGCTTCTGCATCTGCCTATTTATGAAATGTAGTGCTCTGCCTGCCTCTTAAGTGAGAATGGGTATCAGTTATTTGCAAAGTTATTGGTATGACAGAAGTACGTTTATATCTGTTTTGTTTAACTTTTAATTAGTGTCATAGACTGCACTTCAAGGAAAATTAATTCATTTAATTTGTAGAATGGGATCCTTCCCAGTTGAGTGGTCCATCTGCTAGTTTGTATTTATCATGCTTTCAAGTGGGGCACCACATCTATCACTTCTTGTTCTCAACTATGCCCTTGTAATCAATTATGTTGGGATTCAGAATCTGGACCATATATAGTGGTAAAGAACTAATGATAAAACTACCACAACTTGGACCTTGCATTTGTTCCTACTATTGGCCATATGATTTTCTGTATGCAGTTGCTACATACTCCTTAAGGCCTGTACTGATTTTCTGTTTTCACTTTTTGGTTCAGGTTAATAGTGATGGTGAAAGAACTGCACCAAAGAGATCCAGAAAGAAAAAGGTCAGTGAATTATCTATATTAAGAATTATTAAGAAGTACATTGATTCATGCCCTGGCATTGAATAAATATTCCTCTGTTAGCTGAAGAAACTTGTGTGAAGTTTTATGAATATTGATTACTACTTTAGCACCATAAGCGATGGTGGTATTCTGCAATTATAATTATAATCTGCGGAGCAACTACTAGCTAGCTGCACTGGGCATTGTATTATTAATTAAATGCCACTCCTTTTCTATGGGGAAATATGCAAGTCTACCATTGGGTATATCGTGGGAATTAAGGGTTGTTTACTTGGGTTTTGTTTTGGATTTTGGTTTGAACAGTCGTATAGATATGAGTTTGCATAGTAAACAAACTGAAACCAAATTCCAAATAAACAAGTCGTAATCTTTGTGGAACAAAAATCTATTTGCTGAACTAGCTGTATAACTTATAGAACCTAACCTAGTTGTGTTTATTTGTATGGATCATTTTCGAAATGTTGCACTGCATACAGACATAAAAATTTAGTCCACTTATCAATGATTCTAAATTATTCTTCATTTTATGATCATTTGCAGACCTTAGTAGAGCTTAGAGATGAAGAGAGATCATTGCTGAAGGAAAAAAGAGAACTTAAAAGGGTACTCTTCTTTTCACTCCCACATGATCCATTCACTGATATCATTCATGCACAATGACATTGATATGTTTTTTCTCTTCAGGATATCGCTGCGCTACGCCTGAATTTACAAAAAGAAAGGACTGCAAATGAAAAATTGAAAAGAATGAAGGTACATCTGCACCCTTTCTTCCATTTTCTGCTGCTTACTCTCGATAACCTACGTTGATTTATGAACTTCTTTTTGTTTTCCTATAATTTTAGAAATGCAATTTTTGAAGGATTTAAGTTGCGGTAATAGTCGTTGTTATGCATACAGGCCTTACATTTACCTCTGTAAATGAATCTTTCTGTTGGTAATTCCGATTATGTTTTCTCGAGGGAGGCCTTGTGAGAAAATTTCTCGGACGAAAACTAACCCAATATGATTGATTTCTTGTGCGCCAGATCGAGTCACAACCCCTTCCAGACCGAGAGCCAGAGGAATCAAACTTGGATCAACTTCAACAAATCACAGACGCCTCCTCAGCTTCAGCTTCCAATCGTATTTTTCCTACAATCTCCAGCAACAATGGTGCAATGCCACAGTCCTCCACACCAGATGTTCAACCCGACCAAAGAGCAGGCGGCGCAGCTGATCATAAGTTTGTCCTTCCTGATCTAAATCTACCCTTGGATGAGAATCCATATCCTGAAGCTTTTTGTGGATTCAGTTAGACAGACAGGTATTCGTGAATTATCTCCCCTGCTCAGCCAAAACCAAACATATATAGATAGCATCATACATTCTCTCCTATACAAAAATAAGAACTAACCTTGCTTTAGAATTCAGTCTTCTGCCATCTCTCTCTCTCTCTCTCTCTATATATATATAAATATGAGATATAGAACCGATCACACAGCATTTTGGGCTAGCTCTTCGACATGCTCGTGGGGAGAAAATTACGACATAGAATCTAATGTCGATGCTCGGGTGGTCAGCTTTTATCAAAAGCACAGCACCCACCCCATCAACATTCTTTTTTTGTTTTTGTTTTTTCATTGAATGCTTGTCTTGTAAGTTCGATCAACATGTGAATGTGGTTTCTTCCAAGTAAAATGTTTTTTCCTATCTTACATTTTGCAGCTTTCAAATATCGAGTAGAGTAGTTGATGTGATATTTTGCATGCATATTGGAGATATTTTGTATGAAAAAAATAAATAAAAGTTTATAATAGATGGATAGTATTAATTTGTAAAAGTGGTAGGTAGATCTGGCTGTGTTAGTTTTGTTAAAATATATCAAGTGTATTTTTATTATCTATCTGTGCTTTTGTTATTTTAGGTTCTTTTGAATTTGGAACATTTTGACTAGAAAATGTAAGTGAGTGATATTTTTGTTAACGAGGCTTTGAAATTTAAGTCGGGACCGGTTGAATATAATATTGTATTTATTAATATTATTTTAGTTTTGTTTATTCAAGCCGTACACATCCTTAAATGATAGGGAATATTTGGAGTTTGTATGGTTGGAAGTTCAGAAGTTGGGGTTGAGGTTGTAAATGCTAAAGTTTTTGAATTAATTATTATTATTATTATTATTTTTATGTTATATTTTTTATACTATAATATTAATTATTAATTGTATAAAAAGATAAATATAAATATTTAATTTAATATTTTTAAATAATACTTCCTCCATTTTATATATCTTGTAATATTTTTAAAAATTAGAAAATAATTAATCATATTTTATTCTATTATAGTATCGTTTAAAGAAACCAAGTAAATATATATATCACAATCCCCTAATTTTAAATTATCCTATTTTAATCATATTAAAATTTTAAATTATTCTAATAAATAATACTTATTTAAATTTATGGGTATATAAGGCGGGTGGAGGACAATCTATTAATATAAAATTTGTACGAAACACCTTATTGTTCAAGAGTAATGTTTGGTTCTAAATAAAATTTTAAATTACACAAGATTTATATAAATGAAAAATTTAAATATTTTTTAATAAAATAAATAAATAAATAAATAATCAATAATTTATTTTACAGTTATAAAAATTAGATGTCAATTTATCTCTAAAAAAAATTATAAAAATAAATGGTTATTAATTTATTTTATTCGAAAAAATTATTTAAAATATTTTACAATTTTTATTTGTATAAAACTTGTATAAATATTATATAATTTACCCTATTAAAAATTGGGCAAAATGAACACAGTTTTATCTTTTTCACCAAATAAAATGTTTTTTTTTTATTTGATATTTTTTGAAAAGAAAAATTAATAGTAAAAATATATGGTAAAATTTACAAAATAATACAATTCATTTTTTAAAAATAAATTATAAAACAGACACAGTAAAATATAAAACAAGAGCATGCCATTGTGTATGTACTATGCTTTCTTCACTCAACCTTATTTTTCAATTGCGCATTCCAAAAGGTAATACTCCCTGGCTCCCAAAAGTATAGTCTTATTGTTGTGTTGATAAAAAATAATGGTAAATGACTTGTTTGCCCTTTGAGTATATTAGTGTAAAAAATGTGATATGGTTATTTATGAAAATGAAACTATTGTTTTGGGACGGATAAAAATAGTAAACAAATTATTCTATTGGGACGGAGGGAGTAATAAACAATACAAAATATATTTTGACACAATTTTTCGATAAATCAGTCTGTTGGTCTATTGTTGGGCTAAACTGTTTGAGGACAACTTTTAGGATATTAGCAGGAATCTACATAGCCGGTGGGGGGTTGATATGCTTGTCTTGTAGTATTTGGCCAAAAGGTTGAGATTATTTTACCATAGGATGATGATAGAATGAGTATTGAATTACTATAACTATAAGATTGTTGGTTGCTTGATTCATTTCTAAATGAGTTGGTATATGTATTAATTATAGTTAGCTGCCTTCAAATAATGGATGGTTTAGTTGTTGTTGCATATTTTCCTTCTTTCGATTGTATGGTATTGCCAAGTGATTTGCACTAAATTTACATATAATATAGAACCTATGATATATATATTTGATAGAACATGCATCATTAGGAGGAGCCATATTGAATGATATATATATATAATAAACAATCAGCTTGTCCAATAACATAGTAAAAATTTATTTATGGGACTAACTTGATTGATCCAAACAAATAAATTACTAATAATTAATCATTCAAACTTCCTCTTATATCAATAACTAGGTAACTATCAGATTTTTTAGGCTAAATAAACTTGAAATAATACTCCCTCCGTCCATTTTCTAATGTCCTATTTGATATTTACACTCATTTTTAAGCAAATAACAAATTTATCCTTAATCTTATGTATAGAAAATGAAAGATGAAATAAAGTATGAGTAAAAGAGTAAATCTTGTCTATAAAAATAGTAAGAGACAATAATTGTTCGATATTCCAAATAGAAAAATAGGATGTTAGTTTGTGGAAAGAAAGAGTACTATATTCTACTCTATTATACTAAAGGAGGAAAAAAAGAAGAATTTGAATAGTAGCTCATCATGGCAAAAAAAGACGGTAACACAAGCATCTCGACTGTCATGAGCTTGATAAGGATATTAAACGAAGGTCCAGAAGTGTCCCTGAGGGGGTTTCGGGTGACAGCCTCGTCCAACGGGCTTTTTACGCCAGCCTGGCATAACCATAGCCATGCGTGAGTAAGTGAGTATATATACAATAACTAATTAAATTAAATTATTAGTAGTAATTCAAAATAAAAACCAATAATAAAATATTTTTGATATCTTGCTTCTATATTGTTGATTTCTTCTTTTAATCTACATGAATAATAAAAATATTTTATTGTCCTAATTTATTCAATAATCATCTTAATCCTTAAATTATCCTGAAAAATGTTTTAATAATCCTTTTGATTAGGTGTTTGTTTAACATATGCTTTGAATTATTTTTCTAAGGGTGCATTTATTTGGGGATTTTCTCCAAAATATACTATTCATTCAAAAAAATTTCCTCTAAAATATCAAATCAAATATAATTTTTTTTTTATATTATACTAAAAATTAATTTTACATTCAAAACACCACATCAACACCTATTTATATCACAATTATACAACTATTTCAATTCAAAATTTTACTATTTAAAATTTCAACGAAAAATCCAAACACCAAGCAAACACACTATATTTCTCATTCATATACATTAGTTTAATATTAACTTCATAGTACCAAAGGTGCCTTAATACATTTCAGTCATTTGGCTGAAAATAGCTCTCTTTAGGTAGAAGTATTAGTTTAATAGATAAACTTCATATTACCAAAGGTGCCTTAATACATTATAGTCATTTGGCTGAAAATAGCTCTCTTTAGGTACAAGTTTCGGAAAAAATTTGAAAATTTTTAAGAACAGTAAAAAGTTAAGGTATTTTATTTGATGTTTTGCCTTAATACATTATAGTCCCATGGGCGCCGCGGTGTTTGATGCGGATATTGCAATCTGCATGGTACACAAATGCAGATATTAATGTTGACATTGTTCCCGCAAAGCGTAATAACTCTAGTTCAAAAGAATTAGTTGGCGAAGATGAGACAAATCTGGTCGATCCACTTTTGACTGCATCGACATCAACCACATATCTTGGAAGCTTTTATGAGCCTAAAGATGTTTCGGAAGTTGATTTACTTATTGCTGTAGGTGAAGGGGCGGCGAAGAAGAAGAAGAAAAAGAAAAAAAAGCCTCCGAGAAGGGGAAGATTGAAAGAAAAATGCAGTTCTTTGTTGCAGATCTAAGACAATTCCGAGGACATTATGGATGGGCGTCTTAACCTTCCTTCTATTGATGTTTTTTGTATCATGAATCGACGACTTTAGCCACTACTAATGAAGTTTTGAAGTCATTACTTGCTGTTGTCAATCTTTGTCGAAGGATCGGGCAAGAGTTGCAGATAACTATATTTTCTTCAGATATTTTTGTACTATTAACTTTCGAGGGCATCAGGTAAGATTCTGAGGAAGTATTGATGAAGAAGTATGATAGGATTGTGATCTAGTAGTAATTTATGATAATGGTTTCATGTACATGGAGCTTTTCGGATTACACGATAACTCTATAAGCAGCGCAGACGATACACAAACCGGACCGTGAAGCGCTGCAACGAGGTAATATATCTCTTTAACATTACGTCGGCTTCATGTCCTGAAACATTGCATCCCACTTGATTTCTTCCGACCAATATTCGCCGTCTAGTGAATGAATCACAGAGCTCGAAAAGCTGCTATTCGAGGCGAGGTTCGTGAGCACATCCTTTCTGACAAACCCCGGCTCGACATTTCCCTCGGTCTCGACCCAGGTCAAGCTTTGGGTCGAGTCCGAGTTCCGGGAGTCGCCAACATGGCTCCCCTCGGTCAGCATCAGCATTCCGTGGCTGGGAACCGACAAAGGACTGCCACTCCTTGTCATCGGGGATTCTGATGCCCTGAGCCTCTTGTTCCTCTGCACCATAGCTACTTTCCATCTCAAGCTATGGTTCCTCGGAGGCACCACGGAAAGAGCCGACGATTTCTCACGATGAACCAATGCCCGGACGTGCCTGGCGAGATACTTCCTAGCTTGCTTGATCGCCAGCACAAGCCATAGGATCAACCGAACGTTTCTTCCTCCTCCGCCATTCTCTTCCCTCGCTAATTTGAGGATCTCCAAGCGATGTTTGGCAACTTTGACGCCCATGCTCTGAAGAAACTCGTGGCTGAAATAAGGTATGTCTTCTTGCACGAGCTCGTTATGGTTGAACATAAGAGTGTACTGATAGACGAGAGCCGGGTTGAGGTCGGTTCTCGAGAGCCACGAGAACCAATCCATGGCTTCCTTATTCATGGTAGTATAAGGAAGTAAAGGCTATAGTAGTTTATAATGAATAGAAAGTGGAAGTTTCTTGGGGGGGATGATGATAGGGACAAAAACCATTATTGGTTTGGTAGTTGAACTTGAGAGTGACAAAAGATAAAAGAGAAGAGCCCTTCTCTTAATTAAGACAAACTCCCTTTGCAAAAAGAGGGCAAGTGAGGGTCTTACTTTTTTCTATAACACAGAGTAAAGCTTAAGGCATGGATTCTTTGGAAGTAGTAGTTGTTATTACTACCATGTCTCTATTCTTGTGGAGATCAGCAAAAGTATCATCTATGGTTGGCCTAATTCACTGACTAAAAGTTATCTGTGTTCAGGTAGGGTTCTGATCTCAGTTCTCTTAGAGTTTAATTTATTTATTTATTTTGTTTACTATATTCTCTAAAAAAGTTGTTCTCATCTCTTATAAAATATTATATCTAGTTACTATTTATATACAAAATACAAACTAAATGCACCAAACACCAATAGGTGTTTTGGAGTTCACTGTTGAATTTAAATATTACATGGTTATCACAAGATTTTATAGTAGAAATAATATGAACAAAACATGATAAATTACAGGATATAATGTGATAATTATTGAGGGTCGCAGTAGTTGTTGATTAGGGTTAATCAACACAATGTAGAGCTCTAATTAGTCGCATGACATATGACACAATTGATTCCATCGTATATATCATATGTTAATACGGTAAAATACATATTATGAATTAACATTACATTATAATCTACATGTTATATGTTGTTTTAGTTGCAGCCATGTGTTGAGTATACTATTACAATTTGTTGGCTAGGATTAACACCTTAATCATTCCTCAAGTTTAGACATGATATTAAAATTACAATTTTCATTCACATGTATATGTATAGCTTAGTCTCTAAGGGATGGGTGTGGTGTTTGGTGGGGTTCAAAGGCATTTATGATCACTGCTCAGCTTTCCTCACCCGTTGCCATAAATGCCCTGACTACGCATGCATTTCACTTAGAATGGAAACTAAATGTTATAATTTTCTATATAAGTGTTTTACATTGAGAGGAGAATACTGAAATGCATCTCTATTTTTGTCTAAGATTTCAATGTTTCTTCAACTTCTTATTCAATATAGTGTAAAATAACATTATAAACCTATGCCAATGAATCATCCAAGACATATATAATTATACTAAGCAAAAGATTCATAAGATGAAATCAACATAGACATATTAAAGTTCAAAATCAAATACCCTAGACAGAAGAATCATAGATAGTGTTCTCCAATTCAAAGACATTTATAGTAACAATAAATTCAGTAACAGAGGTGGTAGTAGTAACTACTCATTTATCTTGAGACATTCAAGAACGTACGAATCTTAATTTATAATTATAATAATAATAAGTTGGTAAAAACATCAACATCATCATCATATCCCCCCTTCTCCCTAATTTCCAAATGTGTAGCAGCAATTCTTGTACTAAGCAGCAAGTCATCTTTAATATATATGACCAAAACAAGATGGCATCAAAGCATCAATAGGTGACAAGTAAGGGTGTAATAAAGGAGCCCTCCTACAGAAATAATATGGCAAGAGTAACAAACAACTTTAAAGTGTACGAAAGTGATAGAGTCATTCAAAAAAAAAAAAGTAGGGAGACAAATTGATTACCCCTCCATACTAAAGACATAGGCTTCCCCTTTCTCTCCATGCCCACTATTCAAAAATACCTAAATTCTAAAAACTAAATAAGTTCTTGGTGTGTGACACCAAAAACAATCAATCCCTCACCAATCAGACACAAAACATCCTAACAGTGAAGTGAAGAGCTGATCTTCCCAAAATAAGATCAGGGCTTCAAAGTTCAAACTCACTATAATAATAATAATAATAACAATAAGAATAATGCGGACGACTACGTGGTGTATAATCGAAGAAAAACAGAGAAGAGAAAATGGTTAATATTTAAAAGGAAAGGCTATGGTAAATCTTCAGGTTGGTTTCAAGTTCTGAAACATTGAATCCCACCTGATGTCTTCAACTACAGAGGGCCAATAGTGATCATACTCTTCATCCAGCTTCTGATCATCTCTTTGAAATTCAAACACAGCAGGGCTTGAAAAGCTGTTGATTCTTGAGCTAGGGAACATCACCGGGCTACCATTTGTGAGCAGAAGTGGTGCTCGGTTCTGCTGCTGGTTATTAGCCAGCAACAGCCTCTTGTTTTTCTTGATCATGGAGTTCTTCCGGCCAGTGCTGTAGCTTCCTGCAGGCACGATGGCCAGGGCAGACTCCTCGCAACGAATCCATGTCCTTAAATACTTTGAGAAACGGTTCTTAGTCCGTTTGATGGCAATCAGGATCTTAGACATGGGGTGTGCAATGCTTCCATTATACTTCTGAGCAAGCTTGAGAATTTCCAGCCTGTGTTTGGCTATGGAAACTCCCATGCTCTGGAGGAATTCATGGTTGAAGTAAGCCGTGTCGGCTTCTTCAAGCTCATTGTGTGAAAATATTAAGCCATAGTGATAGACTAGAGATGGGTCTAGGCCAGTTTTTGAGAGCCAAGTAAACCAGTCCATGGCCTCAAGTGTGTGTTCTATGCTAGTGTGAGATAAGCGTGCTTCTTATATCTATTGTATGCAGACACACTAATATAAAAGTGGTCGAATGATTTGATTCTAAAAATTGACTTGTTTTGTTTGTAGTGGAGGGTGCCTTTAGTGGGCATAGTGGTTGGAAACTTGAAACCATCTGCGTGGTTCCATTCAAGAATTTAACATAAAGTGAATCATAGCTTTTTGTAATATGAGTGAGAACTAAGAAATCAAGAAAGAAATGTTTATTGCCATCAATCACGCTTGGAGAAAAGGAACAGTTAGTGGGCTCAAGGGATGTGTTTCTTTTTCCTTTCATTGTATATAACACTAACTAACAACCCTGTCTGGCTGAAATGTGTATTTTTTATGGTTTCTATTAAGTTTTTTTCTTTTTCTTTTTTTAATTACTATTAGACAACTAAATCCAGAGAAAAATAAGAGAATATTATATCAAACATTATTTAAATTAAAAAAACAAACTTCCAAACTTCAAAGAAACACATGTATTTTTTCATAAAAGAAACCCAATAAACTTAAAAGAGTGCTTTCAATTAGAAGACTATATACTCAGTACATTTTATTTGAAAAAATTCCTTAATATAACCACATCTTTTCAAACTTTACACTAAATCAATATATATTTTTCATATTATTATAATTTAAAATATTCACATATATAATAATTAAAGGTATATATATGATAATTTAAAAAATTCAAACAAACATTTACCAAATAAGCTCTTATAATGACTTTATAAGAAAATGATAAAGTATTGTATCAAGAATTTTTTAATAATATTATATCTCAATTGAGTATAAAATTATAATAGCAATACATATGGGAAAAGGGAATCATTTTTGTTAGTCTCTATGAATCATCCAAACTGATAAGCTACATAATTTTCTTGTACCAAATACTCTCATGAAATATTCATAAAGCATATAAGATATTTTTAAGAATCTTTCCCAACCAGGCTCAAAGTCAAGCAAAGTGATCCTTAATAGATATCTTCCAATAAAGTTGATTGCATCCATCATAAGAAACCTACAGAATGAATTTCAGCAAACTAAGCTAGCCAATCAGTTGTTTAATGTTTTCTACAATTATTGTTGATTAAAGCATGAAAAGGCACACTAAGACACACCTGCATGATATGTGCCAAATAATTGAGAACAGAACAGTTAAAGTAACCCCTGTTATGAAAATTACTTGGAACCATAGATAACCTTTCTAGGAAGAGAATTTAGTGTTCAAACAGATAACAGCAACTTTATGTATATTATTCTACTACGATTTATTATGAAACTATTGATCAATAACCTCAGTAATGTGGACTATAATGGCACACTAACTACATCAACATGAGTTAACTCAAAATTTTTACAAGAATAACACAATCAATTTGATAAATAGACAGGAAATTCGTACCCATTCATTAGCATTGCTAAACTCCAGCAAGACCTAGAATATTTGTCGATGAAGCAGGCAATAGGGGACTTCACCAGCTGATATAGAGTAACAAGAAGGCTCCAGACACCAAATAGTTCCCCAAATACCTTAAATTTAACAAATTGTGACAAGAATTAGTTAGTCTGGTTAAATAATCAGCACAATACATGAGGACAGCAAACAATGATCAACAGGAAGTAACTTAACACAAAAATGGAGAAGGCGGAATGATAGATTAAAACTAAACATCAATTAACAGTTTCTCAAATTGCAACAGCAAATTCCATTTCCTATCAATTGTTAAGGTGAATATCGCGTCTAAGTGCACAGGCTATCAGTTTATGCCTCACATTATCAAATTCATTCACAAAACCTCCAGATTTCTCAGTCTTAGTCAGTCAGTTCTAGTGTTTCATTCGTTGTATTTGTTTCGAGTCAATTGGCGACTTCTAACAGTACAACAATGTTGAACTCGACGTACCTCAATCAGGCAGTTTTCCAGTACGAAATATGGCGAATTTGGAGGCCTCTGAATACCTAAATTCAATCCCATGGCTAGTCAGCAACTCCTCGAGCAATTTCTTAGCTCTGTCCGGCTCCGAGCTCTCGCATTCAATCTCGTAACTCGTTCCAAAACTAAAAAGCGTTTCGTCAATCTCCAATGTCAATCCATTCCACTCGTAAACACCCCTCACGTTTCTGAAACCCCCAAGACACACTAAACCTTCCGCATCCACCCCGAATTCACCTTTCACTCTCTTAATTATATCGGAGGATTCGATTTCGAGAAGGCGCCATGGTTCCGCCGCGCATTGGCGGCCAACGGCTGGGTCGATAGGCTCTTCCTGCTCTTCGATGCGGCTAATACCGGCGTAGATTCGAGGCTTGGATTTCAGACCGAGAATGCAGCGGGAATCGAGGTCGTAAAAGCGGAGACGGAGAGCTGCAAGGTTGGAGGCGAGCTTGGCTTCGGGACTGTCAAAGAATAAATTCTCTTGGAGATGAGTGCGGCGGTGGTGGGCGGCGAGGATACCGCAGAGGCGCTCGTGCGCGGCGGAGGTTGGGAGGCGGAGCTTCACCTCCACTTCCATCATCTGATAACCGCCGCAATATGAAACGGTGGCGGAGTATTCATGAAAAAAATAAACGGCCGTGATGCATTCTGGGCCCACTTTAAGCAACGGCCACGATGCATTCTGGCCAACTGCCCGCCCGCCCAGCAGAAGAGCAAGCAAAATAAAGTCCAGTAAATTACCCGACCCGGACCGGGCCATACCCGACCCGTTTACCAGCTCTACCAACCGTTCAAATTTCCAACCAAAATTTATCCATCGATCAAATTCCGTCACATGGGAAAAAAAATAAAAAAAAAGACTACAAATTCTAAGTTTGCTTACAAAGAGTGAATGATCTCAAAACAAAAGCTACCATAACTTTGACAAGAATGGAGTTCTACACGCCTTCTTTTTAACTATATCAATGGTAATAAGCTTTTATCAAAACAAACTTAAGACAAGACACCTTCGATTGTCGCGTCGAAGAACGATCGAGTACAAGCCTCGCTCAGAAGAGTTTGAATAGCAGCCCGCCGTGAGTGGCGAAGAAGGGCGCAAACACGAGCGACTCGACTGCCATCAGCTTGATGAGGATGTTCAGCGAAGGTCCGGAAGTGTCCTTGAGAGGGTCGCCGATGGTGTCGCCAATGACCGCTGCCTTGTGCGCATCCGATCCCTTCGGGCCGAGGGTTCTTGCATGGTTCGATGCGCCAGCCTGCCGAACACATTAATTATTACAAACTGTATATATTGATGGAATTAGTAAAGTAAAGAATATATCAATCAAGTTTCTTGCCTCAATGTACTTCTTAGCATTGTCCCATGCGCCACCGGTGTTTGACGCAGATATTGCAATCTGTAAATATGGGTAAATAGTCGAGCATAAGGGAAAAAAGTTAGAGCTTTTGAGCAATAACTGCGGCATACATACCTGGACGCCAGAAACAAGAGAACCGGCAAGTACACCAGAAAGGGTCTCAACGCCAAAGAAGGTTCCGACAATCAGAGGGGTGAGCATGACGAGAGCACCAGGGGGAATCATCTCTTTAATGGAAGCGTCTGTGGAGATTTTCACGCATGTGGCGTAATCTGGCTTGGTATGGCCCTCCATGAGGCCTGGAATAGTGTTGAATTGCCTTCGAACTTCCTCGACCATTTTCAAGGCGGCGCTGCCGACGCTCTTCATGGTCATGGCAGAGAACCAGTACGGAAGCATTGCACCAACGATTAGACCGATGAAGACTTTAGGGGTTAAAACATCAACTGTTGAGATCGCTGCTCGGCTGACAAAGGCGCCAAATAGTGCCAATGAGACGAGTGCGGCAGATCCAATAGCAAATCCCTGTAAAAAAAATTAAATTATCAAACACAGGGATCGCTATGTCGCATGGGCAAAAAGATTGCGAGAGCGTGTAGATAATTTCGAAGAACCTTCCCAATGGCAGCAGTGGTGTTCCCAGCTGCATCAAGTGCATCAGTTCTCTCACGAATCCGGTGGCTCATGCCGGCCATCTCAGCTATGCCTCCGGCATTATCACTGATGGGACCATAAGCATCAATGGCCAGCCCAGTGGCGATTGTGCTTAGCATTCCAAGAGCTGCAACGGCAATACCGTACATAGCCGCAAAGCTGAAACTGACAAAGATGCTAATTGCAATGGCAAAAATGGGAATTATAACTGATTTATATCCCAAGGCCAGGCCGAATATGACATTGGTTGCCGCACCAGTTCTGCAGGAATCGGCAACATCTTGCACGGGGCTGTATGCAAAAGTTCCAGAAACCAAGAACAAAATTAATCCAATAAAACAACAGAAACTAAAGGATGAACAAAAAAGTCTCGGAAATCAAAAACAACTTCTCAACCTGTATGCGTTGCTGGTGTAATACTCAGTCACGAATCCAATGATAAGTCCAGCCCAAAGTCCAACACAAACGCAAAGGAATAGCTGCCTGTAATAGAAACATTAAGTCAGATGCAACCTGATACCACAAATGCACGGCAAATTATACGCCTCTAAAATAAAGGCCATATTCAGACATAAAATTGAAATAAAGCGCAATATGCTACAATTTGAATATGCTTTCAAGGATCAGGTCTTACCAGTTCTTCACAACTTTCTGAGTACCAAAGTTGAAGATAGTGAAAGATGAAGGAAGGCACGTCCAGGTGACAATGGCAACTCCGATAGTCATAAGGACAGTAGAGATAATAAGTTGTTTCTTTAATGCAGGTTCGATTTCCTCAACACTCTTTATCTCAAAAAAGTCGGTAGCAAAAAGAGTGGTGATTAAGCAAACCAGAATGCCCATGGAGCTAATAAGTAGTGGATAATTCATTGCAGTGAAATCATGGGTGTTGCCAAAAGAAGATATGGAAGCCACAACAAGAGCAGCACACGATGATTCAGCATAAGAGCCAAAAAGATCGGATCCCATTCCAGCAATATCTCCAACATTATCGCCGACATTATCAGCAATCACCTGCAAAATAGAATTAGGTTACTAAAAATTCCTTTCGGTAGTAATGTTAACGCAAAGAGAATGGTGCTTACAGCAGGATTTCGAGGGTCATCTTCTGGAATGTTCCTTTCAACCTTTCCAACAAGATCTGCACCAACATCAGCTGCCTTTGTGTAAATGCCACCACCAACTCTCCCGAATAGAGCCATGGAGGAACCACCAAGACCATATCCAGTGATGGACTCAAAAAGGCCTTCCCAATCATCGCCATAGTAGAGCTTGAATAAGTTAATGGCAATATACAGAACCAACAACCCATTTGCAGCAAGGAGAAATCCCATAACTGCACCCGATCTGAATGCTGTAATGAAAGCTTTCCCAACACCTTTTCTAGCTTCCAGCGTTGTTCTTGCGTTAGCATAGGTTGCAATTTTCATCCCGAGGAAACCAGAGACCACAGAGGTGACAGCCCCGAGCAAGAAGGATGCTGTACTGAAGAGAGCAGTAGCAAGAGCTGGCTTGCAGAACTTCTTCTTATCGTATGTGCAAGGCTGGCTCTTGGTGCTGAAGCCCTCCACCGAGCCCAGGAACAAGAAGATAATGATTGCAAAAGCAACCATAAAAATACCCACATATTGATATTCCGTGAACAGAAAAGATGTTGCACCTGTTAAGCACCATAACATTAGCCTCAGTTAAAGCTAATCATTATTCGCTAAACTGAACAATATAAAATAAATCCAAAGGCACTGCAAGAAACTTCAGAATGTTAAACCAATGGTTTGCCATTCAACTGGAAACAAGCATTCCCACTAAACAAACCTAGAATGCATACATAAACTCAAATTATGAGAATTGAATCTTAGACCTAATAATATAACTTATGTGAAGTACCTAAAATAGAGCAGTAAGCAAAGCCACTGCATCAAGAATGCTTTAAGCTCTTAATACGAAAAATAGAAATATGATCTCACATCTAAAAATTTATCTTCTGGTATATATATATCATAAAGAATGTATTTCGTGGTGCACTTCTAAATTATAGGAGGGAAAAATTTCCCGTGAATGTGATAACTACATACAAGAAACATCAGCTTGTTTTATATAATATTTTTAACTCCTATTTCTTTGTAAAAAGATTAAAGAACCATAGTATCATATTTGTATACACATGTAAGATAAATAATTTTTTTAGGAATACTGAATCCTCGACAAAACCTGTGATAACAAACAACCATTACATCCAATTAGATACAACGAATATACCACCGAACACCTGGCAACCATATCTTCTAGGGAGGCGGAAAAAAATAATCATGTAAAAAGTTGAATAACAACCAATGGATGACATCAGAAAGATAGGTACCTCAAGCGCCTGACACATGTCCACAAATATACAATCCTTTCTTATTTCATTCCATGCTAATAATATATATATATATATATTCAAAGGGATTGGTTTCGTAAATTAAGACACAGAAAATCCCCAATTTCTTTAATCAGATACGAACTCCCCAGTTATTACTTTGTCGACATGATGCATTTGTTTATAATATTAATACAATCTTCCAAAATCTGGGAAACGTTAAACAAAATTAAACCCAACCATTCAGCGGTGCCAGCTCATATATATATTCTAGATTACAAAGATATATGCAACCCTAAGCCTTCATCCGCCGCCAAGAAAATCAAACCAAGCCAAAGACAAGAGGTTTTTCAAATTAGGTTTCAAAACAGAAACAGAGCATTGTGGCTTTCAATGGTATAAAGGGAGATTAGTTATATGGCTGAGGAATAAGGGGAAAAACCAGGTTCCCGAAGCCTTGGTACGTCACCCCCAACCAAATGTTCTTATCTGACTTCTGTGCTCGACAAGAACCCTTTCGGTAGACCGTAATAGTAAATCTTCATTCAATGATGATTAAATGAAATCAGCTTGGAAAATCAAAACTCCAAAACAAGTTCGTCCTATTCCCGATTTACAGTCAAACAGTTAAACATCTTATAAATCTCTTCCATATCCGGTTCTGCTTTTAGCTCCGCAACAAGAGTATTAAGACCAAAAAAACCACCGACAGTACTAATCGACAAGCACGCGCACATAAGCAGAAATAAACATTCATAACCTCATGCGCCAAACATATACATATATATGAGCAGAAATCAGATCCAAAAAAAAAAAATTCAGAAAAAAAAAACGAAGCTGTTCTGACCTTCAGAAATGGCGTTTTGGATCTCGGCACACTTCACGACAGCGTTGTTATCATTGATTCCATCTTCTTCCTCCAACAAGTAGTCTCCGTAACCATTTTTCCCGTTCTTCGCAGCCGAATCGCCCGTACTGTCCGGCGTGACCTTCACTTTTGACACGAGGAACCACTGAACCAGGGAGAACACGATTCCAATAACCGCACAAACCGGAATCACAATCTCCGTCCCTAGATCTGGAAGCAATGCCATTGGCGCCGGAACCCTAACTACCTCGCCGGAAAACGAGCAACACAGAAATACGAAATGAAGCGGAGGAGGTTAGAGCAAGCGGACCGCCACCCTATTTATAGTACCCAAAAGACGAAGGAATTGCGAGTGAGATTCTCGGCATAAAGAGGAGAATATTATTATACGCGAACGCCCACCGTAACAAATCTGTGGTCCTTTCGGATAGGGTTGAACAAATAATTTTTTATTAAATTCCTCGAAATTATAACACGTACTTGCCATGTAGACATGCTGTCACTGAAATAATTTGTATTTTAAATATTTAGTAATTGAATTTAAATCCAGCCGATAATAATAGGTAAGTAAATTTTCAGAAATGATAAAAATGTAAATTGAAATTGATTTGTAATATTATTTTAATGTAAATAAAGGTGCGTTTTCTTTAATATTTTTAAATTTTGAATTTGAATTTAAATAATACTATTTCATGAAAAAATTAATGTATTCTTATTCAACATTAGAAAAAAAATAAATTATAAATCAACTAAAAAGATAGAAAAGAGAACATACTTTTTTTATATAATATTCTAATAATAATAATAATAATAATATAACAATCATGTTGTATAAAAAAAATGGTATGTCTATTTTTTAACACAATCACAAGTACTTTCACTAAGAATATTTCAAAATTATTTTATTCATAAAAAAACTCATTTAAAATGGGCATAAAAATATTATATAATTTATTTTAGAATATTTATTTTTGTATTAGTTTTAGATAAGCAAAATCTAATTTTCAAAAAAAATTTCTTTCTGAGTTTTTTTTTTAATTAAGTATTAAATTTGAATAGTAAAAAACAAAAATAAATAAAAGGAACTCATTTTTTTAAAAAAATACTATACTATGCATACTTAGCCCAACTTGTCTAGACGAGATTGGGACAATTTATATATATATATATATAATATAAAAATTTAACGTCACTATCTTTTGGATAAATTTTTTATGAACCTAATAACCTGCAAATTAAAAATATTTTGAGAATATAATTAAATTAATAGATAGTAATTCAATGATTTTAAATATAACACAAAGAGTGTTTCAATAATATATAAGGATCGTCCACAATATAAAACAATAAGATAAATTCATTATAGTAGCATATAGCATATTGTGAGAAAAAAAAAAGAAAAAAAAGATGGTTGAATTCTAAAAGAAGAGTGTAAGATCGTTCACAGTATAAAATAATATTTTTTCTATTCATCAAATTTATTTTTATTTTTTTAAAATTGTCGACTAAATTTATTATATTATTAATTTTTAAAAAAAATGAATATTTAATTATTATATTTTATTCAATATTTATTTAAAATTATTGTATTATCCACTTGTCTGTCGAGCTTAAATTCTAAACTCTCAGATCACCTGACACACGTGGTTCATCTAAAGTGACTTGTCTATCCATTGAATTTTAAAGATAATTAAATAATAGAATTATGGTAGTTATGGTACAGTTGTCATAATGGCATTGATTGAGTTACGGAAGGGTAAAATGGGGAACACAAAATTTTGATGGAGGAGAATTATGTAATTTCGCATATGCAGAAAGAAAGTATCCGTTGACGGTAGATCAACTGCTTTATATGGAAAAGAACTACTAGTCTAATTTTCAGGAGACCATGGTGTTCGGATCCCGGAAAATCTCTATCGTTCGTATAAATGGGCGTTGGATAATGGATGGTGTAGATTTTATCAGGTGTTGAGGTCCTGTGGTCCCTTGAGAATACTTCCGTGTGAAACACTCGTACCAATTAGGTAAGAAGTTTCATGTGTAACAGCATTAAGGTGTAAAATCATTATTATTATTATTACAATTGCAATATTTAATGAATGTGGACCAACTCTTTAGTGTAACAAGTTGTCTGTTTCCCATTCATTCACATTGTGAAAGTTTGTTCAAAACATCTAAAGAAAATTAGGAACCAGTCTAATTTGAGGTTAGGAAAATTCTGAAAAATATAAATATACAGATATATATTAAAGGTGTGTTTGTTTTGGGGGGATTGGATTAGATTTTCACTGTTTATCCAAATTTTTTTCCCAAAAAAATCAAATCAAATACCTATTTTTCAATTTTTATATTATACTAAAAATCAATTTTATATTCAAAACATCACATTAACACCTATTTATATCACATCATACAACTATTCAAATTCAAAATTTTTACTATTCAAATCTCAACTCAAAATCCGAACCCCAAACAAACACATCCTTAAGTAAAAAATTAAAAATAAACTTTTGATATGATTTAAGTAAATAAAATGGAATAATTGGAACAACTTAAATACAAATGTATACCCCTCCGGTATTAGACCAATGTTTTTTTTGGATTCGTAGTAAATTAAAAGTCCCAAAATATAGTGTTATTGTGTTGGATACGAGATTTAAGAAATATTGATATTATATTGGTAATTGGTAAAAAGTAAGGATAAATGACTTTGTTGTCTTTGTGAGTGTATTAATATAAAAAGTAGTGGCAATTGTGTAATAATAATAAAAAAAAATATGGATAGTTTTATGGTGATATGGTTATTTATGGAAATGAGACCATTGTTTTGGGACGGACAAAAATGATAAATAAAATTATTGTATTTAAACGGAAGAAGTATTATTTTATTAGTTAGTAAAATTGTATAATACGATTTTAATATATTTTTTCCAATTACACTTAATGTACATATATATAATAATATGTTTGTAATATATAAAAGTTTAAAATATTTAGTATTAATGTGTAATTATTTTTACGATAGTAAAAATAAAAAAAAAATAAATGAGACGAACATAAATGATAAAAATAAATAATACTATATTTTTATCGTTAAATTCATTTGTAATACGTTAAAAGTTGAATTGCAAGTGATCTACACAATAACTTGTCTATAAACTCGACTTGGGTTAATTTAATTAATTGAATTAGGTGACACATAATAATGACCTTTAATCCTTGTTATATTCTTACACGCTTCAATGACAAACAAACAGTATTATATTTATATTTGCTCGTCTAGTTGAATTCAAATTGAGTAGCTAAGACTATATTTAGAAAAAACAAATTTGGATTTCTAGAGTAGTATTTGATAATGATATTTTGGAATAAAAATATGGTCGTATTTATTTGTAGGGTTTCCACAATATTTTTATACTCCCACCGTCCTATAGTTTGAATTGTGTTTGGAACGTAATTTGAAGAATATTGATATTATATTGATAGTGGGTAAAAAGTACGGGTAAAAATTTTTTTTGTCTTTGTGAGTGTATTAGTGTAAAATATAATGACAATTGTGTAATAATAATGAAAAAGTAAGGATAGTCTTATGGTAATATGATTATTTATGGAAATAAAACTATTGTTTTGGGACTGACAAAAATGGTAAACAAAACTATTATATTAAAAAATATGCAGTAGATTAATAAATAATAGTATTTTATTAATTAATGAAAATATGCCAGAGGTTTTGACATTTTTGTCATTTGACGTAATTGTATTATAATGGTATATTTGTAATATTTTGATATTGATGTATAATTATTTGTATTGAAATAGAAAAATAATATTTTGAAGTAAGACATACGAAAATGGTAAAAGATGTATTTTGAGTCGAAACGAAGAGTATATTCTACTAAAAATAAAAATTACATTTAAAATGTAAAATTAATATTTATTTATATTATGTTAAACAATTATTTTTATTTAAAGTTTTACAATTTAATACTCAAACCTTACAAACAAATACACCCTAAGTATTTGATATAACATCTTTTTAAAAAAAATCACTGTTAATAATAGTTTTATTAGTTTAAAAAGTGTAACATAGTCATATTAATATTTTCAATCAACAATTACAAATATACATATATATATATATATTAAAACTAACTATTTTAAATTAATTATAATTAGTTGTCTCATTGGACTTACATTTGGGCTGGGCCACAGTGAAATGCCATATTTTTTGGGCTCAATTGGGAATTTTAGCAGCCCAATAAGGCCCAATTGGGTTGCACAGGAAACCCGTGCAACCACCGAACGGCAAGACCCTATCAACAACTGCCACGTGTTAAAACAAATAACTAACTAGATAAGGAAGGACCGCCACAAATTACTGTTAAATTATTTTATGTTTTTTAATATATACTTATTTCATGATGTCACATAAATTTTTAATTTTAATTATATTTTTTATATTCACGCAGCTGGCGTGAGTTGTGTTAATCTTATCCCAACCTTATTTAATATCGCCATATTTAATTGCATTTTGAAAAGATAAATAAATAAAATTGATGGATAAGATATATGAGTTGATTATTATGAAATTTATTTTGAATTCATTTTATTGAATTATATAGACTATCATTAAATGTAAGTATTCAGTTATAATATAAATATCTTTGATTATAATTTCAATTAATGTACTCAATAATAAGATATTAATAATTTAATTAACATTTGCATGTCAAGTGAATAACAATGTGTTGTATACGAGATGACAAAACTAGGGCGTGTTCGTTTGTAAGATTTTGCCAAAATTTTACTATTTATCCTATTTTTTCCTCAAAAAATATTAAATCAAATATCTATTTTTTATTTTTTATATTATACTAAAAATTAATTTTACATTTAAAACATCACATCAACACCTATTTATATCACATTATTCAACTATTCAAATTCAAAATTTTTACTATTCAAATCTCAACTCAAAATTCAAACCCCCAAACAAACATTAGAAATTAAATACTCCCTTCCGTCTAAAATAATAGTCATATTGTGCTATTTTTCTCTATCTCAAAATAATAGTCACATTTCTATTTTTTTATAACTAATTTTTATATTTTTATAAAACTATTCTAATTTTTTCACAATAATTACATAAAGTAGAAATATTTAGATATTTTAGAAATATTTTTACTCATCTTATCAATATAATACTATTCTTTTCGTCCCAATACAATAGTCTTGTTTACCATTTTTATCCGTCCAAAAACAATAGTCTTATTTCCATAAATTATCATATCACCACAAAACTACCTTTACTTTTTTCATTTTTATTACACAAATGTTATTATTTTTTACAATAATACATTCACAAGGACAAAAAGGTCTTTTATCCATACTTTTTACCAACTATCAATATAATATCTATATTCGTTCAATCCTGTGTCAAACCCAATTAATACTATATTTATGGGATGGAGGAAGTATTATTTTTTAATTTTTGTGTCAATCCCAAATATCTCTATTATTTTGTAATGAAAGGAGTGCATATTTGCCATTACCTTATTTTACATTTAAACGGATCAACAATATATATTTTTATTTAATACTCCTTCGATTTTAATTCTTCGGCCGTTTTATAGTAAATTAAGAATAATAATATTTTATTAATTAATAAAAGTGTAAGAATTTTTAATATTTTTGTTTTATATAAGTAATCGTAGGTATAATAATATATTTGTAATTTGAGTAAAAATTAAAAATATTTTGATATTTTTGCATTGCATTTGTATTATGTTGTATATTATTCATATTGAGAGAAAAATATATGCAAAATGTTGAATTATAAATTAATGTTTTTAACAAAAATAGTAAGTGTGTTAAGGTATTAATAGAATGTATTTAATAAATAAAACTATTTGTTTTAAAAATATTATATTCAAAATTACACTTACAACAATCGTGCCGCTCTCATCGTCCACAGCAACAGCGGAATCGCCATGTCAGTGGTGGAAGAAGAAGAAGAAGAAGTGTTGATCGGTGCGATCGATCAAGGCACAACCAGCACACGCTTCATCATCTACGACCGCTCCGCGCGCGTAATTGCCTCGCACCAAGTCGAAGTCAAGCAATTCTATCCCCAATCAGGGTACGAATCAATCTCCCCCAATTTTTTCCATGTTAAGCTTCAAATATCCTTCGATTTCGAATGTTTTCGTTGCAACGATCGAATTTTCACCTGGTTGAGCTGATTGCGAGCTCTATAACTCTATTAATTCGATTTGTCAATGGTAGATGGGTGGAGCACGATCCTATGGAGATTCTCGAAAGCGTGAGAACATGTATTGCGAAGGCTGTAGAGAAGTCCGTCGGTAAAGGATTGAAAGCAATTGGCGTGACGAATCAGAGAGAAACCACTGTAGTATGGAGCAGATCCACAGGCTTACCACTCTACAACGCGATTGTTTGGATGGACGTCCGTACCAGTTCCATCTGCAGGTAACAGCAGCATTGAAACTTTTCTGATTCGACTCTAACTCCTTGAAATTGGATATGTATCTTCATTGTTCCATTAATTTCTAGAAATTTCTGTTCATTGATCTGGTGCAAATGCAATTGTATTGCAGTAATTTCTGATTATTATCCAAATATGATGCTGATTCTCTCCCTCTCTAATCTCTATATATAGAAAACTGGAGAAGGAATTACCAGGAGGAAGAACACATTTTACAGAACAATGCGGATTGCCAATAAGCACCTACTTCAGTGCACTGAAGCTACTATGGTTGTTCGAAAATGTCGAAAGAGTAACGGAAGCAGTGAACAATGGAGACGCCATGTTCGGCACCATCGACACTTGGCTAATCTGGAACATGACAGGTGGCAAAGAACACGGCCTACACGTCACGGATGTGTCGAATGCATCAAGAACAATGCTACTAAACATCAAGAAACTTGAATGGGACGAAACCATCCTCAACACCCTCAAGATCCCTCCACAAATCCTTCCAAAGATTGTAAGCAACGCCGAGGTTATAGGAATCATTGCGCGAGATTGGCCTCTTCCCGGGGTCCCAATCTCCGGTTGTCTCGGCGATCAGCACGCAGCCATGGTGGGACAGGGGTGTCGAAAAGGGGAAGCCAAGAGCACTTACGGGACAGGGGCTTTTATTCTTTTGAACACGGGCGATGAACTGGTCAAGTCGAAGCACGGTTTGCTGACCACTTTGGCGTATAAGCTCGGGCCTAAAGCATCTCCCAACTACGCTCTAGAAGGTTCCATTGCCATAGCCGGTGCAGCTGTGCAGTGGCTGAGGGACGGGTTGGGTATGATTGAGAGCGCGGGGGAGATGGAAGAGTTGGCGGGGCAGGTGGAGTCGAGTGGTGGAGCTTATTTTGTGCCGGCTTTTAATGGCCTTTTTGCTCCATGGTGGCGCGACGATGCTAGAGGGGTGTTTGTCGGCATCACGAGGGCAACAACGAAATGCCACATTGCTCGAGCCGTGCTCGAGAGCATGTGTTTTCAGGTTAAAGATGTGTTGAATGCGATGCATAAGGATGTCGATGGAATTGTCAATTATAAGGAGGAGTTTCTACTTAAAGTCGACGGAGGAGCAACCGCCAACAATCTTCTCATGCAAATTCAGGTATTCACCGTAAATTTTATAGTAAAAATAACTCTCAATTAAATATTAAAATACGTGTTGATTTATTATATTTATTTATTTAATTTCGCTTTGTACTATATATATATAAAATACTAATATATTTAAATTCACTGGCAAAATTCAAATAAATAACTTTGACATGACGAATGAAATATATATTGAAGGCGGTATTTTATTGTTAAATGACATTTCACGAGATATTTTATTAAGTGCGGTTATTTCACCAATTGAAATCTTGGCATAGGCGGACTTCTTGGGCAATGCGGTGGTCCGGCCAGCGGATGCAGAGACGACAGCGCTCGGAGCAGCTTATGCGGCTGGATTAGCAATCGGCGTATGGACAGAAGACGACATATTTTCATCGCCGGAGAGGGGTGCGACGGCTACCGATTTTCATCCAAGAATGGAAGAAGAGGTGAGGAAGAAGAAGATGGAATCATGGTGCAAAGCTGTTACCAAAAGTTTCGACTTAGCTGATCTCTCCCTTTAAGTAAACACAAGAAAGAAATTAAAACACACATCAGGTTTGCAGTAATCTTACAATCCCACCTTTTTCTTGTGTCTTTTATAGTTTTATACTATTGTATTTGTAATTTTGTAAGTTACGATTTTATACATATTTATTTCACGTAGTGTTGACAATTCTTTGTAAATTAAAAGACAAGACACGATGTTATCATAGACAATACATTATATATGTTAATATAATGTAAGGAAACACTGTCAACACACCATGTATGTTAGTGTGACATAAAGATTTATACTATTTATATTTTTTTATATGTGCCATTAACATATGGTTTAATTTTTTCAAATTAATACAGTAATATACGTGTGTTTTACTTTGTTTTTATTCAAATTTACATTAGATCGTAAAAAAAAAAAGAAATTATTATTTTTTAAAAACATAAAATATTATAACACCTTTTATATTTAGTTGTCTTAAAAAATAAAAAATACATATTCATATTAAAAACATCAACACGTAGTTAACCGTTACATAGAAGTGTGGAAAGTGTCAAAGTAGAGAATGACGCAAATAATGGGATCAAGATCAACACAACAGTGGCTACTACTTCAATATGAATCCTCTGACTTTAATTTGTTTCTTTCTTGGTTTGTATTACATTACATTACTTGTTGTCTGGTCTTTATTTTTTAACAACTTTTTGACCAATAATGATGTTCCTGTGATCACGACTAACAAAATACTATGAAGATGGCTTTAGAGTTGGAGTTGCGTTTGGGCCAATCCCACGCAACCTTATCAACATTTGAATCAATCTTAGGTTTGTTCATCATTGTTTTTAATTTCATAATAATAATAATAATAATAAGTTTAAAGTATGAATCCTATGGTTCTTACTTTTTTGCACACACTCTCGAACCCAATATCAAATACAAAATCCAATCTTTAAATGAAAAATGTTTTACCATTTGATTTATAAGAGTTTGACGATTTCATACCTGGTTTAGTTGGAACTGTCAATTGTTATCATCCTTCGATAAAAAATTATTACACAAAATATTTGCATTTTTTTTTCAATATACTTATTATACAAATTTTAAAACTTTTTTAGGCAAAATTGTTTATAATTGATTTCAAAATTCAGCATAAATCTTCTTTTTACTTTAAAAATGGTACGACGCTCTTATATTTTCAAAAAATATTGCATGAAATTTTTTTTTACATTTTTTTTTACGAAGAGAAGATAATTTTTCATCTACATAGTAGGAGGTTTTATACAATATTTTTAAAATTATTTTAAAGGAATGTCATACAATTTATGAATTTAGAGTGAATTTTGAAACTAAATTGGAGTTAAGATTTTTTTTTTTGTTTTTTTTATTTTTATTTTTTCTCTTATATATATAAAGCTATATTATTTTTTAATAAAATATAATGTCCAATCACTATTAAAATCTGAACCAAAACCACCTATTTTAATTAGGAGAGCAGGACCTCAGATCCAGGATCCTGTTGTAGCTTTCCAAGTCCCCCAGCTATTGTAATTATTTTTATTTAATATTTTAAAAAACTAATTAATTAATTAATACGACAGTATAAAAGCAGCAGCGGACATACCTTCTTCTCTGTTTTCCAATTCTTCACAATTCTCTCTCCCTCAACAATGGCTTCTCCTTCTCCTTCCAATTCCCCAAACCCTAACCCTAACCCTAACATCACCTTCGTCCAGGCCGATCCTTCCACATTCCGCGCCGTCGTGCAACGCCTCACCGGCGCGTCCTCCAGCGACATCAATCTCCACCAGCGCCGCCGCCGCACGGCGACGAAGCTCGATATTAACCTCTGTAGCATTAAAAAAGCCACCGCCGGAACATTTTCTCCGCCCGCAGGAAATCACAGCAGTAATTTCCCCGGCGAGATCAATTACAAAGTTGTGGCGTCGCCGGTGTCGACGCTGGAGTACGCGGCGCGTCGGAGCCCTAGGTCGCCGTCGGAGGAAGAGGAGGAAGCCATTGCTGAGAAGCGGTTTTATTTGCGCCCGAATCCGGGAGGATCCGACCCGCCGGAGCTCCTGCCTTTGTTCCCACTCCATTAAGCATAAGTATCTTACTCACATATCACATAAATATATATATACACACAATGATAAACTAGCTAGCTGAATATTATTATTATTATTATTATTATTATTATCATTATTATTATTATTATTATTTATTGTAATTTATTTGATTGATTAATTCCTAAATAATATACATATGTATGTGTGTATTTATACACATGGAATTCAGTACGTGTAGAGGTATTTTAGTGGTATAATCTTATTTATTGTGTACTTGAGATTTTATGCAATCATGATTAATTATTTACAATATAAATAACTGTTTGTAATTTCTGCTATTTTTCCATATGAAATGTAGGTGTGTTCTTTAGTATTTAGAAATTTTCGAAGTTTTATGGTTAATTATTAGCAATTTTGAAATTATTATTAACATACTTATTATTTTAATTTTAATTATTAGATATAAAAACAAACTCGTACTGGATTTTAAATAAATATATATATGATTGCATGATTTTAAAATATGGAACAAATACAAACAAAAACATTATTCCATATGGTTGTTCACTTTTTTATTTATTTAATTTTTTTACGCGAGAACTTGCAGACGCTACCCGAAAGTGCGCACCGGTAAACCCCCGGCCGAATTTAATACACTGCAAACCAGACCCGACAGCATATGGTTGTTCACTTGAATGCACAAAGCGTTACTACCTAAATAAATAGCCAAATTATCGTTCTTAGAAAGATATGGTTAGATGGATTAAATTTGAAGTATAATATTTATATATAATTTTTCAAAATTTTTGGGGTTAATTATATTTTGAAAGTATTTTGATATTCTAAAAATTTGTGTTGGTTGTAAAATAAATAATAATTTAAGGTGATTTTTTAAATATAAATTTTTTTTTTTATATAATAGTTTAAATAAAAACAAACATTTGATATAATATTACAAAAAAAATAATAATAATAGTATATAAATAAAGTTGAAAACACAAGAATATAAAATTCATTGATTTTTGAATATCATTTGAAAACAAGAGTTGTATTTGAGATGAGCAAGCAAGAATGTCATGTGAATTAGGTATGAATTTGCTTTGAAGTAAGGACCACTACAAAAATTGTTCCTATAGTTGTTTTTTCGATTAAATTTTGGTTGATATTTGCGCGGTTGGAAAAAATGTTCTCGGTGTACATCTCAAGAGATGTGTGTGTCGATTTTTTGAAGAGAGCAGCTCAAATTGTATTCTCACACTTTCATATTTCAATATCTTCGATAGTAAATTACGTTTGGATTAAAACTCCAAAATATAAGCTGGTACAGCCGAACTGAATTTTATTATGTTTATATTGTTCTTCGTCGCTATAATGGGTATTCACAGTCCGGCGTCCGCATCCAACGAATAAAAACGAAATGGAATTTTAGCATATTTCTTTTTCCAAAATTCATGTATTTTATACCCCCTATGTCCACCATCAATATAATCATCTTGTCATTTTAATTTGTGCAAATCCAAGCTATCTTATTTTTATTTTAGCAAAAGTAATTTTTATTTTAATAAAAAATATTTATACACTTTACACAATATTATAAATAATTCCATTAAAAAGTAAATGAGGTTTAAGGGTAAAATAATTTATTTTTATTTTTTTTAATTGTACTATTACTTATAAATACTAATATACTAAATTCATGTGCACAAAACAAATAGTTACATTTGCACCTCATGAAATAAGTATTATTTTTAATAAATATTCAAATACAGGAATTATCAGGAAAAAAATGCCAAAAATTGTGGTAAAGAAGAACAAATTAGACTAATTTAATACTATAAAGATAGATTATTATAATAATTTTAATATAGAATATTAATGTAGGCTATCTCTATCACAAATACAGTTCTTTAATTAATAGTAACATTCTTTATGTTTATTACATTCTGCCAGGATTTTTTATTAAAGATTTTTTATGGGTGTGTTTTTTATTATTATTATATTATTTTTTATTTTAAGGTTTGAATTTTGAATTAGAATTTGAATATTAAAAAAATTTGAATTTGAATGATAATGTAAAAATTGATTTTTAATATAATAAAAAAAATAAAAAAAAGTGTTTAATTTAATATTTTTAGAGAAAATTTAATTGGAATAGTTGAAGTCTTTCGAAATCCTCCGGATAAACACACCCTCTCTATATATATATAATATTATATTCAATTACAAACATATAACATTAAACACAAACCAAACACAACCAAAGTGTTGATTAATTCATCCGTATCTACCATTTCAAACAGAAGACAACTGTATCCTAAAAATACTTCTAGTTACATTCCAAAAGAAGTTCTAATATATGCAAACAACACTTTTAATGACATCTTGATTTAAACCAGAAATCCTAACACCATATATTCAAAATAGAAGAACAAAGTTAAAATCACCCCCCTCACCACCCACCCCCCCAAAAGAAGAAGGAAATCCTAATCAAGGGTTTGGGTGAATTAAGTCCAGATTGTTCAAGAACTTGTCAGATAAGTCAACATCTTTGCCAAATTCTACGTGTTGTTATCTCATGGCAAACATTGTTTGACTTACAGGCCATGTGGGGGTTAGAAAGAGGAAATTTAGCAATGACAGGGACCTGTAAGAAACTGAACATTGCTTTGAAGTTACAAGACAACCAAGTCTTTGCAAGAAAAGGGTCTTCATATTTGTACTAGATTGTGACATTGTCTGTCAAAGATCTTTATTAAATTCAGCACAACATCTCCTTGAGGGAGGGGTTTTCAAGGGCATATCTGTCCTTTTACCATGTGTGTTTGTTTGGGAGATTGGATTAGATTTCTACTATTCATCTCATTTTTTCCCCCCAAAAAACATCAAATCAAACACCTATTTTTCATTTTTTATATTATACTAAAAATAAATTTTACATTCAAAACATCACATCAACATCAGTTTATATCACATCATACAACTATTAAATTCAAAATTTTTACTATTCAAATCCCAACTTAAAATCCAAATCCCTAAACAAACACACCCTAGATCAAAGCTACAGGGAATGATTAAGGGGCTGAATTTGAACCGTGCTGAATTTTCAAATCAGCACCTATAATACATGCAAACAACATATGTTCTTATTACACACAGCACATGTTGTGTGTAATAGAAACATGTGTTGTTTGCTCAAAAGTATATATATTGTATAAAAATATGTCATGTGTTAAAATCAACTGTTGTGTGTGTTGTTTTTAACTATAGCATGTGTTGTTAATTAATATGTTGTATTTGTATTATATTAATATAAGAGGTATGTTTGCAGAAGTAATACAATGTATTGTTTGTGATTACATAGTGTGCTGTTAGTTTATGTGTTATGTTTGTACTATATTAATATAAGGAATGTGTTGCTTGAAGTAATACATTGTGTTGTTTATTATTACATACTGTGTTGTTCAGCACTGTGATTTTAAGCTGTGAACCTTATTATATTGTGGCTTAGGAAAACATAGAAGTAACTACCAAAGCAATATTCAATGAATCAAAAACTACCATCAAGACTAAATTAATAAACCAACAGAATTAGAATAATTGCCACTATGAAGATAAGGATTGCTTCACTTAATTTATAAAACTTTTACTTCATAAGCTTTCGCTTTCACACCAAGTCAAATTAGTTGCTTTCACTTCCAACATCATATTAGTTTTAGTAATTTTATTCTTCTTTCATACATATGTAATCACACATAAAGATATGTACGTATCAAAGATTAACAAAAAATAATAACTTGTCAAGGTGGAGAGACTAACCTTTAGACCCCTTTGAAGCAGCAGCAGCAGCTTCTTTTTTGAGCTGCTTTCAATGGAACTATGGAAGCTTAATTCGTATAACATGTATGAAGATCAGTTGTTCATCACCTGCAGGAGTTTCGAATAATCGATTAAAGGGAATTGTTTTGAAGATGCTAAAAGCACATATTGTTTTTGGTGCTCAAGTATTTTTACTTCACGGATGAACATATGAACTACAATTAACAAAAATACTACACACATAACACATGTTTTCAGTTTCCATTTCCTTACATGTCAAACCTAACCAAATCATAAGAAGAAAATGATGGATTGAAGATTTAGAACTAATGTGTTATGGAAACCAAGAGAAACAAGCAATTTCTGACTAATGAAACAGTCGCAGACGATTATGAAAATTGACTGGTTTTGATACTCACAAATTGCATCATACTTAAAGATATGGTACCTTATAATAAAGCTCCGCGCTTGCTTCTTTCTGATGATAAAAGCCTGTTTTGGTTATTCTTCGGCAGCCTCCCTATTAGACAAGATCAATCTAGATGACTGGGTGTAAAATTTGTCATTTATAAACCACACAAAGATTCAAGAAAATAACATCAAATAATCATAGTAGCAGTGATGAAGTGAACTTTTGAGATGTAAATGAAATATTTTGAAACCCATAGCAATGGCAAAAAATCGTTTTATTTGACATTGCAATGAACAAAGAATTTTGTCAATATATATATATATCAATAAATTAAATTAAAAAACCATAGTCATCTACAAAAATTAATGTGCAGGTGCACACCAAAACTCTTGCTTAACAGGAGTAGCAGGGACTTGTAAAGACTCATGCTGAAGCCAGTCTTTTGCACAGACGACGGCCTGGAGCATCTTAGGATTCAATGAAGTTAGATGGTTATCCAACACTCTCTCTCTTGTATCAAACACGGCTTCTCGGGTGACAATCGAAAGTGGAATTGATAGAACATCAGCAGCCAATTTGGCCAGAGTTGGATACCTTGATCTATTTTCTTCCCACCAAACCAAAACATCCCAATCTTGCCCACAGGGGAAAAGCGATTCTTCCAAATACTGATCTAATTCCGACTTCATGTGCTGTCCAAACAAAAATTCAGGGATATATATGTCGCAATCTGAAAAATCTGTAGTAATAAGACCATCATCTTGAGATAAGACCTCTGATTTCACCAAAGGATCAATGCTTTCTTCTGTAACAGAGGACGGGGGAGGGGGAAGGGACCCAACATAGTCGAAATATAGTTCGTGCAAGGCATGATCAACCGTCCTACTCCAAGCATCAGCATCCTCACCATATATCTTCTTAAAGGTGAACTCAACAAGTTTCATCTTGAATCTGGGATCCATTACAACAGAAATGGCTAAAACCATGCTGCAGCTCAACCAATATTTGGAGAATCTTTCAAGTAGCGGTTTTGTCAGGCCAGAAACTAAGTCGTCCTGGCTCACAGCAGCATGCATCAGTTGAACATGGATCTTACATGCTTCATGGAAAAATAAGTCGGCTGTTGGGTACACAGGTGAAGTTAGTATTCTGGCTGCATCGGCAAATACTTTCAAGCACTTGCACAGTGTTTCAACCTGTCTCCAGTCTTCCATTGTGAGGTTCGCCTTGTAATCGGGATCAGAAGCATCCAAACAAGAGAATACTTCCTTGAGTTCAATAGCTGCCTTCAACATTTCATAGGTTGAATTCCAATTTTTCAGATCATCCATAACAAGGTTTGATGTGCCGGGCACTTGAAGCTGCTGTTTCAATTGTGTGAATCTATCTTCATGAGTTCTTGAAGTTTTAACATGCTTCACACTGTACCGTATTTTCTCAACAGTTTCTTTCATAGACCTCATAGCATCCTGAGCAAGGTCTCGCAAAAGACGAGCAAAACAGTCATTAACTACCAGTTGATCATTGAGAATAACCGAATTCTTGATCAACTGTACGCTTTTAAGACTTTCTCTTATGTTTCCCTCGATGTAAGAACAATCAAGAGTGATCGTGAATAACTTATTCTCAGAGCTCCAATCAGCCAGACAACGAGCAATAGCATCCCTAAAGGCTGTATCTGAACCAGAAAAGCCTACTGGCACTGCATTCAAAATTCTCCTATGCATTTTCCAATCATGATCAATGAAGTGTCCGGTTAGAAGTACGTAAGACAAGTTCTGATTTGTGGTCCATACATCAACAGTAAGGTTAAGATGTCCTGGAATTTGACCGAGGAGCTCCTTAACTATATGCTTCTCCCTATGATAAATATCCATGATTTGATCCTCCAAGGCAGAGATGCTAGGAATGGCAAATTGTGGCTGAAGCATTTGAGTAAAAGAAACAAACCCAGGGTGTGTTACCATGTGAAGTGGATAGCCGTGCTGAATTATCATTTTTGCTAGTTCATGCCTGCAATCATCCACATTCAAATATGTACTTGCCACTGTTTTTGCTTGACGTGGCTTTCTCTTTTTGTCAGTTCCATTTGCAAAAATGTCTGTTTTTGGAACTGTTGTGCAAGGATTCAATAGATTGTTCGCCTGATCATTGTGTCGTTTGACAGGACAGATCCTCAAATCAATATGTCGTTTCAAGTGACTTGTGCCTGACATCTTCGAGCCCGACATGTAAGCAAATGATCTGTTGCATAATTTACAACAGGCCTTCCTGCAATCTGCACTAATAGTTACAATAGTGAAGTACTCCCAGACTGAGGATTTCTTCCTTCTGCGCTTGTTTGGCTGGACATCTGAATTTGCTGAATCACTTTGATTATTAGACATATCCATGGGGTACATCCTGAAAGTAGAACATAAAATAAGCTATAAATCCATTTGAATTGAGAAAATGTCTGTAATTACATGTAATGTGGGGAATAGTTTCATGTGCATAAGACCCAAGTACAAGCAGATATACCATCTCCTTACTCAAGAAAATTAACTTCTTACATAGCAAGACCTAGCCCTAGAATAGCGCCTCTGAAAAAAAAAAAAAAGAAAAGAATAGAGCAATGACATCCAATCCGAGATGCAGGGCAGCAATATAATGTCCACCAAAGTATACAGCCACACACATATGACAAAGCAAGCACACAAGAACGAAATTAAAAGGTTGCATTGGCATGCACTAAGGGAAACACTGCAATTTTCAGTGCAATAAGGATTATGTTTATAACTTTTTTCTAAATACATGTGCACATGTATATATATATATATATAATTTAAAAAGAAACGAGCATCATTTTGAGAAGGTGCCGCTCAGATGAAGACCTTTTGAAAGGAATTCCTTCAGCAGCATCTTGAGACAGCCAAAAAAATCACATGATCTTAGGTTTGACTTCCAGAGTGGAATGATAACTTACTTGGTAGAGCATTTACTGTAAAAAATTTGCTGTCATATTTCCATTTCACAGGCTATAACACTCGTCAGATTTCAAGCAACCTGCAGTCTATATAACTATTTTCTCCCAACATTGCAGGGCAGCAAATAAATTGAATGAATGTTTGCATCTACTAAAATCAATCCACTCATTTATTATGTAATGTATTCATTACACAATCTCAACAAACCTTAGCGGTACCATTTCAAATCGGCTTATTCCCCACATACTTTGGAAATGATTATAGCTGACACTGCCTATATTCTTGAGTGAGTGATTTTATAAAGGCGGACACATTGATCCTTCCAAATAGATTTCTACCTCTAAAAGGAGTGATACACTAACATATCAAAACAAATTTCCTCAAATCAACTAACTAATCCATTGTATTTTCACTCTTCTAACAATAAAAACATGGTTCACGTAATAAAAACGCAAGCACCATATTACCTTTCTCCGCTGCTTGAACAAACATTTTCAAAGAGGTAAAACCACTATCAGAACCAAAAGAAGCATCAATATTCAACAGAAACTGCACAACTTAATCCCCGTCAAGAGAGTTTTTCCATAAAAACCGATAAACCCTAATTCCATCATCCACGCACACCGCCACAGCAAGGTACACGTAATTACTTACATACACATACACATACACACACATACATACATAGAAAACGCCGGAAAAATATATAAACAAATAAACAAAACCGCAAGTCTCGAATGATATTCACGGACAGAAATACAGATGCCGACGGAAACACTTACAAAATCGGAGCGGAATCGCGCAACACAGGGTTTAGGGTTTTAGGATTTCCGTTAAGTTTCAAGAATTCCTCGTGGAGGGAGAAGCGAAGAGAGGATGATTAGTGATGGGCTTCGAAAACCAAAAACCCTAATTGGACTTCTCAATTGGAGCCTATTTGGATAACGTGTATGGACTTTATCATTGTTTTTATAGAAGCCTATTTGGATGCTTATAGAAACCGTGATGATTTTGCCTGCAATTGGATTAGGAAAATTATGATACGTTCAGATAATTATATTTAATAAAATTTGATTATAAAATATATTGAAATTCTAATAACAGGTGATTTGATAACATATTTGATTAAAATTTATTACTTATTTAATGCAGTGAAATTTTATTTACAAATAGTTCTATACTAAGTATTAAAGTAATAATAAAAATAATAGTATTTCATTCGATTTGGATTGGCTGATTAGATTAAAAAAATAATTTTGTAAATTATATAATTAATATAATTATATATATAAAGTTTACATTAATCAGCATGGGTGCTGAATGCTGATTACAATCCAAACTGATTTTTTTTATTATTATTATTGAAAAAATTAATAATTGTGATAAATAAATATAATAATTAAGGGTATAAAATAAAAAATATATAAGAATTCTTTAGTATTGTATTTGTCCGAGGGTTTGAATTTTTAGTTGAGAGTTGAATAGTAAAAATTTTGAATTTGAATAATTGTATGAAGTGATATAAATAGGTGTTGACGTGAATTGATTTTTAGTATAATATAAAAAATGAAAAATAAGTGTTTGATTTGATTTTTTTTTGTGGAAAAAAATTGAATGAATAGTTGATTGAAAATTCAATCCCCACACAAACACACAAAATTGACATCAAATATATATATATATATATAAAGAAAGTATAATTATTAAAACGATTACATACAAAATACATTCGAATAGTATTTATTTTAGAGGATGTATTATTTTATATTTTTATTTTGTATTTTAATAATTTAAAAATAAAAGTAAGGATATTAGATTACAACATATTAAATTATTTTGTATTTTTACTATTTTACGTATTTTTATTTTTAAAAAATAATACTCAACATTAAATTGTTATATAATCAATAAATATCAAAATAAAATAAATATAATTAAAAAGGACAGAATATTTTAAAATAAAATAAATAGAGAGGTACTATATTATATGCTCAAAATTTATTCAATTAACATAAAAAATTATAGGGTAATTTCGTAATATCCAAATCTTTAAAATGGTATTAGAATAGCAGTCGATTATTATTATTATTATTTTTTCTTGTAATAAGATATTAAATTTCAAATATATGTTTAAAAAACTTTATAATTTAAATAGCTGCAAAATAATTGGGCCGGTATGAATTGCCAGCCTACTTTATTAATGGGCTTATTACCATTAACACTAACTATATAAACCAGACCGACATTCGTTGCCGCTCAGAATTTCAAGCTTTCATCCGGAGGGGAGGGAATCTATGTCCCTGGACAAGAGTATGCCGTCGTGCTTCGAGCGCTGAATTGAGGTAAGATTTTTGTGAACTTATCCAATTTGGTGAATGCAAGTATGTTTAGGGTTTTGTAACGAGTTTCAATTTGTATAACGACGAAAAGGACATGCCTAAGCAGGAATACGTCGGCGTACTTCGAACGCTGCTAATTTCGGCGAATTGAGGTAAGATTTCTGTGAATTTATCCAAAATGACGAACTCAAGTACGTTATAATGTTTTGTAACGAGTTTCAATATGTATAACGACGAAAAGGACATGTGGAACAATCGTAGGAGCACTGATGGCGCCAGTGGGGAGCAAAACCGGCTTCTGCTCCTGCGTTTCCTGTGGAACCGTTTTAGACTATTGTGTCGAATAAGTCATGCTTGATGAGCGAGGAGGGAGTGGATGCAGCTTAATTTGAAGAGATACAGTGATTAGCTGAATTTGGATTCCTTGAGATGCAGAGGAAGGATATATCATATATACCTAATGAACATGTTCGGAAAATTATTCGGTATGCTCCTGTCTCTTTGGTTATACTGTTTTTAATTTGGAAGCTACAGTCTATAATCACTGTATTCAGTATGCTCTACATAGTTAAGAAATTAGTATTCGTTGATTCATATCACATCTGCACTCAATTTGAATTATGTTATTGCTATTTGTTGCCTGTTCTTGAATCATGTTATTGCTATATGTTGTCTATTAGAATTTGTTAAGATTCATATCACGTCTACATTCAATTTGAATTATGTTATTGCTATTTGTTGTCTATTAGAATCTGTTAAGAAATTATCAGTATGCTCCTGGTTCTTTGGTTGTTCTATCTTTTCTTTGGACAGCTCTAGTCTATAATCGTTGTATTTAGAGCATGCTTTAAATAGTTAAGAAATGACTATTTGTAGATTCGTATCACCTCTGCATTCAATTTGAATTATGCCATTGTTATATGTTGTCTATTCTCCCACCTGATACCAACAAAGTCCGAATGTAGGATACCATGAATGATTTTCTTATAGGTTCGATTCAATAAAATTCGGTAAGATTGTGGACACTCTCAGTTCAAATAACAGTTCTGTACACTAAATATAATCGTATGCTAACGAACTATATTTTGTCGATCAAAGTACATTGCAGGAGAGGAGCAAGAAAGCAGCAACAGCTAATCGAATCAATCTTCCACAGCACCTAACCGAATGAGCCAGAGATGTTTTCGGTATGTTTTGACTCCCGGATGTCGACACATGCTGGACAGACACCGGCTGCCCGGGTTTCGACATCCCACAATGTCCGATTCCGGCAACAGACAATGTGTCCAAATCATCTCCAAGCCCACTCTTAGCCTCATAACACAGCCCCAAATTATTCTCAAGCCTCAACTTTCTCCCCATTCTCCAAACCCTTTCTCTCCCAAAAGGAACAGCCCCTATCAGCCTGTTATTCTCCAGTCTCACTTCACTCAGCCCATTCAAGCTTGCCAGGCTCCCGGGAATCGTCCCGTTGAGCCGATTCCGGTCGAGACGGAGCACTCGGAGCGCAGGTAACTTCCCTATCGACTCAGGAATCGGGCCTTCCAGGCCCATATCGGATAATGTTAGTATTGTTAACTCATTCAGTCCCCTGAATGCATTTTCCGGGATGCTCGTAGACGGCATTCGGTTGCCGGTGAGAATCAGGGCCTGGATGGATTTCAGGCCCTGGAAAGATTCCGGGAATGGACCTGTCAGGGCGTTGTAGCTCAAGTCGAACAGGATCACCTCTTCCAGGGCGATCAGCCCTGGAATCGGCCCTGTAAACCGATTCCGGCTCAAATCAATTTTGACGAGACGCGTGCTCGTCAAAATCGGGCCTGGAATCGTCCCCGACAGGTGATTCTGGTTTAGGTCGAGTACGCTTAACTCTGGAAACGAAATTCCAGGGACCGAACCCGACAGCCTGTTGCAACTCAAATCCAGGGACCGTAATCCGACGATCCTGTTCAATGAAACAGGGATCGAACCGGAGAGACTGTTCTTGTGCAAGTCGAGAACCGTCAGTCCCGTCAGGTTTCCGAGCTCGTACGGGATTACCCCGACGTGCCCGTTCTCCCTGAGCACCAACGTCTGCAACGACGAGCCGAGACGGCCGAGGAAGCCCGGAATGGGCTGAGGGTTGTTGATCAGGCAGCGGTAGAAGAAGAGTGTACGGAGATGCGGTAGGCGGGTGATCGACGGGGATATCGAGGATCGGGGCAGGTCGCACGTCGGGAATGCGGTGTCGTCGGACAGGGCGCCGAACGACAGGGACACGACGTGGAAGACATTGTCCTTGTCAGGCATGCATTCGATGCCGTGCCATCGGCCGCGACAGACGTCGGCGATGTCGGTGGCCCAGTCGTTGCCAGTGGCGCGCATTATGTCGTAAACCGCCGCTTGCTCGGCGGGGTCGGTCGTGGCGGAGGCAGTGGCGGCGCCGGGGAGGGGGGACTGGGTACCGTTGGTTTGAGCGTTGGAAGAATCGGACATGATTATGGTGAATTGGGAAGACATTTGGGAGTTGAGGAGGAGAATTGGTAGTAAGAGTGGTGTAAGAAGAAAATATCTCATTTTGAGGAATAAGTTTGGGAGTTAAAAGCCATACTAGTGTGTGTATATATATGAATATATATACGTACAAGATATCCATTAATATGGTTGTCTGCTCGGTACTGGAATATAGGTTGAAAGGTTAATATAAATTTAATATATTATTATTTTTCTAAAAAAATATTTATATATATAAAAGAAATAGACACATGCAAGTGCAAGTGTGTGTGATTGGAATTAAAGGGTGAATGGAGGTTGGCAGGGTAGGGGAGGATTTATGGTGTATAGTGTAGACTATAGGGAGAGTATAATAATGAAGTCACGAGGATTGAGAGGGGCGTAATGAATGTAGAGGAAAGGAATATTGTTTTGGTGCATTTATGTCTCTCACGGAATTCATTCCCTTCTCTTCTCCCAATTTCGCCTCTCCATCAACCAGCCCCAAAATATTAAAATTAATGGCTAATATTTGACCTGACAATATAATGCCATTTTTTAGTTAAATACTTATAAAAAAGCTAGAGACATTTTACAAGTTCTATTTTATTATTATTATAAATTATGAAGTATAAGTGTTAAGTTTGTGGGTTTTTGTATTTTTATATTTTTATTAAATACTAATAATTTGAATATAATATTTTGTAAAAAAAAAACACATTAAAAAACTTAAAAAAAAAAAATACTCGTGTGGGAGTTGAATTTATGACGGTAAGATCATGAATTCAAACATCTGACGTCTCAGGTCACTTGCTATACATGACTACGTGCACTTTCGGCGAGTTCTCACGTCATTTAAAAAAAAAAAAAAAAAAACAACTTCGAATACAACATTTAGATTCAAGAAATAAAGGTTGGGAATGGTTATAAATCATAATGTTGACGGAAGAGATTCAATATCTACACTGAGAACAATTTAATTTGTAAAAATTAACTCTGACCATAAAGGTTTAAGGTTATGCTTCATAAAATCGTAAAATTCTTGGCTGATTATTCATTCACTAGAAGCAAACTGAGATTTTACAACACTAACACCTTACAATTATCGAAAAACACAGACAAGAAGACATCACAATTACAACAGACAACATCCCAGCAGCAGCAGATGCCAATTTCCAAAAAGAACAGCACCAAAAAACACCTACAAATGTGAAAAATAAAAATCATCCACGGACACCACCACCACATCCACAGCCTATCTTTTAAAATCCTATCCCATATCAAACAGAGACTCCTACAGTGTGTCATCTACACGACAGATACAAGTCTGACAACTCCTCCTCCTGTGTTTTCAATGGTACGTACGATTACTTACTACATTTAACATTAACATTAACAACACTCACTGGATTTTGGATCGATCACGCCTCCTCAACAGCTAATCGGAGTTGGAGAAGGTTGATGTGACGACGCCTGGTTATTACCATTGCTGCTGCTGTCGATCCCGTCTTCTTTCCCCTCCAAATTCTTTTCTTGATCCTGCACTTTCAAATTAGTTTTATTACCAACTCCATTCACTTCTGGTTCTGTAGCAGATTGCGGCGCTTCTGCTGCTGCACAGTTGATGTTCTCGGGATGGGCTCCGTTGGCTTCTTCTGCATTGAGCTTATCCTCCGGTTTGTCGACTACCAGTTTCTCTTCGACATTTGTAGAGTCTTCAGTCCCATTCTCTTTTCCAGTCTCATGGTTCTCAAGAGTCTCGGTCTTGCCATCTTTCTCAGCATCCTGCATAGATACGTCCTTCTCTATCTCCGCCTCCGTTTCCTTTGTGGGTAAATCTTCCGGAAGCTTCTCGTCACTCTTGGCCTCAGTTTCCTTTCCTTCGTCTTTTTTCTCATCGATTTTGGGTTCAGTTTCCTTTGCCTCGTTCTCCTTTTTGTCGTCACTTCCAGCCTCTTGCATTTCAGTTTCTTTCGCGCCCTCATCGATTGTCGGCTTTTCTTTCTTCTTAGAGGCGGATCTTTTGCCTCGCTTCACAGGTGGCTCGAGTTCCCTCGATGGAGGGGTTGCCCTGACCTTCTCGCTGATCCTCGCTGATCGTCTCGGAGTTTCGCCAGTGCCCCAGTCGAATTCTGCTAGTGATGGCCCTCCTTCATGGGTTTTCAGGTATTGCTCGAGCTGTTTGCGGTTGGTAATCTCCTCCCCAGTCGGAGCAATAAATAAGATCTCGTTCTTCCTTGGGGTGCCTCCCCTTTTCGGCAAATACTGAAGATTGAAATCAGAAACTACGTCAAGGGACAGAATAAGGATGATATTACAAAACAAGTAACACACGCATTGTGTCAATAAATTTACGGTACTTGCACACCCTTGGTAAATCTAAGTTGATAATACAATCTCATCATCGCAACACATCTACCCTCAGGTAATAAAATTATTGTTCAGAGATCAAAGTTTGGGGTTACGAATTTTAGATCTACCACTTGATGGAATAAGTATGACATACTAGAATGAAAAAACCTAAGTCGCTCATAACAGTTTCTTGTCGTGATCTATGCAACCACTAATACTCTATAAACGTTATAGAGTATGGACACGTATTTTAGCACACCTCAGTCCTAAAAGACTTTTAAAAGTGTAATTTTGTTAACGAAATAAACAAATGACAAGAAGTCCTACCAGCACAAGTTTCGATGAGGGCTCGCTTAAAAAGAACTAGACGACACAAATAATAATCACAGAATGTCACGAGCATCTTTCTAGATGGCAGAATAAAGCTAGAAACGGATGACGGCGGCACACCATTTCAGTAACTAACTGTCTAAGCACACAGAACAACATCCTAACAAATGAAAGGATCACAGCCCCCGCGGAAATTTCAAATCTGCAAAATTTACCACAACCAACAGAATTCAATATGGCTTTTTATCTTTTAACCTCCAACAATTCATTGGCACAGTCTTTGACTCTGTTACGAAAGATAAAGAAGAACACAAAAGGATTCACCTCAATTCAAAATCAGTAGGAAAGTATTTTCAAAACTACCTAAAAACTATAAGAAAATCCAGTTAGGAGAATTTGACAACAAAAGAGAAGAACAACCTGATTCCTTGCAAAGAAATAAATTATTCACACACTTTCAGTCCTTACCAGTACCACCACACCACCACCCCTTAAAAATAAAGAAAAAGGAAAGAATCTAGGTGTGTTTCTTCTCAGATCGGGTTTGGAGGTTTTGTATTTTTTATTTAAATAATATTTTGATGTGATGTTTTGTGTAGGGAAAAAATGTTTTTATTTATTTATTTATTTATTATTTTGTAAAAAACTGTATAGAGAAAGGAAGCAAACCCTAATTTCAATAAAACAATATTCTTCAATCTTCACATAAAAGGCCAAGTAAAAAATTGAGAAAACAAAATAAAATAAAGCCAATTTGATTTGCCTAAGACACCAAATATCATGCTCAAGAAAAATGGTGTCTTGTTCATCAACAAACACAAACAAATAATCCAGGAAGTGGACCTAGTAGTTTTTATTTTTTTTTTCAAACCTATTTATACAACAATCTGAAAAATTATTACCCACAACACTTGCAAATTACAGATTTATACAGAATTGCAACTAAAAAAATTCAAACCAAAGTTACCACAATTATTTCAGCAACACCTAAAAAAGAAATGCAATCTGACAAATTATTACACACAACACTTGCAAATTATAGATTTATTAAAGAAAATCAGCTAAAAAAGTTATCACAATTATTTCAAAAACACCTAAAAGAGAAATACAACAGAGAAAACGCATAATTAACCACTAATCTCAAAACCTAGCAGCTAAAAAGCACAGCAACCATGGAATTTACACAAACAGCATAAAAAACCTAAAAACTTGCAACAGATAAGCCAAACGCAGAACCGAAGACTGTAAAAAAGCGAAGCTCGCAAATATAACAGCGATGGAAACCAAAAGCACAAAATTAAGCCAAAAGATATACAAATTTTTTCCAGGAAGCAGGTGCGGGAAGCTCCACCGAAACGACATCGTCTTTTGGTCCAAGCTGAGTCTCCGCCATTCCTCCTAGCCTAAGGAACCGTAAAAGCACAAAAATCAACCAAATTACTGCAAAAAAGCACAAAAAAACAAGCAAATCAAGCAAAAACTTCAGACTGCCTACAGATTCTCACTGCTTACCGCGTTTTCTCGCTCTAAAAAATCCAATATGCTCCAGAGCTTAACCGCCACGACGCCTTCCTTCCTTCGAACAGTGAGATAATACCGAAAACTACCAAAAAAGCGACAAAAGGATTTTTCATCCGGAATCGGGGACGCACACGTGGTTAAATCCTAGCCGTTGATATGACCGTTGTGAGGATGTGTGCATTCTCAATCGAGGATTGGACACATGGCGCCATCCAGGAGGGGGTACGTTGAATTTCTGGTGACCCAGCGGCGCACGAGATAAATATCTCAGAATAGCTATATTTGGGCTATGGATTCGGCAGCTTCAGCGAGTGCGATCGACGGGGGATTTCTGACCGTTGGATTATTGCGGTGTGATCACGCGCTTGGGGTGCGATGCGGGGAGATATTTTTAAGACAGTGGTGAGGATAGCGTTCCCAAAATGGTTTAATTAACTGGATTGGAGAGAAGGCTTTGAGGTCCGGATGAGGATTGTAGTGGCATAATGCGGGAGGATAATGCCTGATGACGTGTCAATATACAATTGGGCCTTAATTAATTTTAATGGGCCTTTGAAAAGCCCAATTATAAAAGGCCGATTTAAAGGCTAACTATAAAACTTATTAACCCAAAAAGGATGTTTCCCTTTGTAAATGTATAACGGTGGTTAAAATAGTCAAATGAATATAGAAGTCATCCGCCATAAAAGAAGTAAAATAAAAAATAGTCTCACTTTTTCTTTTTATCATAAATTAAGTAAAATTTCATACCATTTTATTTTTTTCACTTTTATGTTACCAAAAAAAAATACATCCCATGTTCAAAAATATGCTTATTTTACTATTTTAATTTATCTATAAAAAAAAATGCTAATATATATATATATATATTAAAATATGTAGTACTTCGTTTTAAAACAATAATATTATTTTGTCTCTTTCAAAATAATAATTTTATTTTTATTTTTAATAACTACATCCCACCTTATTACATAACTATCTCACTCACTTATAAAGCATGAACATTTTTATGCTTTGAAAACACTTTTACACGTATTATCAATATAATATAATATTATTATTTTTTATTCTCGTATCCATCTTAAATATCTATATTTTTTTAAAAAATAACAAAGGGAGTATATTATTATTGTTACTATTATTTTTAATCTACTATTTTGTCATCTATTTACACAATTACATTTCTTACTTATTCTACTGTAATCCCAAAATTATTTACTCCTATGATATTCTAATTCTACACTTCACAACAATAATATTATTTGCCAAAATGTTTTAAACACAGTTTTAAAAGGGGATTTGTAGGTAATAACAGTTCATAAAATACATACTGATTTAATTTAGTCATATGCATTTAATTAAGCCATATGATCTTATTACTTACTACATGATTTTCAAACTTACAGACGAAATTAGAGCTTGTAAGATTGCTATGCTGTTACATCGAAATGTCTAAATTTACAAACATGTCAAAACCAATTCCAAAACTGATATACATATCTACATATATATATATATCTGTGTGTAAGAAGCAGAAGACTTATTTGAGGAATTAATTAAGAAGCTGCAGCAAGAGGAGGCCAATTAGATCCTTCTTGGAACAACTGGGAAGCTACTGAAGTATTTGCATGTTCGATTTTCGGGGCTTCGTCGTTCTCTTCATCCTCGACATCCCACAAGAATCGAGCATATGAGGCCAGGACATAGCTGCAACCCCATTTGTTAAAATATTTTATGAAAACTAAAAATTTGCATTATTATATAGGCAACAACATAAAATAGACTCCATATACTCAAATTTCAATAATCTATAAAATCAAATCTATTGAATATCTAAAATATCTCAACTAACATTAATATTTGGTAGGCATAGAGAGACAAATCACTTCTATGTTATTACGATTCATTACAAGTACGTGTGTGTTTTCCAGCTAAAATAAGAACCCTGTAAATGTTCTTCAATCCCCTTAAACTCATAGTGTCAAAACATTTTAAGCCAAAATAGATTTATCATCTCAAATTCTAAAATAAAATAAAACAAAACATCAATCTTGGCATAATTTTGAGGTCTAAGTAAAGAATCCTATCTAATTGAATATATGACTAACAGGGAATTTAAACTAAATAGACATTCGTAATTATCACAAACAAAATACTTTTAATAATGCATTCTTGGGATACTAATGTAATCAAGTAAATGCTATCTTAACTTTCCTGCAAGTATTTCAGCATTAAAAAATAATAGCTGAAATACTTTGCCTATATTTTCATACCTTTTTTGGAATTTTAACAATTTTCAGTAGTAACATTTTCAAAAAGATTCATATCTAATAGTTATCTCACAAAATATTACAAAATCTAACTTATATAACAATAATTTTGGATTTTCGTATTATTTCTTTTAAAAAACATCATCATTAAATATAATAATTATTTTTTTTACAAAGCATCAAAATTTTCAAAATCCTCCAAAAAAAAAAAAAAAAAGCTTTGTTAAACAAAGCCTAATATATTCAATATATGTTCTCAAGAGTGGTTCGAGCATATCTAAATGGAGATTATGTCTACAATATGACCAACATTCCATAAAACAAACATGTCAAAAGCAATTAATTTGTTCATCATCATTGGGATCAAGAAAAGTTAAACAAGAAAAGGAACAAAAGTTTTCTTACCAGTCATTGGGATCAGTATGAACAGCTTGATCAAAATAAGCCTCAGCTCTAATGGAATCCTTCTGCGTCAGCCATATTAGATCGGCGTAGTTTGATAGCACACTGCCATCACCAGGGTTAGCCAGAATTGCTCTACCATAATACTCCTCTGCTTTCACATAGTCCTTCTTCACCTAAACCACAATCAAGCCAGAACCAATTCTCTGTTAAAGAGATTCAAATTCTGAAATTTGTTTTCAACCCTAAATCGAATTCAAAACTCACCTGTTTCAAAAATTGAGCATAATTTGCCAACAGAAGAGCATTCCCAGGATTAGCTGCAATCATCGCCTCATAATACGTGTCAGTCTGCCCATGCCAGCTGTCCGGATCCTGCGATCCCCAACCCGAACCGTCGTCGGATCCTCTACCACCGCCTCCCACTGCGGAGCCGCCGCCGCCGCCTACTACGAGTGTCTGAGGAGTACTTTCCCTCTCCTTCGCGGAGAAACAGGACGATTGTTCCAACGGCGCGCCCAAACCTGAGCTGGACAGGAAGAAGGAGATGATTTCCCGTTCTTCGCTCTTCTCCTGAAGTTTCGACGGCTTCGGTGGCGGCGGCGGTGGCGGCGTCGCCGGCAGCCGCAGGCTCTTCTTCGGCTTGACGAGGTCTTTCAGATCTGAATCGATCGCCAATCGCGTCGGCGTGCTTCTCCCCGAACTATCATCCAGCGAGGTCGATAGGCACACCGATCGAGCTCTCGTCAGCTGCGGCAGCGAATCGCACTCCGGCGACGAACACACCGCCGTGGTGTTCGGCATCCATGAATTCAGCACAGGCGTCGACGAGCTTCTCAGCAACATTTTTCAACCCGACGGTTCCACCGCGGAGCTCCTTCGATCTCAGGAAGAGGAAAAAATGGCGTCAAATTTATAGATAAGACGTGACTGCAGGCGATGGAGATGGAGGTGGAGATGGAGATAGGAATGGCGGCACAGTAAATACAATTAACAATACAATACTATGTGCTGAAATTGATGGTCTTTGACCATATGAAACGTAATTTCTATTCAATGTTATTATAATTCAAATGACAGTTGAGTACTAATAACACATAAATCGTTAAATAAATCCCATATATTTAATTAAATACCTAAAATCAGCTATAGATTGTATAGCTTTGATTATGAACTTTGATTTTAATTTAGTATTGACTGAGTTAAATTAGATTCAACACAAATAGTAATTAAGTTAAACAAGAAATACATACTTTATCTATTCAGAATTTTTCATTCTTATATTTTAGTCTATCCATTCAAAAAAAAATTATAATAAATTACATATCACAAATATCAAAATGTTCATATTTTATTATAATATTATTATTTTTATACCGAAAAAAAAAAAGAAGTAAAATTATCTTTACATACATAATTTGTCCAAATTTAAATAAAATTCTAAGATATTTAAATTCACTTGTAAAAAATTAATTAGAAGATTATTAATGAACTGATTGCACTAATATAATTCTTAAAGCACATAATATAATTTAACATAATATAATATTTTGTCTATCTCAATTAAAAATATTTTTTTATTATTTTTGTCGGTTTCTTTCTAAAATGTTCTTTTATTATTTTAATAAAAATATATATTTAATGATCAATAAAATACTATTATTTCAAAAATTTTAAATAACATCATAATCTAAATCTACATATATTGTCCATTCTATTATGTTAACATAATAAAAATAAAATATACATAAATAACACATATTATAATAAAAACAATATAATTAAAAATTGATTGTATTAATTTAAAACAACTATATATTTTAATTTAACACACAAAAAAAAAAAAAAAAAAAACCCTGATTATATATTTTATATGTATTGAAGGATGAAATTTACCTTTCTCAGCAATGTAACCGAACAGTGGAGGAATCTTTGGGAGGAGAAATCGACAAATGATATTTCCCTAATTCTGTAATGATATCTTTTGATTTCCACAATTTCTTGTGTGGAGGAATTGCATTTGCGACCCGAATCAAACAAAATTGAAAATATCTTCTCATGGCTACTGTGATTAGTGATAATGATGAGATTGGCTACAACTGTCAGTCTATTTCTGGGGTCATCTGATTGTGGCTTGAAATTGCACCTGCATGTACGTATATATATTTATATACAGATTGTAAATTAAAAATCTTGATCATAGAAAAAAGATGATACTACAAATTAAGAATGATGTAATAAATCATATGATCATTTTTCAGGTGGAGGGAAAGAAACAACAAGAGAAGACAATGAATGAAATTCCTTTTCTTTTCTTTTCTTTTCTTTTACTGGTGTAGAAATGAAACTGAATTATTGAACCCTATTATTGCATAATGATCGAGATTTTTGCAGAGACTGACAAAGACAAGCAAACTACCACATTGCCACCTCCTTAATTCATGCTCTCACAAAAAGCTGTTCTTTAGGCAAATACTATGATTCACATTATAGTTTAGATATAGGCTGTTAGAGTACTAAATCTAAGTGCATCAAATGTATACAGAAAATACATAATAAATAAAGCCGCAAATATATACAATGCATGTAATAAATAAAATAACGATACATCATTTATATTAGTATAATACAAATATAAAGTATGAACGGACAATATGACAATAATTGATATTATTGATCTCAACTAATATCACATATGCAGCGTATTACACAAGTCATAATTGATCTCAACAAATATCACATATCAACACAGTACAAATATAATACTAAATTTGTCTTATATTTATTATCTTATCTTACTATTTCTATCCGACCAAAATTGTACTATTTAACATATCATATACTATCGTTATTATTATTATTACACAAATATAATTATCTTTTATCTTTTCACAATGACAATGAATTTTATTTAACAATTTATGTCAAACACAATATAATATTGATATTTCTTGTATCACAAAACTACGCTTCAATTGATTTGGGATTAAGAGAATATATAATTAACATCACATTTTAATAATATAGACCGATAAAGCTCAATCCAGTCAGCATGTACATCTATTTTGTATAAGCTAGTCTTCTAGTATAAACTTTAATCAAGATTGAAAGGAGCAAAATGTCAAATATTACATCCAAAAGCTAGTACTAAAAGCTTTTTCCTACAAACCATGGACAAACGTTGATGCTCATATTTCAGGCTTCAATAATTTAAAAATTATTTATTAGTTGATAGAATTTATGAGCCGTAGCATAAATGTATTATTTGGGCATTGTAAATTGGACTACAAAAATGATATCAATTATTCAATATCAAACGCAATCAATAGTCAGCAACTTTATTGTTTATCTAGCAGAAGGCAAAAAAGAATGATACCATCAGATGGAAAGTCATGTGGTTGAAGCTGGAAGGCAAGAATATTCTCTGTGAAAATTTCATAATGAAGTGAACCAATAATAAGTGATAAACGAATCTTGGTTTGCATATGTGAATTAAAGCAAGTTTAAAATACATGGACAACAAATACTCACTTGCCTTTTGATGTCTTTTGTTACATTGAAACAACTTATCTTGTCCATCCCATAAGCATGACGAGAAGAAAAGAGACATCCAAACAAGAACTGCAACAAAGATCTCCAAATTTTCTTGAAATATTGTCAATTTTTCTGTTGCACCTGATGATGACATAAAAGTTGATGATGAGATAATAAGAATTAGAATATCAGAGAGTGGTTTACATAATAATTTTTAAATTAAACAAAGGGCAGCAGAAAATCTTCCCAATGATGTCTAATTTGCAAGGGCATTTGAACTCAATACAAGCACAAGAATGATTGTGTTATCTGATCAATTGGGACTCTCAAAGAAATTTGAAAAATGAAAACATCTTGCATTGCTATTTCAAAGATTTGCCGGAGCCAGGCTCTCTCTAACAAGTTAAATAAATTCAAAACTCACCAATTTTTTTATGAAGTTATTCTAACTATGTATAATTTATATTTATTTATATTATATGTAATTTTATTCTTAAAAAAATTATATTATTCGTATTCAAATATATAATTTTTTAAAATAGTTAAACACATATTATAATGTTTTTTAACTAAATATATTAGCCAACCAGCATAGACTTTCCCATGTTTTGAAAGTGGGCTATATATGGGCTTACATATAGCCCACTTGCATTTTATGGGCTCAAATATTAATAATAATTAACATAAATAAATATATATTCGATAACCAGGCCCAATTAAAAGTACATATACTGTTACGAACGGTCGTACGGATATACATTATTCATACGCACATACTCTGCAACTGAAGAAATCAACAAGGGAACACAAATGGCGGAAACGAGTTCAGAACGAGTCGACTCAGTGGACTCGGATTTCCTTTACATCCTTCTTCGCAGATTGACTCTTGGGTATAACAATGCTCAGCACGCCGTCCTTAATCTCCGCCGTGATCTCCTCCGCCTTGGCATCTTCCGGCAGCACTACGCTGGCGTTGTAGTACCCGTAGCTGCTCGCCGCCGCCCAGTGCTCGTCGTCCGACGCTTCCTCCTCCTCTTTGTGCTCTCCTCGTATGCACAGAACTCCATCCTCCACCGTTATCTTCACGTCCTCCTTTCCCAGCCCTGGCACTTGGTACCGGAGCTTGTAGCAGTCGTCGTCCTCCTTCGCCTGACCGCCCAGAAATCGCGACGAGAAATTCTGCATCACTCGGTTTAGATTCTCCGTCGCTTGGATCAGAGCGTTTCCGAGTCCGGAGGGGAAGAATTCTGCGAGGTTTATGTTACATTTTTGCATAATTGTCAAAATTATATACTGTTAACATCTAAACTATCTATCGTAACCAAATTCGTTAAGCTCCATGCGTGATTGAGAATCTGAGATCGGAAATCGAATAGACCGAAAATTAGGTGCAGAGTTAGGGCTGGCTTAATCATTGAACACTTACCCCAAAGTGCAGGTACGATTTCTCGATTATTGTTCCGCCAGAGGCTTCGCCTGCCTCTCCTCCTCGAGGCGAGCTTCGATTTCTTACCGCCGTCAGCCACCGCCACCTCGCCGGCGGCGTCCGCAGGCTTCTCCTCCGCCGCCGACGAGAATCGCCATACCTGATTCCCCAAACTATTGATGCGAGTCTGCAAACAAACAGGAGACGGTTTCTGCTGCAAATTCCTGAGCGCCAAACGAACTAACGCCATGGTAAAACAACAAATGGATAATTACTGAAGCTTCCGATGATCGATCCACTACAAAAGAGTTGAAGATAGACAATAGGGTTTAAAAAGGGTTCAGTTCTTTCTGGAAAAGAAAGCAATAGAACTTTCCCGCTTATTCGTTTCGTCATTGCGGTTCGGGAGAGTGTTCCAGAGGGCTACTGAATGATGTCTCACTGATTCTTAGGAAGTCCTGGGAGTTGAAGTCCTGAGTAAATCTACACCGTAAATAATGGGCGGTGTAGATTGAATCGATGATCTTCACTATTTAATTTCCTTCGCATTACAGATCGGTCTAACAAATGTACCAATTCAATACTATTTTGAGAAGCTAATATTCAAATTTCATCCAAGAAATGTTATTTTCAATCATACAACCCTTCCTGCTCCCAAACGTTCACCAGAAAATCCACCATTTCCTGCCAGATATATGAAATTCAAAATCATCAGATCAATGTAATCTTTGTTTATTTAAGTATACATGAAAAAATTATTAAAAAATTACACTCAGAGGAACAGGTTGGAGGAAGGGCTTATAGCTGAGGACACCGTCGTAGATCGCATTCCAACTGTAAAACAAACAAACAATCATAGCAACATTCTTGAAATGCAAGGCACTTTGAAAAAGCTGTGCGAATTATTTCCTCTCAATTTGAATAATATTTGATAAGATATTTTTTGAATTTTTTAATGACTTATAAATTTTTGGTACCCTATTCTCGGGAGAATTTGTGATATACTAAGTTATGGGATTGCATAGATTCCATTAAAGCCGTATTCTACATGTATATATGAAATGAAATTCGGCATTCCTTTGACTACAGAGCACAGACACACACACATAATTCGATAAAGAATTCAGAAATCAATCTTCTTCCTTGTCTTTCAATATTACCAATAAGGTAGGGATGGGAGAAACGAGAAGATATTATTAGGGATCTGGTTCAATGTCTATCATACCCGGCAGATGATTAAAGCATCGAAAAATCATCCTTAATATAGAGATTGACAGCTATTTTCCATATGCAAGTTCCTGATTTCTAGCCAGAAATACTGAACACTGGAATACTGTATGGTTAAATCAGTTAGACTAAGTGATTTACCTTAACTTGGGGTCGAGCACCGGTTGAGATAGTCGTCTTGGCCTTTTGCACTCTAGCCATTTCTGTCTGGTCTGGTTCCAGAGAAGAAGCCCTGTACAGAAAAACATTTCAGCAAAAGATCTCATAAACCAGAATTTTAAATGCCAAAGGTAGGTTGGCAGTGATGATAGTAAAAGTGATTCACGTAAGGGTTTGGCAACGGCATAATAACAATGGCTATAAGGCGCGGCTAAGGCTTAATGCACGAAATTCCGATAACTTTTTGTTTTCTTCATAAAGGCCGTGACATATGCACAATTAAAACCTACATTATAAATGAAAAGGAGCAAGAAATAAGGTTTGTCTCATGATAATGCCGAATACAACTGGAACACAAATATCTTATTCCCATGTTCGTTTCTCACTGCATGAAAGAAAGCACAAATGAAATTCGACCAAAGCAAGACTAGCCTATGAAACACAAAATGAAAGAGGACCACACAGACATCAGTCGAGCAAATGTCTTACCATGATTTACAAATTTAGGCGGAGTGGTTGAACAATGGGCATCATGCACAGGGATCAGCATACGTATCAGTGAGCTACTACGAGTATTATTGTCAATCTCACAAGGATCGGCATCCCAAGAATCATCATATAGGGCAAGTTCTGAGGTTTCCACAAGGTGATTATTCTGCCCTTTGGGCGTCTCTTGATATGAGGAAGTCAGTTTGGCTTCATCACAGCCAAGGCAACGACTGCTCTGTTCCAAATGTCGATAGTGATAAGCAATCAATTTAAACTAATGTTCATAACCTAAGATGTCAATGTAACTTAAGGTGTAAAAGTATGAATTCCTCATCCACTATATTAATTTCTTGAGAAATCTTAGCTCATGAAAGGCGTAAACTGGCTAAAAGGTCCGACATCAACCAATGCATGAAATGGATAAATTCCAAAGGCACTTTAACATTACCTTTGTGCAGATCCAAGGAAGGGTCGAATATCCTCAAGCAATAGTTTTGGTAAAATTATCTGGCTACCGAAATTAATCCAAAACATCTTATGCCACTTAACATTGTGTCAGAAAGTTCAAACAAGTTATAATCTAAATACACACCAGACAACAAACATTAGCAAGTTATAATTCAAGGAAATTCAAGGCTATTGACAAATTGAATCGACAAACCCTAAAGCATAACAACAAAACTCCAATCCAAGACAACCACATCCATCGACACGATTTGAAATTACATACATAAAAGGAGCTGCAATAAACAGCCTAACTATATACTCAGCATCAGAAAACATGTTAGGAACTTCATTTTCTTTGCTTTTCATTTGATATATGATCTCTTCGTTTTCTAATCTTCAATAACATCAACGGATGCAAACCACAACAGCTAAAATGTCAAATCAAGGCAGACACATTATGATTAATTTCTAATCATTACCGCAACAACAATAACAAACTGAAATTACAAAAGGAGCAGTTGCACAAGCTACGCTTACCCCATACAGGCGATAATATGGAAAACCCAAGCTGCAACTGATCCGAATCGGAATAGCACACCCACCATAAAGAACAAATAGCACCAAAACTCAATTCAACCATAAAACCCCCAAATTCCTGGCAATTTCACCACAGCTTAGTCACTTACGCAGTTCGTCTAAAACAAAGCAACCATACCTCCGCCGTGTGCAGTCACGATTGAATTTATCTCAGCCGCGAATAATGCAATTCCGATCTTTCTATGCTTTTCCGTTCCTCAAATCTTTGCTTTGTGAGACTGTTACTTGGTACGTTTGTTTAGCGAAATTGTTAGAAAGAGATTTTATTTTTTATTTTTTATTTTTTTAAAGATACACTTAAGTTGGGAAAATCGTATAATAAGTGAAAGAACAAAGGGCCCGTTTCTTCTGCCCAAAACTCTGCATTTTACTATTTGAATTTTGTGTTTTTAAAAAAAATATATTTTTTATTTTACAAAATATTTTATTATATATTATTTTAATATCAAATACAAATCAAATTTTTTTCAAATTCAATATATTCAAAACTCAAAGTAGTATTTCAGTTGTGCCTTCTTTTTATTTATTTTCGTCTCATATAATTTGTGTTATTTTTATATTTGTTCTATTTATTGTCATTTCCACATAATTTAATTTTTTATAAAAATATAATTATACACTTTAATCATATTTTATAATTTATAATTTATTTTATTATTTCATTTTACTCAAGTTGGGTTCAGACAAAAAAATAAATAAATCCCATAAAATATCTAGTTGAGTCTTTTATACTATTATATAAAAAATTAATTTTATATTTAAAATATCAAACTATATACTTATTTAAATTTCAAATTTTTGCTATTTAATTTCTAAACTTAAAAGTCTGCCAATATAAAAGAATAAATAAATAAAAATTAGACATCTAATTTAATACTTTTAAAAAATTAACAATGTAAAATTTGAAAAATAAAATAAATATTTAATTATTGACTTTGTAAATTGATAAATTATATATTATATTTATATGTGTATATTGTTATTGAAAACAAAAAGAATCAATTGAGGGTGTGTTTGTTCGGATGTTTGGATTTTGAATTGAGATTTGAATAGTAAAAATTTTGAATTTAAATAGTTGTATGATGTGATATAAATAGGTGCTGATGTAATGTTTTGAATGTAAAATTGATTTTTAGTATAATATAAAAAATGAAAAATAGGTGTTTGATTTGATATTTTTGAAAAAGAAAAAGAAATGAATAGTGGATATAAAATCCAATCCCCCAGACAAACATGTATTCTCTCATCTTAAATATAATATCTCTCTTATGTAGATATTAGATAATTTATGAAAGATATGATTAATACTATAAAATTTATAATATGATTAAAATGTATATTTTTTAAGAAAAAATTAAAAACAACATAATAATAGGATGAAAAAAAAATTGCAAAACTATTAGTCAATCACATATGCTTTGTTTCACCAAATATGTTTGGATATAGTAATTTTTGGTGCCTGATAAAATGATATTAAAATAATATTTATATTTAAATTAAGGGTATAATTTTTATTTGAGTTGTTTATTTTATGAAAAGATAAAAAATAGTATGAATAATATAAAATACAATAATGTAATTTAATTTAATTTTTTTTAATGATAAGTTGTTTTTTTTTTTTTTTTTTTTTTTTTATATATTCTTTGTTTGGACTTAAACAAAGAATTATTTATTACTATATATTTGAAAGTTGTGAAATTATTTTAACATTTTTACAAAACCACATCAAATTTAATTATTTCTTCCTTTAAATTACATTCAATAAAATTAGTTTTTTTTTTTCACATATTTTAAACATAAACTTTAAAAAAATTAGTGTGTATAATTTGTATTTCAAGTTAAAATATTTACTATCTAACATAGGCATAGAGGTTTTAAATAAAAATATATTTTTTTATTAAATATATTATCAAAATACTATTTAAATTAAAAACAAATAAACTATAAAAAGACCTATAGGTGTGTTTGAAATTTGAATTTTATGTACGGATTTAGAATATAAAATTTTGAATTAAACAAAAATGTAATTTAATTAATTTTAATTTTAAGTATTTTTTAATAATATAAAAAAATAAAAATAAAATATTTGATTTAATCATTCAAACAAAATAATTTTAGAAAAAAATCTAAACAGACAACGTATATTAACAACTAATAATTCATCATCTAATTATATATATATATATATCTTTTTTCTTAATTAATTATTAATATTAAAAAAAAAGGAAAAAAAAAAAAGAAAAAGGAAAATTTATAACGGTAATAAAATTGTTTACTTCATCTCGTGCTATATATACATTTCATATCAGCGTATCCGCTCCCCCCTCTCGCTTCTAAGCCCTAGATCGGTTAGGGTTTATCGCTCATTCTCCGTTTCTCCGGTGATCTTATCTTTGAGGAGCTCTTTAGTTGGTTTCAAGGTACGAATCTTTTCTTTGACTTTGCTTCGTATGTATGTGTTATTAAATTTTACGTTCGGTTTTGGACTGAGATCCGGTGGTGCTTGTTTGAAGGAAAAATGGGTGAAGTTAAGGACAACGAAGCGTATGAGGAGGAGCTTCTCGATTACGAGGAAGAAGAGGACAAGGCCCCCGATTCAGTCAATGGAAAGGCCGGCGGGGAGGCGGTCAAAAAGTAAGTTCGATGCTATCTTGAAGTTTGGCTTCTATTCCTTTGGCGCGTGGTTTGTGGAGATTTATGAAATTTAAGGCACTAGGGTTTCGAGCATTCGTTAGATCTGTTCTTTGAGTGTCATAGGATATTTGAAGAACTAACCTTGTTTTGGGGATAGACTGTCACACTAGCTGTACTTGAGTTGTGAAGAAGGGAGATTTGTAGAGCTTATGGCTTTGCTTTGCTGTAGTTCTAAAACCAATTCAAAGGTCATTTTAAAGTAAATTTTAACTAGGGTTTTGAGCATTCTTGGATCTGCCTTCTGAGAGTGGGAAAATTAAAGAATTAACCTTATTATTGACAATTTACTTCGTCTATTTGCTGTACCTGATCTGTAAAAAAGCTGTCTTGTAAAGACTCTGACTTTTCTGAAGTTTTGCACTTGCAACCGATTTAAGGTTTGACCTTTTTTTAGGCTTTTCCGAACTCATTATAGAGTGTGATAGGGAGAGGGAGGGGGATTTTGCCCAGGATTTCATTTTTCTAATTTGAAGTTTAAACCAGAAATCACTGTAATTTTTTGATTTCAACTTGTGTGTTTTGAACCTTATAGCACTGTATAAGCTGCTTTGAGGAGGTGGGCCGAGTAGTTGTCTCGGGCTATGATATACTTTGGGGCTATATATGAACCGTGATGATTAGACAGTGTTAGAGAGTCTAGAAATTATAGTATTGGCTATTGATAGTTTGAATATGAATTGAAATAAGGATAATTATTAAAGTGCCATTATTTGTTTTCCTTTAAATGAAAGAGAAAGTATATTTAAAAAATTGTATCCTGTCGGATATGCTTTTTGAAAATGATTGGGGTGTATATTACATCCAAACCAAGTATTCATGTTGGCCCAAAAATTAATTCCCTTTATGTGAACTCATTCATTATTCTTTGATCTTCTTTATGAAAGTAACACTGCCAAATGCTATTTTGGTTTATTTATTATGCAAATTTTTGGGTTAGTGGTAGTCAGTTTGAATTTTATTCTTATTTTATCCTGCATTATTAAATGCGCATCTGGCTTGTTGAAATACGATATGAAAAAATTGCATGAATTTCATGTCATGATGCAGTAAAAACTCTGTACTTCCCTTCATTATCATATCGTTGATTCCTGATATCCTGGTGGTGTGCCTTTCTAAAGCCATTTCTGTACATCCTTTTCCGATGCAGGGGCTACGTTGGAATTCACAGTTCAGGCTTTAGAGATTTCTTATTGAAGCCAGAGCTACTTCGTGCTATTGTGGATTCTGGGTTTGAACATCCTTCAGAAGGTAAATTTAAGTTTTGACTGTTGTCTAGAAGCTCTACTTTATTTGTAATAAAAATATGCACTTATCCTAAGATTTTCCTTTTTGAAATATGGCTAACAGTTACATGATGAAAAAATATATATTTTTAACGTACAATTTGATAGGATGATGTTCTACTTTTGACATCACCAAAATCTTTCCTAATGCATTTAAAAATGTTTCATTTATTTTTCATGTATGGGCTTAGCAATTGCTAATATCTTGTCTGTTGTTTATAATTCTTCCAAATGTGCCTATACTCCAAATGAACCATGTTTCATTTTGAAGATTGTGCCTTTCATGAATCACCTCAGTCCATAGATAAAACAAAATCATTGACCACTTGCAAATTTTGAATCCCATGGAATGAGCAATCGGGTAAAAGAAAAAATGTTAACCAAAAGCACTTGTCTAGAAATTAGAAAGAACATGAAATAATTATTGCAGTCCTATCTGCACTCGGGTTTTCTCTTTGCAAATTTCTTCTTTAAGCCAACCCAGTAATTCAGTGTATATATTAATTTAGTTTTCTGTGTACTGTAGCTTTCTTGCAATAAGTGGTTTGTGATTGCTACCTGCCTTTGCAGTGTTCTTCTCAAAGAACAGCCTGGCACTCATGAGTCCTTGCAGAGCTGTATTTTGTTTGTCCTGCTTTAATTTTCCCCTTTCTTTTTGGAGTGTGTAGCATTAATGGAGTTGTAATATATTTTCATTTTGTTTGCCTTTTCCAGGTAACAGCTGTTCCCACTATCTTGTCTTCAATCCAAAAACTTGTCCAGTAAACCTTAACATTGAATGAATGTCAAAGAACATTTTTACTTAGAGATGGTTGGTTGTTTCCATTTTCATTGCTTCTCGTCAGTGCAACATGAGTGCATTCCCCAAGCCATCTTAGGAATGGATGTTATTTGTCAAGCAAAGTCCGGGATGGGCAAGACTGCAGTTTTTGTTCTGTCTACCCTTCAACAAATTGAACCGGTTGCTGGTCAAGTAGCTGCTCTTGTCCTTTGTCATACAAGAGAATTAGCGTACCAGGTACCCAACTGGTGATGTGTCATCTTTAGTTTTCAAATATAACTACTGAGATTTAGCACTAACTCAGGCTTTTATTTTTTTCTTCTTTCTAAATTATGGCAGATATGTAACGAGTTTCAGCGGTTTAGCACCTACTTGCCTGATGTTAAAGTGGCTGTGTTCTATGGTGGTGTCAACATCAAGGTTCACAAGGATTTACTAAAGAATGAGTGCCCCCATATCGTTGTGGGGACTCCTGGAAGAGTGTTAGCTCTTGCTAGAGACAAGGATCTCAGCTTAAAAAATGTGAGGCACTTCATTCTTGATGAGTGTGATAAGATGCTCGAGTCACTTGGTATGTTTCAATTCCTGCTCATGTGTTTAAATTTAACATTATGCTGTGCAACATAACATTTGATGTTGTGATTCTGTTAGACATGAGGAGAGATGTTCAAGAGATTTTCAAGTTGACCCCACATGATAAGCAAGTGATGATGTTCTCTGCTACTCTCAGTAAGGAGATTCGCCCAGTTTGCAAGAAGTTCATGCAAGATGTAATTTTCTAAAACTTCTAACTTGTTAAAACAAGCTTACATGCCTCCAAGTGAAGGATTACATATGTTAATTTAGACAAGTTATATGAGTTGGAATTTCTATTGTAGATAGACTTATGGTTCATATAATCTGTGTATTTGATAGCTGGGCCCAAGTTGTGTCAAATCTTGATTATTGTGATTCTTGTTTTTCCAGCCGATGGAAATTTATGTGGACGATGAAGCCAAATTGACTCTCCATGGGCTTGTACAGGTATAGAGGCAGCTGCGAGCTGGACCACTTATATAATACTGATTGCATTTTCTAATCATATGATTTATTTCATATTTCTCAGCATTACATCAAGCTGACAGAGCTGGAGAAGAACCGAAAGTTGAATGACCTTCTTGATGCCCTAGATTTTAACCAGGTTGTGATTTTTGTTAAAAGTGTTAGCCGAGCTGCTGAACTAAACAAACTACTCGTTGAGTGCAACTTCCCCTCCATCTGCATCCACTCTGGAATGTCGCAGGAAGAAAGGCAAGTATCTTTTATAAATATTACATCAGATATACAACATATATCTATTGTAAAATTCCCTGCCATCTCAACTCTGCTTGTGTACGATTCTTTCCAGGTTGACACGCTACAAAGGTTTCAAAGAGGGCCTCAAAAGGATATTAGTTGCAACTGATTTAGTGGGAAGAGGAATCGACATTGAGCGTGTCAATATTGTCATAAATTACGATATGCCAGATTCTGCTGATACTTACCTTCACAGGGTATGCCCTTAATCTCCATGAATACCCCTGATTCTATTACAGCCTCTATTGTTCCTCGGATCATGTAATTAAATAATCCGCTTTAACAGGTCGGCCGAGCTGGTCGCTTTGGCACCAAAGGGCTTGCAATCACATTTGTTTCATCTGCATCAGATTCTGATGTACTAAATCAGGTCAATCCGCCGACATTTGCCTTATATCTGCATGATTCTTTGTCGTTTCTTTCAAGTTTTACTTACATCCAATCATCGAAGCAGGTTCAAGAAAGGTTTGAGGTGGACATAAAGGAGCTCCCCGAACAAATCGACACCGCCACATACAGTATGCATCTACCCTCTCTTCTAACTATAATTTTAAAAAGTAAGTTCCTTATGTTAACCTCGCCTAACAACCTTATTTTCATTGTTCTCAGTGCCATCATAACTTATGTCTGGTGACACACCCACAGACCACTCTCACCTTTGTGTGATGCATGAGCTCAGATCGATAGACTTCCTACAATCCTGGAGGATAAGGGGAGGATTTATTTATATAAGTTAATTTTCTATATATTTGAGAGAAATAGATCGATTGTGTTGTACTATTGATAAATTTTGGATGGAACTTCTAGCTCGTCATCTTCATGATTTTAGCCCCCTTGTCGTTGTGGTTTCTTTGATATAGGAGGTTTCGTCTTCTAGTACCTGTTATAACATCAACAAGCTTAAGTAGACTTACCGGGATTTGTTTTCGAAAATGCATGGTATTTGTATGTAGCTATCTGTTATTTGTAGCTACTCTTGCCCAGAAAAGTTTGCTTTTTTGGCTTTTATGTTCATGAGTGAAGTTTGGTATTGATGTTTGGGGTTTCCCAGCAGCAGATGATGCAATGGAAAGATATTGGACGGCGGGAGGTATTTGGCGTGGGAATCCTTTTATCTATGGTAATTTCTCCAGGACAGGGAATCCCGGCGTTTAAAGCTGGGGTTTGTTTGGGCGTGCTGTGACAACGGAAAGACGATAACCGGAGGTGAGTGGTGTGTTCGTGTTAATTGGATAGGCTTCGATTGCTGTCTCTTGAAAGTTCATCATTTGCGCCATCACGAAGGCATGAATTCAAGCAAAGGGCTCAAGTTTAGGGTTGCATTTTGAATGCTTTTAAATCTGTTTTTCATTATTCACCAAAAGTTCTTTCTAAAACACGGTCGGTTGATTGTGTTTACTTGTAAAATTATAGTTATGAATAGTAAAATTTTGAATTGAATAGTTACTTAATGTGTATAATTGTTATAAATATATAATGTTTTGAATATAAAATTTAAATTAAATATATGATGTAATATTTTTAAGAAAAAATTAAGAGTAGTGAAAGGTCAAAACATTATAAATGAATACACCCATATTCGTTCTCTAGAGATCGTCTGGTGGCGTAAGATAGATTTATTATTGTTAAGATTATGATTTTAAATTTTCTACGAGTCTAAGTTTATGTTTATAAAAAAATAAGTTTGAATCTTAGTCTAAGGAAATATATATATATACACACCACATACCTAAAATATTTTAGCAATCATATATTTAAATTTTTTAGCATATCCTCAATTTTTGGGTTTTTATAATTGTTTAAATTAAACATATTTAGTTAGTGATTTTTTTCAATAATAGTGTAGATGTTGATAAAAAAAAAAAAAAAAAACTGTATTATTTAAATAAATGTTTGTAAAAAATTAAATACTAAAAAATTTAACAAAAGAAATAATTAAATGTATTAATATTTTATTTAATTTATAAGATATTAATATAAAAAATCATATTTTAAATTTATTTAATTTTTTTTTTAAATAGTAAAATATATATTATATATATATTTAGAACGGTGTAAAATAAAAAAAATTATTTTTAAAATATTATCATACGCCCTACCGCACAGGATCGCTGAAGACCTAAAAACTCAAAACCCTGCTGGTGCTCAGACAACTGCAAGTCTGGAACATCTTCCAAGCCTCTGCCCAAATTCTTCACTTGATACAGTTAGTCTCAATCCATTTCTCCGAGTTTTGTTCGATAAATTCCTTTCGTGTCATCGGAGAAGGTGATTGATTATCTAAAACAAACGTTCGTGATTCATTTCTGATTATAGATGCTACTATTTTTAACGGTTGTTCTTTAGTGACAGTAATTTGATTATGTCCCGATGAAATTGTTTGATAAGATTGGAGAAATATTGTTCTAGAGGCATGATTTGGTTGCTTAATCGTGTTTCTGTGTGTTTTTCCCCACTGCATTGAGAAAGCACATTCTGTGTAATGTATGAACCTGGTGAAGTAGATGAACTTGCGCTGGTTGAGTAGGTCTCATGTCCAAAGCTATTCTCTCTCTGCTCAAACCTCTAAACCAATGCCTGCGCAAGAGGAAACCATCTCGAAAAATCCTTGTGTCGCCTGATTGCAGAAAGTTTGCAAATGAAGTCTGTAAAATTCTAAGAACCGAAGAAAAATGGTGGGAAAAAGCTCTTGAGGACCGGTTTTTTGAAGAGGGGGTTGCGCCGTCGGAAGTTGCACACCTAGTGTTCGATAAAATTCGTGACTATGAGTTGGGGCTTAAATTCTTTGATTTTGTCTCGCAGAATAGTTATTCACTTGATGGATTAGCATATTCTTCGCTCCTCAAGCTCTTGGCTGGGTCGAAAGTGTTTACAGAAGTAGAAAAAGTGTTAGTTGAGTGTATGCAGTCTGAGGAGAAGCTGCCAAGCTCTGATGCTATGGGTGCTGTAATCTGCGCTTATGCAGAGTCGGGTATGGCTTCGAAAGCTTTAGAGTTGTATTCCTTTGTGTTGAAAACATACAATGTGTTGCCTGATTTATTGGCCTGTAACTCTTTGCTTAATGTGTTTGTGAAAGATGGAAATATGAAAGTGGCTTGGTTGGTGTACGGCGAGATGGCGAGGAGAGACCGTGGTGGTGAGGATGGTTGTTTGGACAACTATAGTGTGTGTATTATGGTGAAAGGATTGTGCAAAGAAGGAAAAGTCGAAGATGGTAGAAGGTTGATTGAGAAAAGATGGGGGAAGAATTGCATTCCGAATATTGTGTTTTATAATACTCTGATTTATGGATATTGCAAGGAAGGTAATGTCGGGAAAGCTTGTGATCTTTTTGATGACTTGAAAGCGAAGGGTTTCTTGCCAAACGAAGAGACTTATGGGTCCATCATTAATGGCTTTTGCAAAATAGGCGAGTTTGAGAAGGTTGATCAAATCTTGGAGGAAATGGATTCAAGAGGAATGGAAGTAAGTACTCTTGTGTATAATAATCTTGTCGATGCTAAGTGTAAATTTGGATTCGTTAGGGAAGCATTGGATACTGTTGGAAAGATGGTCGAGGTTGGGTGCAAGTTGGACATTGTGACGTATAATACTTTGATTTCTAATGCTTGCAGGGATCAAAAGATTCAAGAAGCCGAGAGGCTGTTAGAAGACGTTGCTAGCAGTGGTCTTCTCCCGAATAAACTAACCTTTACGCCTCTTATACATGCGTATTGTAAGGAGGGTGCTTTTAATAGAGCTTCGAATTTGCTTGTTAAGATGACTGAATGTGGACATAAGCCTGATCTGGTTACTTATGGAGGTCTTATTCACGGGTTAGTTGCTGTTGGAGAAATTGATACAGCTTTAACAATTCGAAACAAGATGATGGAAAGAAGAGTATCTCCCGATGCTTGTATCTACAATGTTTTGCTTAATGGACTTTGCAAGAAGGGTAGGTTTGATTATGCCGAGCAGCTTGTTAAAGAGATGCACGGTTGCAATATATCTCCCGATGCATTTGTTTATGCAACTTTGATCGATGGATGTGTAAGAAAGGGCAATATTGAGGGTGCAAAGAAACTCTTTAATGATGTAATCAACCGTGGTATGAACCTCGGGATTGTGGGGTACAATGCCATGATCAAGGGCTATTGTAAAGATGGGATGCTGAACAATGCAATAGGGTGCATCAAGAAAATGATCGAAAGAGAAATCTATCCGGATGAGATTACTTATTCGACGCTTATTGATGGGTACGTAAAGCAGAATGATTTACGCAGCGCGTTGTCTATGTTCTGCCATGTAATCAAACGGAAATACTCGCCAAATGTTGTAACCTACACTGCTCTCATGAATGGATTTTGTCGACATGGAGACATTGCAGGAGCTGAGAAAATTTTCAGGAGTTTGCAGTCGAATGGAGTGATGCCGAATGTTGTGACTTACACTATTTTGATTGGTAGCTGCTTCAAAGAGGGAAATCTCGCTAAAGCTTCGTTGTTTTTCGAAGAAATGCTGGTGTGCAAGTGTATTCCGAATGATGTTACGTTTCATTATTTGGTTAACGGGTTATCGATCAATGTCTCCTCTATCATTCCGAGGTTACAAAGTGGATATGATCTGCAAGAAAAGGCTCCCATGCTTCTTGATATATTCGCGACGATGATATACGACGGATTTCATCCCATCTCTGCTGCACACGGTTCGATCATTTCTTGCCTCTGTTTAAATGGTATGCTCGACACTGCGTTGCGGTTGGTTGATAAGATGTCAAAGAAAGGTGTTCCTCTAGATTCGGCGACGTTGGCTTCGTTGTTACTCTGTATTTGTTCTGTCGGGAAATCGAAAGAATGGAGGGACATGATTTCCCCTCAGATAATCGACGTGAAGCTTGATGTTGCTCTGAAGTACTTATCGATTTTCGAATGCTACTCGACTCGTGAAGCGACGACAGAAGCTTCGCTGATCTTGCGCGCCTTGCTCGAGGAATTCAAATCTAGTGAATGAATAGTTTTCGCGATGGTGAAAGTTGTGGTGTTGAATTATCATACAGCCGTTATCATGTAGGTTCCCGGCGATTCTATAATCTGCCCGTGATATCGAAAAGCAGAGTAAGCTTCATCGACTACTTTCACCTCACCGTGTTTATCTTTCTGCGACAATTTCTTGCATCATGGACTATAACACAGGAATTATATTGCAGGAAACTGATCATTCGGTGAACATCGGAAAAACCAGCCATTCCTTATTCTATATCAACAAAATGTACTGTAACATCACTTTAAGGTATGCAAACTATACATTCAACGCATATTCCAACTTCGATATGGAAATTACATATGCGCCATCATTCGTATTTATAGAAGCTAAAGAACAAGAAAAGTGTGTAGGCATTACATAAATCCAAATTGTGAAACAATAACACAAGAAATACCATTAGCAATTATAGTCACCACAATTATTAGTTCAAAGGATCATGAAAAAACAGGTAAAAAAAAAATGATATAGAAGATTTAAACAAAGCATGTCGAAGAGAAGAACCAACAGTTATAAAATAGAGTATATCAACTAGCAAGACTCGGTTTAATTCTCAATCTAAAGACACACCCATAACTATATCAAAAAGCTTGTGTTCCTTCTATTATTCTACATTTCCATCCTCTCCGCCGTCTTGTGCTGCAGCCATTAATTCATCGAAATTTGCAGTCTTCCCAAGTATGATTTCAATCTGTGTTAAAACAAAAAATTAGTTAGAGCTGTTATAAAAGAATTCCAAAAGATATGATAACAATAGATATGGGATAGTGACTTGCATCTTCTAATAAAAGATATGAAATATTTGGAAACCTCCACCCCATGGAACAGTGTGTTAAATTAAAGTTTTGAAAGCAATAAGTTTAGAGACGGCTTGCAGTCGCAATTATGAGTGTTTGATGTGATTTTACTTTAGATTGCATAGTTCGAAAACCATAGTTGTCACTATATATATATATATATATAATCAGTAGTGTATTTACCTTGGCTTTCTGGACGGGTCTTCCTCGCAAATCATCTCCCATCTCCACAGTCGATGTCATGATTTCTGCATATTTCATTTAACGTGTTGTATTCTAAGTTTAGAGTTCACAATTAAGTAAAAAGGCATTGACATTAAACATGTGAAAGCTCACTCTTCTCAACAGCAAAACCATTGTTCTTCAAAATTTCAGCGACTGAGACCACTGTCGAAATTGCTGCAGGAAAATGACAAAATAATCACATGTATGCAAACAAGGAGAAAATGATAAAAGCTTTAGATTAATTTTCAAATATACATTACATGTAACTACAATGCTAAAGTAGCACTTATTTCGTAACTACTACACATCCAATTCATACATTGCCAGCCGGAAAAATCTCATGACACTCCAAAAACATTATGTACTTGGATACATTCACAAATTATGTCAACAGAAAGAAGTTAACAGATTCAATATTCTTGAAGCACCAAATTACATCTAAGAAAGTATGGATGTAGGTTCTTTCGCAAATTGTAGGTGAGATCAAGATTGAAGTGAATCCTATGGAACCTGGTCGGTGCAAAAATAGAAACCAAAGTACATAATTAATCGAAACAACTAATAGATCTTGAAGACCCTTGTGCTTCACAAATTCTAGTTGAGATCAAGATTGAAGTGAATCCTATGGAACCCGATCGGTGCAAAAATAGAAATCAAAGTACATAATTAATCGAAATAACTGATAGATCTTGAAGATCCTTGTGCTTCACAAGTTCTAGATGAGATCAAGGATTCAAGATCGAAGTGAATCTTGGAACCCATTCGGTGCAAGAATAGAAACCAAAGTACATAATTAATCGAAATAATTAATAGATCTTTAAGACCCTTGTGCTTCACAAATTCTAGATGATATCAAGATCGAAGTGAATCCTATGGAACCCACTCGGTGCAAAAATAGAAATCAAAGTACATAATTAATCGAAATAACTAATAGATCTTGAAGACACTTGTGCTTCACAAATTCTAGGTGAGATCAAGATCAAAGTGAATCCTATGGAACCCACTCGGTGCAAAAATAGAAATCAAAGTACATAATTAATCGAAATAACTAATAGATCCTGAAGACCCTTGTGCTGAAAACATTATGAACTTAGACACATTCACAAATTATGTCAACAAAAAGAAGTTAAACAGATTCAAAATTCTTGAAGCACCAAATTACATCTAGGAAAACATGGGCGTAGGTTCAGTCACAAATTATAGGTGAGATCAAGATCGAATTAATCCTATGGTACCTTGTCCAACTAATACAAGATCACTCAGTGCAAAAATAATGATGAGAAACAAAATCAAAAGTACATAATAAAGACAAATAACTGATAGAGCTTGAAGACCCTTGTGCTAAAACTAGAAAGAATTCTTTCATGATTCATCCATCCACCAATATCTCTATATAATTACCACACAAGTTGGTACATTGATTCATTGTAATATCCCTAACAGCTAATAAGATCTCAAGAAAAAGTAACAACAGAGATTCCTCGTTCCAAAAGTCAAGGAATTTAAGAGGCAAAGTTTTTTTCTGAACCAATATAATACTACATACATTATTATATCCTTATTGTAATTGTGACTTAAAATACCTCACCCGCCATAACAAAAACTATTTCATAAATCGAAAGCTATCAATCAAAAAGAAGGTTTCTAAACCAAACAGATAGCTACACAACAATAAACACGAAACAAATCATAAATCGTAAGTAGATTTACCCATGCCAAGTCCTGAAAGCTCGACCTCATTATGCTGCAGCATATACCTCTACAAGAAAGGGAATAATCAGAATTCAAATTTATCATTATTATCATGTTAGCAATTAATGCTAGTCTCATTCGAAAGATTGAAAAACCACGATATACGAAGAATACCTTGGCGAGATTAACATAAAAGAACAGCGGCTTCTTCGTATTGGACACTTGGATCCGATTTTTCTTCTGCGATTCCGCAATGTTCATCTTATTAACTCCGTCCGTAATCTCCTCCATCTCGGAAACAATGCGATTGAAGCTCCCGACACTGCAATAGCGCACTCGGCTGCTAAAATCGACGTTCCTTGTGCCCTCGCTCGGTCGATTCTTCGAATGTCGGCAGTAGGATTAGGGTTTGATGGAACTAGGTTGCGACTGCTTTTATATCTGATTTAAGGCCGTGCTTGGCTGCAGATGTTTTTTGCTGCCCACTTAATTATAACGAATTTTACAATTTACCCGGTTGATAATACACTGTTTGGATAGAGACTCTATTAATATTTTTTATTTTTTTAAAAAAAATAGTTTAAATTAAAAATAATTTATGTTTTAAAAGGTACCAATAATCAGAAAAAATTTAAGGTCGCGTTCTATTATATATATATATATGTATATATATATATATTTTTTAATATCATATCAAATAATAATTATTTTTTTAATATTATATTATAAATTTATTTTATATTTAAAAAATTATATGAATTTTTTTTATATAAAATTAAATATCTATTCAATTTTAATTTTTTACTGTTAAAAAATTCAAATTCAAAAATTAAAATCTACAAACATACACACCCTTGAGTTTATTTGTTTAGCGAAAAATCTTGGAGAGATGTTTTTTTATATAAAAAATTATGTAAATAATATAAAAATAATAAATATATACTATAATATATAATATTTTTTAAAAAACTATATTTAAAAAAAAATTATATAAATTAATTAATCAAAGCATAGATTCTTTTACCAAAAATTTCCTAACATATTTTTTCAAAATAACTATTCTATATACCTCACATATTTCAAATTTTAGAGTGTGTTTTGTGAGATTGTTGGAGAAAATTTTTGATGTGAATATATAAATTATGTAAAAATGATAAAAAAAAATAATGAATGCATATAATTGTATTTTAATTTTTTGGAAAAACATATATGAAAAAAAAGAATAGAAAGAATAAACTTCAAATCTTTTATTATTATTCAGCTTGTTTTTTACTTTAAATTCATACTTAATTAATCAGCTCATTTTCAATAGAAATAAAAAATATGCTATATTTTTTATATAAAAATCAAAACGAAATAATCTTTTTATTTTTCATTAGCAAAAAATTAAATTACCAACAAAAAACCAACATTTCAAGAGTACCAGACCTTCTGAGTCTTCTTCTCTTCTCTTCATCACAGAATCCAAAACCTCAAAAACATTCAAGTTATTACATATGCTACTCCGGCTGAAGAGACAAACCAAGATCCAAGAAGCAAGCAACAATGGACACAAAAAATACATACACATCATTAATATACATACATACATACAATCTACTGAAGCTTCATTATCCCCGGAAACGACGGCAGGATCGCGATCAGCGCATCGCCGTACCCGACTGGTTCTGCACACATAAATCCTCGACTTGTATAGTTAGTTATTACACAACATTATACAGACACTGCAAAAATTTAGAATCCCGTCTGGAAATGGACTTGTATATACATATATATGTATGTATTTATGCATACCTCCGTCCTCTCTGAGTATCTTGACGACTTCGCCAGAAGCATCCGACTGAAGAAAGAAAAAAAAAAAAACATAAACCAATAGAAAATAAGTTTCGACCGGATAAGTTTGTGTATACAGTAAAAAGTTACACAAGAATGTTGTTTAATTAGCTCCGAACCTCGACTGGAATTTCACCCCCGAGCTGCTCGATGTAGCAAAGCACCTGACCTTCTTTCACTACATCTTTCTGCAAAGACGTGACTTGTAAGACGGAGTGAATGTAAATAAATTCCGAATCATAATTCTACGGCTCAAGAAAAGTTTTGAGATGGTATGGTTTTCACCGATCAATAATAAATTCTACATCTGTCATCTAAACTTATGCTGATTTTCCTTTTTGGACTGCCCTGAAAAGAATGTTTTTGGTTCCTTTTTTAGTTACTTTTTACTACAATAGTCTTGTTTACTATTTTTGTCTGTTTCAAAACAATAGTCTTATTTCCATAAATAACCGTATCACCATAAAACTATACCCCTAATTTTTCATTTTTATTATACAATTATCACTACTTTTTACACTAATACACTCAAAAGTGCAAAAAAGTCTTTTATCCATACTTTTTACCAATTATATAATATCAATATTCCTTAAATCTCGTGCCCAACTCAATTAAGATTATATTTATGGGACGAAGGGAGTATTTTTTTTACTATAAGAAACAAAAAGTATTAAAGTAACAAAAAGTATACATTCATATTAAAATATTTGTTCAAAAATTTGAGCATAAATTTAAATGACTGAGGGAGTATTAGTATTAGATACCTCTTTACAAGATGGGGGAGCCCGTTTCCCTTTAATGGTGCGAGATCTTCGAAAATACCCAACCTAAAGGATAAACGACATGCATAAATTTTCACAAACTTACATATTGCTAAAGTATTATTTAACCTTTGAATCTCACCCTTGGGGATTGGAGTATCTTCAAACCTTCATCAGCCGCTGTGTCGAGCAGGGTTCGGACACTCCCTGAGGAAGGTTCTGGTTTGGTGAGGGCTAAAGAAGGAGACAAGGCCGAGCCATTAAACTCGGGTGTCTCGACGACTGAATTCTTGGTACTTGGAGCGGGTAATGAAGGCTGTGGAGGTGCGGTCTGGTCAGCCAAGTTTCGCGTCACGTGCAAGTGAAATCCCCCGAGCTACAAACAACAAAAGTATAGCGTTTCAGTGTACTAAACTTGGTTTAAGGGTGACTCGTTTCTAGCATATATATTGAAATGTATATATGTATGTATAATGGAAAAAGTTGCTTACTTTGAGCTCAAACTTGGCAATGGATGTTGTGCTGCATAGCTCCGTCAAAAGTGACTCCACCTTCAAAGAGGAAAATTTGAAACTAATCACTGAAGAAATATTGTAGGTTCAATGGAGAGCGTAATTGAGATATTCATCCCACTGATTTTCATTCAGAAAACAAGAAAATATGTAGCTGCAATTTACCTCGAATGAATTGGGAATAAGCGTGCTTGGCTGATCGGATAACACTGTTTCTATCTCATCAGAATCATTGTCCTCCAAATTTGCAGAGGCTGCTGCTGCAGCTGCATATTTCGATGAAGAAGAATGACAGAAAATAAAGTTAAGGTATCAACAAAGTCCGAGATCGATAAATTTCACATAAACTTATGATATTCCTCACCCAATATTGCCAATTCCTTCGTCCCTTTTTCCAAACAATATCATTTTCAAGAGCAACAGCAATGGAATCATAAAACAAACAAACTCTTTGAGAATCTTTGCTCGATTAAACTCATTCAATAAGTTGAGACAAAGATTCAGACTCTTTATATCCATGAACGAGCTCAAAGTTTACTCTCTAGAATTAGATATAATGTTCATTGGCGTTTGTTGAGATGGTAAATTGATTATCTGTTCACGTTTATATACATATTGCATTATAAGGCTCAATATCCTACAAAATTTTAATTAAGGAAACAAAGAATAATTTCATTCAACAAGATGAGCCAAATTTGACTTGGAGTTGAAACTACACAAAAGTTTTCTAAAAACTAAGATAACTAGTCGAGCACAAACAGAAAGGTACTTAAAGAACCAAGCTCAAATTCTGCTCCATTATCCTAACTAACAAATAAATGGCGAACACTCTTTGTAGCCCTTTAAATTGGTGCTTACATATCCCTCAGCCTAGACATAATCGATCTAGTACCTTCACCAATCCGCCGCCATGCTATATGCGAAAGCTGAACTTTAATAAGTTTTACGCCTCAGTAGCATACAATTCGTGCTCAAACATCGAAAACTTAGACTCAATTCAGCTTGTTAACACAACTCTAGACACTAGCCAAGCAAAACACTTGCAACAAACAACTTTTGATTGCATAAATGAGAGGAATCATGAAGAATTCCAAACACAGACAGAGCGATAAACAACTCAAAATATCATACGAAAGCAAAACCTTATCAGCTTCCACAAAATCAAACCATAGAAGGAAATTAAAGCACTCACAATCAGCTCTAACGTTGGAACTTTGGCAGGCAGTTTTTGCCCTACTCGATGATCTGTGAGACACCGCCAAACCATCAAAAGGAAATGAAATTCCTTGAGACCTCACTAAGCCTTGAAAAGAGTGCAATGTGCTCAGCTTAGGCCTCACACAAACCAAATCCAATTTCCCAAATTTCAGCCCTGGAATCCCCAAACCACCTGAAACATAGAAAATAAATAAACCACACATACACACATGGATAGATGCATCAAATACTCCTCAACTTGACCCAAATGCAGCAATTTTACTTCCTTCAAGCTTCCGGCAAGCAAATCCACATAAGAAATCAAGAGATAGCAGAGAATCATCAAAGGAATATGCGATTAACACAACAAAAAACGATGTAGGAATCCGGAACTTACAGGAAGCCATTGATAACGGGGGAGAAGTGTTGTGGTGGCGAAGGAGCAGCAAAAATGGCGGAGACAACGAGGTGTGTACTGTTGGTGGTGATTTGGGCAACGACGATACTTCCTAGGAGAAGCAGAATCAAATCTGACCACGCTTTACTGCTTCTTCTGTTCTACAGCTTTCTTTTTCGGTGTGTTTGCCTGTGGAATTTGGTATGTTGTTCCAACAAACCATTTTAATTTTTACAAGCAGTTAATATTATAGGAGTAAAAATATAATACATATTTATATACAATATAAAATATAAAAAATTATACTAATTAATAAATAAATATATTTATGACAATATAAACAAATTTAAATTACGAAAACTTATACAATAGGATTATTATTTTTTATATCTAACACAAATCAATTCTAATTAAAAATACAAGAAAACACATTTGAAAGAATATATATATATTTTTAATTTAAATAATTATTTAATAAGATATAAATAAATATTAATATAATATTTTAATATAATTATAACATGAAAGAATAGTATTCGGTTTGATTTTTTATTTTTATTTTAATAGTAGTACATGGATAATAAAAATCTTTAAAAAAATATTTTCTTTTATTTTCTCATAACAAATGTTTATTTTCATCGGTCTCAATTTTTTATTTTTTAATAATTGTACTGTAACGTAATATTAAAAACCTTTTATTTTTCATAACAAATGTTCATAGGTCTCAAATCTCTTATTTTCTAATAATTGTACTCTCAACATAATTAAAAAAAAATGATTGTAATTTATAATACATTATAAAAATATTATTATTTTTATTTAATCACATTGCAAAACAAATAAAAAAAATAAAATTGTTTTTAGAGTGTACTTTTTCAACAAAAAATATACATATATTTTTTTTAAAAATATTAATATATCATATATATTAATTATTTTTATATAATTTTTTATAGATTACATCAAAATTTTATTAACTTGAATATTAAATAATAAATAACTTAAGGAAAAGCTCGAAAATTAATACTCTCTCCGTCCCATCCCATATAATAAACATAGGTAAAGTATAATTAGTAAGTAATTAAAAAGTGTATTAGTTAAAATAATTATTGTATATTAAAAATAATTATAGATTAAGATTAAGATAACTTAGTTTAATTAAAATTAAAAAAAATTATAAAATTTAAAATTTAAAATGCAATTACAGTGTATAATTATATTTTTAAAAATAAAAAAACAAATTATGCCAAACTAACAAAAATAGAAAATAAAGACAAATTATACAGATGAATTACAATAAAAGTAGAATGGGCAATAGTGTAGGTTTTAGAATTGGAGGGGGCAAAATAAAAATAAATAAAAAAAATATCACCAAGAAAAGATCTAACAAAAAATCAACGGCTGGGATTTGCGGGTGTAGCGTGTCAAATCTGCGACTCATCACACCAAGCAATGCCCAATTCTTCAAAAACCCCAGAGCCAGGTCAGTTTCGACATGGCCTTTCAGAGTCAGTAGCGAGGTAAATTGAATGCCCCAGGACACTTCCGGAGAATTTGAAGTTGGAATTTGCAGTAATCATCCGGGCGAGGCAGAATTTCGTGTAGTTGTAGAGAGAGAGAGGCATTTGTGGATTAATTGATTGTTTGCAAGTGTAGAGAGACAGAGAGGGGAAACGATGTCTTTAACGAGCGTGGAGATGTCGGAGGAAGTGTGGTTGACGTGTCTGACGCATGCATTGTCCACCGAGACTGAGGAGATCATGGGCCTCCTCCTCGGCGATATTCAGGTTCGTTAGGTTTTCGGATTTTCGTATTTGTGTTGAGCAATTTTATTTTTTTTGGGTGCCTCTTTAGCTTTGTTGAATTTGCGAGTGTTTTTTGCCCCCCCATTTTTGGTGATTATGTTGAGAAATGATTGATGATTTTGAGGGGATTTTGGTTGATTTCACTTTACTGGATTTTGTAAGTTCTTCGCTATGATCAATTTGTATCAGATGTTTGTTTTGTGGTTCACTTTTTGTCAGATTTCTCCCTTTTTATCTTTTTTGTGCGTGTGTATTTTGAATGTTGATATTATTTCATAAGGTTTTGTTGGGGAAGAATTGAAGATCGTGTTTTTGTTAGCAAAGTTCATGTCTTTGCCAGATTGTTTTGTTTATTTTTACTTCATCCATGGCTGATTTGCTGCAATTTTTTTGGCCGACTCATATATATATGGAGTTGCAGATTTGGGGAAAGTTAATCTGCAGATGGAGGATTTGTTTCCGGAACTTTTTTTTCAAAAAAAAAAGGTTACGTTTTTGTTTAGTAAACATGAGGAAGAGGAAAGGCTTTAAGACAATTTTAAATGATTTTACTTACCATGGTGATTTGTGCTTTATGTGGCATATAGTTTGACTAGCTTGGAGTTTACGCCTTTACGGAAATGATTCTAATGCTAATTTGTGTTGAAGCATATGTATACAACTTCTTTTGTCTATAATTCAGTCTAAGATTAGGCGAATTTGAAGTTCGGTTTGTTTTCTTGCCTTTTCGGATGCTATGGAATAAAAACTAAGTTGCGAATGTTTTCTGGTTCAGCATTCGAAAAATGGTAATGTAACAGCCTTGATATGGGGAGCACTTCCACAACCAAGATCTGATCGACAGAAGGATCGAGTGGAGACCAACCCGGAGCAGCTGACTGCTGCATCAGTTCATGCAGAGATATCCTTTATGAAATGTTTAATTTTTATTTAATTTTAATTTTTTTAACCTTATGGATTTATCTTATGAATTTGAGCGCGAATGACATGTTGAAGGATGTGTAACTTTATCCTAATTTTAGTTTTCTTAACCGCCTTAAGTAGGACTTATTGCCACTTGTTTATGATTTTTTTGTACCCAATGTTTGGTTGATCCAAATGTCAATTATTGAAGGCTTGCAATCGGGTGGTATAATTTTCTGTAGTAAGAAAGTTTGATATAGGGTCGAATATGATTTGATAACATATTTATTAAGGCTTTGGAACTTACCTATCTGCGGCAAGTTGTGAACTCATAACTTGAATGATAAAATCTTCTGTTACCTTTACTGGTGTTTTACTGCATTTAATTTTGTCGACTTAACTTCAAGTTACAGAATGACAATGGCCACAGGCACCACAACTCGAGTAATTGGATGGTACCATTCACATCCTCATATCACAGTCCTACCTTCTCATGTTGGTGAGCATTTATTGAATCTAAAATTATGTGGGAGGTAGTGTAGTTTGCAATCCGGTGACCTTTTTTTCCGATTATTTATTACCATCTTATATGCAATCAGCAAATGTATTATGCTATTATAGAAAAGTTGCAATAGAATATCCATTCATTAATTTTGGTTTTCTGCATCCAAAATTTAACCTTTATTATTGTCATATCTTTTTGTTGAGATTTGGTTGATCTTTCATTAATTCACATGCACGGTCTTGTTTCATCCAATAAATGGACAATCGATCTACTGCTAGAATGGGATCAAAGCTTGTTTGAACTGATGCAATGTGTTATAACGGTGCTTATTACTTTTTTAGTTTAATCTATTGTAATTAACACTTTGGATAACTTATTTTTTTCACGGTTTCCTTTTCTGGGCCCAACAATTTTTTTTGGCTTTTCCTTTTTGGCCGTATGTGGTATCCTACCGGAAACTTTGTTTTTATCAGCAGTTTACATAACGGTCATCCTATATAGTTGGAGGAAGTGGTTTTTATATGTTTCTCAGTGTTATTTCACCTCACCCAAGCTTTTGGTGTATACATCTGTTACAAAATTTGATGTTCTTCTTCTGGCTTCGCGGCAGATGTGAGAACTCAGGCAATGTATCAGCTTTTGGATTCGGGGTTTATTGGATTGATCTTCTCTTGTTTTAGTGAGGATGCTCAAAAGGTTTGCGATGTGATGATAAGATCGTTACCTAGATATGACTTCTTTCACTTTTTATTTTCTGATTTCGTTCAAACCATTTCAGGTTGGAAGGATTCAAGTCATTGCTTTTCAGTCATTGGACGGGAAACAGAATCAGATGCTTAAACCTGTTACTCTTACACCTGCGCCTAAAAGTTCTGTTATAAATGTTGAATCGTCTATGAGTTCATCAGAAAATGCCATGATTGCATTTTCCGCTTCCAGAGGAGAAGGTATGGAACAAGACACTGGAGATTCGGGAGGAGGTCCAACGGCTTCTAAGGTATTTGGTCAAGAAAGATAAAATTTTGTGACTCTTTTTCCATTTTGATCAAATATATTTTTCTTATTAATTAAATTGTTTACTGATTATGCTTTTCTTTCCATTGCTGGAATCCATCAATTTGCTTGACTCTTCTGTATATAAATTGAATCGAAACAAATAGGTTACAGCAAAATCACCACGCCTAGGTGGTTTCTTTGCAAATGCTGATGCCAAAACGGGAAACCATTACAATCCCCAGAGTCTAAATAATGTAATTCATGATATCGATCCCATGGATATGTCGGAGGGTATGCAAGAAGCAATGCATCTGTCAAATTTGGAGATGAGGTAACATGAGCTCATATATTTAATATGCTTTCTGGTCCTAGTCTGAAATTGTGTTTTTGTGGAGAATAGGCTGGTAAGTAAAAATGTCATTACAATTGACATGAAATAAAGAAAACTTTCGGAGAGCTGACACAATCTTTGTTTACTATTCGAGCAGTTCTCCATATGTTTCTTTTTAAGGGAAATTTTATCTTTGAATGCAGTGGGGCAGAATATGTCAGAAAGGAAATTCCTCTTCATGTTGCGCCAGCATCGTCACTTCTAAATCTTGAATCACCTTTGTCTTCCTTCACCAATCTTCAACATGTAATGTACGAAGAGGAGAAAACTGCATACAACCAAGCAGTCTCTCAAAACATGAGGTGGCATTTGTTGCGGGCTTGCAGTCCTTTTGCCTGTTTCTGTTTAAACTTCTAAAACTACGATTTTGATGCATTTTCAGGGACGGAAAAGTTCACCCTCTTTCTTTTATTCACCACTCATCGACATACAAGGCTTCCATATGCAAAATGATTGAGTATTGGTAAGAAATGATAGAAATATTTCGCTTAGCGACTTTAGCTCTATTTTTCTGTGACCTCTGCTTCGTTACGTATTGCAGCTTGTCTCCTGCCATGAATGCTCTTCAAGATCAACTAAAAGAGAATGAAATTAAGGTAACCTTTATTCGGTCTAATAGGCACATGTCCTTGTCCTCCTTAGCCAATTTTATTTATACAATTACAACATCATGCTAAATGTTAAAAAGGGAGAACACACAATAAATCACTGATTAGTTCACACTTCCCTTTTTTCCTGGACATATAAGAAACACTTTTTGGTTTATTCTGCTACCTATCTATACCCGTCGATTTCAAGTAATTAAATTTGTACATTGCATTTGTCTTATGCTGCAACAGCTAAAGCTGCTAGCCGAGGAAGCCAAAGCTTTGGAAACTGAGCTTTCAAAGGGAAGCCTGTCAAACGCTTCTCCGCGCTCTCCATCTCTTGGATTATCTCGAAGTGGTTCCTCATTTGGTCGCAGAGATGCGAATCCTTCCGAGTCAAGCCCGATGAAAAATGTAAGTGGTAGCCGAAGCAAACGAGGCTCCTAGTTTCATACCGTACAATAACTTAAGATGCATATCTCCACCGTAGCTTTTATACCAAACATGGCCTTACTAAATGTTTAAGAACACATTCTGTGGCACAAGGGCATATTCTATGCGTCGTCTGCTTCCGAATGCTTCGCTTGTTTGTATTTTGGAATCCTTTTGTTGTGCGTTGATCTAAATATTACTTCCCATTGAAATTTTTTGGCAGTAGGAATGGAATCGTTCTTTGATTCAGTCATTACATACAGAGTAGTACATGAAATAAAATACAAATGCCGTAATTTAAATAGGAACTAGGAACTGAATTAAATTAATTAGTATTGTGCTGACACCACATAAAATATAAGTTGTCAGCATATAGCTTGAATGAATACAATATGTGCCGTGTTGATTCTTACAATATGCTGTCAGTTTATATTTTAAAGGTGTGCTATTTTTGTATTTATAATATATGTTCCTATGAATCTAATACTTCCATTATTACGAACAAAAGTTAATAAAAACTCCCCTTAACCCTTGTTAGGAAATAATTCGTGTCTATATTACAATCTTTGCAATGCAATAAAGTTACGCAGTGTCTATTTTTCCTTGATAAAGGGGTATTTTCCATTGGTTTGCCATGGTATTGTCTTTACGCCGATGTGTATTGTCAGTTCATATGTTAACATACACTATGTATTGGCTGAGTTATGTTTTATATGCTATCAGTACCATGTTGATTAATAAACAACAACTATATATATATATATGTATGTATATATGTGTATATTTTCAAGAACTGGGATTAGACTTGCTTGTGTTGGTGGTGGTATTTGGATTGTTGTTTGATTGATCCATGAAGGTTATGGTGCCCGGATAAGTTAAGCTATCCATGGCAATATCAGTGTTGTTTCCGGCATTGTCTTGGTTCCGGAGGGTGGTCTTGATGGCTTCTGCCGCCCCTTGCGCCATGTTTGCCGCCCCTTTGGCCAGGCTGACCGCCCCCAGCACCGCGCCCTTGCCGGCGTCGGCGGCGCCTTGTGCCATGTTCATGGCTTGTGTCCCACTCTTACCATTTACATGTTCAAAAGTTTTTGTTCATTTCAGGTGATGTCTTTCTAATTAATGCCAGAAATTGATTTTTGTTTTTTATTTTCAAATATATATTCACCTCTTGCAGAAAGCTTGCGTTCTGTTCTTGATTGTTTGAGTTCTCATCCAATTGTCTTCTTATCTGATTCCAAGAAAAAAAAGAAAAAAAAAGTGTTAGGATAAAACAAAGTGAGATTCTCTGCATATTATGAATCCCTTTTGCCATTAATTCATGAATTTTTTTCTAAAGAATATTTCTGTCCGTCCCACGTCTCATGTCATTTTTATTTTTTTAAAAATGATTATCCATCTTTAATTTTATTTTAAATTTTTTATTTTTTTTAAAATTTTTAATTAAATTAATTAGTTATCTTAATTTTAATTTATAATAATTTATATCATAGATTAATTATTTTTACTAATATATTTTTAATTATCTACTAATTATTATGCTTAATTATTTTTACCAAGATACCAATGTGGGACGGTAGTAATAAATATGAAAATTAAGGGATAGTAATATTATATTGACAATCAGGGAGATTAATTTTGTAAAAAAATGAGGTGTTAGTTACCAAAAAAAATAAAGATGAAATTACCGTTAGAAAAATGAAAAAATGAGTTTTGGGCAGAAGGAATAACATACAATACTAAATTACTATTTAAATAAAAAATTAAGTTAAATTAAATTTCAAGTAAATAAATTTATTTTAGCTGTGTTTTGGTTTTTATTGTTGTAGTACTTAATTTACAAAACATATTTATTTTTATTCTTTTTTCTAAAACACAATACATTATTTTTTATTTTCATAATATTATCTATAATTTAAAGCAGTAAGATAAAATCAAAAGATAAAAATATGTTTACAGTCCTTCGATTTTTCTGATTAAAATAGAAAAGGTTTACATATATATTTTCCTTTTATTGTTTTGAAATTATTTATCAATAATAATATATTTATTTTAATCGAATATTGATTTCATCCTACAAGCTCTCCATAAAATAAACTCATCTTTATGTTTATGTAACGAAATGATGAAAAAACTACCTGAGGCTGAGGCTGGTCTTGAAAACTCCCAGAGTCGAGAGTGCTGTTGGGACTTTTTTGGCCTTCCATCGTTCCTATTTTAATTATTTGTTAAATTTTATTCCAAAATTTGGATTTATTTGAGGTTAATTTATAGGGATTTTCAATTTAGGTGATGTTTGTGTCTGTTGATTTTGGTTGGCTATGCGTAGGGTTTGCCATGAACATTTCAAACTATTTCTTTTTATGGATTGCTACCTATGGAGTAAAATAGCAATTTGTACTTTTAATAAAAATGAAAATGCAGGGGTCATTTATAGTTTTGTTTACGCACATATTTTTACTCATTTTATACTATTTATTTTTTTTTAAAAAATATCATATCAAATATATTTTTTCTCTTACAAAACATTAAATCAAATACTAACATTTTTTTTTTCAAATTTTAAAAATTCCAAAATTTCAAAAACCTTCAAAAATTTATATCTAACCAAAGGCTATATTTAATCCATTTTATATTTTTTAATAATGAGCACTATATTTATATGTATATAGTATAAAAAAATACATTCATAGTCCTAATCCAATGACTTTGAAATTTTGCAAAGATTAAAAAATAATAATCCCTTCGTCCCATAATAAAGTATTAATTTTTCCTTTTAGTTCGTCCCACAACAAACTATTCGTTTTTTTTAGTAACTGTATTATCTACCTAACATTACAAATACCTTTACAACTTACAATATATTACACAAATGTCATTACCTTTATATAACACATACTAATAAGATTATTTTAGTTATTTCTACTTTATTCATACTATATCTCAATATAATACTAATATTTTTAAGATTACTAAATTATGTACAAAACGCAAATGGATATTTACTTATGGGACGGAGGGAGTAGTATTTTATTAAAAAGTAGAAATGTATAAAAATTTTTGATATTTTTATTTTTTTACTTTATAGTCTGGCTCTAATGATCTCATTTACGTGTTAATTTTTGAAATATTAATTATTATATAAAAATGTAGTACAAAGTTAAAGAAAAATACAAAAATACTTTTATTAATATCTTATAATACTATTACAATAATATTAAATATAAATATATAATATAAAAAATATATAAATATAAAAATATTTTTAATATTAAATATAATGACGTAAAAGATAAATTAGACCTTACAACCGGGTATAGAAAATATATATATATATATTTATAAATTAAATAAAAATTAAATGATATTTTAATATTAATGTATAAATTATTTTTATTATAAAATATTTTAAAATAAGAATAAAAAGTAAAAATTATAATTTAAATTGTGAATGAAGAAATATATAAAATAATTAAATTTACTCAACACACAAATTAGTGAAATAATAATACTCCAATTTTGAAATAAATAAAATAATAATAGTACAATTTTGAATTTAAAATTAGGTCATGAGTTATGTCAGCTGTACACGTAATTCGGCTGCGGCGGATATTGGACAAAAATGTAATTTCACATAGAAACCAATATAAATAAAATGCACATTCTTCGAGTAGATTCATTCCTCTCTCAATTTTCTTGTCTGAGAATTTGGGCTTCTGCAGTCTGGCGGAGTCTCCCGTGCTCAGTCGGGCCGCTGTTATCTCCTCCTCCTGTGCGGATCAGGATTTAGGTACGTCGAATCGCTTGTTCAATTCGTTATCGTTTGTGCGGCGTGCGAATTCAGCAGGATTTGGTTCGCGGAAATGGTGGAGTTATAATTGTTGTTGTTAGGGGAAGATGGTTGAGATTTAGGGTTTGATATACTTAGTTTGTTCATTTGCTTCTGATTTTTGATGATTTTTTGGTTTACCGAACGTGAACTTGTTTCTCTTGTTTGAGATGTGTATGGTTTTGGAAGTGCGTTTTCTGTTTATTCGGGTTGTGTTCGTTGCTTGTTCTCTGTAAATTCGAGGTTTCGACTGTTGTTGTTGAGAAATATGCTCAGATCTCGGACGGTTGACTCTGTCGTGGTTACGTCTTGTTTTTGAAAGTTTAGGTTGGCGTTGTTTTACTTTGAATTAAAGCAAATTAAACTCCATGAAAACTTCTCACGCTACTATGGCTTTTGAGACATTAGCTTTTGGCGTTTCTCTAAAATTTCAGTACTGTTTGCCTTTGTTCTTCTTTTTCCCGAGAAAAAGGCAGAATTCCAAGTCGCTGTGTTAATTTCTTTTTCGCTTTTTGTGGTCGTCTGTGTAAATTGTTTTCCCCTTTTTATTGGAATTTGATCTACATGGATTGAATAATTGAATAGGCTGCCGATTAGTTTTTGGTTTCATTTCTCCTAATCAATCTGATCTGGTAAACATTTCAATGAATTTCAATTAGGAAATTTGGCAGTTCCATCCGGTGAAAGTAAAACATAGAAAACACACTATTTGGGCTTCTCAAAATGCCGAAAGAGAGAAGGGTGAGTTCCTCACTTGTTGACCAGGCTATGGTATCTCCTTATTCTCTCAGCTTGAAAATCTCGGATTGCGGCAATCATGACAGCTCTTCCCCAAAAATCGGGGATGAAAAGGAGTGGGAAGAAGCTCGATGCCCTATCTGTATGGAGCACCCGCACAATGCTGTGTTGTTGCTCTGTTCATCCCATGACAAAGGCTGCCGCCCTTTTATCTGCGACACAAGTTATCGCCACTCTAACTGTCTTGATCAGTTCCGCAAGTCAGCTGAACAAGAATCCGAGCTTCTCTGTCCCCTTTGTCGTGGAGCCATAACTGGATGGGAGCTCGTGCATCCTGCACGGAAATACATGGATTCCCAAATAAGAACTTGTTCTTTGGAAACATGTAGTTTCAGTGGAAATTATGTGGCACTAAGGAAGCATGCCAGGCTCGAGCACCCCTCTAAACGCCCATCTGAGGCCAGCCCTACTAGGCAATCAAATTGGGCAGCAATGGAGCGGCAAAGGGATATCGAGGATGCACTTGCCTACCATTCGGAGTTCGATTATGACTGGACTGAAGAAAGCTTCTTGAGCAGCGAAAGCTTTTTCGACTTCCAAAGTGGTATGTCCGACATCGAGGATTCAATGATAGACGAAATGTTTCTTGGGATTTCTCTTTCCTTCTTTAGCATGTATTCCACCTCTTCGGAGGAGTTGATGGATTCCGGCACCTCCAGAAGTCTCGAAAGACAGCTGGCTACTATTCCATTGCCGAATAATCCAGTAGGAAATATACCGACTAATCTCCACAGTGAAAACAGGGCAAACCCCTCAAGTTCAGCTTTTCAAAGGGAAGATGATGTGATAAATCGACAGCCAAGAACTTCAAGTCCAAGACGCCGTTACTATAGGGAAAATGCCTCTGCACATACAAGAAGAACATCAAATCACAATCATTTGAACAATGCAAACATTTCAAGGACAAGACCAAGTAATCAGAGGGAAAATCCCCCACCTGTGAGGTCACAAGCAAGACCAAATTATTACAACAGGGATCGCGACCAGCCCAGTTCGAGGTCAAGGTCGAGTTATTACAACAGGGAACATGCTGACTCTTCGACAGCAAGACAGACTGCTACAAGACATTTGCCTAGCTCGTCTAGACAGCAGCATTTAAGACATGTCCCCCCGGCAGTTCGACAGTCTGATACTAGACAATCATATTCGAGGAATCACCAGTCATCCACCAGACGAATGCCTTACTCTTATAATCGGAGGCCATATTCCAGGTACTACCGCTCACCTTCTCCTAATAGACAATTACATAGCTCTTCTAGACAAACTAGATATTATGACTGACTGCGATGATCTTCGAAGAATGACATGTTATCTTCTGCAAAGATTTGTGATATAGTTTGATTTTCTTGCTTTCGAATTTTTGGACAGTATGGTTCCCTGTTTGTTCTTTTCTGTTGGTTGTTTGTCTTTATGGGAAATCTTTTGGCATCAAATCTAGTCCCCAGTTTATTTCATTTATCAGATTTATTGCTTTTATGGTTGCTTAGGGTCCTGATGCTGAAAGAAATTTCAGTGTTTGGTGAATTAGTTTTCATACTTTGGTCCATTGATTGTTATTGCTTAATGTTGTTAAAATAATCATGAATTGATCCTATTCATGATCTGATTTAATTGAATATTTAATGGAATATTATGTGAGAAAATATTTGGAAAAAATTGCTATGTTGATGAATTGTGCTAAAATTTTTCAAAATATCACTGTGAACAGGTAACTTATTTTCTTTGTATATTGCCCAAAGTTAGCAATATTTAAAATATATATAGAATAAATTGCTTGGGTAGTCCATCTTGTTCCTTGAAATTATTTATTATATACACATTTTTAGTAATTAAATTTATATATGTTTTGCTGAAGTGGCATAGATGATGCATGATTTGAAATGTTTGGAAAAATCTAGGGGATTTCTTTATTCTGAAAAATGAATAAGCACAATGTTGTTGGTTATTGTTTGTTTGTTTGTTTGTCTTTTTTTTTTTTTTAAAAAAAATAAAATTATTTATATATATATATATATATTTTATTTATCATGCTGGTTAACTAATAAATTTTCTGTTGCCAGAAATAAATGAGACGTATAAATATAAAATAGAAGTGCATCATTGCTGTAAATATTTTTATGAATTGTATGCAAATGAAGTTGTATAAGTTTTTGGGATTGGTGGCCCTTTAAAATCAAAATTACTAATATTTAATTTCTAATAAAAAACATAATTAATTTTTTAGTAAAATTATTAGTACATTAAAATTTTAATAAAAAATTTAAACTAAAGTCAAACAACCTTTATAATTTTGGTGTGGTGCAAAAATTGTGTAAAATATAAAATATATTATTTTAGGTTGAATATTTTATTTTTTTAAATGATTTTTTTGATATTTTATAATGAGTATTTAAAGTTTGTTTTTTTTTTTGCTTCTTTTTTTTTTTTTTTTTTGGTTTTTGACTCTTAAAATTTTGTATAAAACATTTTGTATTCAGGTGCCCACCGGATATAGACTCCTACATGTTTTTATCATAGTCATTATTTTTTTTATAACCTGGGAATCCATCCCAAATGTGCTCAGGTAAACATCTGATTGATTGAATCTAATAACTGAGTGACAAGGAAAGTCAATCCATATGAATCTGCCGGCACACTTCATGGTCATAAGTGTAACACGGCCAGGCTATCTTATTATCATTACTATTATTAATTGTTATACAACAAGACAGAATTGTCGTGTGCGTGTAAGGATTGTGGATGCAAAGTGTAACAAATGATTGGTTGTAAATGCCTATAAATAGCTTTCTAAAGAATACAACATGAGTCGAATATATATATATATTTCCCAATTCCTTTATTAATACGCAAGCAAAATTAAATACACAACACGACCCAGACAATACTATTTATTGACTAGAATGAACATGTGGTTTTTTTTTATAGTTGGATGGTTATCTCTAATTTTGAACCCTTCCTACCACTTTATTTAGGAATCCGTACAACATATTTTAACATACAAAATAATGCTCCAATATAACTAATCAGGTTGACTACGTCTCTACCAATCTTTTCTTGCTAAATAATTCTTCTATCAATATTTCTTTTAAGGGTGAATCTATACACACATATAACTATTACTTTTGTTTATTAAAATTTTAAAATCCAATAAAAATATATATATATATATATATCGATAGAAAGACAATATAAATAAAAATGAAACATAATCAACATCAAATAACTCCAAAGACTATCATAACAAAAGCGCAAGTATATGGATACTAATGCAAAAATACTCTTTGATCATAAGCGATATTAAAGTGACAAAATTAGCTATTTGCCATCAAAATCCTTATTTCCAAGGGGCAAATTACTAATGATTTGAATCCCGAAAACCCACCAAGAACAAGAACAGGTTAAAGTTGCCACAAACGCAACTCATTGAACTCCGAAGAATAATATAAGTACCTAACTCAGATACCAGATCTTATTCTGGCAGTAAAATTGCCAGAGTATGCTTAGTGATGGTGGCTGCCTTCTTCTCCAAGGCTGTTTGGCAACCCACCCGGACCAACCACTTCCAACTGCCAACAAAGATGAGTTCTTAACAACGTTTTGATCGAAAAGCCATAAGATTCTTGATTTGGTTAGTCATGTAAAAAGTCCATGAAATCAACAGAGGATTGTTTTATGATACGAGCGAAGTTTCATGCAAGAAAATGTGTATTGGGCTCTTTAGCTTCGCAATGACAGATTATAAGTAGGATCCCTCTCGATTACACTTAGTATGTTCGAAAATTTATTGTAGCAGGTGCTTATTCTCACAGCATTGGTTGTTTAAACTAAGATTAAATAGGGCTTCTGGCACTTACCACAAAGTATTGTGAGCACACTGGGCATTCACAAGGCTTGCCCTTCTCTAGCCAGAACCAAACAACGTCGTGCTCATCCTCTGATGGATTTGATTCAGGAACGAGTGAACAAGTCAGTTGTCGATGCAACACGACAAAGAAATCCATATAATGGCAATACATAAGTACAGAAAAGAAGATAGAAGCTACCTCCTTCACCGCCTGGGCATCCAACAATTCTTTTTTCATAATAAGACTTAATTACAGCAGGTTCCTCCTGTAGGCAAACAAGAATAACTATATAGGTTTTCCAAAACATTGCAACGATGAGCAAAAGGATATGGATGATGGTTCTGTTAATCTGAAGATGAATGTTAGAGATGGAAGATGCTTTGTAAAATTATTGAAGTTATGATCTTTCAAAGGGAACTCATTAACTGAAACATCCAAACAAAAACTTAACTAAAGCACATAATAACATGTGAAGAGGTCACCTCTACAATTGAGCTGGGGATATTGAATCTAAGTTCTTGGATGGAATGCAACATAAATAGTAACAGAGATCAAACTTATTCACATGATCTAATTATCTAAACAATACTCGAGCACTTTCTTCCCAACAACACGGAACTTTAGTTATCAGATCGATCTTAAATTCTTAAGGAATTCTGAAGTTGCACAATCACATAAACTGGGGTAGGAAGAATATGCAATTCTACAATGCTTTGAGCTATCTTACTCTGATTACTCACAACTTGATACATATGAAGCTATAGCGTTAATGGAAGTATTAGCTACACTAATTGTCTTTCATTTTATTCCATCTTATGGATGACTGTTCCTAGTTTCTTACAGGCAACACCATATATTTTCGTAAATTGTCACTTCACCATACCATAGGGAAGCTGTTCACGTACATCACATTAGGGCATTCATAAATAGCCTGGGGCAATTAATCCAACATTAGCAATGAAATTCACACTGACCTTCGTTCCAAAGGGACCGCAGGGATAATTGATTTCCAGAATGTGCTTTCCCTACTCACAACAATTCAAAACGACGTTAAAAAGCATTAAAAGGAAAATGTGTAAGAAACGAATAGCAACAACGCAATACTAACTTCAAGCTCGGCCTGGAGCTCTTCACGCTCATGACCAGTAGCAATCGGCATTACATCCTCAACTCTCTTTGGAGGCGCATTCCCTATCAAACACATTCAACAATCGTATATCAGTTTTCACCATATGAACATGATCTCCACACAATCACCTAAACGATAACGTACATAAATCCAAACCGTACACACAAAAATTTCAGGAAAAAACATAAAAGGAAGAAACAAATTACAATTAACGGTGACAAACGCACCAGATGCACTCGAAAAATGGTGCGATAAGGCGGCGAATGGACGAACGGCTTTCATCGGAGCAGTCGCAGATCCCACTCCCCTTCGGACGATCCTCGGAGCAGATCGCGACGGCGCGACAGCACAAAGGCGGATTGCGAGCCTTCTCCACATGATCGGAATCCGATTACTGCGTCCGATTCGGTTCTCAGGAGTCTCCTTCGATCAACAATGATCGGACTGAAATCTCGCCGCCGGGAACGAATTTTTATGGCAACTGTGCTGAAGGCGATGAGACGATTATTCGAGTGTAGAAATAGGAAGCATTTCATCCCAAGAAGACTGGGTTGACTAACACGTGTTTTTTTTGTTTTTACCAGATTACCCTCACTGTGATTCTCGCTTCCGCGTGTTAGATTGGAAGGTTAATCTTGTAATTTCACATCAAACGTCTTAGAAGAGTGTAGAAGAACAATTCTGTTGCAAGGGTTAACCGAAAATGGACAAGGGTAGTTCCGTAATTTCGATGCATATCTGGCGTGTGGCTCCCAAACGCCGGTCCCGGACTACGTGGCTCCCAAAGTAGTTCATTTTGCATCTGAATTGCCTGGAAAAAATTTAGCTCATAGCCATTTTTCTCGAGGTACGCTCAAATTGTCCGATTTCACGTATTTAAATATTTTAAATATTTAATTTCTTGTTTAGATTAGATTATATTCATTGCTTGTTAACTCTTGAGTTGCAGAGTGTTATTGTTTATATGAATTGAATCTAGTTTTTCATTTCGTTAGTTTTTTTTTTATTTTTTTATTATTATTTTTTTTTTTTGTTAAGAAGTGATCCGACATCCAACTAAAATCAATTGATCATAGGTCAAGTGGCCTTTCACTCTTAATATATATATTTATATATATTAAGGGAGTTCTCACACATTTAGCAATTTAGCAATGCGGGCAATATTCGGGCAATATTCGACAATTTTACCGGGCGAAATCTCCGCGGCCCTGGCCCGACGGTATGCAGTATTATGCTTTTGAGTTCGTATTGGGCAGAGTTCGTTGAGAAATTTTTGTTCTATGTTTCTGCTTGTGGATGTAGTCAATCCATTGTTGATGAACCACTTAAATTTGTGTCTTTTTTACGTTTTTGTTTTGTTTATTATTTGATCATTAGTCGGTAATCTGTTACAACAGTTAATCCGAGTAGTTTGATCAATCTCTTAAACTTAACTCCACGAGTATCACACAATAGTCCGAGCCAGAAAGGTTTCAGTTATTCGTAATATCTGTTAGTCGTTACTCGTTCAGGTCGCCAACCAGCAGTGGCAAGTACTCTCTCTGTTGTGTTTCTTCCATCTTCTCATGTCCTGCAACCTCTCTTCCCCATATTTTATGCACCATTTTTCAGTTGAAACAAATTTTCTTTTCACTTCTCCTATAACAGTTTCTATGTGGAACTGGATATGCTAGCCGAGGTTCCTCGAATAATTTTCACTTTTTAGGAGATGTTCTCCAATAGCATATTATGCTTCTGACATGGCAGAGCATGGTTTATTGTATTCAAGATATCCATGGGCTGTCAATAGAATCCTGAGCTACCGTGATCCGGCTTCATGAGGAAATGAATGATTGCCTCATCAAATGTGAATACTCGAGATCTCTGTGTTGGGCTGTATAATTAATTGTGTCTCTTTGTATGTGACTTTATAAGGTTGTACTGCTAGATAATGAAGCTTGAGTTTACATATTACTTAATGAGATCTCTTTACATATTACAAATGGTCAGAATTATGTGCTTCTCCTATTACTGGATATCGTGATCTCCTTTTTTTTGTCACAGCAATTTCTGCTTGTTTTCATCGTCATTTCCGTACATATTGCTAAGAATCAGTATATTTTCCAAGTTATGAACTGATCCATTCGATAATATTGATTACGCATAGGTATAGCTCATCTTCTTGACAGAACTTCTGCTATTCATTTGTCTTTTAGAGTATTGGCTTCACTTGAGGTAAAAGAATCCACTTTCTAAGTTTTCTTGTTCAATTTTGAAGTGAGGACATGAGGGCCCATGAAATCTACTCTTCAATAAAGAAAAGAAGATGTTTTTGTAGCTTCTGATTTCCTGTTTGATCCCAGGCAATCCCACTTCACTTTTAATGCATGTTTGATTATGGTATGAAAAGAAGGCAGAATTTATTTACATAATTTTCCTGCATCATTGAGTTCAGTAAACTTTGGAAACATTTAAATTAAATAAAATGCTCGGTGATGGGAACCATTATGGAGACGGTACCACTGTGACTTAAGCACATGGGACTTGTTTGCTACTATTCCTTTGTCTTCTTCATGTGAAGGTAATGTGACATGTTTGTTTGTGTTCCAGTGCTTCAACCAGAATCATAGATCTGAAGCTTTTAATTACTTCTGTTCAACATCACTTTCTCCTTACCTAAACTGTTTTAACCACTCCCATGATTTGCCTAACATTGTTTCTTCCTAAGTCACTTGCAGACAGACAGATTATGGAAGGATGCTCAAATTAACCATGGCTCTTCTTCAAGCAGAATGTTACAGAAGCTTGAAATGGTCAGTTTATCAAATCACTGAACCTGGTAATTTTAACTTTCCACAATCAATGGTTGATTAAGTGAAATTAGTATTTTGTGAAATGGCCTGAGATAAGTTTTCTTACATGAGGTATTTGTTATTGTACTTCCATTTATTTTTGGCAAAATTGTCCAAAATTTGTTTGTGGTTTGGATCCAGCTTCGTTTAAACTTAGGTTTCGAAGAGTTTTAAAAATTTGAAAAAAAAAAGAAAAAAGTTAGTATCTGATTTAATGTTTTATAGGAGAAAAAATATATTTGATGTGATATTTTTCAAGAATAAATAGTGGTAAATAAGTGAAAATCGGTTGCGTAAACGGAGGACCATTCTCTGTGGTGATTTAAAAAATGCACAAGATGATTTAGAAAATATTGCATAGAATCCTTTAAAAATTACGCAAGACTCTTCGACCTTTAAAAAAAGATTTTGTGCAATATTTTATAAATACTTTTCATGCCGTTTCTAAATCATGACAAAGAATACTTCAGAGTTTTCAAACTATGTAAATTATGAACAATTTTGCCTATATTTTGGATGAGTTTTTGATGAGTTAGGAATCAAACATGCTTACATGCCAATCTTTTCAACTCAATGATTCTTATTCTCAGTAAATAATGACATGGAGATACATGTATAACACTCTCAACAAAAAAATAATGGAAACCCCATAGATCTTTCACCAAGATACAGAGAAACCAAAACATTCTATCCTTTAGGAATTTCGACACATATCACAGGCCTTTCCTCCTAACACTAACCAACCAAACATCATCGATCACAGGACCGCACATAGCGCCCGAATTATCACTTTTCATGTGGTAGTAAGAGCTCAAGAATCTAATTCTAGTTCTCGTAGAAACAGCTTTGAACTTTAGTATCCCGCGCTTGAATCCTCCATTCCCCTTCGATTCATAGGGAACCTGAAATAGCATCCTCCCTGCAGCTACCTCAACCATCATCGATCCTTCACATTGATTCTTAGCATCACCTACTGAAAATACGAGCTGATATGTTCTTCCAGGCACAGTTCTAACCACCTGCGCCACCGCGCTTTCTCTTCCAGCCACCAATTCAATAGCCCTCTTGCCTTCGGGCACCTTAAAATGCTCGGTATCTATGTATTTTACAGCTTTAAGGGACTCTATCATCCATCCAGGAAGTGGGGAGTGATCATCCTCAATGTTGGGAGGTATTAGGACACCCCAAGGTGTGTTTGGAAAGATATATGGTCCTTCTTCGAAGTTTCCATTCTTCAATAGATTGCCTGCAGAGTTAGAACTTTTAGATATTCAGCTGATTTTTAGTTAAGTAGATAAGAGATAGAAGTCAATAGAACTCACCTCTGCGCCGTGTAGGCTTGGATAATGCCTTTAGTGCAACAGAGTCGATAAGTGGACCGCAGGCAGGATCCCTTTCAACCCCTGGATTGTGTATAACAATCTCGATCTCATTAGACTGAGCCAAGAATCCCCAACAGTAGGAATCCCATCCATCACTGCTGTACACAGTCTGGATTGGGAAAATGCCCCAATCTTTTGGTTCTGAGTTTGGCGAAACCGAGACATTGAGTTTCTCTTCTTGTGCACATGTCCTGGCTGCACTGAATGACACTGAATAGAACATTCCATTTGTTACTTTGAGCTTGGTCTTGATCGATGCTTCATCTCCTAGTCGGACGGCTCTGGCGCCCTCCGGCACCACTAGCAGCATGTCCCCTTGTTTCTGGCCTGATTTTATGTATTCTACAAATCCAGAAATCTCCCAATTGGGAATGGCATGAGGATCAATCACTTTAGTCCCTTTCATCTGTGATGGCTTTGGGCCATATTCAAAGTTCCCATTAGGCACTTGCCCTGTAAAAAAACAAAAAAAATATTTAATCTTCAAGCTAGATTTGATCCAAGACACTGAATGATTGTAAAAATGATGAAAGAATTGATGAAACTTACCATCAGGTAAAGATAATGAAATTTGGAAAGTAGCAAACAGCAACACTAACAGTGTCTTCTTCATCACTACCATAGTTTCTTTCTGATTGATGATCTTATTGCCAATGAGGGAGCTTGAGAATATATATATATACATATAGGGGTGGGTGTAAAGTGAAATGACTAAACTACCCTCTAGGATCTTTCATCTGCACATGCATTTCACTGCTGTCTGCTGGTGATGGTTTGTTATTATAATAGTAAGAGTCGATTTATTCTGGGAAGGTCCAAGATTTGTTCTGCACCATCTTGATAGACACTATCTTGGCTCATAATTGCATTATATTCTTCATATATATATATTTATATTTCATGTTTGAAAATATATTGTTGAGGGGATCTGGAGATGTGTCAGCTGAATAGACACATAGTACATCTCTCTCACACACAATTAAGAAGAAGAGAATTAATAATTGGTGTGATCATATGATTCAAGATGTGTTAGGGTGACATGCCATGTGAAGTCGAAATTATATTATTACTGGAAATTTAAGATAGAGGGGTGTGAGTGAATTCCCTGTGCTTTTTTGTCTGTAATAATTCAGTATTTAATTTCTCAAGACATGTGCATACCTGACTCAACACCCTAATTTTTAAGCAATCACTGTTTTCAACACTTACTAGGCTGTCTTTCCTTTTCTTTTTTGTCTTTGTGCTTCACTTAGGTCGAGCATCCATATGTTCTCAAAGTGATTTCAACTATTGGAGTTTTGAAATTAGTTATAGAATAGTATATTTATATTTCTATAAAACACTATTGTTGGTGAGTAATGTCAAAAATAATTTTTAAAAACCGATAAATAGATCCATATATATATATATATATATATTGGATACTTCCGATTGTGGATAAATAAATTAATGATGCGTTTCTTTTATAACTTAAGTTTTTAGATGAGACGGTCGTTCGCACCCGACAATATATATATTATTCATGTTTTTCTAGCCTTTAAAGTATTCTTAGAAGTCAAGTTATTTTTGTCTTTGTTCATTCTAACACTTTTCAACTATTAGTTCTTTCTTCTATTTATATATATATATACATTTTTTTTGGAACATAATTAACTTTATTTTCACTACCAAAACATCTCAAATTATAGTAGTAATACATTCAATGAAATATACGTATTTGAAACAATATACACATATGGAGCATACATAGTACATACTTGTTCGATTCGATGTCGATGTGAAATCATATGCACAAGCCTTGTTCTTTAACTTCATAGTCTTCTTCCTTTGCGTCACATCGTACTTTTGAATCGAATCTTATTGACTTGATTCTCCAAAATCCGTCGAAGAAGCCTATAATATAATCATATACAGTTAAAACGTCTAAACTTTATAACGCGTAAACTTTACTATTCAATTTGTTCATTCATTAGCAATGGATATTTTGTTTTATGTACTTAAATTCATTTTATCGAGCATGCTATAGAGTTTAGTCGTCGTTTCAAACCTTAGCGCGACAATCCTTTCCAAAGCTCACCGTCCGAACCTTGAGCTCGCCCCGGCTCGTAGTTAACTCATCGAATATCTCACCATCACATACCTCATTTCCATCTTCATTAGGCCCTTCATTACCCTAACAAAGTTAACATTAGTACCATGTTAGTTTTAAATTATAATACGACTTTTTTTTGTTTGTTTTCATGTACTATTTAACATCTGTATCGATAAATACTCTGTAAAATTAGTGCATTCTTAGAGAAACATGTTCTATAGTTGAAATATCTTTGTCTACTAGACATATATATGCACATACTCTAGATGAGAGGCTCAAGGATCGCCTCGGCTCCCCGACAATTTCCTCGTACTCAGCTGCATCAAGCTCGCGCAAATAGTGCGCGTCGAAGACCTTTGGGAGGATGTATTGTCGGATGAGTATGAGAACAAAGAATGGCACCGGGAAGAGTATTCCGGCTATGGGAATCCAAGTGACGCCGTAGCACAAGAGCAAGTAGAGGAATTGGAATATCGTGAAGGCTACAATGCATCGGAATGGCACCGACTCCACGTACGAAGCATGGACTTTTCCCAAAATCCTATATTTGCTCCGGATAGTCAGTAAGTCCTAGAGCTGTAAAACGAACGAACTATTTGCAAGCTCGGCTCGGTTTGGCTCGTTTGCTAAGTTAAACGTGCTAAACACGAGTATAAATTTCGACTCGTTATGTTCACGAATGAGCTCGAGCTTATTCGTGAACCTTTGACAATTTTTGTTAAAAAAAATAAATTGATACTTTTATATTTACTAAGTATATATCTTTATAAATGTTATACTTAATTCTAATTTCTTTTTATATAAGTTTATTAATAAAACATTACTTATTATTAATTGGATCTAAATTAAAATAAATTTAAATAAATGAAACAAAAAAGCCTAATATGAACAAAAAAACTGCTAAGTGAATTTAAATAAAAATTTCAACTCGTATCTCTTAACGAGTGAACACGAGTCCTTAACAAGCAGAGCTTGAATATGAAAAGTTCCGGCTCGTTTACAGCTCTAGGCTCCTATTTAAACTTGATGTTATATGTATATGTGAACTTAAGCATAATTATATATTTGTGTGTGAAATCTTACTTGTATCTTCGACTAGGAGCAACGAAGAGGAAGACAATTCTTTCCCACAGCTGGTTTCCGGGGAGGCTGTCGATGGCCATATATGCAAAATAGCCCCAAAGAACTGATGTCGGGATGAGTCTGATCGCCGGTATGGCGAAAACGGATGCAGCAACCAGCAACGATTGCAACAAATTGCTCACCCGTTGCTCGTTAACCCGGACTGGCAGGTACGCATCGATGTATTTTTCAGATTCGATCGTCACTTTTGATTCCTCCTCGTTTTCTATCTTCAAAACTGCATCTTTCAAGCTTTGCAGCTCCTGAGATACCTCGTTCGACTGCAAATTATTTCGAGAAACAACGGTATGTAGCTACCCTGTTTAAAGCTTAGATTTTTTTCCGATAAAAAAAGTTAGAATTATAGAGTACGATGAATTTAGATTTAGCGAAAATGACTCACGGTAGGAGATTTGTCGATCTCCATGAAAGTAGCTTGCATTTCTTCGTATATTTGCGTTGTGCTAGCTTTACGACGAATGCTTTCCTTAGCCTTCGCGACCATCTTTTGTTGCATAAACTATTGAAGATTGAAACAGATATTTGATATGATAGTTTTTTTTATAAGAGTGTAAGTACTTATACTCGAGAAAATATATTTATAAACCGGCGAATAGAAGAACTTAAAAATTTCCGACCTGTTTTCTAAGGACGGCTAAGCTCTTCGTGTGCATCGGAGATTGCGGCAGAACTCCGTTGGAGGGAGGAAGTCCGATCAAACCACAGATCAAAGTCTAAGGCATAGCGAGACGTCGAAAAATTAGAAACCTTTCCTATTATATACATTTTCCAAAATTAGTAATCTTTCCTTTTATAGACAAATCAATCGTCGTCATACCATTGCGCCGAGCACGAAAATGTCGTAGTGATATGCCGGCGGGTTCTTGAGGTTGAATTCCTTCTGTTGAGCGAGCTGCGAAGCGACGCTGTGGTCGAAAAAGTAAAGTCCGGCGACCATTAGAGCTGGAACAATGGCGGCGAAGATGTATAGCATCGGAACCTTCGCCATATCCTACAATGTCGTCATATTAGAATATTATTTAAATTTTTAGATGAGATGATCATTATAGTATACCTTAACGACAGTCCAATGATATATTGATTCGGGTTGCCATGGGAGGGGGCTAAAGAGTCTTCTGGGGACACCGGACGGGACTCCGTCGGGGATCGCGAACGACAATGCAGTCCATATCACGACCATCGATGGCACCCCGTAGTCGGCGAAAAAACTCCGTATTCGACCTATTTATGTGGATATATTTCAAAAATCGGGATCGAGTAGGAAATCGAGACAAAGAACAAGGGTAGGAAGATCGTTCGTCGAACCTGTTCCGTACAACCATTGCCGCGCTTTTCGACTCTTCAAAGAAGTGTACAAAAGGCCGAAGGCGAAAATAATCCCGAGTATACCATTGGCATATAGCCAGTTAAATTGGTTCTCCTCCGCCGTCGAATCCTCGCCTTTTAGTACCTTGAACTCGCTCACTATTCCCTGTATACCGATATGCATAAAAACTATGATACATTTGTGTGCACTCTACTAGAGCTGTAACCCAGCCGAAGTTGAGCTTGTCATGATTTATAATGATATATATATACTTATTAAATATAAAATTATTAAGTTAAATTTTCTAATAAATACTGTCGAGCGTTCATGAACAAGCTCAAGTTCGTTTGTGAATATAAAGAGTCAAAATTTATGTTCGTATTCGGCTCGTTTAGCTTAACGAACGAGATCTTAACGAACTTAAACGAGCCGAACCGAGCTAAGCTCGCGAACTGTTCGTTTATTTTACAGCTCTAGCTCTATACATATGTGCTCGAACATATATATAATGTACGTATACCTTGATCGCCTCTTGAATGAAGAGCAAAGTTATCAACATGCCGAATGTCTCACCGGCTATCCGCGTAAATCTATTTATGACCGCGCTCGCGTTGAAGATCGCGAGTAGGAACAACATTAGAGCCGACCAAACACATACCCTACATTCGTCGATCAACATGAGCTAAAAGAACAAAGTATTAAACACATATACATGAGTAATTTACGAAAGATCGAAGATTTTTAGCAATATAGATATGTATATATACCACGCGGCCCATGCCAAGTAAAGCTTTTGTCCTAAATCCTCGCGGCCCTTCGCGAAAGAGTACATGTAAGAGTACATAATAATAGTCGGCTCGGCGACTCCTAGGATGAGAAGAGGTTGTCCCCCGAATATTGAGTGTATGATGCCACAAATGGCCGTCGATGCCAATGTTTGCACCGCGCTTAAACTCCCATCTAAAAATTAAACGAGATAGCTATAAATTTTGTTATATTTTTGCATTGATAATGGAAATATGAGCGTATTTATGATACAGACTCGATAGACTCTGAAAATTTCTCTGCATAATGCAATAAATTTTATGCAGACAAATAAAAACTCGACTTACTCTAAATTTTTATAAGTTTGATGTAAGATCGATATCACAAATGTTTGTACTTGAGGTCATTATTCTTACAACATGAGTAGTTCAAGTGTCCCGACAAATACAATGTGTGTGTGAGTACTCACCAGTGTCGCGACCAATTTGCTCGCCAAATGCGATGACGGGAAGGGCCGAGGCGAAGAAGATATAAGTGGTTGGAGCAAGAATCCTAAGATGAACACGAACAAAAACATCAATACATAGATACATGTGCAGTTGTTTGGTTAGTAGAAAATCGAGCGAATGAAGGAACCGGCGAAGCAAAATTACCCGAACCCGGATCGAAAACCGAAGATCCAATCGTTCTTGTAGCAAGGTAACCTTGATTGGAGATCCTTCTTGATGCCTTTGAATGGAGGACTCTTTATGCACTCCATTTTTGTGTTTTTTGAGCTCTTGTTCTATTTGAATTTGGTATGATAACTTAATGGATGAATATTATCATTACTTTGTTTGAAAGAAGAAGAAACAACAGAGGTGAGTGATCTTTTTAATCAGCAAGTTTTGATCTAATTTAGAGATGTCACATATATATATATATAATTACATATACTCTCTTCCTCCCAAATTAATGTACATATCTATTTACTTTTTATACGGTATGTAAGAGTTGTATTAACTAAAAAGATTCAAACTCGACACCTCTAATATTATATCGGATGCGCAGAATAACCGTCTCACGAACCGGTAGAGAAACGCATCATTAATGTATTTATCAGGAGTACATCACCAATATTTTGAAATATAAAAATAAGTTGAATTACAATAAAAATATGTTGATCATGAATATTTTCAAAGTTAATTAATGCCCCTATTATTACGTTCCGATTCGGTTGTCTCACTGTAGCCAACGTAATTATAATTGCTATAATGCATACTGAAATAATAGTTATAATTAATTCGATCTAAAAAAAACAAAACAAACATAAGGAAAATGGCCTGACAGTGTAAGTAAAATATAAAAATAATAAATTTTATAATATATTAATTTTTTTGAAAAATCATATATATTTAAAAGACTCTGTATGTATATATCCCTCTGTCCCATATACTATATTCACATTACCTCACCATATCACTTTTCTTTTAATGATTACACACTCTATTCTTATTTTAAATTTTTTAATTTTATTTTTTTATAAATTTTAATTAAATTCATTAATTATCTTAATAATAATTTATAATTATTTATATTATCGAATAATTATTTTCTACCGATTAGCATATATGTATCTGGGACTAAGTGAGTATTATATTATATATATTAGTTTTATAAGCACTATTTTGGTACGGTAAGATAGACTGACAAACAATCAACTATGTTATATCGACAATTTATTTCTAACAATTGACAAAGATACAATCAATGTTGTGGGGACAAAACCATCCCTAACATAGTCAAGATCCATGACTTCTGTGGAATTTTAATTTATTACTATTATTATTATTTAATGTATTGAAGAAATACAATACAATCCTTTATTGACAAATACATATATATATATATATAATATATATGGTATTTTTTAATAATATTCAAATATGAATTGCAAACAAGAACAAAGGCTCAAAACATTAACAAACCAAAGCCAAAAATGCAACGTTAAACCACTCTCCATAAGCAAATTCTATAACTCAAAATTAGAATATTTAATTAAGCATTTATCCAAATTTAGTAGATGGATAGGAAATTCAAATAAGAAATAATTCACAGCAACACAGAAAGAAGAGGGAGGGAGGGGTCCATGAATTGAGTTCATAAAAGGATATTTAGTTTGTAATATCTCACACAAGGTTCGATATTCGTAGCCTACTTACTTCCAAAGCTTCCTCAGCGACATATTTTTCTCGGTTTCCTTCTTCATGACTTTGGCGACAGCCATCTCAAAGTCTTCTTGAGTCACATGGACTCTCCGCTCTCTCAGAGCAAACATTCCAGCCTCCGTGCAGACAGCCTGCGCGATATTTATGATAAGTTTGGTTGTAATAAAACAACAAATTCAATTGTAATGCGACATGATTTGACTCAGAAAGTAAAAACAGAAACGTTTGAAATTTTTTCAATACTATTTCAACAGTAACAAATCAAATATATTTTTCAATCTCACAAAATATCACATCAAATATTCAATTTTTTACTGTTTCAGAAAGTTGCCAAAATTCCAAAACTTGTATCTAGAGAAGGCCAAAAAGTGGAATTACAACAAGCAAAGGATTAGCCAATTCGATGGGGAGAAAATGTGCATAACAGCATATGCAATTCTAATGATGCCTTGTTAAGTCAGAAAAAATTAATGAAATCGACGCATACCTTGAGCTCAGCTCCGGATGCACCATTCATCTTCTCGGCAATCTTCTTCAGATCAATTCCTCTCATGAGATTCATTTTCCTTGAGTGGATCTTTAGGATATCAAACCGGGACTGAAATGTTTTAAATAATTAGCTGTTAGGAAAAGAAAAGGAAAAAGAAAAAAAAAGAAATAGCTTTGCCACAGGTGACAAAATAGCTAAACTGAGAAACTATCATGAAAATGAAACGATGGTTCGTAAATTTTTGGCAGTAGATAATACTGACTATATATATTTTTTTACTTTGCAGGACATGCAATTGAAACACAGATAAATATTCAATGGATGCAGAGACTAACATCTTCATTGGGATTTGGGAACTCAATTTTCCTATCGATTCTTCCAGGCCTAAGAAGTGCTTGGTCAAGAATGTCGATTCTATTGGTGGCCATAAGTACCTGTGGAGATCAATCGATCACTTAAGTCAGAATAAGAGACTAGACATTAAAAAAATAATAATAAAAAGATTCTTTCATACTTTTATCTTATTAGATGCTTCAAAGCCATCAAGTTGATTTAGAAGCTCCAACATAGTTCGCTGAACTTCACTATCGCCATTTCCACTTCCAGATTCCATACGAGCAGATCCTATGCTATCAATTTCATCCATGAAGATGATGGACGGAGCATGTTCCCTGTCAAAAATACCATCAGTTAATAGTGGCATTTTGACGAAATCTGGTAAACTATTGATGTTCCAAGGGAACAAACCTGGCCATTACAAAAAGTTCTCTAACCATCCTGGAACCTTCTCCGATATATTTCTGAACTAATTCGGAACCCGAGACTCGGATAAAAGTGCAGTCAGTGTGGTGAGCCACTGCTCTTGCGAGCAAAGTTTTACCCGTGCCAGGAGGACCATAAAGCAGGACACCCTTCAAAATTTCAAGGAATAATAGATCAAAAGATGCTTTGAAAAGTTTGGTAAACACCGATGAATACATTACTCAAATTACCTTGGGTTGAGCGATTCCAAGACTCTCAAACAATTCAGGATGCTTGATTGGAAGTTCAATGACCTGAAATTTACACCATGGAAATGAAAAAATCAAAAAAATTTACATTGACTAAGCTATCTAAAGCTATCAAATAAAGATTCCAGAAAACAGCTAGTTTGAAATTTAGCAGAGGGTAATTTGAATAATATCATATATGGAGTCTTCATAAAGAAAAAAAAAATGTAATGAAAATGATGATTGCAACTTCTCAATTTAGAACTGCAAAGAGAATGTTATATACATGTTTTTAAAAGCATACAAGAAACAGAGATGCAAAATATACAGACTCAATGAAATCTACAAGAAACCAGGCCTTCAAATACCTCTTTTATTTCTTTAATCTGTTGGTCAAGACCACCAATCATATCATATGTAGAGTCTGGAACTTTTTCAACTTTCATAAGGTTCACCAATGGATCAACCTTACTTGGTAGAATCAAGTGGAGAACATAACTATCATTGCGTAAAGCAACCCTTGTCGAAGGTGTAATCTTAGTGATATCAATACTCTTGTCAATGTCAACAACATACTTTCCCTCAGGATGGACCTAAGCAGATTATGGGAAAATTGCATGGTCAATAAATGGTAAAAACCAATATAGAATACATTCTGTATGCAATCAAGTAAAACTATTTCAGTGTATAGAATGTGTGTCTGGTGTCAGGTCCACAAAACTTTTAAGGTCTGAACAATATCAATAAATGCAAAAACTCAGCCTTTTGTTTTTATAAACAAAGGATTAAAATTCATCACCTCTTGCCCTCTTTCCCCAACCTTTCAATATGAAAGGTAAGAACTTGAAGCATACAATACTAATACTACATGAACCAAGAGGAAAGCTCCTACAAAGGCAAATTCTTGATCTCATCCCATGAAAGAATTACAAGTTAAAAGACTTATTCAAACAGAAATGTTAGTGATGATGAACTTGTTTAGAATTTATACAAGGAAGTTTCAGTCATTACAATTCAACCTTCTCCTGAACATGAAAACCTTTTTTATTTTGACCTTACCCAAATCAGGCATCACAAACAACTGAAGTATCAGCAAAGTAAACACAGAATATAGGGTAGAGTGATGCTGTAATCAGAAAAAAAATTGAAACCAAGCTTGACAAGTTAAAAGACTTATTCAAATAGAAATCTTAGTGATGATGAACTTGTTTAGAATTTATACAAGGAAGTTTCAGTCATTACAATTCAACCTTCTCCTGAACACAAACCTTTTTGATTTTGACCTTACCCAAATCAGGCATTACAAACAACTGAAGCATCAGCAAAGTAAACACAGAATATACGGTAGAGTGATTCTGTAATCAGAAAATAATGGAAACCAACCTTGACAAGAACCTTCGATTTACCCATGACTTTGACAACTTCACCAACATATGATCCAGGCTCCTGCAGAAGCTGCAGTTCTTCCTTAAGTGACCTCACTGCCAAAAAGAAAACAAATATTCTCATTTGAAATTATTTGGAGCAATAAGAATTTTCACTCAAATTTCTTTTGTGCCAAACCAATCATTTTCCGCTGATGTCCAAACTTAGCTAACATAACTCTATTAGGATGCGTAGCATCAATAACAGACTAAGGAGCAGTAACGTAGCACACAGTCTCTTAATGCACAAAAAACTGCAACTTTCATAAATAAACCATTGTGAAATGAATTCAATTTCCACAATTTGAATGAATAAAACCCTTATTTTCCGCACCTCTTTATTAAGTCAAGGATACAACTAAGGAGGTGTAAAATTACATCAAATTAACACTAATTCTCGCTCCACTTAAAATCTCCTAATAGAAATCAAACACCCTAGATTCTCTACTCACTACACGATTCAGACCGGCTAAAAATGAACACTTTACTCCAATCAAATCTAAAAGTGTGAGGAAACTATTACCAAGAAGAATTAAGTCAATAATAAACCGATTCCCAGCTCCTAGGGTTTCATAATTATCGATAAATATGAACTGCACATCTCCAATCAAATTAACAAAACACAAGAAAAGAAACCTCGAGCATTAAGGTCGTTGCGCTGAGCTTCGAGGCGCTGCAGATCATGAGCTTTCTGACGGACCAATAGCTGCATATCCTGTATCCGCTGCTGGTAATACTGGCGGAGACCTTCGCCGCCGCCTCCACCAGCGCCTTGCTCATGGATTTGCTTTGAATCTTCCGCCCGCCGAATCTCCGTCGCCGCCGTCGCCATTCTCAGGTAAGATCGAGGAACAATAGGCTTTCGTCTTCCCCAAGTTATATACTCCGCTAATCCTTTTTCTTCGTTTCTACAACTCCACCGCCTATTTTCTTTTTATTTTTTAAATTAAATTTGAAATATTTCGATTTTAATTAATTGATTGGTTTTTGAATTTGGGCCTTTTGTATTTTCGGCCTACGATGGAAAGAAAAATCCAAGAAAAGAAGCCCAAATAAATAAATTTTAATTGTTACAAAGCCCTTATATAAGGGGTTATTGGATAGGATATTCATGTGTGTTTGTTTGACAGATTGGATTTACATTATTCATCCAATTTTTTTTCTCCAAAAACATCAAATTAAATATTTATTTTTTATTTTTTATATTATACTAAAAATCAATTTTACATTCAAAACATCGTATCAACACCTATTTATATCACATCATACTATTCAAATCCCAACTCAAAATCCAAACCCCGAACAAACACTAATTCTTTTTAATATGTAAGTTTATTAACATGCATGATAATAAATAGCTAATAAGTATATTAGTCAAAAATAATTTTGATATAATAAAAATAATTATAAATTAAGTGATAATAAATTTATTTACTTGTGTATTTATTAGTGAAATAATTTATTTTTCTAATGCCTAGTACAAAATGTTTACAAATTTTGAAATAATATGGAAAGATTGTATAAATGAATTAATTTGAACTTTCTATGGTAAATATAATAAAAATATGCATATTAGAATTACTATTTTTTGGGTTTTGGATTTTGAGTTGAGATTTGAACAGCAAAAAATTTGAATTTGAATAATTGTATGATGTTATATAAATAGGTGTTGATGTGATGTTTTGAATGTAAAATTAATTTTTAGTATAATATAAAAAATAAAAAATAGGTGTTTGATTTGATATTTTTAGGGAAAAAAATGGGATGAATAGTGGGATTAAAATCCAATATCCCAAACAAACACACCTTAAAATATTATCTAACTATAATGAAAAATGTAATGGGCTTCCATATTACTTTTTCCATTGGGCTCTAGTTTTCTTAAGCCCAATATTCTTGGTTCGGGCCCATAACTGAGCCCAATGAACACCCAAAAAATAACGCCACTGCTACTGTACGGCGGCGGATAAGCCACGTGGCAGATTTCGGTTCCCAAGGCAGTTGATATTTTGGCCGCTACAATTCCACGTGGACAAACGACAGCCGTCCAATCAAGGGTGGCCCGCAGAACCACGTGACACACGTACGATCATGATTGGGGTCACGGAATCTGCTGTAAGAATCTGTGCCGTGCCTCAAACTTTGGAGCCATGTGATGGTTGCTGCCCTATTATTATAATTAAAAAAAAATCATTTTTAAATATTTTTTTAAAAAATATTAGAGGAAATTGAAAAGAGAGGCTTACACGCAAGGTGTGGCACAAACTTTAGGGGAAAAGAATGTGTTCGTTTTGTTCACCACCAAGATCCATATTAAATACATTTTTTTATTTATTTGATAATTTATATACAATTCGTTTACATAAAAGTTTTAAAAAATTTAAAAATAGAAACAAAAAAATGTATAATTGATACTCCATTTGTGATCGAATTTTATACTCCATCCGTCCCAACACCGTGCAATACTTTTTTATATATTTCAAACAGTATGCAATATTTTCAAAATAGGAAATAATTAATTATACTTAATCTCTCCGCAACACTTTATCCCGTCCCATCACCCGAATAAAAAAAATAAAATATATACTTCTCTCTGTCACATCACCTAATTTCTAAATTATCCTACTTAATACTACCCACCTAAAAACCCGTACCCAAAACAAATGTTGCACCTTATTTAGGATGAAGGGAGTAATATTTTATAAAAAATAATTACTACGGTAATTCTTGAAAAAATAAATATTGATTAATAGTTTCAAATGTTCTAAAAATTACTCCATTTGTTAAATATGTTTTATTATCAATTTTAGTAATGACAAGAGATTTTAAAATTTAATTATTAATTGCTGTTTTATATTCATTTACTACAATTATCACTACTATTATTACACATTATATCATTTCTAAAAATATTTACAACTATTTTTATTTTTTTTAGTAGTCTCTCTCTTTTCTTTAATAAAATGTTTATTTTTATTAATTTTTGTGTCAAGTCCAATATAAATAATTTTACATGATAGATAAAATATATTAAATTGAAAAAAATATTTTAAAATAATAAATTGATGATGGAGGGTTAGAATTGTGATATTTATTTGGTGGAAATTGGAATTGTTCTTTCGGAATATGCTTCTAGAAGAAGAAGATTGCGTGGGGGAGTTCAAATATAGTTTGGTATAGGTATTATGACCGAAGGATTTTGTTTGTTTCCTTTTCTGTTTATTTATTTTTATATTCCATCCGTCCTATAACTAGATTTTTATTTATTTTTTTGTACTAAGTAAGAATAAAATATAAATGACTAAAATAACTTTATTAGTACGTGTGATATAAAAGTAATGACAATTGTGTAATATATTGTAAGTTGTAAGAGTATTTGTAATGTTAGGTAGATAGTACAGTTACTAAAAAAAATGAAACGAATACTTTGTTATGAGACGGACTAAAATGAAAAAATAAATATTTTGTCATATGTGACGGAGGGAGTATAAGATTTTATATTCAAATATCTATTCATTTCTTTTTTAAAATTTAATTAGCTGATATAAGTATAATGTTAATTGTGTAATAATTCCTATTATTATAAGTAGTTACTAATTATTACTCCCTCAGTCCAGCTACATATGACCTTATTTCTTTTTTGGTATATCCCACAAAAGATAATTTCTTTCTATTTATGGTAAGTTTATCAATTTTAAACATATTTAACAAATATAAATCAATTAAATTAAACTTCTAACCTCTTACACTTAAAACCCACTCAAAACCTTTTATTTCTATCTCTCTCTTCAATTAATAAATATTTTTATCTATCTTTAAAACTTCTCATTTTTTATAAAACTAATTTATGGTAATGATAAATAAATAAATATATCTTTTTATTCATTTTTATTTTATATAAAACTTTATTATCTACAAAATGATATTCATATTGCATATATTTTATTTGAGATATAATTTTAAAAATATTTAAAATACCAACAACATTACATATATAAAAAATAAAAAAATATTATATTAATTTATTATTAATAACTTAATAACCTACCCTACTTAAAATACCGTAATCCTAATAAAAAGCTCATCTTTCTCGGCCAGATGGAGGGGGTACATGCGACCATGCAATTAGACCCCTCTTTAATTACATCACTTTTAGTTTTAAAAAAATCATTTTATTATTAATATTATTAATCAGCACACACGCGACTCACGTGCATTAATTTGATATTATACTTTCAAACTTGAGTTACTTTCTATTATGAGTTTTAATTAATTGCTCGTGCATGTAAAATTAAGGCCATGTTTGGTTTGAATTTCAAATGTATACACACTCGCTTAGGCTTTAAAGAAAGTTTTGTTTGGTTTTTTATATAAAATTTTTAATATTAATACTCGGTCGTCCTATAAATATAATTTTAATTAAATTAAACACTAAAAAACATTGATATTATATTGATCGTGAAATCGCTGTATAAACACATAATTCTAAGTAAGGACAAGTCAAGTGGTCGAACTATATATATGCTTCTAGGATTTAGGGTTATATCGATAGATAGATACAGACACGTGTATCTATATGTGCATGAACAAAGCCGCAGAGTCCCATTCCGATTAAAGCGCCCTCTCTTATTGGCCCCTTCCGCGCTTTTCTTCACATGATTCCTCTCCGTTTTTGCTTCGATCCTCGATTGCAGCCCTAAATCTTCCCCCAATTTCGCTTTTTCTTTTTGTTTGATTCGGTAATTCTTTGTTTAATCTCGAACTTGTTTCTTAATCGCCTGAATTTGTTGCTGTTCAGATTAAATTAATCAATGGCACCTCACTGCAATTATCTGCTTTGAAGATTCCGCAGAGCCGCAGTACTATACATAGCCGTGTTCGCTCGTCGTCTCCAAATCCTCTCTGATCGGAGGATTCTGAATTCCGGCGGAAAACAGGGCGGATTTTTGACAGGGATTGGAAAAAATGCAAGCGGTTTTGCAGACGAAGGGGATTTTTTCCCTACCTTCAAACCCTAGGACTCGAGGTTTTATCGCTCGGCCGGCGAGCGATCTACGGTACAGATTCAATCCTCCGGTGAAATCGACGGCTGTGAGGGCGTCAAATTTGTTTCCGAACGTATCGCTGAAACCAAAACCCCTAGGGTTTGCGGCAAAGCCTAATTTAATTCGTTCAAACGTTAGAGATCGTTATCCAATTGTAAGAGCTGAGGCTGCAGCAGGTGCGGATGGACAGCCTCTGTTTGAGGAGAAAGAAGAGCCTAAAATCTTCGGAATTGAATCGGTGACTCTGAAGAAGATTATTCCTCTCGGGTTGATGTTTTTCTGCATTCTTTTTAACTATACGATTCTTAGGGATACGAAGGACGTTTTGGTGGTGACAGCCAAGGGTTCGAGTGCTGAAATCATACCTTTTCTGAAGACATGGGTGAATTTGCCGATGGCTGTGGGGTTTATGATTCTGTACACAAAATTGGCTAATGTTTTGTCGAAGGAGGCTCTTTTTTACTCTGTGATTCTTCCGTTTATAGCCTTTTTTGGGGCGTTTGGATTTGTTTTGTATCCTCTCAGCGAGTATTTCCACCCCACAGCTCTTGCTGATAAGCTTCTCAATGTTTTGGGGCCGAGGTTTCTCGGGCCTCTGGCGATTATGAGGATTTGGAGCTTCTGCTTGTTCTATGTGATGGCTGAGCTTTGGGGGAGTGTGGTTATTTCAGTTCTGTTTTGGGGATTCGCTAATCAGGTATAAATTCGATGCTTTTGTTGTTATTAGATGTTTATATGCTGTTCGTCTTGTGTAGTGTATTGATCTTTTGAACATTTTGAGACGAAAATGGGTGTTATTGATGTCTATATGCTGTTCTGTTTTGGGGATTTGCCAATTAGGTAAAAGCTCGATGCTTGTGTTGTTATTTGATGTTTATATGCTGTTTGTATTGTGTTTTTATATGGCTGAGGATCTTGTTAATTGGTGTTGTATTGATCTTTCGAACTTGTTGAGACGAAAATGGGTGTTGATGTTTATAGCTTGAATGGAAAGTAGATGTTGGATTTGGCATTTTATTGATGAGAAAATTCAATATATAGGAGATTGATTTGTCAAAAATGGAAAGAAAACACAAAGAAACACGACCGTAATTGTTGGTAGATTTTCTGGATTGTGTTTAGATTGCTGATGCTTGGATATGGTTATAGATTCAATGATTGTTGCTGTTTGGATAGTTTCTATTCTGTTTTACGCTAAAGGCGAGTGATCTGACGATATGGGTGATTTTGTCGTTTTGGGATTAATTAGCATATTACGGGTAGTTTTGTCGTCTAGGGATTACGCAATTGGATTATTAAATGATCATCAATATAATCTTCTGACATTGCAGATTACCACAGTCGATGAAGCGAAGAAATTCTACCCGCTATTTGGCCTCGGAGCGAATGTTGCGCTTGTATTCTCCGGTCGAACTGTGAAATACTTTTCTCAATTGAGACAAAACCTCGGCCCAGGCGTCGACGGGTGGGCTGTCTCCCTAAAGGGAATGATGAGCATCGTCGTCGCAATGGGGTTTGCAATTTGTTTCTTCTACTGGTGGGTGAATCACAACGTTCCTCTCCCTGCCCGAAGTCTAAAGAAGAAGGTACTGACCTTCTAGAATCTTCCATTTTGTTTTCTTACGAGCGATCGGGATTACTTCTCACTACCGTTTTCTTACAGGAAAAGCCGAAAATGGGAACAATGGAGAGCTTGAAGTTCTTGGTGTCGTCAAGGTACATTCGCGATCTTGCCACTTTAGTCGTAGCATACGGCATCAGCATCAACCTCGTTGAAGTAACGTGGAAATCGAAGCTAAAAGCTCAGGTAAATCCGAAACCCGTTAATTCTCGACTATTGTTCGTAAATTTTCACACCCGTTAATTCTCGACTATTGTTCGTAAATTTTCACATCTTTATCGTTTAAATTGACAGTTCCCTACGCCGAACGAATACTCGTCGTTTATGGGCGACTTCTCGACCGCCACCGGAGTCGCGACTTTCACGATGATGCTGTTGAGCCAATGGATATTCAACAAATACGGTTGGGGGGTCGCCGCGAAAATCACCCCGACCGTCTTACTTTTAACGGGGGTCGGATTCTTCTCCCTCATTCTGTTTGGCGATCCTCTTGCCCCGGCTCTCGCGAAATTCGGGATAACGCCGCTTCTTGCGGCGGTGTACGTCGGAGCGATGCAGAATATCTTCAGCAAGAGTGCGAAGTACAGCTTGTTCGACCCGTGCAAGGAGATGGCGTACATTCCGTTGGATGAGGAGACTAAGGTTAAAGGGAAAGCGGCGATCGACGTCGTCTGCAACCCGCTCGGAAAGTCGGGAGGCGCGCTGATCCAGCAGTTTATGATTTTAACTTTCGGGTCTCTCGCGAATTCGACTCCGTACTTGGGCGGCATTCTGCTTGTGATAGTTCTTGCGTGGTTGGGCGCGGCGAAATCGTTGGACGGTCAGTTCACCGCGTTGAGGCGAGAGGAGGAGCTCGAAAAGGAAATGGAACGAGTTTCCGTGAAGATCCCGGTGCTGTCTTCGGACGAAAAGGGCGGCGGAAACGGAAATGGGTTTGTTTCCGGTGATTCGGCAGTGAACACCGATGCCGGCGCGTCGGAGCCGTCATCCAGCCGGAACACATGAGGTTGGTAGGGATTCTTGGTAAGATTTTATTTTTTAATTTAGCCCAAGGAATAATTGTCTGAATTAGGACAGTTATGTGGCGTTCGTCGTCTTTGGATTTTGGCTGACCTAAGGTGCTGTTACAACGTAGGTAAACTTATTTGCTTCATTAACATCTTCCCTATTTAGTTTTGGTATTTTATTATATTTTTTTATACTTCTTTCGTTTCGTATTTATCTATCTATTTAAAAATATTATTATTATATTAGGTGTGGTATAAATAAAATAGAAAAGAATAAAATAACATTATTAGTATTGTATAATATAAAAGTAATAACATTTAGACAATATATTATACGTATGTGAGACTAGTGTTGTTTTTAACGGGGTGGCGAAGAAGACAATAATATTTATTAGATATATTATATTAGGTGGTATTGGTACTGGAGCAAATTAAAGTCCGCCTCTTTATTTCATCATTAACTTCTCCAACTAAATAAATGCTGACAAAGCCTTCTATGGTGGTTGTGCTTCTCCACAAACCATCTACCTTCTTATTGCATCACAAGATTCCCAAGGTGTTTTGGGTTTTTTGTTTTTATAATAATAATAATTATTATTATTATTATGATACGGGAATTCACCTACTTTTTTAGTATGTTTTAGGTCAAATTTAATAGTTGATAACTTCACAGATACGAGTCCATCCTTACAATATCAGGTCATAGACAGCTCTCCGGAGTCTAATCGAATGCTTGAAGGGCTTAAAAAAAAAAGTTGTTTTGGGGATGTGCTTAGGGATTTTCTTTAATCTACCGTATTTTTTGTCATTTGTTTTTCTTCGATAATGCACGAATTCATGTTGAATATATATTCTACATTGGAAAAATATGAGATCTCTTGCAAGGGTGAAGGACTCCACCTATCACCAATTGATTTTATATTGAAAGTCCGAATTCTTTTTTAACAGAGTTATGATGCCTATATTGAATTTAAATCTTGTATGAATATCTTTTTAATAATTCATAATCACTATTTATCGGCTAGAATAGCCTAAATCACATCAGGCAAGTCCCAATGTACACCTGGTTTTAAATCCAGGACCACTCAATTACAAGTCTATCATCTTGACTAACTCGGCAGGTATGCATATTGTGTATCTTATTTTGCCTGTATAGTTTACAGTATGTTATTCCAAAATAAAATAAAATTCCCAAGGATTTGTTTGTTAGATGTTCTAGAATAAAAATATATGAATTGAAATAAAGTTTAATTTCCATATTTAAATTAAAATAACGTTGAATTGCATTCTAAAAAGGTATTTGATAAAATAGCTCGTCAATTCTCTTAGGTTCATGGATCTTCAAAATGTGTTGTCGATTTCAAATAATCTCTTTTTAATATTTTAAATTGTATTATTTTAAATATTCTTTGCAATTATATGATAATGTTTAATTTGTACTTCAAATATGAATCAATATTATTTTGTTTAGAAAGAGATATTATTATTATTATTTCTTACAAAATAGTACATCAGAATAATATTTTAATCAAAACATAAATCAAACATTCAGTTTCAAATAAAAATCAAACCAACCCTCCGTCATATTATACATATATTAATATAATAGATATTTATTCACAAGAGTTATCAATTCAAATAAAATATTATTTTTTGTAATATCGATCTAATATAAAAAATATATTTATTCAAAAATATTAAGTGAATACACCCTTATTTTTTATTATTATTTTTTTAAAAGTTTAATTATTTTGTAATATATATTTAATTAAAAATACATTTAAAAGATTTTAAAAATGACTACATTTTAATAAAATTATTTTATAAAAAATAAAGAAGTTTAAATGTATATAAATTCATAAATGATTTATGATTTTATTTAAAAAGCTTTAAAATAATTAAGATAAAAATAAAAAGAAAAGGATGCCATATGCTAACCAGATTTACTCCATTTCTGAGATACATAAAATCAAATGCATTTGTATAAAATATAACAAACATCACATATTAATACTTCATATAATATATATATATATGTATTGTTTATTATATTTTCATATGCTATCTATAAAATATTTTATATGTTGATTGGGGCAATTAGTAAGATGCTAGTGTATTGGACAACTATATTTGTGATGTTTTAATAGTTATATATTGTTTATTTATATTTCATATCGATTAATATATCCTACGAGCACCCAAACATCGGCCATACCTATCGATTAATATATTCTACAAGCACTGAACCCTCGGCCATAAATAAAATACGAATCCTAATGGAAAAAAAGACAAGAAACAGGTAATGAAAATATTCCCCCGCCTAAGAGAGAGACAAACCATGGCTTTAAAAAGAACCAAAACTCATTAAAACCACCACAGCAACGTCTGAAAAAGACCTCACCCCACTCGATAAGGGATGACCCTAGTGGTTTGGAGGTAGATTTATTACCGTGAGGTTATTGGTTCAAATCCTCGATGTCTTTGGGTCACATGTTACTCATGTTTCGCTTAGTCGGGAATTTACCCAGTGCGTATTTTCGAGTAACGGCTGCGGGTTTCCACATCATCAAAAAAGAAAAAAAAAAAAACCTCACCCCGGACTCATGACCATTAGATTATGAGTTCAAATCCCGATGTCTTTAAATCTTACTTATCACACATGATGATTCGTCTAGTCTAACTTGTCATGTTAGATCTAGTTTGAAGACTACTAAATTCGACCTAAAATTTAACTAATAGTAAAAATTTTGAATTTGAATAGTTGTATGATGTAATATAAATAAGTATTGATGTGATGTTTTGAATATACAATTAATTTTTAATATAATATAAAAAATAAAAAAAGATATTTCATTTGATATTTTTTGGGAAAAAAATTTAAATAAATAGTGTATTTAAAGTTTAACCCCCAAACAAACACACCTCTAGAGTTCATCCAAATGATAGTGACGGTGAGTTCTCACTCAATTAAAATTTAATTAAAAAACAAAAAAAGAAAAAGACCTCACCCCATTTCTCACCCCTCCCCCTTCTCTCTTCACTATCTTCTTATCCTTTTATTCTCCAAACCAATTGTTCACTTCTCCCATCACTTTCCATCTTCCTTTCCTTCAAACCCTTTCTCATATTTCAACATTTCTAGCAACTTCCAAACTAACTCCTCCTCTTATCACACAAAACTCCCAAAGAAAGAAAATTCGGAACTAAACCCAACATATATACGTAAACAGCGTACCTTAAATCAAGCGAACGAGCTCGATCAATCGATCCTAATCGCATGCATTTTAACATTCTGCGACGATGCAGAGCTTCGAGTTCGTCACAAAATCTGGCAGCCTCAAGCATCTCCCGGCAGAGGCGTGGTTCGGGAATCCCTGCATTTCAGACATCGAATATTTCATCAAAAGTCTGTCAGTCGTCAAGGGGAAGGAAGTCAGACCTGAGCTGATTGGATCCATCATCACGCATTACGCGTCGAAATGGATTCCCGAGCTCGGACGAGACGACGACGACACAGAATCGGCGGCGATTGCCGGGTTAGAAGAATCCCCCGAGTCGGTCACGGCTGCATGGAGCAAGAAAAGGTTCTTCGTGGAATCGCTCGTCGGGATTATACCTCCCGAGAAGGATTCGATCCCGTGCAACTTTTTGCTGAGGCTGCTGCGCGTTGGGAACATGGTTCGCATCGAGCCGGGTTACCGTTTGGAGCTGGAGAGGCGGGTTTCATGGCAGCTCGACCAGGCCTCGTTGAAGGAGCTGATGATTCCATCGTTTAGCCACACGGCCACGACTTTGCTCGACGTCAAGCTCGTCCTCCGCCTGGTGAAGGGATTCATTAGTACAGAAGTCGCCAAAAGCGGCGCTGCAGTTATGAAAGTCGCAAAACTTATGGATTCTTACCTCGCTGAAGCAGCTGTCGACTCGTGCCTGACATTGGCTGAGTTTTTGGAGCTCGCTTGCGCTCTCCCGAGCCATTCTCGCCCCATGGATGATGGGCTTTATCGCGCCATCGACACCTACCTCAAGGTTAGCACTCTACATCCTTTCTTTTTATCGTAATCCTTTTTACGCTGAGAAAAATGGCGAGATTCTTGCACACGCGGGTAGCTTTGGACAACCTTGGACCACATTTATCTCGACTCGTAGTCCCTACACAAAATGTAGCATATCTTTCTATCCTCAAGTTTAGTGCTGTACTGAGAGAGAAGTTCGAATTCCTTCCCCGGAAAACGGACACCGGTAAAGTACTAGGATAGAGATAGGACATATAAAGGGAGGCCATTTTGTGTTGTCACCAACACAAGATTCTTAAGCTAGAGTTGAGAATATATGGGTTTTTCTTCGCAATCTTTTTTCATATATTGAAATACAAAATCCTCTTCACGACGAAAAGTCGCTCTTCCTACTTGTAAAAGCGACAACTTTAGGTTGTCGTAACTCGAATTTATGGTTCAAGGCATGAAAAGCTTAGCTCGCTATAAGAGTGGAGGCTTACATAACCCTCACTAAACTAGATTCGACCTGAGATAAACTTGTGATCAAACTTTTACTTAGTCGTAAAGTCCGGTCAACACTATAAACAAGTTTATCAACATCGAAACAACATTTTCATAGCGATTCGATATGTTACATCCCAAGAATTAGGTGTTTTGTTGCTCTTTCATCCATAGATGTCTTAGGTTCTTAGCACAAGGACATAAACTTATGTTAATTTACCCTTCAAGTAACATGCATCTGCTAAACGATAGATATGCGAAAGTAAATAAATTAGTAAGGAAGAAGATTGACCTGAATTTTTCGACTTATGGAGCTCTTTTGGAATGTAACATTAATGATCCACCCAAGGTTGTATTCAATCGAGCCGACTAAGACCCAATCCTCGCGTAACATATGACTTATTTTGATGTTGTTGTGTAGGCGCATCCATCGCTTCCAAAGCAAGAACGAAAGATGCTCTGCAAGCTGATCGACAGCCGGAAGCTCTCCACCGAGGCGTCCCTCCATGCAGCACAAAACGAGCGGCTGCCTGTGCGCGCCGTCATCCAAGTGCTCCTCTCCGAACAAACAAAGCTTAGCAGGCACGCCGAATGGAGCGGCTCCCTGAGCGCAGCGCGCAGTCCATCTGCGCTCAGCCTCGACATCCCAACTCGGTGCCTGTCCAAGCGCGAGACGAACATTCAACAAGCTGAGATCAAGCGGCTCAAGGAAGACGTACTGAGGCTGCAGAGCCAGTGCATTGCCATGGAGAAGAAGATGGAGAAGCTGCAGGTTGAGACGAAGAAGAAGAAGCGTGGAGGATCGTCGTCGTACTTCAGCTGGAAGAAGCTTGGGATCATTCGCGCTTTCCGAAGGAGCAGGATTGGGGAGAGTGAAGAAGAAGGTGAAGTTGCTGCAATGGCGATCAAACCGCCATTGGAGATTAAACCGAAGCTTCACAGAGGCAAATCGTCGAACAGGAGGCGGACAATGTCGTGAATTCGTGATCGCTGGTGTTACAGTTGCTCTGCTTCTGCAGCTTCCCCTGTACTCGATAACGATCGATGTACATCCTCTGTGCTGTTCATATCCGCTCTGTTCATCTGCATCGGAACGAAGACGGATTAACAATTTCACATCGAACAATTTTTGAAAAGCAAAAATCAAACAAATCAATCGAAGACACAATTCACCACCACAACCTTTAACTTTAATGTAAACGACAGAAGAAATTAATCCAAGCAATTATGCTAATTTATCTATAACCATTTCTCAACCAATCGGAGAAACGCATGAGCTTTTCAGTGCTTGACACTTCGAAGAGCCGTTTTTGATATTTCTACGTTTTACCTGTCCAATCGAATGATTGAGGAGCTGCTTGATCCAATATTCCACTGATCCATGGATCGATAATCCAGAATCAATCTTCACCATTCGTATGGTGGTCCTATCACAGATATACGGTGACGATTGTTCCTAGGGTTTCAGATCCTGGACTGTGTAAAAACGAAATAATTTAATATAAATAAATTACAAAGTGTTCACGCAGAGGGCATTTGTTGGTAGTTACACTCCTTTAGTGTTCACTTTGACTCTGTCGCCGGAAAATCAATATGCCGACGGAATCGCCGCTCCTCCGCCGCCAGATGGACAGGTGGCGCCACCGCGTCTCCAACTCTCTCCGTCTGAAGACAAGCTTTCTATCCGAGCTTAGCGGTTCCGTCGGCGATCTAGGGACCTATATCCCCATAGTCCTCGCTCTCACGCTAGTTTCGCACCTAGATCTCTCCACAACCCTAATTTTCACGGCGCTATACAACATCGCCACCGGAATACTCTTCGGAACTCCGATGCCGGTCCAGCCGATGAAATCGATCGCCGCGGTCGCGGTCTCGGAGACGCCTCACTTGACGGTCTCTCAGATCGCCGCCGCCGGGATCTGTACTGCGTCCGTCCTGCTCTTCCTCGGCGTCACCGGACTCATGTCCGGCCTCTACCGATTCCTTCCCCTTCCGGTCGTGCGCGGCATCCAGCTCTCGCAGGTAACTGCTCCTCCTCAATCACCGTACTTTTCTAGAACATTCCGATATCAATTTCCATGATTACACATTAATTTGCTGATAATTTTCACGAATTGTATAAAATTCATTCATCGATTTATCCATTATACATTGCTGTGAGAGGCTTTGATTAATTGTCGATCACCATAACAAGTAACACTGTAGTTTGATGAATAGAGTAGGGAGAAGATCGTTTTAAAATGAGCTCTAATTGTGTTCTGCAGTTGTGGTTTTGTTCTTTAGTTTCGATATCTAGATGTCTAAATAATTGTTAAATATGATACTCTCTCCTTCGACTGTCACATTTGACTTCAGCGATATTGCGCTTAAAATTAAAATTATTTTTATATTTGTATAATTTTTCTTTACAAATATTATAATCCCTTCATCTCATAAATATAATCTTAATTTGTTAGGAATTTAAAGAATATTGATATTATATTATACTCTCTCGTCTCATAAATATAGTCTTAATATTGATATTATATTGCCCATGTGAGTGTATTAGTGTAAAAAACAGTGAAAATTGTGTAATAAAAAAAAAAAAAGTAAGACTAATTTTATGGTGATATGGAAATAAAACTATTGTTTTGGGACAAACAAAAATGGTAAACAAGACTGGGACTGAGGAAATATATTATAAGGTGTTAATGGAAGTATTTTTTCAATTTTTTTAATTGTATTACGTTTTGATATAATAATTAATATTCAACAAATGCAAAAAAAAAAAATAGATGAGACCCTGTAACAGAAAATAATAAAAATTAATAATTATTGTATATTTTTATTAAATCCGTGCTCAAATATTTGAATCAAAATTAAACCTAGCCTATACTCTGATACTATATCAGAAAAAAGCATCTATTAATTATATATCTGCAAACTGAGTACTTAATACTAACTGCGCCTCATAACAAGGAGATCATTTATGTGTTATTATATTTAACATTAAAAATATATTTTACTTCACAAATATCATTTTATTTGGATCGACTAATTCACGTATTCTTCTGACATTGTCTTTATTTTTGTGTACTTGTAGGGGCTATCATTTGCGTTTTCCGCAATAAAATACATTCGTTACGATCAAGACTTCACGGCAACCACCAAAACGAAAACCACCGATCCCCGGCCGTGGCTCGGCCTCGACGGCCTCATCCTTGCCCTCACTGCCCTCCTCTTCCTAATCCTAACCACCGGCGATGGCACCGGAGCCACCGAAATCGAAAATCCACCCCCGACGCCGACGTCCGTCCAGCGGCATCGTAGTAGAGCTGAACGCCGTCTCAAAATCCTCTCATCCATCCCGTCCGCCCTTATCGTCTTCCTCCTCGGCTTAATCCTCTGCTTCGTCCGCGACCCGTCGATCATCCGCGACCTCCGTCTCGGCCCGTCCCGATTCCACGTGCTCCGCATCACGTGGGACGACTTCAAGACGGGATTCGTCCGCGGCGCCGTGCCTCAGATCCCGTTATCGGTGCTCAACTCCGTGATCGCTGTCTGCAAGCTGTCGGGCGACCTCTTCCCCAACGCCGACCTCTCGGCGACGGAGGTTTCGGTGAGCGTCGGGGTGATGAATCTCGTGGGCTGCTGGTTCGGTGCGATGCCGTGCTGCCACGGGGCGGGCGGGCTGGCGGGGCAGTACCGGTTCGGCGGCCGGAGCGGGATGTCGGTGGCGCTCCTCGGGGCGGCGAAATTGGCGCTCGGGCTGATGTTCGGGAACTCGTTCGTGCGGATTCTACGGACGTTCCCGGTGGGCATTCTCGGCACGCTGTTGTTGTTCGCCGGGATCGAGCTGGCTATGGCGTCGAGGGACATGAAGTCGAAGGAGGAGTCATTTGTGATGCTGGTGTGCGCCGCCGTGTCGTTGACGGGGTCGAGCGCCGCCCTCGGATTCGTGTCGGGAATTGTTCTCCACCTGCTGCTCCGGCTCCGGGAGATGGACTGCGGCGGCGCGCCGCCGTGGGGGTTTAAGAGGGATGGCGGGAGCGAACGTGTAGAGCCTGATCCTGAGCCTTTGTTGATTCCTTAGATGAGAATTGTTTTAGATTTAACTTATTATTTTATGGTTTGGTATATGAATTGTGGTATATATTTGTGAGTGATCATGGCATGTTTATGTGTAATAATCTAGAAAATAAAATTACAAAATTAATTATTGTTGAAATTATTTAAATTATTAATGTTGTGTTTTTGTGTATTGTAACTGCTATGTTTATACTGATAGTTTTGAAATTTTTAATATTATTTATTAGTAAAATTGTACAAAATTCGCTAGTATTTCAGAAATTACTCCAAATTCTTAGTATTTTTTAAATTATGTCAAATTTCTTTATGGTTTCGTATAAAATCTGCGTCTAATTTTTTTATTTAAAGGTGTTTAATCTTCACGCTTCCAAATTACGAATAAGTTTCGCAATCCTTATTTATAAACCATTGAAATTATAAATATACTCGTTATATTAAAAAAATTAGTTTTGACAATCTTTATTTCTAAATCAGGTTAAATATAAAAGGAATAAATATATTTGTAATATTAATGGGTAAAAAATAGAGATTTTGAAATTTATTTGTAATTTGAACGCGTGTAGGTAACGACTGCTGAAGGGATTATATGCAGAGTTTAGTTTGGCACAATTTTGAAAGTACGATAAATTCAACTCGATTTTGTAAACCTGCGGATGAATTTGATGCAATTTAATCTTATTTATTTGCAGAATTCTTATTATTATTTTTTTTCAAACAACATAGTATCAAATATGCTTGTTCCAAATATTTTCTTGAAAAATTTTTACATTTGATCGAATAGCATCCAAAATTGCAAAAGTACATATAAACAGAAATTCTTATTGATTCAACTGTTCATCTTGTATAGTAAATCATAATCAAAATCACTTTTGTCTCAATTAGTATTCACTCCAAAACCACAATTGGACCATAGATATATAGATTCATTCACAAATACTTCAAATATATATATATATATATATATATCTTTCTTTCTCTAAGGTACCATCCCTTCCTCCACCAGCTGCTCCAGCCCTCTCTTCAGCCGCTCCGCCGCCGCCCGGCACTCATTTTCCGGCAGCCCTCCGAACGAGATCCTAACGTACCCGCCGCACCCGCTCGAGCTTCCCGGAATCACAACGACGCCGTGCTTTTTCACCAGCCAGCGCACGACTTCAAAGTCGTCGTCTTTGTACGCCTCCGGAAGCTTCGCCCACAAATAGATTGCGCCTTCGCCGCCTTTCACCGCATCTATTCCCAATGGGGAAAGCGCGTCCATTAGAAGCTCCCGGTTCTTCACGAGGTCCTTCACCCGATCGGTCACCCAATTCGGACCCATCTCGAGAGAATGGAGCGCGAGGCGTTGGCTAATTATCGCCGCGCATATCGGGATGTTGTCTTGGATTTTGAGGAGTTGCTCCGCGAAGCCTTTCACCTCCGATGGATACGCGATCTTTGTTCATGAAAAAATGTAAAATTGTAACCGGATTTATATGTCGAGGAAAAAAGAGTAATATTATTAACTTAGTGAAGAGGGGAAGAAATAATTTTCACTCTAAGTAAATTTTGTCGGAAAATTATCCTCTATATATCTTACTCATTGTCGTTCTAATGATCTTAATTTTACGGACGATAATCGCGCATATTTACATAAAGTAGAGCATCCATATAGAATTATTATATGTGCTAGTTATGAACTACAATCATTATAAAATGATATTATTTTCTCTCACAAAATATCGCATTCGAATATGAAATAAACTAAACTCCAAAAGAATACAATCTAATCGAGCAAAAAGTAAACTACTTTTATAGTACCTATATTTCAATCTGAATATGAAATAGGGATGTCTAATCGTATACTTTAGCCTCAGATTGCTTCGAGATTTTCTATTTTATGTTTATTATTTTGCAATTTTCACTATTTTCAATACAAATATACTCTCTCCGTCCTATATTTATCTATCAGTTTTTTTTTTTATAGAGTTTTAGAAAATATTAGTATTATATTGTAACATAGTAGAAATAAATGAAAAATAATTTATATAATATATTTAAAATTCAAAGAATATTTGTAAGGTTGATACATAGTACAATTATTAAAAAAAAAATGAAATAATTATGTTGTTAGGATTAATAGTTTGATAAGGGACGAAGGAAGTATTATATAATTCCTATGCTTATATGATTTTAGAAACATACTGAAGAATTCAATTTTACTTTTTAATTCAATTTTACTTTTTAACTACGACAAGGTGAACTATAAAATAAATTTTACGGTGAGTATTTTATGCATTTATACTAAAACAAATATATTATAAGCGTAAGTTGCGCGCGACTCACATATCCGACTCGCCATCCCATCATGCCGTAGGCCTTCGAGAAGGAAAAAATATTGACGATGTGGTTGTCCTCGATACATACATGTCTTCGACCGTCGTACATGAAGTACCTACAACAACGACATCCGTTACACATAGACGAGCAAAAACATCGAAAACTCAAATCTACTTTAAAAAATTCGCTCGAAATTTCAATCAATTTGGTAATAACTCACTCGTATGTATTGTCGATCACAAGCCAACATCCGGCATTCTTACAAAGATCCGATATCCGCTACTCGGACATAGTTCACAAGACAACATAGGATCATTAGCAAAAAAAACAAGAATGTTCCGCATTTCTCGGGTTAAGACAAGACGGGAGAAGCGTTTTTACCTTAAGGAGCGGTTCGGGAATGTAAGTTCCCGACGGGTTTCCTGGATTTACAACGGTAACGAGCTTCGGGGTCGGCTTACTTTGGAGTAGTTTCTCTTCTAACCAATCTAACATTAAAAAAATAAAATAAAATCGAAGCTCGTTTAATTGTAAGACCATTTCCAACTCATCGGTAATTATAGTAAAAATGCAGTTGATCTATGGTAATTTTACTTCAACCATAAACTTCAATTTTTACTGTATATTCCTTGTATATTCTTCTTTTATATTATTTTATATTACTTTTTATATTTATAAATTTTGGAGGTGGGTTGGAGCTCCTCCCCCAAATTTTCACAAGCCACTGTATTTTTGCGTGGGTTGGAATTGCTCTAAGAAATGAGCTTCGTTTTTCGTCGATAACGCGAATAGGCGTCGAGCAAGAAGAGAAATTAACCTGCGTCGGGATGGAGGGTCTTCGAATCGCCGGGCCCGACGAAAATGTCCGTCACTCCCGTCATTTGGAACGACATGTAAGAATTGAAGTAGTATGGCGCGAACATGACAACCGAATCCCCGGGATCGCATAATGTAAGAACAATGTTCACAAACGCCTAAGGGATACAACATTAAATCGAACATTTCATCGATACGACTAAATCAAGACATTGTAAGGCCATGACAGAACAATATATTGAACATTTCAACGACGAAATGCTCACCTGATTCGCCCCGGCAGTCACCATTACAGACGACTTATGCAAATTGTTCTCGCGACGCAACTGCGAAAGAAATCGCGAGATTAGGACAGTATGAATTTTCGATCTATGTATGTTGTAAAATTATTACAACCTTTTCTGTCAATGCCTCCCTTAGCTCGGGAAGGCCCTCGTCGCCGCCATACCGGCTGATTGAGGGCTCCCATACAAGCTCTCGGACTTTTTCTAACGCCTCTTTCGGCGGCTGCCAATACACGACGCCCTTGAAGACAAAAACAAAAAGTATCCGATAAAGTTGTCAAGACATACAAAAATTCAGACAACCTAAACTCATCTTCGAACAAATCCAAGACTATGTTTACATGAACACATTCGAAAAATTTTAGATCTTTTCATCGACTTTAAGAAAATATTACACTAAATATCTTCTTCTTTCTCGTAATATCGAATCAAATACTTCATTTTTTTTTTTCTATTATCGAAGATTATCTAAACGACGAATTCGAGACATCGATTATAGCCCCAGAATCGAAGAATTTCTAACCAACATTGCAAAAATGTAAAGAGTTGAATCGAAATCAACAGAGTTCTTGTGATTCAAATTCAATTCAATCTTAAACAAAGGGGAATTTCATAGTTCGTAATTCACAGTTATCAATTCCTCGGAATCCAAATTAAGGCAAAACAAGATTCACAAACTTCAATTCCTCGTACCCCATCGAAATGTAGAGATATAATCCACAGTATTATTATCCTCGTATTCTCCAAAATATTTCAGGCAAAAAAAAACATTCACAGTTTTCAATCCCTCGAACCACAAATTCAAGAGATGATTGCAATCAAAATGCTCCACAAAATTCAAAAGACATCTTCATTGGGGAAATCAAAATCAAACAAAATCAAAAATTAAAAAAAAAAAAAAAAAAAAAAAAAAAATCGAACAAACCTGAGCCAAAGAAACACAGTTCTTCCTCCCTCGGATCAGCTCCTGTATCTATAAATCCACTCAATTCAATTAAAAAAAAAAAAAAAATTAAAAATTCAAGAAATCAGAAATCAATTCGACAGTACCAAATAACTAATTTATTTTATTTTTTTTAAGAAAATTAAATATAATTGCAAATAATTATTAAAGTATTTTTTTTACCTCAACCATAACAGGGGTATTCGTAAGCAAAGCCCTTCTTGCAAGCGCCGCATTAGAACCCATCCTCAGACCTTAATTTTTTCGACTCCTTTTTTTTTTTCTTATCTCAGACGCCTACTATATATACATACAGATATCTGTATCTATTATATACATATAATTGTGTGTTTGTGTGTACATGTGGTAAGAGAGAATAGAGATAGATAGAGAGAGAGATAGAGAGAGAGAGAGAGAGAGAGAGCTGAATCAACGCAATTAAAAAAAAAAGAAAAAAATTGAGGGCTTTTTGTTTTCTGACCTACCTACCCTTCTGGGTTTAATTTTTAATTTTAATATTTTTTTATTTAATTTTTTTATTTTCTGGTTGTGCAAGGATTGGTGAGTGATGGACCAGTTTATATATATTACAGCTGTGGATTCACATAACAATGGAGAAAACAGGGTTGGCTATGGAAATTAGAGAATGGATAAATTTAAATTTTAATTAATTTCTTTTTTAGTATTATTAAAAAAAGGAAAAGAAAAAGCAAATGGGGAATTGGTGATTTGTTCGTATACTACCTACCGCAGTCGCTTGGACCCCAATTTATTTATTTAATAATAATAATAATTTATTAATCTGCAAAAAGAATCCAATTTACTAGGGTGTTTTTTTTAAAAAAAAAAAAAAATTTGATTTGAATTTAATATTAAAATAATATTTAATAAAATATTTTGTGATTTTTTTTTAAAAAATATAAAGTTTAAATAATAAAATATTAAAAAATTAGTGTAAAGAAACATAGTTTATTAATATGCAAATGGAAGAACCCAATTTATAAAGGTGTAATTTTTTTCTTGGTTGAATTTGAGAAAATTTGATATTAAAATAATATTTAATAAAATATTATATATATATTTTTCTAAAAAATATAAAATTCAAATAATAAAATAAAAAAATAGTGTAAAGAAACATAATTTATTAATTTTTTTTTTTTTGATCCGAAACATAATTTATTAATTTGCAGATGAAAGAAAGTGGGTAAAGCATAAAAGGGGGATTTCTTTTAGGTGAATAATATATATATATATTTTAAAATTGTCATAAAAAGACTAGTTTCTTTTTATAAAAAATATATTATTTTTTTATACTTTTTTTTAATTGAAAAAGAAAAGTAATTATTATTAGTTATTTATATTGATAGGCGTGTTCAATCATTTGATCACAAATTTATATAAGAGAAATAGTAAGTATTTAATGGGATTTAAATTTTTTATTAAATACTTCTTTAGTTCATTTTACATGTTTTTTTAAGTAATTAATTTTTTATTATAAATTGATAAAATAGTTTTTATTTTGTATATAGATATAAATAAAATAAATAAAGTAAAAGTAAAATAGTAAATTATATTTATAAAAATAGAAAAAGGACCATCATTTTTCAACGTTTCAAATAAAAAGATAAGATATTAGTTTGTGGACGGAGGAAGTAATATTCACTCTCCTTTAAGTTTATATCATTTTGTTTGAATAGGAAGACTAAACATTAATGACATTCTAAAGTGTAAAAAGTAAAGTAAGATAGGATATGAAATTTATTAAAAAATTAATTAAAAAATAATAAATTGAAAATTGGTGACAAATTAATTATTATTTATTAAAATATATATAATAAAATTATAAATGAAAATTTATTTTATATAAATAAATTGTGCTAAATTAAAAATAAATAAAAAAAAATCTAACTTAATTATAGCAAACTGAATGAATAATTTATTTGGTTTCAATGGATTTTAATTATTAATGTATTTATTTATAGTATTTTTATGACTTGGATTGCATATTTATAATTTAATATATAATATTAATTATATTTATAAATGTAATCAAATAAAATATGTTATAATTCAATACTTATTATGGTCAATGAATTTATTAGTTGGTTTACGGGTTTTGAAATTGAATTTTTAATTAGAAATAGTAAAATTTATGAATGATAATAATTATTTGGTTTGATATAATTAAATATTAATTAATATTTTAAAAGTAATTTTAATTTTAATATAAAATTAAGTAATAAAAATTTGATTTGATATATATTTTTAAAAATTGATAAATAATATATTGGAATTAAACATTAATAAAAACAAACATAGAAAATGGTGTGTTTGTTTATCAAATTGAATTTTAGGTTTGGATATTTGAATAATAAAATTTGAATTTAAATGATTATTTTATATTATATAATTAAAAATTTTGAATATAAAACTAAATTTTAAATTAATATAAAAAAATATTTAATTTAAATTTTTTAAATAAATAGTCAAAATACTGTGACAAATTCTCAAAAAAGAAATTATTAAATAAATATAATATACTCATATTAACATAATATAATATATTTTTTATCTAGTCACAAAAAAATTAATAAATAAATAAATAATATTATTTTTTATATCATCAAAATAATTTTTTATAATTAATGTAAAAATACTTACACGTAAAAATACAAAATAAACAAACACATAATTTATATAACTCTCTCCGTCCCACATACCGTGTCTGCTACACTGTAGACACGGAATTTTATGAGGGGTGTAATCAGTAGATAATTAAGAATGTATTAGTGAAAATAATTATCCGATAATATAAATAATTATAAATTAAGATTAAGATAACTAATTAGTTTAATTAAAATAAAAAAAATTATAAAGTATAATCATTTTTCAAAAAAAGAAAATAATATGGTATGCGGAACGGACAAAAACGACAACGTGGACATGATATGTGGACGGAGGGAGTATTTGTTAAATTAAAAAAAAAGGTAGATAATCCACTCTCGTTTATTCTTTTTGAATGGACAATTTTGTTTTATTGATTTATTTATTACTCCCTCAATCCCACATAATTTGTCCATATTTTCTATTTTCGTTCGTTCCACATAACTTGTCATTTTTATTTTTGGAAATATAAATTTGTACTTTAATCGCATTTTAAATTTTATAATTTTCTTAATTTTAATTAAATTATTTATTTATTTTAATCTTAATCTATAATTATTTTTACTAAATAATAATTATTTTTACTAATACACATTTTAATTACTTACTAATTATATTTTACCTAAATTTCCGTATCTACAGTAATACACTCATATTACATGGGACAGAGGGAGTATTAATCGGTATCTTCTAGTATTTAGTTTTGTTTTGCTTTATTTTATTGATTATTTTATTATAATCAATTGCTCAGTGCCGTTAGATTTTCAACACGTGCTTTCTAATATCTTCAACACTTTAGTGGAATATTTGCTTATAAATATATATACAAAAAATAATTAAAAAATATAATGAAATAAAATATTTATAAAAACTATTCTATAAAATAAACTCATAAGTATTTTATAACATAAAGGTTAAATACAAACTTTTGTTTTCAATAAAAATATAATTATTTTTTATACAAAACAAATAATATATAATCACTATTTTCACTTAGAAAGAAAAAAAACAAATAAAATAAAATCTAATAAAATACAAAAAGAATATATACATATTCAAAGTAAAATAAAAATAAATTAATTAAATTAATCTACTTGACATAAACATATATCATTAGTATGTTTTTATTTTTTTATAATACTTGACTTATATGTAATAATTTTGTTATTTTCGTCTCTCTAATTCAAATATATTTATTTATTTTTTTAATAAAAGTATCTTTTATTTTAATAAAATATAATCTTATACTTTACATAATATTACAAACTATATTGTACTATTACATATGAAATACTTCTTCCGTTCCTTAACAATTTATCTCTTTTTTTATTTTGGTCTGTCTCGTAACAAAGTATTTATTTCATTTTTTTTTAGTAATTATACTATCTACTTAACATTACAAATACCCTTACAATTTACAATATATTACACAAATGTCATTACCTTTATATCATACAAAACTAATAGGATTAATTTAATATTTTTACTTTTATATCTACTTTATCTTAATATAATACTAATATTTTTAAAATTTCGTCCAAAAAATAAATGAATATAAATATGAGACGGAGGGAGTATTAATATTACTAAAATTTACCTTGAAAAAATAATAGATATATATGACTTAGACGGAGGGAGAAATATTTAGTGTAACTATAAAATAAATATTTGATGTAATGATTTTATAATTTTTTATTATTACTTATGAATAATAGAAAAGAAAAATAGACCTTAAAAAATCATTTGCATTATTTCAATTTTAGTAATAAATCATTAGCGGGGGATTGGATTAGATGTCCACTGTTCATCCCATTTTTTCTACTAAAAAACATTAAATCAAACACATATTTTTTATTTTTTATATTATACTAAAAATCAATTTTACATTCAAAATATCACATCAACGCCTATTTATATGACATTATGTAACTATTTAAATTCAAAATTTTTACTATTCAAATCCCAATTCAAAATCCAAACCCCCAAAGAAACACACCCTTGAGCAAAAATGGTAGATTGAGATTAGGCACTAGCAATAATAGCCCTACGATGTATTTTTATGTAATAAAGTTTGCATTTAATTGCCACCAATCATATTGATTTACAAGTAAGGATTGTGTTTAAATGTGACTAATGACTTTGTTCTTCCAATATTTTTTCTCAATTATTATTCCCAAAAAATAATTATAAACAATACATATTACTTTATACCAATGTTAAAAAAAGTATAAAAAAAAATAAATAAAAATTTAAATACTTATTACAAAAAAATCAAATATTCAATTTAAAATAATATATTTTATACTTTTTGACACAATTATCTGTACCACACATAAAAAAATAAATAAATAAATTCATCCCAAAATTCTGCATGAACGGATTATTTTCACAATATTAACCATCCATAAGAAGAATTCTTCCTTAAAAAAACATAAAATAAAAATCATAGTAAAGTGTGTTTTTATTTTTTTATTTTAAATTCAATTTTTACGGTTACCCATAACTATATCTTATCTTATCTTATAAAAATATCAAATTAAAATATTATTTACATTAAATCTCAAATTAAAATTTCAAATTCAAATCAAAATCAAAGACACTATATTTTATTCTATATTTATGTTTTTTGTCTTTACATTAATTTAAATTTAAATTTTTTTATTTACGCTAAAATCTAATTATTATTCCATCCGTCCCTTAAGTAAGTATCTATTTATTTTTTACACAGAATTTAAAGTATATTAATATGTAGTGTGAATAAAGTATAAATTACTATAATAACTTTATTATTGTGTGATATAAATATAATGATATTTTTGTAATATATTGTATTAAGTTGTAAAAGTATTTGTAATGTTAGGTACATAGTACAATTACTAAAAAAAAAAATAGATACTTTGTTATGAGACGGACCAAAAAAAAAAAAGAATATTTAAACCAATGACTTTACGGTCATAAATTCATCCAACACACCACTAGATCATCTCGACTTTAAATTTTTATTTGCGTAGGAATTTAGAAGTTTGAATATAATCTTTTGTGAGTTAAAATAATATATTTTATTAAAAATAATTATAATAATTGTATAGTAAAACATATCAAATCAAAATTTAAGTAACATAATTTATTTATTTTTTTCTAAAATAATCAATATTTTAATAGGAGCAAGAAAAATTAAGAACCAAATAAGTATACTTATTAGGCTTGACAATTTGGACTGGCCCAGTTGCTATTATTATTATTATTATTATTATTATTATTATTATTATTATTAGGGCCTATTTTAGTGAGTTAAAAAAAATAATAATTGTACTTAGTTTTCATTTTTATTATTTTTAATATAACGTTTTTCACGCATCCAATGAATATACACGTTTTATCACGTAAAATATTACTCCCTAATATGGGACTACGTAGACACGATAATTTAGGTAAAATATAATTAATAAGTAATTAAAAAATATATTAGTAAAAATAATTATAGATATTAAGATAACTAAATGGTTTAATTAAGATTAAAAAAAATTTAAATTTTAAAATTTGAAATACGATTAAAGTGTATAATTAATTTTCTAAAAAAAGAAAGAAAAAATTATGTGGGACGGACAAAAATAAAAAATAGAAATAAATTATGTGGGACGGAGGGGGTATACATTAAGTATTACATAGACTCAAACTATTCAAATCATTATTACATAAATCCAAATCAAACAAAGGTTTGTTTTGATCGTATTTGGGATTGATTGATTTATTTATTTTTTTATAAAATTAGTTTAAATGATATTGTAATTTGACGAGAAAAATAATTTACTTTTATTAAAATAAGACAAATTTAGTTTTAAAAAATGTTTAAAATTCAAACCCAACAAACCCAATCACAGTGCGTGGGGATTGGATTTTAAATACACTATTCATCCAATTTTTTTTTCCTAAAAACGTCAAAGCAAATACCAATTTTTCATTTTTTAATATTATACTAAAAATCAATTTTACATTTAAAATATCACATCAACAACTATTTATATCACATCGTACAACTATTCAAATTCAAAATTTTTACTACACAAATCCTAATTTTAAGTTAAATACCATCATCCATATCGCATAAACAAACATTGTTAATTTATTTACTATGTAATTTTATAATTTTTAATATATAAAAATTTAGGGTGTGTTTGTTTTGTATTTTGGTTTAAAAGAAGTTTCTTTCTTTTTTTTTTTTTTTTATATAAAGTATAAGAAATTGTGTAGAAGATATAAAAATAATAAATATCACATAATATACCATTTGTATAATTATTTTTTAAAAGTGTCACATAATATATTTTGAATAGAATATATTTGTTCGTTCAAATAATTTTTCGGATACGATTTTTAATATATATAATAATTATTTTTTTTTATACTTTACATAAAAAAAAACCTCAAATCAAAATATTAAATAAACAAACACAATTATTATTTCTATACTTTACATAAAACAATGCACACACATTTATATTTCGGGTGCATTCATTCAAAACTTTTTATTTAATTATTTTAAATTTTGATTTGACTAATGATTGAAAAATAATACTCTATCTGTTTCTACATTAAGAAATTTATATTTTTTACTTTCGTTCATTATATATAATTTATCATATTTTATAAAATATAATTATACATTTTAATTATATTTTAAATTTAATAATTTATAAATTTTTTAATCTTAATTAAATTACTTCCTCCGTCCCGCAATAAGGTTACCATTTGGTTTTTGCGTCATTGTATTTGATATTAAAAATATTCTTATATTTGAATAATTTACTCGACAAATATAATTGTATATGTATTATAAGAGACTAATAAATATATTTTTGTTTTCTTTTCTTGATTTGTACTACGTATTGATATCATAATTAATATTCAAATATCAACACGCAAAAAGTCAATGGCAACCTTCTTGCGTGACGGACGAAGTATTTATATTTTAATCTTAATTTATAATTATTTTTACTAAATATTTCTTAATTACTTATTCGTTATACTTTATTTAAATTTCTGAATTTACAGTAAAGTGAACAAAATTTGTAGGACGGAAGAAGTATTTTATAAGAAATATATATATATATATATGTATTTTTTTTATAAAAAACAAAATATTACGATAATTGTAAACCAAACTCTAAGAAACACACCATTTCTTTCTAAAAATAATAATAATATCTTATATATTAATGTATTTATTATTCAATTGTTTACTTCTATAAATATAATATATTAATTTTTTTTTTTAAAAAAATGTGACAATAAAAAATAAAAATAAAGTTAAAACCGAATGTGCTAGCAGTAAAATTTAATAGTGTTTGGTACAATGGGAAAAAATGAAGAGTGGGTCCCATTTGTTGCGTTAAACAAGTACAGAGTCAACCTGACTGTAATGAATTCAGTGCCTGTGGAGCAGTGAACCAGCACGTGATCTTGTCGTGCTGTCGGGGAATAAATTACGTAACCTTTCTCCAATCGTCACGTGCCGTTGCTATTCCCACATGTATAATTTACCGTGGCTTCCCTCGCTTACTATTTTTTTTTTTTATAATTATTTTTTAAAATTTTATTATATTTTTACAATATTTTTTTTTTCTAAAAATATATTTCTTTTATTTTATAAAATAATGCTTAAAATTTTTATACATCAAAATTGAAAAAAAAATATGGTATTTTAATATTGTATTTTCTTTTTTAAGATTAAATGAAATTTTATCCGATTAATAATGTAAATATTTAATTAATATAAAATAAAAGTAAAAAATATATGAGATCATTAGTGATATTTTTATTAAATACTTCTTTTGTCATTCAAATATGTGTTAAAATATATGAGCATCAATTTTAATAAAAATGACTAATAATTGTTATACACAGTCCATTTATAGAAAATAAATTTATTCATTTATAATTTTATTATAAAAATTTTCATAAATAATAATCATTTTATCATTATTTTTCTATTTATCACACAATTTTTTATAACTTTTTCAAAAATTTTTTTTTATAATACTCCTACTTTACTTTTTATCTATCTTATTTTTATATTGAAATATTATTAAATTTTAATCACCGTTTTCAAATAAAATGACATAATTATCTCAGAGAAAGTATTATTTTTATCAATGAATTCGAGTAATATGAAAATTTCAAAAAAAAATAAAAATGTTCTATTAAATTTAATGGAGTCAAGAATGAAGTATTGGATGATATTTTGGTAAAATAGAAGTAAAAGTGTAAAATGAGAATTGAGTGTAGACTTAACATATATATTCCCTCCGTCCCATAACTATGAATTCTTCTGCTTTTTATACGTAGTTTTAGAAATATTAGCATTACATTGAGGTATATAGTAAGAATAAAGTAGAAATAACTAAAATAACCTTATTAATATTGTGTGATATAAAGGTAATGACATTTGTGTAATATATTGTAAATTGTAAGGGTATTTGTAATGTTACGTAGACAGTACAATTACTAAAAAAAAATGAATTCTTTGTTATGAGACATACTAAAATGAAAAAATAAATAACTTATTATGTAACAGAGGAAATATTATAAATGAAAATAAATTTTTTGGCAAAATAATAATTCAAATTGAAATAGCATCAATCCATAATACAGATCAAGCATAGTATAAAGACAACATATAATTATACAAAAACACAATGCATATATATATATATATATTATATGAAACTTCATACTTATCAAAGTCAGCAAATTAAACTAATTAACCACAAATTATGTAACTTAATAACACACCAATACTTCTCTCTCTCCTCTCTCTCCTCTCTCTCTCTCTCTCTCTATATATATATATATGTATTTATATGTATGTATTTCTCAACAACAACACTCACTTAATAATTACTCTATTGACCAACAATAATTGCTTCTAATTAGCACAAATGTTCGGTATTGTGAATAGTCGAAAATACCCTTGAAAATATAGGTACTAATTATCTATTGCCTTATTGGCAAGCAATCCTTTGATAAGGCCATTTTTGGAATTTGGTGCGTCGGCTTGCTTCATTATCCTCAGCCTTCTGCACGTCTCAGCAAACATCCTAAAAATAAATAAACAAATAATTATTATTTGCATAGTATTCAAAATTATTATTTAAAATATTTCATCTAAAAAAAATTCTTTCATAAATTTGAAGCTGAAAAAAAAAAAAAAAAAACTCAGTTATTATTCATTTATATTAATACTGGTGAAAAAAATCTAAGAGTTCAATTTTTTCCCCTATAAATATATAGCATATTTGATTTATTACAAATAAATTAAATGGTTTAAAAGTGAAGTGAAAAGACAATAATACCCCCAAGGGACATCTCCAAGGAGCATCCAGTCGCCATCTTTGTCCTCGTATATTGGAACGTATTCTCCTTTCTCTTCATCTTCCTGCTTCTTCACTGTACACACACACACACATATATATATATATATATATCAGAAAAATTTTATTTTATAGTTATTATATTTTCAAATAATTATCCTGAATTATAAGCCTGTTTATGCATATATTCGAATATTATTACTATACAATCACATTTTTGGTCCTACAAGTCATTACTTATTTTTTTTTTGGTATTACGAATCACATGATTTTAATACTATCTCCATCCGGGTCTAAGGATCTTATTTATTTTTTACATGTTGATATTTGAATATTAATTATTATATTAAAATGTAGTATAAATTAAGAAAAAATTGCAAAAATATTTCAATTAGTGGCTTATAGTACTCGTAGAAGGACATTTGTACAAAAAAATTATACAACTATAAGGATATTTTTATACGCAAAACGTAAATGTGACCCTTAAAGCCGGACGAAGAAAATATAAATTAACTATGATTAAGCACAATTGTAGAAGATAATTGACTATTAAGCATATAGATGCAACTAAAATTTTAAATATATACTCCCTCGGTCCAGTATCAGAGGAGTTTCTTTTTTTTTTTTTTTTAGGTTTTGTAATAGATTAAAAAATAATAGTATTTTCTTAGTTAGTGAAAGTGTGTACGGATTTTTGTCCTTTAACTTTATGTATAAAGTAATTGTATCTGTAATGATATGTTTGTAATTTAAGTAAAAATTAATGATATTTTGGTATTAATGTATAATATTACTTTTTTCAAAATAGAAAATTGATACACATGAATATTACTCCTTCCGTCCAATTTCTATTGTCCTAAAGTATATTTACATAGTTTTTTTAGGTGATTGTCATTTTGTTATGAATGGATAAATTTGCCCTTAAGTGTACGGTAAAGATTAAAAATAATAAATGAATGAAGGGTAAAAATGTAAAATTTGTGTTTAAAAAAGGAAATAGGACAATAGTTGTTGGACGTTCCAAATAGGAAAATAGGACATTAGTTTGTGGACGGAGAGAGTAGTAAAAAATGTACTTTCCATAAAAGTAACCACATTCAATATTTATTTTCAATTCAAAACATTAGTTTATAAAATATAATTTTCATTTAAAAATAGCACCCTATACCTAATTCATAAAATCTTAATTAAAAACCCTACATTCAAACATTCATTTATACAAATTAATGACCAAGTACTAATTCTAAAGATTAATTAAGGGTATGTTTTGTGTTTTAAATATTTTGAATTTGATTTCAAATAAAAATTACTCCATAATTTGAATATAAAATTTCAAAGAAAAAAAAACATATTTAATTTAAATGAGAATTAAAAATTTAAATTCATTCAAATATAGAAAGTATATCTAAAAAAAAATAATACAATGGGAATTGTGTTTGTTTAGTTACATTTTTAATACTCGATTCTTAACTATTCAATCACCAAAAAACACACAAATCTTAATTACCAATATCGAAGCAGCCAAACAGTTCCTGGAGAGCTCCGACGAGCTGACTGTAACCGCCGTAACCGCCCAAATCGATTTTCCGAAGATACGGCGCGCCGTCCATGCTAACTTTAACGCCGTTAAAGCTGCTGCTCTTCCTCCGGTGCGCCGCCACCGGCGGCCAACCAACGATCTGATTCTTATTCTTATCATTACAATTATTCCCCGCCGCCGTCGCCGCTGCAATTCCACAGAAATCGGAAAATCCTCTTTTCTTCTCATTCTTCTCCACCTCGCCGCCGGGAAGCCCTAGCCTGAGTTCCGTTTCGAGTCCGGCTCCGTTCTTCTCCATTGAATCGTAGGCTTTCAATTAATTCCCTCTCTGAAATCGTAAATTCGATTAATTAGTGAATTGCAATTTAGGAATTAGGGTTTCAGAAACATATATATATATATATATGTGTGTGTGTGTGTGTGGTTTGGGGAAGACAGCAGAGGCAGAATGGGCTGAAGTAGGGAAATCGGAATGTCGGGATCGGACGGCTGTGGATTTGCGATGCTTGCGGAGGTGGGATCGTGGCCGTCCAATGTGCATGCTCAAGGGGGACATTGCATGTGAGCTTCTTAATTGCATGTGGGTGGGTGGGGATGAATTAAATATATATATATATATATATATTTATTTATATGTTGTTGATTTTTTTTTTGTGAATTTTAATTTCTCGATTTTTAGCCATGCAAGGTTGTTGTACGTAAATATTTTCTATATTCATTCTTAAATATATATATATTTCAAATAAGTTTTCACTCAAAATATATATCATATATAAGATATATAGTTCCTTTATTCAATATATAATATACATACTAATAAAAATTGATAAAAATATATATACTCCCTCTGTCCTGATTACGGTGTCCTATTTACTGTAGATACAGAAATTTAAGAGGAGTATAATTAATAAATACTTAGAATGAATTAATGAAAATAATTAATTATAGTATAATAAAAAATAATTTTAAATTAAAATTAATATAATTAATTAGTCTACTTAAAATAAAAAAAATTAAAATTAAAATTTTTTAAATAAGATTTGAATGTATAATTATTTTTCAAAAGAAAAAAATAATAGAATAAATGGGATAAACAAAAATGCAAAAGTGGATACGATAAATGTAACGGAAGGAGTACAAAACATCATTAGTTGATCTATAACATTTTCACAATTTCTTATATCTTATAACAAAAATACTTAAAAATTGTAAATACTAAACAAACAGGTAGTAGAACTTATTAATTAATTGATTATTATTATTTTTATTTTTTTTTCATGCTGATTAAATTAATATATATTTTGATTGTGTGTCGCTAAAAATATATTTCCAACTGTTAACTAACCGATTTCTTTTTAATATAACGGGATTATATATATATATATAATCTGCTTTTAAGGATCGTATCATTGAATAATATATATAAAAATAGGTTAAATATTGTTGGGATTAGATAAACTCAACACTAATATGATATTGTCCGCTTTTTTTCTTCACAATTTTCAATGTAGGATTTGAATTTGCACCCAACATATATATCATAGTAAATGATATTCAGAAATTTTTCAATTAAATAACCTTATTAACATTGTCGAAACTTTCAAATTAGCGTCAAATCAGAATTATTGATTTGTTTTGTCTACGCCCTTAAAAATATATATATATATATATATTATAGAGAGAGAGAGAGAGAGAGAGAGACAAGGATTTTGGGGTGGGGAAGTTTGTAGTGTAAGAATGGAACAATGATATATATCTCCAGCTATTGGTGTGTTGTATTATTATTATTATTATTTTACGCGGTAACTTCACGCGGTGAGGGGTCGAACTCGCAACCATCTTTCGACAATTTTCCAACACAATTTGAGTTGTGCATATGCATACACATACACGTCACATATATATATATATGTGTGTGTTTTTTTGTGTGTATGATCTTCCACTACTACACTAGTATACTACCAGAAAAATACCATATTGTTGCGGAATAATTTGTTGTAGAATATATATAGGTCTGCGACAAATTTGATAAATTGTTACAAAAATATGGCAGAATTAATTCCGCACTAGATTGGTTGTGACTATTTGTTATTGTCACAGAAGTTTGCAACAAATTACATTAGTTAAAAATTGTCGCAAAAGACGGCAACAACACAATTAATATTCAATTGTAGCGGAAGAGCATTTAATAAAAATGCTGCGCAAGAAAATAAATGTATATATATGAGACGGAGGAAGTATATTTTAATAACTTATGTAGCAAATATATATATAATTTAAAAAAAATATATTATGATTGCTACACAATAATAATTTGACCCAATCAACAAATGTATATAAAGAAAGTAACAAATATTAATATAAAATATAATAATACAATATATCTTATTTGTCTTGTGATGAAATATTAATTGCTTCAAATTAATGTGCTACTTGGATAATATACTATCTGCTTTGTGATGAATTACTAACGGATTCAAATTAACACCGTGCTGATTTGATCCCGTCAACACCTTAGCTGCCGCTATATATATATAGATATAGATATAAATATAGACATAGATATAAAAGAATGATTATAATATTATGTTTAATTGAAATTTTCAATCAACACTGTGCTGACATCAATTAACAAAATATAGTATGTCAATATTAATATTGTTTGATTGATACAATATGTTCTATATAGATTGTTACAATGTACGTATGTTCGTTTGTTATACATTTCCTAATTTTTACAATTTATTATTATTATTTTTAAAAATTTCCTAATTTTTACAATTTATTATTATTATTTTTAAAAATTATCAAATCAAATGTATATATTTTTATTTTTGATATTATAATAAAAATTATTTTTATATTCGAAATATTACATCAATATCTATTTATATCACATCATACAACTATTCAAATTTAAAATTTCTACTATTCAAACTCCAACTCAAAATCCAAACCCCTAAACAAACGCACCGTTAATTTATATTTTATAGATGTACTGTATTAACATATCTTTCATGCTGAGATTAATATTCATATGTGCCGCGTTGATTATTGTCATATATTGTATTTTTATTATTTTAACATATACTTCATTACGTATTGTTAGCATGCTATAAGGATTTACCATCATATCATTACAAAATATTATTATTTTTAAATTTTTGCATAAAAAATAAATATATACTTTTAAAATGGACGGAAGGAATACAAAAGAATATTCAGAATGTGCTCGTCTATTTTCTGTATATACATGTATTATGTATTATATTTTACATTATGCAAATTATGTAAAATTATATATTCTTAAAAATATTACACAATATTTATTTTTTTTATTTAAAATATTACATTCCAAAATCATTCGATGTTCAAAAATTCTGTTTAAATTTAAAATTTTCCAAAACTCTTCTATGCACAGACTAGCTAACACACTCCCAAATGTAAAAAAGTCGAACTAGTCAAGTATTGAATATATCACAAAGTTTGTTCGATTATATTTTTTTTACTACTATTTACTTTATTAATAATTTTAAAATTTCACATATAATTTCTAGTATATATGTTTTTATTTAAATTATTCTTTTTTTACTTAAGAAAATTCTAAAATAATAATTATAATATAAAAAGGAAAATTGAAGTGCACATTTGGGGGTGTTTCTCTCCAACCCAGCACCATGCTTTCTTGGCTTAGGACAATTTCATTAAGTTTTCAGACACGAATAGGCCACACGTGATGCCTTCTGCCCCACCCCATCCAAACACACACGTATAATTTTAGGACTTGTTTGATTTTGGTTTGAATATTAGGGGTAATACCTTGTTATAGTTCCGTATTTGATATTTTTTATTATTTTAAAATTTTAAGTGAACACTGTTTGAAAATAGTATCTTAAGTAAATTTTTTTTGTTAAAATAGTCATTCGGTGCCTCGCTCGCCACACTGACAGTCGTTGTTGACGTGACTGACATATCATCGTCACGTGGATACCACATCAAAGGATCATTTTAGCGAAATTTTTTTAATTGTAGGATTATTTTCAGACAAAGTCCATTTAGATATCCTAAAAAAAAGGACGTCATATACGGAACTAAAAAAAATAAGTTACCAGGACATTTAGTAGAAAAAAAAAAAACCCATGTGTCGCTGATGTGACATCTATGTGGCGATGACATGTCAGCCGATTCAGCGTCACGTCAACAATAGCGGGCCACTATGACGAGTTCGGCACCAGATGACCATTTTAGTGAAATTGTTTTAGTACAGAACTATTTTCTGATAAGATGCGATTAATTAATTTTCTGCAGTTCAATTGTTGTTTTTTATTATGTAATTTTGTTTTATTGTTATAAATTTGAAACATTAATAAAAATTTGAAAAGTATATAATTCAAAAATAGCCAATGTGTTTTGAACATAAACTATTTTCCTAGTTATGTTAATTAAGAATGAAAGGAATGGCAAAATTACAGAATCCAAAGAAAAAAGAATGATAGGACAAGTTTACTTGTATTTGAGATTTTCAATATTCGTAAAATTTTAAACTAAAAAGAAATATTGAATGTCATATTTTTTAGTAGAATGAACTGTTTGAGAATATTTTGAATATATGTATTTAATACTATAATATTTTAAATAGGGAATTTGTGAATTGAAAATATGTAATATGTATAAATAGATATTTTAAATATAAAATTATTTTAACAATATTTTTGAAAGTTTTATTATTATTATTATTTTTTATTCAAGACTCCGAGTAAAAACCTTATAAATAAATAGAGTAAACAAAAACTTATCATTTTCATCCGTCTCACTTTGAAGTATGAATTTTCTATTTTAATAAAAATAATTATACATCAATACTAAAATACCCTTAACTTTTACCTTACAAACATACTATTATCCATACAATTACTTTTTACATGAGGTAAAAGAACAAAAATATCAAAAAATCTCTTACACACTTCCACTGGATAATAAAATACTATTATTTTTTAGGGTAAACTGTTTTTTTTAGTCCTGTAACTGGACCCTTTTATCATTTTAGTCCCGTAAGTGGAGCCTGTCGCAAACTAGTCCCATAAGTGAAAGTTTTTCGCTGTTTTAGTCCTTCGGCGCCGGAGACGCCAGCGTAGCTCGCCGGAGGTGACGTGTCCGCCAGGTGTCCCGCCAGGTCAGCGACACCTGGCGGACACGTGGATTTACTTTTATTTTCTCTTTTTTTTTATTTTTAATTTTTTTTGATTGGACCAAAAAAATAAAAAAATACAAATAAAATTAAAAATAAGTTTTTTAAAAAAATTTTAAAAAATTTTAAAAAAATTAAAAAATCCACGTGTCCGCCAAGTTAGCGACACCTGGCGGACACGTCACCTCCGGCGAGC